CGCTTCTTTCCTTCCTTTCCTCTTTACCTTTAGATCCTAAGAGATAGCCTAATCGATTCCTCGTCTACGTACATGAGTCCAACCGTGCTGTCACAACTTGTCTAACTCAAAATCGCTTTATGATTCTACAATTTAGGTGATTTTGCGGACTTGAAACCCTTTGTACCTTATTTGCGAAGACGTTTGTGTGGACTACGCTGCCATTGTCCGCATGAAGGGATCGGGAGCCTACCCATCCACGGTTGGAACGTTGGAGGAGCCATGAGACTGATCCGATCAAATCCACCATCTTGGACTGCATATTTGCTGTAATGTAACGGCTGAATTCCTTCTGCTGCTTCCTGCCGCTTATAATGTAATCGCTTCTCGACTTTATAAAGGAAATTGTTTTTTTACATATTTTATTAGAGATTTGTCTGTGACTTTTTTTGGGGCCTTGACCTTCTCTCCGTGAATAAGGTCGCCGCTCACTTTCATAATATGCTTAGATCATGACGATGATGGCACCATGATTGGTGTGACATCAGGAAATTTGGCTAAAATGGGCATTCTATTGGCCAATAGCTCATTTGATGAATAGGTCGGTGCAGAACATATCATCAACGGCGATGCAGGAAAGACTGATGATGATTCACGTGCCCACTTTATCCTGGACTGTCAGAAGGCGAGCAAGATATTGTCTAAGTATATGCTGTGGCAAATGTTACACTCAGAATATATATATATATACAGGTCATTACATTATATGGTTCGTCACAACCTCATTCGTTGCTTTCCTCCTCCAACTTTCCCCTCTCTCTGCGATGAAGCAAACCTCGATTATCCAGCCTGGTACAAGAAAGGACCAGCAGCAACATGCGGATTGACATTGCTCAGATTGAAGGCAGTATACGTCAAATTGCTATCCGTCAACGCAATGAACATGGTACCATTGATAGCTGGGTCACCCTCATAGGTGCTAACATCTGGCTGAATCGTCATACCGGTGTTCATACCAGTCGTACTATCAACAGAGATGTTCATCAACGGCGAATAAGTGACGTTCAACTGAGTGACCCAGATAACCCACTCAGGAGCACCAGCCTTAGTATCGGTGATGTAGCTGTTGTTTGGTCCAACAGCCTTGCCTGGGTTCTCCCACTCGAGGTAGATTTCTCGACCTGGGTATGAGAGAGGAATAGATCGGTTTTGACTGATGGATGCAGAGCAATCAAAACCAGTGACGTTGTATCCAACGCAGCTCTCGCCCTCAGGAGGGTCAGAGCTAGGAGCAGCAGGGCCGAAACCAGTTGTCTCATTGAACCCAGTCTGCGTAGCATTCCATCGGGCACTGTTAGGCTGGTTAAGCACAAACAGTCCCGGGAAGTTCTGCCATGCAAGACGCTTGGAATCGGCGGGACATTCGCTGATATATGGAGCGAGAAGTGTCCAAGCCCATGATTGTGGAATTCCTGTCTCGAACCAGACAGGCATGGGGAAGAGGCCTGAGAATTGGCGGAAGATCAATTGTTGGCGAGCTTCGGTGGCGATAGATTGATCGAGAAGTTGAGCGACTTCGCGAGAGTCTAGGTGTGCTTGGAAACCCCAGACTCCGGATTCACCCCAGCGAGTGAGCTTTTGGGTGAAATCGAAGGCTTCGTGGACGGTCTTGAATGGGTAGTTGTATGTGCCTGAATCTTGTTAGCAAATGAAGGTTGTGCAGAATTGAGGGAGGACGTACATTGAGGTGTTGCACCACCGGGCCCACCGAGCAAGTTGGATAAGAGGGTAGCGTGACCAGCTTCTTGATCAGCCATGAACTCAATCAAGAATCGATCACTAGCAGTCAAGCCCGCAGCAGTGAACTCCTCCTCTGAGAAAGTGGCGAGGATGTTGTGGAAAAGATCGAGCTCAATCCACTCCTGGTACAGACCAAGAAGAATGGACTCGTAGTCAAAGTCGGACTGAACACGGTAGACGGGCTCAGTACCATTCGTACCAAGGCCACCTGCAGGCTGGTAAGGAATGGGCTCTTGGTTGTTCAAAGTGCCATTGGGGTTGTAGACCAAGGCAGTTGGGTTTGGTGGCAGCATCGGGACAGTTGAACCAGCTGGCGAATTGCTGACTGCACCAGTGGTTGTTGGTGCAGGACCATTGTATGGGCCGTGGGAGGTGATACCAGTTACTTGTGAACTGATGACCGGAGCCACTGGAAGGGTAGCACCTGGAAGCTCAGACACTGGAATACTAGCATAAGCTGCTGCAGAGGAGACAGCTGCGCTGTTGATGCTCGGTGACTGGTTGTAGCTGTAGGGAAGAGGAGTATATTCTCCCAAGTCGGCGGCAGTTGTAGTACCAGCCTGTATTTGTCCGTCAGATATCTGCGAGACTGGCTGTGGAGTCGAGACTGGATTCTGAATCTGCCCATCCGAAATTTGGGAGACCGGGACCTGGGTCGTGGCTGGATTCTGAATCTGGCCGTCTGAGATTTGACTGACCTGTGGAAGTGCCGACACGGAGGCAATCAAGCCAGCCGCAACACCTGCTTTGATAAACATCTTTGCTGATGTAGATGTTCGAGGAGCGATGCAAGATTAACAGCTCATGGAACAAGAGCTGCTCTTATAGCTTGAGAGGTACATGCCATTGCCACAAGCTCAAAAGCTTTTTCCAGCATGACGCCTACAAAAACGAGCTCAAAGCTGTGGAGTAATGAAGTAATGCATCCCGTACCGCACTGCCGTGGCTGGCATGGGTACTTGTTGATTCGTGGGACGGTAATAAGAGGTACTTCGCGGAGGCTTGTGGAACAAAAACTCCAATCGAAGCTTGGGAGAGTCAAACATGGGTATACTAGCTGGGAAGATAGCTGCAGACAGCTCTCAACTAACTTTGAAGCTGCAGATTGCTTCCGTCGAAGTGGCCGAGCTTGAGCTGCAAGTGCAGAATCATAAGTTTGGTATGCTTCTGAGCAGAATCTTCTTCAATGGCAAGATCGTTTCGAAGTTCCACTCGGCACATCTTCCTGTCAAATCATGGCATTGTTGAAATCTCTTCATCTTCTGGATTCTCCCAAATAATTTCAAGTGATGACTTCAGCACTGTTTTATTTTGGGGAACGTCATCTACAGGGTGCCTCGCTTTAGCTTCGCCGTTGAGCCTCCGAAGTGGCGATTACCCCAGAGGCTGCTCGGCTATGGCCTTAGAGTCGCTTGATCTTCTCCGTGCCAATAGGCTTCAGCGCCATTCTCATTGCTCATCAATATGCAGCGGAATGTCATTCGGCAATGCATCCTAATGGCCAGGGGAGCGATCTCGAGAAGGTAAGATCGCCAGATGGGATTCTGACTTCCGCAGGAGATAGTTCCGTTCTCGATAGCGTGAGGTTTTTCTTTGGAATCGAGCATCAGTCACGTACCTGACTAATCTTAGGGGGGTGAAGGATTCGACTTTCGAGATGGGATTTCGACTTCTGGATGTAGTTCTCGATAGAGCTATTGATTGGAGGGCTTGTCTTTGGAATCATTTACGTACCTGATTTGGCGTGTGATGCTTCGAGACGTGAGTCTGATTTCTGGATGAGGCTCTCGAATCTCGCTACTGGGAAATGTTTTAAAATCATTGGATGTGGTGATGGTGCAGCTGATTCCAAATGATTATTGATACCCGTGTGTTTATTTACGAGAAGGAATTGTATGTCAAGGTGGTGATGAACTTCAATGACGTGCAAGAAAAAGAGCGAGGTCCGAGAACATCCATGCCACGCCACCTCCGCCATCGGCATTACTGTATCTCCCCGGATCAAAAGCTCAGCGCTCAACTCACATAACACCGCACATCAATCTCAACAGCGGGTTACTAACGTTATACTACACGGAGTCAAGGTCTCATTGGCGTCAACAGAGAATGTCACTCGGAAAAGTCGGAGCTCTTTGCTTGCGTCATGTGATTGACCTCATCCGAGTGACATTCTCAGCATGAAACTTTCGAGACTCATCAGGATAAGTACCAGTGCCAAGTTGTTAGTTAATCAAAAAAAAAAAGTAAAATCTCTGGGAAAGGTGGTGTCCTCGCAAATGTGTTGCCTCAATATCGAAAATGATCTGCGGTTCTCAACAATAGACACAATGGTCTAACATTCGAGGGACTTCATATGTACAGTACAGCAAAATCAAATACTCGATGTCCTAGGACTCGCTTTTCTCCTTGTTGAAAGAACTTCCCGGCCCCCACTTATGCAACACCTCCAGCCCATGATCAATGACCTGCTTTCTCGTATGGAAAGGAGTTAAATCCAGCGTTTCCTTATAGAACTTCTTGGCATGCTCCCCACTGGTAATCAGAAACGCTGTTCTCAATTCAGGCCACGAGTTCATAGTTTCTTTGATACACTCCATCAACCACTTCCCGAGACCTTTCTTTTGATATTCTGGGACAATGAATACGTCCGTCAGATAGAAGACTGTAGCTTCGTCTGTAACGCATCTGCCAAGGCCAATTTGAGTTGGCGATGCTCTTCCTGATGCTTTGTGAGTAACGGTCGAGAAGGAGGACGAATCAGCTGACCTGCTATGTCGGAGGAAGATTGAGGCAGAACGTAGACTCCAAAACAGAGAGATTTGGATAGCATGCTCTTTAATGCCTCTGGCGATGTTCCTTTGGTCCAGTACACAATGTCTGAGTCGAAGGCTTTATTGATGACATCGAGCTGAAGCAAAGTTTGATTTGTTGAGATCATGAATTGATCTTTATACCAAGTAGAGGGAGATGAAGACATTTTGAGGATCCCAAAGTGTTTCAGGTCTGGTATATTCTTGGGCAATGATTATGAAAGGTCACCTACAGCACTGTCACTGATGTTTGAGGCCATGACTCAAACCTAATAGAGTGGGATGTGAGTACTAGAATTGATACATCCACAAGCGAAAATCTGGGGAATTGAGGATGTTTTGAACATGAACTACGCCAAATATGACTGCCACAGTCTCTTCGATGTTCTGAATTTGAATATGATAGAAGCGATGTTCACATGGAATTATGATATCGTGAGAGAGAGCCGCATATCGCACCTCGTGATCGTGGATGGGAGTGGATTTATCATTTTCGGCTATGGATTCCCGAATCCGCGGTACGCGTCACTTCACATCTTCCTCAAACATCCCTTTCGATATTTCATCCGATCTCACAGCATCTTCAGCAGCTTTAATTCTTCAGAACCGCGATCTGGAAGCAATTACCCCTCACTTCCGAGTAGAAAGGAGGGACCACTTCGGTTGTATCTTATCACGGCCAATATGAATCTCATCTGGCAGAATTGCGACGCGCCTAATTTTGGTATAGAGCAATATGGGATACCAGGTCCCGAGAAAAATTGTACAGCCTGAAGACAAATGGTCTGAAGTCATTTCCGATTCTAACGTTTTCTATTCCCTTTGCACACTCTTGACGCTCTGATTCTCATTTCAACCCGAATTGTGTGTTGGTTCTGTCGGCGTTGGGCTCACGAGTCCGATGTAAATACACATATCTTTTCTTGCTTGCGCACTCACGATGTTTCCCAAGCACGGTTCATGATGTCTGTTCGAAAATTATCCTTCTATTTCGCGAGTCTTGCTTGCGTCTTCTCCCTTTCATCATGTTTTAGCAATTTCACAGACGTTGCAGAGGTACCTCAAATCTATGGCAACCGAGCAGGATTTTCGGTGGACGCAATCAGAGCTCCACCCAGTCCTCGAAATGGGACAGAAATTTCTGCAATATCTGGTTCCGACAGTCAGTGAGTTGTGTCCTCTTGCCCCTTTCTTGATGATTACTGATATCAACAGCTGGTGGGCCACAATATCGGTTGGCAACCCTCCGCAGCTCATTACTGTGATTTTAGACAGTGGCACTGTTGACCTCTCACTCATGTCGACGTTCATCAACCCGGCACAGCGAGGCCTAGCTCCGGTATATGACCCCGACCGATCTAACACTGCCGTACTTGTGGATGGGTACACTTGGTACCAGCAATACGCAGGCTCGGCACCGAACATGGGATGGGTGGTCCAGGATGAGGTCAGAGTTGGAGGAATATTCTTGACAAACTTTACTTTCGAGATCGACAATGTTACCGTCATACCTCACATCACTTCACCGCCATACGGGACTTTAGGCCTCGATCCTGACCCGAATGGCCAACCAACGAGTCCTAAAAGGATGCCAGGCTGGCTACAAACGGTCATGAATTTCGTCCATCGTAAGTACCTTATCGTCAAGATACTAGAAGATTTGAGTCTTTGATTAGGGGACTAACTTCAGACAGAGCCTGTTTTTTGCATTGACTTTCGAAGAAATATTTTCAGAGGCGTCATCGATTTTGGTTACATAGACAGCAAGAAATACAACGGCAGCATTGCGTATACACCTGTTACCCAGCCTACTCTCTGGTCAATCAATATCGACGGTGTTGGCATTGGTGGAGGACCTTACCAGCACAACCCGTTCGAAGTCTTTTTTGACACGGGAGGAGATGGACTTGTCTTCCCTCGTTGGGCGATCGATAATTACTTTGCGCAAGTCCCCAACTCAACATGGGACGCTGCTCTCAACACCTATTCATTCGATTGTACCTTGTTTGTACAAGGCAAGTTGCCGAACATCACATTTGGCATTGGTGACTCATACAGAGGGGTCGTCCCCGCGGACCATATTCACGTGGGACTTCTACATGATTACGTGTGCGTAACAAGTCTACGAGTAGGGGATCGACCGTCTTGGGGAACCTCAATCATTGCGACCCAGTTCGTGGTATTCGACTATGGTGGCAAGCGAATGGGCTTTGCTCATAAACAACTCTAAATCAATCTAAAAATATTGACAATCTGATTTTGCAAGCCAAGATACTTGTTGCTATCAACTTTTTCTCGTTTGATGTCTTTGGAATCTGGAACTGCGTTTCCTTGTCTTTGTTATTCTCGAGACAATGTGTTTTTATCTCAACAGTGGCCGTGGTTTTGATGTATCCCAGTTCTGTTATCAACGAACCCCACAAGGCTGAAGTAAATCGACGTTGATTATGGATCGCGGCCCAATCATGATTCCGCTCACACTCTAAGGGTCTTTTGTTCGTCAGTGCGAACAAAACCCACGGCCTTCAAAACTCGCCGGGTATCCGCTTGTTTGGGACATATAATGTCACCTGCGCGTTGTGGCGAAACATCACCATTCAAGGCTCGAGCAGATGTGGATCATCAGAATCAATATAGCCTTGTGTGGAGCGAGCTGAATACAAGGCTTGAGAGATAGCTTTAGATTTGTTCGTGATTTCTACTTTACGTGCCTACTCTTGCTGCAATGCGTTTTTCCGCGTATGTTACACAGTGTTCTTGTCGATTTCGACCTGCTCAAAATTATGACACAGGAAATGGATTTGTACCCGCAACCTGTTTAGAATAATTTATGTGTGGAAGCTTAATCGCGCCAATTTTCTTTTAATGTGGCTGCATGACAGAACGGCTGAATGCGCCACAACAACCAAATCGTCTTCGCTGTTAACAATCAATTGGTCAATAGAGTTGCAACATGCCCAAGCCAGCACACTTAAACCTTTGTTGAGCGAAATCGGCACCACGAGATCGAGCTGATGACTTTTTGTGGCTGGCGCACATCCTTCCAACTTTAATTTCACTGCGAGTACAAGTGCAAAAGTTCTGTGCACACTTCCACAATCTGATGTGGCTTCTGTACTGATATGCAAGCTCCATTACGATTCCACGCCTGTGATCGTCCCTTTCATTACTAGTGACAGTCTGTTGTGGATAAATAGAAGCATGCACAGCCGACTCCAGCTCTCCTCTGATCTGATCACCATCTTCACCGGCAATAGATTTTCATTTAGACAAGTCCATAGAGGAACCTTAATCACGTGTGGCCATGGCGGTACTTCCAACTCCCAGCAATTATGCAGCCATCTGGAATCTCAATCCACCATCGTCCACAATTCCTCTTCAGGAAAGTGCCTTTGCTCTTGGTGTGAAGGGGCCTGAATCCATCGGTGTGGACCGCCGCACCCTCGTTTCTTACTCAGATTATGCAGATGGAGGAGAATATCGAGGTGAATTTCTTCTGCTTGTTACGGCTACTATACCGTCACTGACCGAGTTTCTCAGCAATCATTAAGCTTTTCGTATGCTATGAGAGGCAGCCTAATGATGGCAACTGGGGCATGGCCACGGGATGGCTAATTGCTCCCGATCTTCTTGTCACAGCCGGACATGTCGCTTACGATTTCGGGCCAACTACGCAATACGGCAAGGCGGTCATCGTGAAAGCCTACATGGGCTACACCGGAGCTGTGAATGTCACTCCAACAAATCTGTCGCGCAGGAACGTTCAGCTGCAATACGGAGCAACATTTATAACAACAACTGGATGGTTGCAGAGCGCTGGACAGGCTGAGCGTGCCGACGTCTCATTCTTGAAGCTTGCGGGGACCTTCACGGGGAATTTCAGACCATTCTCTTACATCGATACTCCATTGTCCGGCGTCGCTGTGAATATTGGTGTTGTGGGCTATCCTGCCGACCAGCAAAACTCGGCTGGAGAAGCGGGGGCGGAGATGTACCAAATGATTCAGTCTGTGACCTGGAATTTGGACAGATCTAACAACAATCTGCTCTAATATGCCATTTCAACATATCCAGGTAAGCGCTTTTATCTTATACCAGACCTAGACACGGCAAGATAACATTCATTAGGTCAATCCAGATCTCCAGTCATCCGTCAGTCTGATAATTCAGTCATTGGAGTTCATGTTTTTAACGAGGGCACTGTGAACTCAGCTAGCGACGTCAATGGCAGATACGGTAACATGTTCGGACCTTTTATCCGGGCCTTCAGTGAAATGGACGCTCCAATTGGCAACATCTTAAACATCAATGTTATCAAGCCTCTCACAGCCGGTCCTGATACACTTAATCTCACCAATATCGTGAATGTCACGTTTAGTGGAGGTGTCACCGTATCTCCACTTCCTGGGACTGATACGAACGGCACGGGAGGCTCAACAACTACCCCAGTTACTCCAGTCACTCCAGTGGTCCCTGTAAGCCCAGTCCTTCCAGTCGCCCCAGTTGTGCCAGGAACGACTGGAACGACGGGCTCGACAGGTTCAACAAGTTCAACGATTGCTCCGACAGGCGGGTCGACGACTACAACTTCTGGAACTGAAGGATTTCTAGATGTTTTGAAAGACATTGTGAAAGTCTCCCTACCAGTCATCGACACCGGACTTCGGATTTTATTCCCCTCTGTTGGACCACTTAGCCCTTGCGCTGCAGCTATTGGCGGGGTTGCCCTCGGTGCCATCTGCGAGGCTTGCGAATCCGCGTTCAACAGCTCGACCAGAACCTTCCAACCTGCTTCAGCACCCACAGCTGACTCTTTGAACGGTTGTGCTCAGCGAGCAATTCTTGCCGAAACGGCTCTTCAGGCTGCTTTCCGGCTTGACTCTAGGGAGCCTCAAGGTCAACAGATTATCACAGATATGGCGAATATTTATGCTACCGTCCAGCCCTTGGAGGATCTCAACATGAAGCTATTCCCAGCTATAGCTGGTCCGATTCTTCGAATTGCGCTAAACGATATCACTGCAACCCCTCCAACCCAAAGCGCTACTCAAGTCAAAGTGCCTCTACCAGGCGTCGCTGCAGTCGAATCCTCCTTCAGCAGCACGATCAACACATCATTCGCAACACAACTCCTGCAACCAACCATCATTGTTCCAGGCCAAGAATCATTCTTCGACAACCTCAGCTCAGTCATCTCAACTGGTCTCCAATACGCAACTCCCATCACGACCACCCTCGCTCAGTCCGCAGTTAAATCCGCCCTGTCAGCATCACCTGAATCAGCTCTAGAAGCCACGGCTCGGGACAACATCGTCTCGTTGCCACTGTTCAGACGCGCGATCGTAGCTGAATGTGCACTACAAGCCGTGCAAAAGATAGACACCACAACTCTCGCCTCTCTCCCTCTGTACGACGAGCAAGGAAACCCCACCACAGAAGGCTTCTTCGACACTATGACAAAAGCTATGCAAACCATTGGACAGAAAGTTCTTGATGCAGCTCCGGATGTGATTGCGAGTGTTGGGCCTATTGTTGCTTCTCTTGTTGCTAGTGCTATTCAGAAACCATCTGGTGGCGGGAGTAGGGCAGCTTCTGATTTACCTATGACGGCGGGAGTGGTGAGTGTGCAGCCTATTTCGATTGCGGCGTTGGCGGATAGCAGACCAGGTACTAGTCCGGTTCCTGCTGCGGAGACTGTTTGACTTCCATTGGATCATGATAAATGTTATTTTACAATGTGGCGTGGTTGATTGTTTGTCCATTGCTGGGGTATTTTCAATGTCTTTTCATTGTCCGTCCAGCTGTTTGACAACGTTCAGTCCAGAATGTCCTTCCCGGAAGAAGAGAACTTATGAAGTGTACATGTCATTATATCATCTACTCATAATGCTCTCCTACCCTCGGCTCCTCAACCTCAAAACTAGTAATACAACAATGCCCCGGCAACGCTCCTTCAGGGTGACTTATCGCGCCCCACATCACCTTCTTGAACGCGGCATCCTCATCTTCATGCGGCGGATGACAAGCAGCACTAATAGCAAAACTGCTATTAACCACTAATGGGATCGCAGATTTATACGCTCTGAACTCGTTCCAGACCAACACCGCGAACATGACAGCAGTCACGATGATTGCAGCGAGGATAGCTTTGGGCGAGTAACCTGGGACGGTAAGCGTGTTGCTGCTAGGTTCGAACATCTCAGTCACGCCGGTTGGGAACGTGGGTTGGCCTGTTCGGTCGAAGAAGGAGATTCGGACTAAGAAGAGGCATTCTGAGAGGATCCAGTGGACCAGACCACTGCCGACGAGGAGTGGGATAGAGTAAAGGTAAGGGAGTTGAAGCCAGTATGTGGATCTCTGGATGCCGACTGGGTTGCTAACTCGCAAGCTCTTTCGATCGAGGGCAAATCTTGTCCATTCTGCCATTGACAGCATGGCGGTGTATGAGCGATTGTAGAGGAAGTATAGAAGGGAGAAGTATATTTGAGGTGAGTTAGCGATCATGACCATTCGAAGAAGAAGCCATCCGGATTGCGAGGTTGGGTCTTCTGTATCTCCGTAAAGGAAGAGTAATGCAGATGGGCTGATGGATCCAAATGATAGGGAGCTGAAGCTTTCGAGACCAAGGTCCGTCGATCCTTTGTACAGCATACCAATCCCAAAGCCGATTGCAGTAAGCACCCTACGGAACTTGTCAGCTCCATCTCTCGATTCGAGGTTTGGTTTGAGACAAAACCTACAAGACTAGAAGAGTCATCCAAGTCCCTCGACTCACATCACTCCACATCTTCGGTTTTCCAGTCCAATTCCGTTTCTTCGCTCGCTGAATCTCAGTCCCACCCCCAGGTTCAACTAACTCCGCATTGGGGCCTACTGTCAAACAGATACCTTCCGAAGTAACATCTCGATTACTCAGAAACGAAGCAATGGCATCGCCCAACACCACCAACGGCGGATCCGTGAACGCCCACTGAGTCCAAACCATGCAAACAAATTTACAAACATTGCAAACAATTACAATAATCATGAGAACTATCGAGAACTGCACCTGACACATCTCCGGCACCGTCTCTGAAAGACAGTAATCGACCTCGTAAGTCTGGTTCTGATTCTGCGATGCTATCGTCCAATTATTGTATTGATTCATGTTGCTCAATGCTTTGCTGGTATCGCAGGTGAGGTCCAGACTGCCACTTTGTTCGAAAATACCTTGATCGTTCTTTTGCCCCTCGACGAGGAGGATGGCTGCCGGATCATGGATGTTGGAGCACATCCACGCGGAAGGATTCCAGTGCAGACCTCCATCAGTGGTGAGATCCATGTTCCAATTCCTGCTATCGAGTACTGCCAACATAGAGCCGTTATCCAGCGTCTGATTGGGTGGGAAAGAGACGGGGCTTTTGACGACGATGAAGAGGTTGCGTTGTCCCGAAAGGAAGGTGGCGCTGTATTCTCGCATGCAGTCTGCGGCTTCAAGTCGTTTCATTGTTGAGTTTTTGGATGCTTGATAGAGATCAGATGCGAAAGGGAGGAAGGTTGAGCTGTTGAATTCGCCGCCTACTCCTCCTCCTGTATACTTGCCATTTTCAAAGCTGGTTTCCCACCGCTCATTGTAAGTCATGTTTTCCCGAGTGCCGTCGAAGTTGGAGAAATCGAAGCCATAGAAATCTATATATCCCCCGCTCTGCTGGATATTTTGGGTGTTATTGTCGAATGCGTCAGAGGAGAGGAAGTCGGGGGTGATGATTAGCATGGAATACATGTTCGTTTGGCGTGTTGAGAATATGATACTGTTCCATCTATTTGTCGTGAGCTAATAGTTCAAGCTTATTCCCCTTTGTTGACGGACTTACACGAAATGTAAAGGCCAAGTACTCAAAAATAGCACCACAAACAGCACCACCCTCCTCCTGGGAATATATGCCAAATTCTTCATATTAGTAAGTCCCACGGAGAGCCATTTCCCCCTTTGATGCGCTTTATCAACTTCCTCCCTAGTAGGAGAATTCAAACACTGCATGGCATAATTGCTCGCTCCCATCAAGGCAGTGCTCAGGACGTTGATAAGGATATGCAGAAATAAATTGATCTTTGTTGTTGTGTTGCAACTTCCTTCATATAAATTTGCCAAGCCAAATTTGACGTTGTATCTTGTCATGACTACAATGAGCCATGTTACGTTCATGGCTAGAACAACTGCTGCTAGAGTCGTGGCCGCTAGAAGTGCTCGGCGCCATTGAGGTCTTTTGGACTTGCCCTTGCGAAGCGCGGGGTTCTGAAAGGTGCTTTGGTCTGGTGATGTGGGGAGAAGCCCTTCTCTAGAAGTCGCTGTACTGAGAGGAGCATAGCTTGGGGACAGAGGCTTTCGTCTGATACCTTGACTGTATGAGACATTACTAGATTGCGATGTCAGTGGAGCTGGAGTTTCCTTCGGGTACTTCTTACCTCCTCCTGGAACTCTCTACATCCTCATATGCCACTACATTCAGCAGTGGATACTGCTGATCATTGTTCCTCGTCCTCGGCCAAGGAAGCGCATTTTTGACAGAAGACCATACGCCGTTCATGGTGCCAGAAGCATCTCGAAGAGTGAGACATTTTGAATTCGGAAAGTCGACTTAATTAAAAGCCCTAAAGCTTGCTTCTGCCTTGTTCAAGATCCTCAATGGGGCTGTGTGGCGTACGGCGCAGCAAGGCTTTGTTCAGAGCCTAGATCCTTTATTGGGGCGGGGAGGAACCTTAAATGAAAAGTCTTTCAGGGTTGTTACTCCACTGGATCTTGGCTCTGTGCCAGGGTTGCGGCAGCTGTCCAATAAGCATGTTTGGTAAGGGCTAGAGGATTAAACTCAAATTCATTCCCGCTCGTAGAGTTCAGCTCCCAAATGACTTAAGAAGTAAGAAACGTCACATTTATGTATTTGCCCCTCTCAACTTTTATCCACGAATGACACCGCTCCCCAATCTAAGCCAATCCTGATACTACTAGTGCTCATTCGAATCAACCTAATTCTCAACCAACAAAATGAGGTTCAAAATCCATATCCACCGTAATCCCCAAAGCAAGTCCAATAGCAACTTCCAACAACAAAATCGTCCAAAAATTAGCTCCCGAGCTAAAGCCCGCCATCGACATCGCTCCCGAAGTCACCGGAACCCCAATTGTCGATCCATTTCCGCCCGTGGTCACAGTCACATTATCGGTAATATTAACGGGCGCCAAAGCCAGGCCATCAAGGGGATACGCCGAACAATTGTTATCAGGATCTAAAGGACAATCTGGAGCGATACATATAGACTGTAGTTCTGACGGAGCGTCGATATTGGAGATAGAGATGGGAGAGGCGCAGCGGGTGTTAAATGCTCTATTGAGAGATGTGCCGATCGTGGAGGCGTCGTCGAGTGAGATCCCGAGGGAGGAAGCGGCTGTGTCGACGAGGTTTATGAAGTAGGTCATTTGGAGAATATCAAGGTCCATGAATCTGTGAAAGATACGTCAGTGCGAAATTTGGTGGATGATTGGAATAGGTGGAGGGCATACTTGTGTACTTCGTACATGCTTGTTCTTCCTTGGTAAGAGGGGAAGTCTGGACTTCCTTGGAGAGAACAACCGATTATGCTGCCGAAGTATTGATATATGTGGTTAAACACTTGGCTGCCATTGCTGTTAGTGATATCATCGATCATAGAGTATGTTGTGAGACATACTATTGAGCAGAGCTGGTATTCCCATTAGAAGACATGTTCTTTAGAACTGGAACGGGTCCTCCGTCATCGAGGAACAGTTTAGAAACACCAGCATTTCCACCGAGGTTGGTGGAATTGTAGGCGCCAGTAAAATATGGGAGGAGAGCAATTTCGGTACCATTGTAGATCTCTGGAGTGGCAAACCCATGGACAGGAATGCCGATGTTGGGAGTGGTGTAGTTGCCAAGAACGAATGTGTTCACCCAGATTGTGATGAGAAGAAGCTGATTTGATGCTGTGTTCTCACCCAGGATGGATGGAGTGTAGAAATCACAGATTGATATATTCTCGGGTCGTTGGGCGAGACAGAGAGGCAATATGGTTATGAATGCCAGAAGAATAGAAGAAAGTCGAAACATGGTGAGGAGTAAAGAGATTCGTGTGAGCTTTTTTGATGCTGGTGAAGATTGGCTACTGGTTGCCTAGATTCAGGAAGAGGGTACTCTTATATATCTTTAAGTTTGTTGGGAGTGCTTAGGATCGCCCAGTCCTCCTTCACATTTCGTCAATTGCTCTCACTTGATAGGGCGTCGTATATCAATTCATCTCCAGTCGGAGCTCTCCTCACTCAGGAGTCTGACGTGGCTTGCGAGTTGCTCTTGGCGACCTGGGTTATGGTTGACGTGGCTGGTCAGCCCTACGAGTGACCACGGCCGGATTACCTTCAAGTACATGCAAGCATCGTATTATGTAAGTGATGAAAGGGATCACCGCCGGATTATTTTCAGTACATGCAAGCGTCGTATTATATAAGCGATCGAAAGGGGCTTCTGATATCTGACGAGTAGATATTCACCTGGCGGAGGTAGCAATGGGGAAAGGGAGATAATTGAGCTTGTCAGCTGAGGAATTCAGATTAGCATGCTCTCACTTTTACAAGTGAGATCAAGTCATACGTTGTAAAAGGTTTGATTATTAATGTTATAAATTAGGCGACCTCTCATTAACTTTTGTGCAATAAACAGAGACCGTACTTCCATCGAGTGCCTCTTGAGACAATTGAATCATCCTTCTGCATGCTTCAGCAAGAGACTGCTGATACCTAGCCGGAAATATGGGAACAACTGCCAGCAGAAGACCATAGAAGTGAGCAGTCAACATATGTTCTTCTTTCGAGTCATCAAACTGTCGCAGATCGATCCAGAACATCCATGAACGCAACCAGGCTAGTTGGTGATATGCTTCAACCTCGTTCTCAAGCGAAACCGCGCTATTGATGGACCGCGCCAAAGTTTCAAGACAGCCAAAACCGGTGCTATGCCACTTAGCCAATCCAATCACGGATTTGGCATTGCTGATTGAGTTCATGATTGTGCTCACTCCTTGCCTCATCAAGTCTCGATCCTTTGGCATTTCATGTGGATTTGGATCCGAGGACGAGGAGAATTTGCGGAACTGGAAGCGATGTCCAACCAAATCTGGAAAGATAGTCTTGTACTTTAGATCCTTCATTTGTTTCAGCGTCTAAAAAAAGGTAAGATTGAATGACATTAGAATGACATTGTGCTCTCACCTTGGAATAACCATCAATGAAAACTGCCCATTGCCCCCTACAAAGTTTCAGCGGACTTGAACGAAAACGACGTATGAGACAAAACAGTAGGGAACAGACCAATTATTTGTTGAGCCAGTCAAAGCTATGGACGCGACTATGATTGCATCTGCATTTGAAGGTCCGAAGTGGTCGATCTCCTTCTGTAATGCCTTGAGAGCAATATTTGCATGGCTCATACACATTTGCTCAGAAACTGGACTTTTCGTGGCCTGAAAGTGTGTATAAGCGGCAAAGCTAATCAAGGCGTATTTCGCACAATCATAATGTGCAGCGATTTGATTGTATCTAAAGAAGGTTATTGGACTCCACAATTGCTAGGGAGGGTCGTACATACTTTGGAGAATATTGCCTAAGTATTGTACCCAGGCAGCTCTTCGGCATTGGCCGCGCTAAGGAGATGACTTGTGACTGCTGGACTATGGATATGGCTCGTTGGGTGATGTGCCGATAATGTGGAGCGGAGTAATTAAAGGTGTGCAGGAGGGGTGATTCAGTGGCTTCCACAACTTTGCATTCTTTTCCTAGTCTAACACAGTTGCGCTTCAAGGAGTTAGTACATGAAATAGTGAGGTGACTATTTCTGGTTCCGTCGGGGACGGAAGAAGGGGGGGAGACAGGGCCAGGACATACGCAGTGCGGCCATCTCTCATCGCAACGAACATGACGATCTTTGCATGTAAGGCATCCATTCGTCGACCTCTTATGAGTTCTACGGCGTAACATCTCGACCATTTCAAGCCAAAATCCGACTCGTCCGCGTGTCTGTCAGAGTTGACGAAGATTGATCGCACTGCCATGAGTGAAGCTCTCTCCCAACAAGGACTATGAGATGGATTTATCTTCTGAAAGGACATTTGATCTGGAACTAGACGCTTCATCCCTGACTGCGAGTCACTGGCATTCAGCTACCTCAGGCTCGGTATGAAAATACCGAGGATAGACAGAAAGCGCCAAGGACGGTGCGGCTGAAGAATAAGCTGCTTAGACGACACCTGCATGACGGCGAGTAAGAAATTAGTCTCCTTGTACTCGCCACAGGTGCAAACATTGCTTGGCAACCGCATTGGCAGCGTGCATCGATATGCTTAAACTATGTAGCCCGACAGGATTGGTTCTGGGGCGGAAGGATATCGTAGGGCTGAGAAATAAGCAAATGCCTGCCTTTGCTGACAAATAACATAAATATGAGAGAATGTTCGCAACTCGGTCATTCCGAGATGAAGTCCACGCCAATCGTTATCAGATTGTCATCAGCACTTGAGAGCATGCAAGAAACTGATAAACATGACAGACTGTCAGGAAGTTACAACAGCGGAGCGACCCAGAATTGCCTGTATTGCTGAAGACCGAATGACAAAATAAACCAGACTCTTGAGGTCATAGACTGAGATGCTACCTTCCTGTTTCACAGCCAGCCGCTTTCAGACTAGTACCTCTTTGATATCACTCAGTGGTTCGTCGTTGGTATTGTCAACACATTCCTCAACGCCAAGTCTCACCTACTCATATTGTTTTTGTGGTTTGGGCAGAACATTGAGGGCTTGGTGTGGATCTCACAATTAAGATTGTATTTCTATGGGATGTCTCACCTGCACGTGGAATTGAAAGTGTTCAGGGGCTCGCTACCCTAAGCGGACACCAGCGAAGCGAGAAATTATTCCAGGCTGTGATCGCTAAATTTACAGACAAATACCGCTAGAATATAGCGATGCATCGCTAAACATTAGGCTTTAGGCTTGACGGAGTAATTTTCGGCTACGAACCAAGAGGAGTATGAGACAGGTTTATTTCTTCTTCTAAACAAATCTCTGTCCTTCTTAAGATCATTTATCTGTGTATGAATATATGCTCTATATGCCTACACATCTTCCTCTCCCTCACATGTAGTGTATTGTATTTCATGTTCTCATTTACTCATCCTTCTCAGAAGCAATCTCACTGCCAAGGAGCAGGGCCTCCAAGCTTATCAAACCCAAGACCATCAATAAAGCTGTGATTCGTACCGGCATCGACAGGGACTTGGTATAGATTCGGGTCTGGCTCGAGATCGGTCTGCGCACCGTGAGCATCAGGGCAAACAATAGGAGTTTTCTCTTACCTTCTTCAGCGTGACTCCTTCGTTATATGTACCACCAAAATGTCTTGGTTTCTTGCCATGTTCCATCTTTACTCCTTGTCTTGTGTATATACTCATGTCTCTATCATGGAAATTGAAGGGCGTGAACATTACAGAAGAGGAAGAGGTATGCATAAGCGTATTCGGTATATCTCCAGCGTGCGGAATGTGGTGAGTTCCAAGGTTGAACCATACAACTCTGGAGTCGAGGGTTATTGACCAGTAACAGAAAGATCAATTGAGACTTACAAGTCATCTTGCACAATGTCCTCACCATCGACAAACTTGCTGAAATCCACAATCGGATCCAAAGGACCGAGCGCGTTCAAAGCACTTGAACTCCTCGGCTCAGTATCCTTCCTCTTCAACACCCAAAGATCTTGAGCTGCCCACTCAGCAGCCTTCCCAAGTGTCGTTGAGTTCAAGATAGTAAGATGCACAGGAGTACCGATTCCGGTGCCAGGCTGGACACGATATCCTCTCTTCTCACCCCAAGCATTCGTCTCATTCTGATTTAAAACAAGGAACAACTCACCCGAGTTTCGAGGCCAGTCTAACCCTGTCTCTTTTTCGACTACCTTTTTGACGAGATGCATCGTATTTCTTGGAGTCGTGTTTTCGTCGTCCCAAGGATAATCCATTGTCAAAGGCTCAACCCCTACACGGACCATCGTATTTTCGGTTCCAGCAATATCAAGATCAGCTTTGAAGTTGATGACGTGGTCGTGCATGCTGGTTGATACGGCATCGTGGACTCGGAACCCGTATTCATCTTCGTTGGCTTGTGTTCCGGTCCAGAAAGCGCCGAATATGAATCCACTTGCTCGGACTTTCACTTCGATTGTGCCGTCAAGGTAGAATATATAGTCGAAGGTGTAGTCGTAGTTCCAGACTGTGGAGACATATCTGACAACAAGATAAGTGTTTCTTGATATCGTAACTCGTTTGTCTGCTGTGTGGCGTTGAAGCGGGAAGTCTGCTGTGTATTCGAAAACACAAATACTATTCTTATTGATCTTGGTGGAGTCGCCGAAATGGTACTGAGTAGACAGAAACGTTGCATATGCGGGGCAGTCATAGCCTGGCACAAGCTCATACATGTACAAGCCCATGTAAAGGAAGGTGTCAAGAAACTCTTGACCGCCTTGCGTTGGGTCGTCTCCAGCATAATGAGCAAGAGCTTCCTGCATACCAAGCTCATAAATCACAGTGTCGCCATGGAACCTGATATCATGTACTGATACACCAGTATCTGAAGAGGTCGAGAGATAGAAGTCAAAACCCATCCAAGATATGAAGTTCTCTTTCTCGTCTATTCTGTATCTTGCTCCGTGGGGTTGCACCATCGTCGGAGATGGCATATCACGACCCAATGGCGCTGCCTCGAAGTCTTCGAGATCTGCCCAATGTCCGTCAAGATTCAGACCACTTTTCTTGAAGCCCGGCGACGCCACAGCCTTCCTGAATTCGGCCTCATTAGCATATAACTTATTGTTGTAATACCATTGAAGCGTTTTCCAATTCGCAGTATCTCGAGTCGATGCATCTGTGAAATTCAACAGTGTACTTTGCAGAAGTTTGAGAACGACTTACTGAGTTGAACATAAAGTCCTTGTGGTAAGAGAGACGTTGCATCTGAGATAAGACCAGAACGAAGGAGCGAGATCCAGATCATCAGGGAGCCTTTATCTACAAACGAGACTCTAGCAGCTGCGCTCACACTGTTGGCATCGTATGGGTGCTCGTCCTGCAACATCCATTCTCAGATTACCATGCATTGATATGGTAAGACTTTATTACTCACATCACCAAGAAGTTCATCTAGAATGTCCCCAATGCTCTCGCTGAAGGACATTGCCCACTTTCGGAGCTTGGGTTGATCCGGGTATGGATTAAGTACATAGTTTCGTCCGGAGCTGTAGCAGAACTCAAGAGGCGTCACGACGGAAGATTTGTCGATTGGTAATGGTCCAGCCTATTGCTCACTTTCAGTATAAACTTCAGATCAGAGTTGATGACTGCGTACCATGTAGTTTGCAGTATATGGCTCTTCCGTGGCTCCATACTGAATCACAGCACGTGCCCATCGAGTCGGAGCCCCTGTCGAGCCATCGAGATACGAAAGAACATCTGACTTGTTCGGTTGCAGCAATTCGACAAGTAGAATAGCATTGTCATCACTGATATCTTCATTCAACACAGCATCTCTAAAGGTGGGGGAACAACCAACCTCGTCGCCTTCGTCGAGTCTGTGAGATTCAGAACCGAGTTCGAAAGCAAGAAACTTGTAACAGAGCTGGCTTCAGCCTCGCTCAAATCCGCCCAGACATTTTGTTTGGCGGCTTCGAATGATGATTTGTTTGAGTTATGAGATGGAATGAAGTTCGTTTTCACGTGTTTCATAAATGGTGATGACGCCGCTATTACAAACAAAATGAAAGCAATGAAAGCAGAGATCTTGAACCAGAGACGAGAGGAAGGCGCTGCCATTCTGGCAAGATAGAAGAGAAATTTGAGAAACAAGAAGTATACAATATGAATCAAGATATCAAGCGTTCAGTATGGCTGCTGTATTACCCCGAGTTGCGCTACTGCTTATCTCTAGATAGGGAAGTCGTGCCGCTCAATATTCTCGCTAAACTTCAAGCGGCAGGTCGAGCCAGGACAGCGCATGGGAAGACAAACATACCAAGGTTCACAAAGAGAGTTCATTGGCACTCGCAGCATGACTGATAGCCGTGCAGTGATCGTGTCAATGTGAATTGGTACTAATGATTATGCTTTGATTCATTAATTGTTTTAGCATCATCGCCGCTTGCCATATCGCAAATGTATTGCGTATTGGATGAGTCCTGTTGACCTCAATCTCCGATTCCCAAAAACCTTTCTGTTCTTTACAATAGTTATACAAATCCACAGATGCCTCAGATGTCTCGAATCTTCATACAAAGCCACGAATGCCTTTGAGGCTCAGACCTTTCTTCTCCTTCTTTGGCTCTGCTGGCTGAGTGTCTTTTGCAAGTGCTGCGGCCTCTTTCTTCTGCTTTGCGATCTCTGCTTTATCTTTCCGGCCTACGTTTTGAACACCTCCTGTTGTATCGTTAGAACGAAACTTCCGTAATATTATAAGAAGGGGTTGATTACCTCGACCATAAACTCTAGTCTCACTCTGCACTTCAATCCTTGGTGTCTTATTAGTTCGGCTATCGTTGCTCCCACGACTGCCAGTGCGACTACTAGCGGTACCAGAATTCGCCTGACTTGCACTTGACGCTGCGAGTGGAGACGAACTGAAATGTTGAGCAGCTTGGAAGTATTGGACTGGTGCATCTACCCCTGTTGGAGTCCTCTCGGTGGATGATTCTCTATGATATGCGCCAGTGGAGGTTCTCTCTCGATAAGAAGTATCCACATTTGGTGTTGGCTTTGGATAGGAGCGACGAGGGGGTTGTGACTGTGGATTTGTCGGTGGGATGAGTGGCGAGTCACTCGAGCTACTCCAATTGCTCAAATAACTGGACAGCGAGCCCATGGAATCAAAGGATGGTAGAGAAGTCGGGGATAGCTCTCGAAATGGTGGCGGACTTGTAGACCGGGACAATAGTGCAGTATCGGGAAGGTTCATTGCATCGGGGTTTGTGAGGATTGACTGAAGGGCGTCGAGTTTGATGTGCATATCAAGCAATTTCTTCTTGAGGGTAGCATTTTCTTCAGCGAGTTGCGCATTCCTGTCGCGCAATGATGCCATGCCTTTGTCTAGGACTTCTCGTGTCAACCTAGCAAGCTTCCCGTCATGACCTTTGCCGTTCTGGGAATTATGACCGATTCCTTGGCTGGCTTGCAAGCGAGTAGCTTCTAATGCATCTTCGAAAGCTTTCTTAGACTTTGCAAGCTCCATATCGCGAGATTTGATCTCCATCTCCAAAATGACAATTTGATTCAGAGTAGCTTGCTCACTCTCAAGGGCTCTGAAAGCAGCAAGCTCCATAACCTCATATTTGATGACTTTGAGCTTAAGATCCTCCACTTCGATACGAAGGCGCTCTAGTTCATCGAGACTATTTTGAGCACTCTCCACCATTTGCCGCGTACGCAGTTCTTTCGACTCAGTTGAAACCACGATATTCTTGAGCTTGGTGACCTGCTCATTGGCTTCGTCGAGAGCACGCCTCAGTGCGTTTCGCTCGGTCATCCAGTTCTTCTGCTCTTCACGCAACGCGCGTAACTTCGTTGTTAACTGTGCTTCCCAGTTCCTGCTATTTTCCTTAGATCTCTCGGTTTCTGTCCGCATCTGAGTATTCAGTCGCTTCGCGTCCTCGAGCTTAGCTTTGTAGGTTCGACTTGAATTTACAAGGTTCTGAAAATCAGCCTCTGTCCGTACCTCACGATTCTGCTTGTTGCGCAATTGGCCAATGTATGATACATGCTGTTGCTTTAGGTAACGCTCGAAGTTAAGGGCATTCTTCAACAATTCAATCTCGCGTTGAAGATAGTCAATCTTGAGAGTTGGATCATCTCTTGGCAATCGAGCAGCATGATCTCTAGAGAGACTTTCCAGGTAGGCATCGACAGCCGGATCATGATGATTGTTTGAGAGAGCAAGCGAGACAACAGAATCATTTGTGAGGGCTTGATATAAGCTACCCCGCAAAGATTTCTGAGAGCTCAACACATCTGATAGGCGATTGTTGGGTGGCGAAGTGAGCATTTGCGGCGGAAGTGTAGGGCTATCAAGAAGGTCTGCAGGATGAAGGGATGGAGAGTCTGTGATAGATGGCATGGACTGGCTGGCTTGTGAAAGCTTCCGGTGCAGACCTAATGAACGATGGCCTTCAGGTGAGGCTACAGCAGTAGATTGTGTATTTCGCCAACTAGAGTGCCGTGACTGGTAAGGAGTTGCTGCTTCAGCGTCGAGGAGAGACTGGCTTGGGATGTCTGAATCTGGCTCAATATTCTTAGTTCGAGATATTTCCACAGCCCGAGTTGTTTCTTCGGTATGAACATATAGAGCAAGAGCCATGCATTCACCAACGACATCAGCTGCTTCTGTCTTCATCCATCGCTCCTTATCCGAAATTTCAGATTCCAGAGTAAGCGTGAAGAAGTTGGGATGCAACAGGTGGACTTGGCGATATGGTTCAGATCTCTGTCGAATTTCAGCAGGCTCAATATTCAGATCATCGGACCCGGGGAAGTTGGCATGTCTGAGGTATCTTTGTGGCTTTCGAATATAGCTCATGAAATTAATGGGATAGAGGCCATAAAGGAAGGTGAAATAATTTGCAAGTTGTGGTACTGAATCGTCATCAGACTCCAGCAAATACGAGAGCTTATCCCAGGATTTTCCATTCCCCAAGGGTTGTTTTTCTGACATGATAGTTTCGTCTTCTGTCCCTAGCTCTAGCCCTGTCCGTGGCAATATGTCTGCTGCTTGTCGTTCTCGGTCCCAGAAGAGTAAGCGACTGTATATGTTGAACAGTGCAGGAAGGTGGTCTGCGGCTGAGCTTGGTATGTGTGGCAAGAACATAACAAGGGCGGTAATAGCTAGCGAGATGACTCTAGTAGAAGTATCTATCTGCAAACATTGCAATAGATTATCGAATAGTGGTGTTTGTAGAAGTTGGTGAAGGTGGGGAGGTTGGTGTCTGAAGAAGTCGCAAAGAAGGGATAAGGCAGGAATTCTACTACTCTTCTTGACAAAGATTTTGTTGATCAATTGCAAGAAGTCCTAATATTCTTTAGTACCAGTCGCATGAAAATAGTGACAGAATCTAACCTTAGGTCTTTTCTTTCCATATGCATTCAAGATCAATTGTATTTGCTTGACCACAAAGGATGCGTGCGGGTCAAGCTGATCAACCGCAAGATTCCTCTTCTCCAACCACATTGCCAGTAAACTCTCTCCCACAGCATCGCTGGTAGCTTGTGCATCTTCTAGTCGAGAAGCTTCTTCTTCTTCGTCATAGACCAGAGTGTCGCGGAGAGTATTGCTCGCTTCAATCGCCAACAACTTTTCTCTGCCGAGATTCAACATCACTGGTGTAGAAAGCTTGTCCCACCATTGTAGCGATCTACCAGAACCTCGCAAGACAGGCTTCAGACTGTGAAGAACGCGTAAGAACGGAGCTAGACTCGCAGGACGGCCAAGAAACGAAGTTTCGTATATTTCTAGCAATTCTTCTTGTAGGGACTGAGACTCTTGCTCGTCTTGTGGGGAGTGCTTATCGATATACGCGTCCAACACTCTGACAAGCTCGTGTGGAAGAGGAAGAGTAAGATTCGCCGAAACGGCCGTAAGAGCTTTCGATAGGTCTTTCAGCGATCTGCACACATGTTAGCTACATTTGTACGAGTGGGCAAGTTCAAAATTGCACTGACCCTGAAGACATCTTTGCGCTGAGATCGAGTCTGGGATGGTGCTTGTATGTCCTCAAACTGGAGGCTCAGGATTGCGGGGTAGGAAGTTGAGTCGAGGGTTCAGAACGCTGCAACGTATTGGCAACACCTCCTACGAGGATCGCAATACTTTCAACACCCCAGAGCTCTTTGTCAGAGCTACAGATGTAGCATCGGCGTTGAGAGAAAGAGGTGTCGGGGAAAAGAGAAGAGAGTTGTGAAATTGATGAAGCTTTCTGGATCCCTGCAATCGTTATCGGCGATAAAGTCACCGACCGCCTTAAGATTCTGCCAACGACCTACCTACGTAGCTTAGAACGGCTGTCATGTTCCACTCTTCACTTGAGATCATCATAGCAAGTATATAAGACAGCCAGGTAGGAATTTCTTTGGTCACGGCAAACTGATACGGCTTCTCGTCTCTTACTATTCATTTTGACTATTCTTTATTACCTATCCCCATTCAACTTACAAACAGCTTCGTGATTTTCCAACATGGCATTTCAGCAAGCCAGCCACCTCCCTTTGGATGGTAAAGTAGCAATAGTTACAGGTGGAAGTCGAGGTCTTGGAGCAGGTATGGCTCAAGAGTTGGCGATACGAGGAGCAAGTGTAAGAGAGTGAGATTTGTGTTACTGCAAATGACCGCCACTAACTTTAAACCAGGTTATAATCGTCTACACCTCTGAACGAAGTGCTGGTCTTGCAGATAACGTTATCTCGAAGATCACTTCTCTCGAACATAAGCCTCTTGCTACGAGTATACGTGGAGATCTCAGCACAGTCGATGATCCATCGAAAGTAGTAGACTCAGCCCTAGCATGGCTTGAATCGAATGCCAGACCAAAGAACATTCACATCCTTGTCAACAATGCAGGCGTAGAGCTTGTGAAGCCGTTGGGGAAGATTACACCTGAGGATTTCGCCAAAGTCTACGACCTTAATGTTCGAGGAGCATTGCTAATAACGCAAGCCGTTCTACCATACCTTCCTGCTGGTGGACGGATCATTAATATATCCTCCGTGGGTGGCAGAGCAGGATTCAAGGAACTTGGACTATACTGCTCAAGTAAAGCAGCTCTTGAAGGATTAACGAGGTGCTGGGCAGCAGAGTTGGGTAAGAACGGCACAACTGTTAATGCTGTCAATCCTGGACCCGTCCAATCAGACATGCTCGACAATATACCCAAATATATCATCGATGCTCAGAAAGCAGCTACACCAATTGAGAATCGGGTTGGGACGGTGGAAGAGATTGCTATGATTGTTTGCTGGCTCGCGGGTGAGGACAGTAAGTGGGTGACAGGACAGACAATCAGTGCAAGCGGAGGATGGGCTATGTATTGAGATCAGTACAGTACCCGACCATAACCCAATTTCGTTTATGATATCTGGGACAAGATCAAGTGCCACCATTCTTAAATACCAGAGCAGTCGAGATACTCTAGGTTGGACTGCCAAGAATTTCAGAACATGTTTTACTGTTGATCAGAGATCAACTCACATCCCCTGCGGGACACATCAAAGTTTCAGCACTTGTGGGCATGAGCAGTGTTTGAGTCCCAGCGTTGGATTGTCACAAAAAACAAGAGTGCCGGGCAAAATGTCTTGATTTCGATTTCTTAGTTCATCATCATAGCTTCTCTCCTCTCACTCGAGTACGCAGTCAAATCAAATGCTCATCGAACCATTGTACAGCCTGCAAGAAAGCCTTCTCCTTAGCAAATTTCTCATGTTTCTTGCTCACGTCGCAACGGACACTAAAACCATGCACAACGCCCGAGAACAAATTGATTTGGTATGGTTGCTTGGTCTCGACAAGGATGATCTCGGACTTGTGGCGCTTCTCGGCTGGGAAGATCTCATCGGTCTCAGCGGCCGATATGGAAAGTGGTCCGGCGATAGCAGCAAGCTCGTCTTCATCGACGAAACTGTAGTGGAATCAGTTTTGCTTGACAAGATATCAGGGTGAGAGCCTTACGAAGGATGAGCCATGTAGCCAACTTCAATACCCTTTCCCTTTGCCATGAAGCGAGCAACGTACTTGGCGCCCTACACCAAATTAGCTAACAGCTCAGCAAAAACTCAATTATTGTGACACACGAAGCAGTATCCGACAGCTCCAATCTTCTTGTATCCTTGCTCCTGTAAGTACTTGATGGACTTCTCAACGATGGGATCAACAGCCTCATATGTGTGAGGGTTGTTTCCGCCAGTTCCCTTGTTCAACCAAGCCATAAAGTCGAAGCCATCAGGACGATTGAGGGTGAGAGGATCGCCGTTGAAGAGATCAGGCATGAGGGTGAAGTATCCATTAGCGGCATATTGGTCTGCCATCAATTGAGAGTTTTGCCAGATACCGATGACATCAGGAAGGAACAGGATGGCAGTGTCCTTGTGAACGGTCTTGCCTGTAGGCTCGGCGACTATGTTGAGTTAGTTGAATTCTTATACGTGTAGAGTGGGGTGGAAGAGGATTCATCACAAAGATTCAACATACCATAGGCTTCAGTAGAACCAATCTTGATAGACTTGCCAACTGGCTGGCCTCTGTTGCAGAATTAGTCTCAACGAACTTTTCATTCTTGATTGGCAGCTTTCAAGCTCAGCTTGAGCTACAAGGAGTTCACCTACTCATGCTTGACGCCAACTGTGCAGCAAGTGGAGGGAGGGTTTGATGCCATTGTGGAAATCGCGATACAGTTGGACAAAGAGAAAATTGAGAGGAGAATGAAAGTCAATTGAATTCCTCGAGCAAACTTTAACCTACATGAAGTCGTCACTCAGGCTCCAGCGGGGTCGTTGCCGGGGCAGTTTCGAGGTATGCTGACAAACATTGATGTAACAGCCTCGCGGTCAAGGCTGCCTGTAGATCCTCGGCATTTGGACTCGATTCGAAGCAAGCTTGCGATTCGTCCAAGGAATGCGGAAATCTCCGCCTCCACTAGCCCTCTTTGGGCCAGTATGATCTCGACCCAATATTTTTATATTCAGTCAACGGCGGGAGAATTGGCAGCGTGTATCTACATCAACAATGTCGACCCGAGTTGCAAGTCAAGTTGGTCCAAAATTGGGAAGAAAACAGATATTCCTGCAAGTTTAATCCCTCCCAACATCAAATGCGCGCCTCCAAAGGCATTGCTAACAACTATCCCAGACCAAATTTTACCCTCACTCTTCTGCGAACACCAACACAGCCTGCGACTTTCGCATCCTTTATCGTACCCCTGAATTTGAACAAATTGGACCTGCGAGATTATCTATGGAACGCATACGGCATTAGTGTGCGTGGCGTAAGGAGTTACATCCAGCAGCAAAAAGTTCGACAGGATAAACCAGGAGCGAAGAGACCGAAGCCAAGGAAATGGTACAGACCGAGAGCTATCAAGAAAATGATGGTTGAGATGGAAAAGCCTTTTGTGTGGCCTGCTGTGCCGGAGAGTTTCGAAGAGTGAGCCCCCTTACATTCCTTTAGATCTACTGGTGCCAATGATGTCCTACATTCTTGGGAAGAACATGTGTAATTCCGCAAGATTTTCAATTTGCTAACAACAACCGTCTAGTTGGGATAAATCTACATTCGATGCAGCGGCGGAAGGTCGAAAGGAAGAAGAGTCAGTCTACAGATGGGACGCACGAATGCAGGCAAATAAAGAGAGAGGGAGCATAGCAGAACAAGCTAAAGCCCTCCAATCAGGGGAGGATTCTTGGAAACAAACGCCAGTACGTGACGAATGGGAGGATGTTGGCGAAGCTGTTGAGGTCGAGCAGGATGTTCAAGTGCCACCAGTACAACGCTGAGCATAATGATGTACGAATCTGGGAGAATAACTGTAAATTATGTACAATCAGGGACATAGAATGGTGTCATGCGGCGCCAAGGATATCAATTGCCTTCTCCATTTATCCAATGCGTGTCCATTTGGAATTTGAGGGCCTCGTTGCCCCAGCCCCACCATCCAGCAGTCATATTCCGAGCGAAGATCTCCAAGGCTTCATATTTCCTCTTCTGGTTGCGCTGATCAAATAGTGCCTTCAAGTTCGGCTTCCGAGAATGTAAGTCTGGCACTCCAATAAGAACCCTCCTCTTGACAGTTTCGTTATGAGCAATCCCTCTCTTTCCAATGAGCATAATTTCGTATGGTTTCCTCCACGCTGAATCCAATGGACAAATAGGTTCGCCTGTCAATGTAGTCTTCAACCAAATCCACTCTTCTGCCAGAACAATCCCCCATTCTTCAAATAAACCCCCTGGCTGGAGCAGCATATCTTTGAATGCATCTTTGTTTGTTACCCAAACCCCAACAGTGCCATCTTCAGACAGATGGCTTCCTATTGGGATTGAGGATAGCAATTCACGAATCTCAGAGCTTCCATATGAAATTCCGTAAGATTTCTTCCTGCGTGCAGAGCGGTTTGGCCATGGTGGATCCATAATGATCAAGTCAAAATTCGGGGCGCACGATGCGAAAGTGTCTCTTGTTGCAACGACCTCTCCGCAGAGGACAGTTGAATTTGGTGGCATTCTCCCTGTCTCATCTGAATCTGTACTGAACGAACAAAAGGTCTCGCTCTGGTTGCGATATAAAAGTCCACTTTCGAGATTCTTGACCAAACGCACAATCTCGCCATGGATATTGTGGACTGCAGGACCTCCGGCATTCTTCTGATCACTCTCGTGTTCAAAATCTCTGTTCTTCCGCTTCTTGAGACTGATCTCAGAGGATTGGGACAGTACAGCTCGAGACAGACACCATTCTCCGTGGTATTCTGCCTTCAACTCCTCAAGAACAAACTGCAAGTGCTTTGACAGGAACAGAGTATCCAAAGACGTCTCTCCTAGGTTTTCTTTTGCCTTGCGACTCTTCGGCTCGACTGAAGGAAATGGCTTTGTCAGAGGTTCCGACGAAAGCAATCTTCGGCTTGAAGTTGGAGACACCTGAGCAAATTTTATAGAGGAAGGAATATCGATAATTGATATGCTTGCATCAGAATTCTGATATAAAATACAGGAAGCCATACATATTGACAGCAATGAAGTGAACAAATTTACAAGTACTGGACGAAACTTAAAATGCTCATGCGCTGCTACGGAAGGAATGAATGTGATAAAGCAACTAATGAGGTATGCAGCAAAATAAGGATTCTCTTGAAATAATGATACTACTTGAGAAGTGGCTGGAATGCCCCAATTCCAGGAAAATACTGAAAGGTTGAACCCGGATAAAGAGATCTTCGGGACAAAGATCGTTGAGCCGAGACCGCCAGATGACGTTCCCTCGGCAATCCCATCTCGGCGGATATTACACTCAACTTTCACAAAACCTACCCTACGAGCCCTACTCTCTTCACGCCGACTCTATACTACGACGAGATGACTCCCAGATGACACTCGGAGATATCCAAGACAGATAGCAAATTGAAGCCAGTGGGCGGCAAGGAATGCCCTCCGTCCTAATCGACAATGTCCCTCCATCCACGATACTCAAGGACAAACCACGAGAGATGGACGCCGAAGTGCGGAAAAGCAAGAAAGAGCCTGCTGTGTGCCCAACAGATGATGAGACGATAGCACCGAAGGGGAAGAAATATCATAAACAGAGCCTAGAGTATGTTTGGCGGACTGGATTGGCAGGAGGGTTGGCAGGTTGTGCGGTATGTGCTTCTCGAAATACTATATTGAAGTGATTGCTAATATATCCTCTAGGCCAAGACAGTTGTCGCGCCCCTTGATCGAGTCAAGATCCTCTTTCAGGCCTCGAATCCCCAGTATATGAAGTACACTGGAAGCTGGTTTGGTGTGGCGACTGCTATGAAGGACATATACAAAGATGAAGGACCCAGAGGACTCTTTCGAGGACATTCAGCAACTCTCCTTCGAATCTTCCCATATGCTGCAATTAAATTTCTTGCCTACGAGCAAATCCGATCCGTTTTCATCCCGTCTGCAGCACATGAGACACCAATCCGAAGATTACTATCCGGATCCCTCGCAGGCGTCACAAGTGTATTCTTTACTTACCCTCTAGAAGTCATACGAGTCCGCCTTGCATTCGAAACCAAACGTGATTCCCGATCTTCACTCTCAGCAATCTGCAAAAGAATATACAACGAATCACCCCCACCGCCCAGACCAAGCGCGAATACACCGGCGGTGGTTACCATGACTGCTGATGCAGTGGGAGCAGTTACAAGGAGTATTGGGTTATCAAACTTCTACAGAGGATTTAGCGCCACGATTATGGGCATGATACCATACGCCGGGATGTCTTTCCTTACACACGATACTGCTGGCGACGTTTTGCGGCATCCGGCTGTTGCGCGCTATACTACTCTCCCCAAACCCGAGGGTTTTGCACCACATAAACCACCACCTCTCCGATCATGGGCTGAATTATTAGCTGGTGGAATTGCAGGCTTGGTATCCCAGACATCAGCATATCCGCTTGAAGTAATTAGGCGAAGGATGCAAGTTGGAGGTGCCGTGGGTGACGGACACAGATTACATGTTAAAGAAACAGCAAAGTTAATCTTCAGAGAGCGCGGTTTCACTGGATTCTTCGTTGGACTGAGCATTGGGTACGTCAAGATTGTACCAATGGCAGCGGTCAGCTTCTATGTTTATGAGAGAGGGAAGACGTGGTTGGGGATTTAGAGCTTGAACAAGCCTTGGGATCGGCATTGTTGGTATCATGGGTTCAGAGGTACATACACTACATTGAATGGAGTTTGGTTCGATTTCGATCAATGGTGCGTTTATCTTCTGTTTCAGTTTATGTGATATGTCACATGTGATGTTGGACATGAAAGCTCCTCTGCATGTATTGGCGAGAATCTCAAGCCACTTCGACGGAGGGAATGCTTATTGCCTCGGAGCGTACTGCACGCTTCCAAGGCTCAAATATCTCTTTCAGTCCCCAAGTGATCTCTCGTCAGCTTCCACACGATGTTCAGCACACTCTCAGCGACCAGAGAGATCAGCTTGAACAATGGAAGAGTCATGTTCGCAACCCAGTCTCTACTCTGGAATCAATCGATGCTCTCGATCGGACGCCCAGGATATGCCTCTTCACCATTCCAATTCCCTCGCACCCGTGCCACTCGTGTCAAGACTCTCCAAATTCCGGGTCGACAGCGACGTTACTTCTCGGCCACGCATCATCGCTCACGAAACAACACGCAGTCGTCCAATAATTCGACTTCAGCCAAGCTCACCTTGTCGAAGTCTCTCATCCTTCTCGGCCTCGATGTGATACTAATAGAAAGCTATTATTTTCGCGAGTATGTTGAGTATCATATCGCCAAGCTCAGCATAGGTCAGCAAGCGGCTGAAATCAGCAACGTTCCCCATCTCCAGACGATGCTAGGAATAGCTCCCATGCCAGTTTTTATTCATGTCGGCGGCCAATAATTCTTGGTAATTGACAAGGAGGAGCGTTCGCAATCGACAGATGTTCTGGTATTGAGACCCGTAAAGTAGTCAAATGAACCCAAATATCGACGAAAAGGGGATCTGTACGAATGTTATTGGGCTAGGGGGCCATGGAGAGTCGAGTTTGAGCATCCTGTTACCAGATTCAAGATATTCCTCCCTGCTTGCAAGTCAAAGGCTCGAGATTCAGTTGGAGATTTGAGGATCGAGGTCCCGAAGGAATGGGGAGAAGGAAATGAAGGAGATGGATCTTTGGAAGTATTCAAGGGGAGCCTGAATGCTGGGGACGTGGTCAAGCTTCGTGGGCCGATTAGGAAGTAACGATGGTGTTACACATAATCTCCTCTCGATTTGTTTCTATCGATCGAAAGGGCTTTTGGTGGTTGATGTTTTCCTTTGCGGTGGGTTCTGCATATTTTTGTCAGTCCTCAGAAGCCACATTCCTGCAAGGCGTCAGCGAGGGCCAATTCGGTGATTCCAACATTAAAGATCCCATCTCCCCTTTGCTGCATTTCAGACCGGAGATCCGTCGAATCGCAGAGTGCTTCATGTACATCCTACATCTCAGTGAATATCTTGAGTGCGTATTGACTTCTGTGCAGCATTACTCTTCCACTTTAGCGCCTACGCATACCGCACGATGTGGAAAACTGCAAGAGCAGGGGTGAATGGCCAGACTATGAGACCGACACTAGCGGCTACGAGACTACTTGTTCGACATCAACCTAAATCTTGTGCGCCGGCATCCAATTTGTGATTGTCAGTTCTGAAGTACGAGCATCGCTTTAGGAATTTGCAACAGCCACTTGGTTCGCTTCGCAGCTTCTCGGTTTCCCGTCGCCCGCTTCAATATCCAACATATTTCAGTACGCCAAATGCAAAAAAGATCCGCTGGGCATGGTTCAGAATAGTGAAAAGGTTGTTCACGGGAATTGGGATGTTCACTGGATTCGTTTGCTTCGTCGAGATTGGACCTCTTCCCTTGGATGTCAAGTATCTACTTAACGAGTTCATGTTCGACACATCGACAGCGGATTGTCTGAACGTCTTGCCTTGGAGAATGGGATCTCAACGGGAACCTGGTGTTGTTTTTCAAGTCAAGGGGCCAACTACTTTTATCCTGATCCGCAAAGACGAGCCGCCAGCAGAGGGATTCTCATCCCCATCAGGAGGAGTGTTGCCCGTATCCGTTGTTCTCACATTAAGACCGATGGAGTGGCTCAGGGTGCCTGGGAGACTAGGCAAGGTTGCTAATCCTTACGAACGGCATAGTAAAAGGGGAAGCTGGGAGGTAGAGATCACAAATCCGAAGGGGCCAAAGAGAAGATATGCCCCTATTGACGTGGCTCCCGAGGACGTACCGGGAGACTTGAAGATCCGAGTTCAGAAAGAACCATCCGACGGCGATGAGATTGGGAGGTATCTCAATAACCTGAGAGATGGAGATATAGTCATGGTAACAGGGCCAATAAGGGAGGAAAAGAATGTAGCAAAGACCTAGAGATGGCCTCCTCCATATGTGAACCCAACCCCCTCGCTTTGGTTCAAAGGTTGGGCTGCTGCTGGTAGCTCTACAGGAAATTGAGTTAGCTCTATCTGGGCAGTCCTCAAAAGCCACATTCCTACTAGGGGTACTCGTGCCAATTTCCGTGCCCCTCTATTTTTTCAGCTTTTCAGATTCATCACGTCGGAACTTTGATTCTTAGATACATCCTCGTGATTGCACTTAATTTTTCTCCAATCCAAGCGCGCTGCGCACTTCACTATGAACAGACCGAACGTTCCCTAACAGAGTTCCGCAACGATCAAATTCAGGTACTTGCCAACACGTTCATGCCATGTTTTGCACACAGAAGCTGACTCTTTCAGTGTTTAGCCATTTTTAAAAAGCGCCATCTCGGGATCAAAAATAAATCCTCTACAAATATCACGCGATGTGGAGAATATGTGAAGCTTGGAGAAAGGTTCAGAAGCTGAGAAGGATACTGGTCGCGCCGAAACCATTTATTCGACACCCAACTTCATTCGTCATGGGATATTCGAGGCTATCGACTCTTGATGTGAAAGCTGGAAGAGCAGTTAGCCGCACCCACGGTCGAATATTGTCGCAGTCTCGCTGTAGTTTCTCAACCTTCAAGCGCCTCCTTGAACATTCGAAACCAAAGACGGAATTCGATCCTCTGAACGGAAAAATGGACGTAGATACTGTCTAATAACAGTATACATGGCCCTGATGGAGGGCTGCGCTGTATGGCGCTTTTATAATGGCAGGAATTCTGCTTCTCTTGCCTTTACCTGAGCATGAAAAGTATCGCTCGCAAGAGGCTTTGTTCGGACGCAATTATGCAAACTGGGCATGATTCTCAATACTCAAGATTTACATGAGCAAAGAATCTATCTTTGAATGAGCGTTTAATCTCGTCTTCGTCTCAACGCACTTCGATGGACAGATTATCTGGCCTTGCGTCATGGCTCTTCTGAACTGAATCGGTTCGAATGCCTGCAATTGTCTCGTCGTCTTTGTTCAACTTTCTCTGAGACTATGAGTCCCTCGACGAAATGAATCTTCTATACACCTACGACACCTTGGTTTACAGCACCACACTTTGGACTCTATGATCTTTCAGAAGAATTGACATTCCATGTTAACCAGTCATGCGCACCGTCCAACCTATGTCAGAAGAGTTTCTAACTTACCAATCTTGCCACAAAGTGCTTGCTTCGCCCAAAAGTCAACTGCCTGTCGTATCTTTCAACTTCCTCTCGGTATGGCTTTCTACTTTTCAGATCTGTCCTCGTGAGCTCATGATTCCCAAGGAGCGATGGTCTCGTGATCTGGCTCTGAGGGCCGAAATCCGAAAACCAACAACGAGGAGAAGCCTTTTCAAACCTCTCCAACACAATTAAACCCCTGACGCCAATCCCAGCCAAGCTTTATGATCTTCGATCTCATGCGTTCATATTTCCAAGTGACATGAACGATTCAGTGTGGGCGAAATATGATCCGTGCAATTAAACTTTTGTCACAAGTCTATCCAGTTACTCGAAGTTCAATTTTCGCGGTGATACTTCATTCCGGATCTACCACACCCATTCAGACTTTCATAATTCTCGATTTGAGCATCAGTTGCACCTTTGAATGACATGTCGGAACTCTCCAGCCAAGTTGCAATGGCATACGTGCACTGCATTAAACTTGTGCACACGGGGTCTATGGATTATGCGATATCCCTAAGTACCTAAACACCAAACGTTATATCGGAGAGCTCGTGGTAACGAATGCTTTATGACCATGGCCACCAGTTCGAACATCTATACTGCGTGGATACCAGTTTCAAGCTTACAATCAAGGTTACTTGGGGCGGTGGGGCATGAGATGCTTAATCTCAAGTCAAACCCAACGATGGGATTTGGATCACAACTTTGAAGTATGAAATCTGGTACCGCATATAGACCGCGATTCTCAGACACGACTGAAATACGTTCCATGTTTTCGGAGCACGGCTCACAATTCATCCATTTTATCCAAGAAGTTGGGGGCAGGAGAAGGCGAACCGGTTACACAGATCGATCCAGTCATGTACATCCAACGACTCGGTACCGAATATCGAAGCGTTTATGGTCTGCTCAAAGCAAGGCGTTACAACAATGCCAGAATCTTATGGTATACACAGCCACGATAACGTCGAGGAGGTAGACAGTGCTTCATGTCTTGGCACGTTGTTTGTTCAATAAGCGATGCAGGAGTTCCCAACGCATTTCCAATATTGATGGAAGTTTCTCACATCGGTCTTACATCATTCATGCTTCGCCGCAAATGTTCCTTTCCCCACGAAGAACTTTACCAAACTTCTAGCTTCTGATTTCATAGATTCACAAGGGTCGTCATGCGCACAGATTGTGGGGTAGCGGCATTCGTTCTGTTAAGTCACATCTCATTGTTCAAGGCATGAATGTCCAAGGACATCCTGACATCTTATCCTCATCTGATAAATATCCTTTCCTGCAACCAGCCTCATGCAAATCAAACATCCGAGGCCACGTTCTCGATGGAAGAGATCGTCGAGGAGTTGTGAGGAACTGCTTCGATGCTTGGACGTAAGATTATTCTCCGTCCTGACAGCGGGATGGGAGGACTCTTTAACTTAATCTTCTTCAGCCGCTAACAAAAGGCGTATCGTACGATTCTGGCAGATAGAGCCTTCAAACCCGCAAGAAATTATTTTCGCAAGTCGCAACAGATGGGAAGCCCGGACGGGTCTCCCACCGAGGCTTAAGATGAAGAGGCCGCGTCGCCTGTTATGCCCTGCTTCTCGGATGAAGCATGAAAACATCAGATGGGATGACGACCACGAGCAGAATAGAGACGATGCGGGGTTTCGTATTCGAGCTTCGAGGTTGGACGGCCAGACCGCCAAAATAGCGATTTTTCAGCGCTTGTTCTGACTTTCCTGTCGTCTCTCCCTTGTCTAATCTGATCGCTTACCCCTGAAGCGATCACGTGGTCGTCTCAGGGCAGGCCTGTGGCACATCCTCGCCTACCAACCTCAAACGGTTTGAGACGACCTCCGTCCCATGAAATCCCCGGCCATCTGATAATTTGCATCGCCAAGCCTTGAGATGTTATGCCACCAATTGAGAGGTCGAAAGGAGACGAGGAAGAGCGATCTTTGCGATCATCATTCACGGATCGTCTCTCATCCCAGACACTCGGGCGGTCTAACGGTGTGCACCAGCTTCATCTGGACATCCCTACACCGTCTGATACCACGCATCTAATCTCACCAGTGTCAACGGGCCGGGGTGCATTGCATCATCTCAAATTGTTACCTCGTCAACGGCCCCCATATCATCTATGCTTAACCAATCGGTGGATCCTCCGAGCGCGCTGAGAGGGCTCTAGCCGCGCTCAAGCATATGTCGACCGCAACTTGCGACTCAGACCTGGACCGTCGTTAGGCCTGGCGGCTGCACACCGGATGGACTGAGAGGAGTTCGTCCTAGAGGAACGCCATGTTCTCCAGTATGATCTCCCTTGCATCAATTCAAGTCGAATGCGAAGGGGCGACAGAAGTGGAAGTCCATGCCGGGCTACCGTTTGATCCAATTTTCAGAGGAAATGATGGTTTCGCGGAACATTCAAGCTATAAGAGACCTTCGTCCACTTTTGCATTGCTGTTTCTCTCTTTCCTCATCGCATCTTCAGTCTTTCTTTCGGTTCACTATACATTCTTTCAGTCCCCAGTTCTGTGAACTTTGTCCTTCTACACATTCCTTATTGCTCTATTCAACAATCTTAGGCCGGCCCTTCTTTTATAACTGTCTATACTTTATATCACATCTACAGTCACTCCCTTACGACCGCCATCATGAAGTACGAGACCGCAACCCTCCTCATTGCCTTTTTTGGCCTCACCTCGGCAGCTCCTATGCCAGCGCCTAAGAATGTCTTCTCCATTCCCCGCGCCATGCTCAGAGGCCGTGAGGTTCCTCAAGAGCACTCCCACAACCGATTCCTCGATGGTGTCCGTGTCAACTTGAACATCAACAACCCAGCAGGCATCCAAGATCCCGTTTTTGGTCTTCTCGGTAACGCCGCTGCCGCTGCTGGTGCAGGAACCATCACCAACTTGGACTGTCTTCACCAAGCTACCGCCGATCAAGCTTTCACCAACGCCAAGGCTGCTGGAAATGTCACTGGTCAAGCAGATGCTTTGATGTATGCTGCTTTGGAGAGAAACACTGGATCCGTTGGACTCGCTAGTGTTATCTGCAACGAGACTGCTGTCAACCCGGAGATTGAGGCTGTGCAACAACATCAAGATCCTGCTTCTTCCGGAGCCGCCGCTGGCAACAAGGCTGTTGTTCTTGCTCTCGCCCAGCAACTCGCTTCCATTGGAGCTGATCCCCAAGAAGCTCTTCTCTCTGGTACCTTTGCACCAGGAAACGTAAGCATACAGTTCCCAACTTTTGAACCTTACTGACAATATTAGCTTGACGACAACACTGGTAAAGGAAACACCTGTGACGTTGCAGATGATGTTGAAGGATGTATCTTCTCCCAGAACCTGCTCGTCGATGATGCCACTGCTGCCGAAATCACTGCCGCCGTTGCCAACATCGCCGTCTCCAGCTCTTCCAGTGCTTCCAGCGCTTCCAACTCCACTGCATCCGCCGCCGGCGTAGCTACTTCAGCCGCTGCTGAAGCCTCAGCTTGCCCTGCCGCCGATTCTTCGGCCACTGCTGACTCTGCTGCAAGCGCCACAGCCGCCACTGCTGCCGGAAGTAAGTCCTTCACATCCAAATATATAGATATAAACTAACACATCCAAGCCAACGTCCAAACCTTCACCGGAACTCTCGGTGGAGCCGCCCCCGCAGTCGTCTCCTCCACCGGAGAACGCCCATTCACCGTCAACGGCAACACCTTCGTCGGCGAAGGCGCTGCTCTCCAACGCTCATGCTCCATCCAAAACACCAACTGCGCCAACGCCGCCAACTCCGGTTCCCTCGCCGGAACTTCAGTTGCTGACTGCGTATGCCTTACCCTTTCCCAAATCTCCAGATAAGTACTGACAAGTACAACAGAATGCCCAAGAAGCTCAATGCAACGCCGCCGCATCCACAAAGATAAAGCGCGCTGCCCTCGACTTCGGCACTTGCTCCGACCCCGCCATCGAATTCGCCGTTGGCCTCGACGGCCGTACCCAAGCTTCCTTCCAGGCCGTCAACCAGGATGACTTCAACCACGGCTCCGCATTGAACATCGGCGTCATCGCTTCTTTCATCTGCGGTCAACTTTCCTCCAGCTGCAAAGCGGGCGCTGATGCCATTTCCGCCTGCACCGCTGCTCAAACCGCTGCTGGTACGTTCCCCTTCCCCTTCCCCCTTCCTCCCAATCTCCAAAATTAGACTAACACCCCCAAGCCGCAGCCACAGGCCAAGCAGCAGCCGACGCCTTCAACTCCGCGCTCGGCGTCTCCGCCGCAAAACTCAAATTCACCCGCCGCGCCGCCGCCTCCGCCAACGTACAAACCTTCACCGGCACCCTGGGCGGCGCAGCCCCCGCTGTCGTGGAGTCCTCTGGCGACCGTCCCTTCGCTGTTGATGGCGCGACGTTCGTCAACAAAGCGGCGGCGCTGCAGAGATCGTGCTCCGTGCAGAATACTGCGTGTTCCAATGCCGCGAACTCGGGGAGTTTGGCCGGGACCAGTGTGAGTGATTGTAATGCGCAGGAGGCGGCTTGTAATGCTGCTGCTGCGTAAGTAAGGTTTGAGTTTCGAGTTGGAGGTTTTCTGGAATTTTTGGTTTGGGTGAGTGAGTAAGTGAGTGAGTGAGTGGTTACTGGATGACATGTATAGGGGGCGATATCTTGTAAGGGGAGGGAGGGGAGGATTGAGGATTTTAGCGGTAGATGGGCGGGTGACGGTTGCCCTTTTAATTGATAGGCGTTTCGAGAGATCTTTTTGATTTGATGGTGGGGAGAGAGAGCATTGAGGAGCGAGATTTGTACAATAGTGTACAGTACAGTACGTATGAGACGAGAACACGAATAACGGTCTGTTCACTGATTATTTGTTTTGTTCTTGTGTTGTTGAGATGGTTTGTATTGATTTTTCCCCCTGGTGAGTTGGTTCTTTTCGTACATCGATGTTTGGTGAGGACTCTGGGTCTTCCATCGTGGGATGGTGGCCAATAATTCCCTAGAGGATCATCTTTCTTCAGACAAACCCCTCGCTGAGTCTCATGCTGTGTTCCTAGATGACACGTCGTACACAGATTCTTCGCCGTGGAACTGGTCATTTCACTCTGCCTCGAAAAACGGCGCGAAGTCGCATTTCGCGCATTTTGCGCTATTCGCGCTAAATTCTCGAAGCTCTCGAGGAAATGTCCACGCGAAATATTTATGGTGCTGTCGCACTTCCTGACGGCTTTTGAGAAATTGATACTTCCAGCCTGTGAAAAATGCTCAGCCTATCCCCAAGAATTCGTTCGTTTTGTTGTTCCAGAGTCTCGTCCATGATCTATCACCAAGTAAGCGTGACATCCGGTAACACAACCCTTTCCTCATGCCCCTCCACCAACTTCGAACACCGAAGCACAGCTTTCCTCTCCTTCAACACAAAATCATTCTTCACAATCCGCAACCTCGCCGTTTCCGGCACCCTCCCATCCACCATCCCCTCCTCTTCCTTCTCCATCAACCACCCAGCCACTCTTGCCGCCATCAAACTATCCCAAAGCCCCTCCCTCCTCGGATGCTTCAGTAACAGCGCAATCGCCTCTCTCCGCACCCCCGGCTCCCTACACCTCGTCCCAACCAAAAATAAACTCAACACCAAATTAACATCCATCCCAAAAACCGCCTGTCCGGTCGGAACCTCACTAAAGTCCTCCAACACCTCCCTCACCAACCTCACCACCGTCCTATAATCATCCAAATAGGTATCCGCGTAGGTATCGCTCGTCTCCGCCTTCCTCGAGATCGCGAATCTGGAGGGTAGGTACCGAACCATCATCATATTCGCCCCGATGAACATCTTGCTCCCTGGCGCCTTTCTACTTTCTTCGAATAAGGGCAAGAACGCGTCGTACCATAACGCGGTGACTTCTTCGTACGCTTCGAGTTCCCGCTCAATCCTATCCGCGAACTCTGGATCCTTGAAATTCTCACTCGTGTTGTTCTCCCCGAAATCAAGAGTGGAGATTTGTTCCGTGGCAGCTGCATGTTGCACGATATGCCATTGCTGCACTCTCCTCACAATCAGGTCCCAAAAGAATCGCGATTCGGTCACGGACTCGAATTTAGTGGGGATGGCGGGGTATGATGTACTTAAGGGTCGGTTCTTGACTGAATCTCCCCTGAACTGCATGACTTGGAAATCGAGACGGGTGAATGCGCCTAGGAGGTCATCGTCGATGAATTTTGAGCGTCGGCTGACTTGGCGAGCGGATACCATGTCGTCTTCTTTGTGACAACTATCTTCGGTGGCACAGTTGAACGACCAATGGATCAGAACATCAATTCCGGCTTGGGCCTGTGTGAGGGCGTCTTCTTGGTTGCCGATGTAGGATTCGAAGCATGTTGTTAGGAGACAGGAAATCAGGGTGTCGCGGAGGCGGTACTCGCTCATTTCTCGTTGGGCGACTTGACGCATGTATTGGAGTGCGGTGCCGTATTGTTTGAGAGCGAAGGTGTGGTGAGTTTTAATGGCTTTGGCATCTTGATTGGGATCGTTGGACAGTTCGAGAGTGCGGTGCAATGCACCTATGGCTACGACTGCGTGCCAAGCGTAGAGTTCATCGTGACAAGATCGAAGGATAAGCCGATTCCAGATTTTGGATTCGAAGAATCCCGTGAGTTCGGGGGCGGTCTTTGTTTGGAAGACATTGAAGTATCGACGTTCCTCTTGGATGTGAAACCGAGGATGAGAAGAAGGCTCAATGAGCAGGATGTCAGTCGATTCCAACCTTTTGGGAATTACCCTTTTAGGTGCTATATGCACGGGACTCTTTGGTAGGAGAGGTTGTGAAGGAACGGTACGTTTTGGGAAGACTTGGAATCCTTCACAGTCCCATCCAGATTTTGTACATCGAAGACAAAACGGTCTCGTTTCATCGCATTTCACACGTCGAAGCCTGTACCAGAAGGTGTCAATCTTGATTTGTCGTCATGACATGCGGCACGGATTTCAGATCCATATATTAAAGACCACTCACTTGCCTATAGAAATGATTGTCAGCGATTAGTCTCCACGCTACAAGCCGCACTCACATGTTCGACATCCTGATCTGGTCTTTGGTTTGCTAGCTCTCCCGCGCTTTGGAGGTTCAGCCATATTGCTGTCATCGAGGGGCACAAATATCCTTTGATAAGCCGAGGCCCATTAAACACATCTTGAAATCTAGAAAAATGACGGTACAGTAGAGATAGCAGCGACGCTGCACACAAGCTTGAGGCCCTGGCCCCGCACTTAACGAGTAAGCAACAGTGGTTGACACTACTCTCTACGCACGGACCAAAAACACCGAAATTAAATTTTCGCGATCAACAATAATATCAACAATACACATCACTTAACAGAATGGCACCACCAACGCGATCCAATCCCTTCAAGACTCCGTCCCCCGAACCCCTTGCCAATAAAGAAGCTACGACTACAAGGAAGTGTCGATATTTTGACGCAATGCGGCGTGATCGTGGTGTCCGCTCTAGGAGAGCTATAGCAGCCGATTGCGGCATTACAGAGGGTACTGCAAGAAATTGGGACCGTAAATATAAGGAAATAGGTTCTTTGGCACTGCGACGCACTCGGCTACGATCTGCCATCCTTGGCCACAAGTCTAAAGTCACTAAATCGATGTGCAAGCTCTTGGTGTCCCCCTCTCGAAACCCTGTCAGAAAACAACCTTATGAGGTGCAGATTCAGTACCATAATCTGCCTGTTGGGAAGCGCCAATTGCAGCGGATGATGAAGCGGAATACCAAGGGAGGTGGCAGGTACAAATGCGCCTTTGTTAAGAAGCAGATCTCTCCTAAGAATAAGGAGGAGAGGGAGAAGTACGGCCACGATCACAAAAAGGAACCTCTACATGGATTTTGGGACCATATCGTCTTTACAGATAAAGCACATGTTGATCCTACATCACAAGCTCAAGGAATGATCACTAGAGAGCGTGGGAAGCGTGATGCGCCTGAAAATATTAAAGAGAGACCTCCTCTCAAAGGAGTACGCTTTCATGTTGCAGGCTGGATCTCTTAGTACGGCAAAGCAGAGAAGTTGGAGTTCTATAACGATGAGGAGGACAAAATTGAGCATCCTCCACCTCCTCCCAAACCTAAGCGACGCCCTACAACAGAGACAGAAGAGGAGTATAAGCATAGAATCAAAGAATGGGAAGCTTTGATGCCACATGCAAGAGAGGTCAAAGTACAAGGCAATTCTATGACCCAGAAGTACTATGTGGACCGTCTACTACCTATCTACTGTCAAGCCATCGAGTCTATGCGCCATATCGATGATAAACCATGGCTATTGCAAGAGGATAGCGATCCCTCTCATAGCATGCGCAAAAAGGAGTTAGCACAAGAGTATAAGAGTGCCCACAATATCCAAAACCTTGTCCATCCTGCCCAAAGCCCTGATCTCAATCCCATTAAAGCTATTTGGAGCATTATAAAGCAAAGATTGAGGCGTAGGTTATTTGATTCTGAGGAGGATATGAAGATAGGTATTCAGGAGGAATGGGACAAAATTACCTTAAAGCAAATACGGGAGCGTATTGCTGATATGCCCAGAAGATGCGCAGAGGTTGGAAGGTGCGGTGGGAAGCCTATTAGGGGCAACAAATGGTAGATTGTAGAGTTACTATAATGTATTATTATTTTTGTTGTCTTCATGATTTTGGTGTTTTTGGTCCGTGCGTAGAGAGTAGTGTCAACCACTGTTGTTTTGACCTTGCCCGAAACGGATGCATCCGGTCTTCACCCCCAACTTTGGTGATGCGCGGCGCAGCAAAATGGATAACAAAAGTCTAGAACCTCATTTTTTCTCATCCAATGATGTTTCTGTGAGCATTGGCATTTCTCACTCAGAGAGAGGCTGACATCATTAAACCTGAAATGGCTAGTTCAGATCTTCACGATGTCAATTCAGATTCGAAACTTGAAAGATCGGACGAAATCTCGAATTGAACATATCGTGTTCGGACAATGGATTCTTTCTTTTCTCCGCAGCCTTATATCATGACGGGATGGAGAGAAGAAGAAGACGGGTTAATATTGAAGTATCATTCGTTGCTCGGAGTATGGCACGGTGGTTGGAGAAATCATGAATGGCGAAGACTTCGAGGCAATAAAGATGGCGCGGGCTGTGGATGATATACGAAGATGTCAGGAAAGTCCGGTTGCGGCGAAGCATTCCCAATCCCGTTTCGACTACCAATGAGAAACAGTTTGAGGCAACCAACAACAACCTCAGGCTATATTTTCTGGACCTCTTTTCTCCATTCTCAAAGCATCTCACAACTTCATACCTAGGTAGCTTTGCCTTGCTCTCAATCACCTAAATCAGAATGGAGCTCGAGATCTCTCACTATCGACCTTCGACATCCCTGATCTTCATCCTTCTCGGGACCCTTGTCTCGATCTGGATCGTGAGGATATACAGATACAGAGCTTCTTACCACAGCGTCGTAAGTACATCACCCCGCTTCTACATCAATATACCGGCGATACCTTCCAGCATGGCTCCCTCAAAGCACCTCCCTTCAGCATGTGGCTCGGCAGTATGCCCGCCACAGGAGACATCTACAAGAACAGCCCCATGAACACGCACCCCATGTGCACCATGACCCTCCTCTCCCGCAAGCACAACCTAGACGGCATCTACTACCTCGACACCTGGCCCATCTCCGACATGCGTCAACTCTGCGTCACCGATCCGGTACCTCTCCTTTCTTTCCCCTCAAAGCCTCACTGACGAAGAAAAAAGGAAGTAGCCGCCCAAGCAGTACAAAAGTTCAACCTCCCAAAATACCACATCTACCCCCAAATGATATCCCACATCACAGGCAAAACAAGCATGCTCCTCCTCCACGGCTCCGCCTGGAAGAGAACCCGCGCCCCATTCAACCCCGGCTTCAGCGCCGCCCATCTCACGACCCTAATCCCCATGATCGTCGACGATTGTTTAATCTTCCACTCCACGCTCAGCTCCCTCGCTGGCACAGGAGAACTGACGCAGATCGAGGACCCGTTAACCAGACTCACGATCGATATCATGGGTCACGTTATCATGGACCACGATCTCAACAGCCAAATCAGCGAGAATGAACTAGTGAACTCCTTCAGAGCAGCGGTGGAGCATACACCGAACGCGATGCTGGTTAACCCTATCTTGAACTGGGATCCGAACCGGATGTTCTGGCACTGGTACTGTTCACGCAAGATGAACAATTACCTGAAGAAAGTGCTGCAAGACAGGATGAAGCTGCGCGCGGAGGGGACTGTGGAGCTTAAGCGGAAACCGGCCATCGATTTGGCGATCGATGAGTATGGTGGGGAGAAAGTCGACGAGGAGTTTATGCAAGTGGCTATTGACCAGATGAAGACGTTCCTGTTTGCCGGGCACGATACGTCTAGTAGCACTATGTCTTACATCTACTACCTGCTTAGCTTGCACCCCGAGGAGCTGGCATGAGTACGACAAGAACACGACGAGGTTTTCGGGGACATTGGATCTACGGCTGAGAAACTGAAAACCGATTCTAAACTCTTGAACGAGCTTCCCTACACCACAGCAGTCATCAAAGGTAAGTCTTTACTTTCTCTCTTCCCCCCCTTAGAACTTATCCTTCAAAAGTACGAAACTAACAAACCCAAGAAACCCTCCGCCTCTACACCCCCGCCTCCACCGCGCGCCAAGGCTCCCCCGGCCTGACACTAACTTACAACGGCACCACGCACCCAACAGCCAACACCATGGTCTGGATAAACAACCACACCATGCACCGCTCCGCCTCCCTCTTTCCGCTCTCCGACTCCTTTCTCCCCGCTCGCTTCCTCCCTCCCTCCCATCCATCCTTCCATTTATCCCCTCAATCCTCTATCCCAAAAGACGCCTACCGAGCCTTCGAAAAAGGACCGCGCGCTTGCATCGGCCAAGAACTCGCTATGCTGGAAATGAAGATCATCATGGCTCTCACGATCCGGGAATTTGACATCACCGCTTGCTACGAGGAATGGGACAGGAAGCTAGGACGAGAGAAGCCGGGGGAGATGTTGGATGGGAAGAGGGGCATGTTTGGACATAGGGCGTTTCAGGAGATGAAGGCTACTGCGAAGCCGGTGGATGGGATGCCTGTTAGGGTTTCTCTTGCGGGTAGTCACAAGGTATAGATAGATTAGCGGTAGGAAATTTGAATCAGTTTGCGATGTCCTTGAATCGGACGGAGTTTCATTGCTCAAGAAGAGCCAGCAAAGCAAAGGGGTATCTCAAACATAATCTCCCAACTCCGAACGGAAAAGCAAAGCCCAGTAAACTCCCCCTCAGAAATACGGATCGTGATTGTCGTCCCGCTCCTCCCGGAGACGGGCGCGCCAGGCGCAATACTCGAAGGAGTCGAAGAGCAGACAGAAGAAATGTACTATGCTGTTTTGGACATTATTAGCTCTGGACTTTCCTTCTCAATCCTAAAATACCCATTCCGCGCTAGCCTTTTTCGGAACGAAAATAGGAGGAAAACTCACACCAGCAAAACAACAACCCAAATCTCCCCGTACCGAACTCCCTCCAAAGGACCAACACCCTGGGCAATGAGAGCCCCACCAGCACCGACGGCGGACAGAACGGCAATGACGTCGCAGGCGACGAACATTGCGGGCGGGAAGCGAGGGGTCGGGAGGCCAGCGAAGTGGAGGAGGAGCACGCGAAGCTCCATGGAGGAGATGAGGAAGGTGGCGGAGGACTGTTTAGAGGTTGTTAGTTAGCTTGTACGTCTTTGGGAGAGGGCTGGTGGAGGTTTGAATTGGGGATTTGGGAGTTGGGAGGAAAGAAATAAGGTTGGACAAGGTTGTATTGTGCAGTTGATATGGTTGTGAGATATATGATTCTGATAACAGATCTTTTCTTGCACGTCCTCTAAACAGCCATTCTCCTGCTGCAAAGTGAGGTATAACAGATCCAGAAAGATATAGCTTTGCTAAAGTAGATATTCTCTGGGAATATGACAGCATCTGGGAGGACTCTGTAGGGTGGAAAGGATCATAATCCGTGGAGGAGCAAATAGCCTCTGGGGAGAGGGGCTTCGACAGCGCGAAAAGGGATATCAACAGTACAGTGAACAATGGAGCTTACCAGAGCAAAGACAACAACCTGAGCCGGTTGGCCCAGGGCAACGAAGGCAACCCCGAGCGAAATTGCTGCGAGGGAAAGGAGGACGGAGACGGCACGGAGGAAGAGCTGCGCGAGCAGAAGGAATCTCTGTTGGGAAGGCATTGTTGGTAGCTCGTACAATGGTATCGAGAGAGTTTGTGTAGTTGTGAGTGGTCTTGGAGCTGCTGAAGCTTTTGGTGAAGATGGTGGTGGTAGTGGTAGTTGTTGTTCTTGTTCGATCTGAATGTTGTCGCGGGGCCAAGTATCGAGTGAGTAAACAAGCTAGATCGTAGCTAAAAGCGAGATCGCGACCAAAAGCGAGATCGTAGGCAAACTACCATCAACTTTACACAACGCCTCAACGATTTCCGAACTTTCCTTACTCGAAGCTCGTGGAGCACCGGGACCGATACTATATTTCCAAATACTTTGGATAAATGTTCCAGACTTCGCCGCAATATAGTCTCTCGGTACCCAATGATCTCCCGTGCTTCAACACGGCTTTGGAACAACGATAGCCTTGTAATCCACTTGCATTGTCAAATAGGAGACGGACAATTCTTGCATGTGCTGGCCTCACCGACTCGGTAACTCAACGCAGCCCTAATAGATCATTGATTCCCGCACCCTGATTCATTCGCTTCAAGTGAAGATCGTTCAGGGGGCAACTTTAAGGTTGCACGGCATGAAATAAGCGACAGATAGACGAGTTCTGAGAATTGACTGGCCTTCTCGAGTGAGATTCTGCAGGGCTTAGGCATCATTATCCAAGATTGGAGCAGCATCTCTATAGCATCTGACTTCGGCAGGTGATATCCACTTCGGAGATGTGAAATGGTAAGTCCAAAAGCTGGTACATCGATGTGTTTATGTGGATAGCGAGTAGAGAAGAGTTGAAATGGCAGAATGCAAAGAGAAGCAACAGCATTGATATCCTCAGACAATGCGCTGCAAGTGCCGATGGTTGGACGTGGAGGTGGCGTAATCATACACAAAGGAAGGCCGAAAGGCGTGAAGTAGAGGGCTTTTCGATCAGACGAAATGGAGCTTCGAAGTCAAGCTCAAAATCAAGTGCATATTTGCACGATGGTTGATCAAGAAGTAATCGTGTTCCACTTGAGTTAGACTTATCAGAGGCCAAGAACGTTCCAAAAGGGATCAGCTGAGAGCTCTGCTAGAGCCTCGGACGTTGAGACCAATCTTTGACTTATGTTGCCATCTAACCCTTGAGTCGTACGAGGTGTGTTGGAAAAAGGCTATAAACATCTTTTTGGAGTGCGAGCATTTGCTGCTAGCCGACCATGAGTTGCTGCTCCATTAGCGAGAGATTTTGAGACTATAGCGCCTAATTAGCTATTTTTGTTGGAAAAAGGTTGTAAATATATTCTCGGAGCGAGCCCCGCACTCCGAGAATATATTTATAGCTTTCTTTTAACAGAAATAGCTAGTCAGGCGCTGTAGTCTCAAAATCCCTCGCTGTATAAGCAGCAACTCATAGTTTATTAGCAGCAAATGCTCGCACTCCAAGAAAATGTTTACAGCCTTTTTCCAACACAAATGGCTAGTCAGGCGCTGCAGTCTCAAAATCTCTCGCTGATGGAGCAGCAACTCATGGTCGGCCAGCAGCAAATGCCACATGCTCTACCGCAAGTCCACCTTCCAGACTGGTCTGATTACCGACCTGTTCAGGCGACGAGCAATATCTACCCATTTGCCCACCAAGGGGAACAAGAGACCGGACATTTTGATCCTCCTCGATCATAAGGTGTGGCATGAAGAGGGGGGGCGCCCGCCGGGACTGGGATCCTTCCTCTATGACCGCGAGTAGCGGAGGGGAAGAAAGTGCCCGGCGGCTTCGACTTGGTCCCTTGTGCTCGTTCCATTTGTTCTTTCTTTGCCAGCGGAGATATCTCGCCAGGTGCTAAGCCCTTGCCAGTCACTACTTTGCTGCTATCTTCGAGCTCATGCCAAGTACCAAGCAAGTGAGCTGTATGACTGGAATGTCAAGCTCTTGACCTTCAGACGGTCTATCATTGAGCGCTGGCCAAGCTTCTGACGAATAACAATTGTTGTATTTTGCTCTGCCTCTGCCTCTGACAAGCGTTCACCAAACCACAGAGGCCCTCCCTGAGATAGGCGAGAACACAGTCGGCCACTGAGGATGGAAAATTATGCGTGTTCAACGAGGCCGTGAAGCAGGCGAGAAGTATCTCCATTCATTGCAGAGCTGCTCCTGAGCTGCCCAGTTCGTTCAAGGGAGTGTTTGCCAAGCCCGTGAATGTGTCCTGAAAAATATTATGCACTCTATGGAGTATAATAGAAGTGCCTGTGAGCAGTCACCAAGATGTTACTTGTTGCTTGATGTTACTTGAAGTATGTGTCTTTCTGGGCGTTTGAGCTGCACCTCAGGTGAGCCATGGATATATGTCGCCAGACAATTTCCACCCAGATGGCGTCTGCAGCTGTCGTAGCTTTCGTAGCTTTCGTAGCTTTCGTAGCTGTCGTAGCTGTCGAAGTTTTGGATCCATCATTGAATTGTTGCAACGATATAATGCAGTCTGCTTCTTCGTTGGAAATGTTTGCTCTCTTCAGTTGACAAAGGTTGAAGATGATGTCGTGCTTTGAAAGCGAAAGTGTTGTTTTGTGTTTTGGACAGCAAGTTTCGGGTCTGCTCTCCACTAATCGATATCCATAACTTTGTTCAATATCCCTAACAATGAGTTGAAGTCTCTCATACAGTGTGTGGATCTGGCTGGAGGATGCGCAAAAGAGGCATAAACATGTCATTCTTGCAGAGGTTTGATGTCGAACCCAGTCGATGTCGCAAAAACCCAAGCTACCATCTTTCTGTGAGCAGCCATTGCCTTGAAAGCTGTGGACGTGTTCTGCAATAGCTAATCCATTCCTAGTACAGTATGCAGCCGCCCGCCTGTGATATCTGCTTTGCCTGCGTGGCAGATGTCGGGAGCTTTCGATGGAGTTCGTGTTCATTGCTGAAGAGGAGGTTCACGATTGGTCTGCGATATACATTAGCATTCGTAGGAGGAACACTCAGGGCCTTCAAAGAGATTCGACTTGCAATAGGAATGAGTTCGAATTCCCAAACAGTTGCCCCGATGCCGTGTTAGCGACTGACAATCATAGTGTCTGAATTGATGCCCTGGTCCTGAAGAGCATACCTGCCACAATTCCGAGAGAGACGTTGTTGGATGGCATTGGGCGATGAATTGTCGCTCTTGTAATCACCTGCGAAGCTTTGAAGAAGGCCTTGGTGAGCAGAATGAGATCTCTCTCAGTTTGCTCAAGGATAGCGACATGATGTTCTGCTTAGCTACCTTTACCGCAGTCGAAATTCCGGAAAGTTCTGCTGCCCCAACACCCCCGCGACTCTTTCGCTTTCTGGATGCGACTGTAGCAGTTCATCGAGAATTTGGCAGTGGACAGCATGTGGAAGTTGAGATTGGTTATGATGATGTTTGCTTTTGTTGGAGATGGAGCTTTAAGTGTCTCAAAATGGAAGCGGCTATTTATAACTCGCATAAAGTTATGCGCAACTACAAACCTTTACTCTTGTTTGTCCCCAGATATATTTGATATTCATACTTTCTATCTGACACACATTTGCAGCTTATTGACCGCGTCGGCCGAGACATAACATCTACTGGGATCCAGTCTGACTGCACGGCTTGCTGTGGCTGAAACTGCACCAATTGAATTACTACCAACATCTCCAAGACTGCCAAGTGCTGCAAAGTGCTGCAAGAAAAGCTTCAGAGACGAAGCCTTCCGCAGATGCCGCATCTGTCAACGTCCATTAAGTCCCAGGATCTAATTGAACTACGAGGAAGAAAGCCAGCCCACGAATCACATTGCATTCCCACACATGGGGTCCCCGCACATGATTTGTGGCGTTCAACGGTCTGATCAAACAACCAGACAGACCTATTTTGCAAGTCCCTTCATAGCTCCAAACATCGTCTTTTGCTGAAGAAGTACCGAGTTGCCAATTTGGGACACGTATACAGTAGTCGATTTCTACAACCTCGCAAACCGACGATCCATTCGGGCAGCCCCCTCAGATAACCTTTCTTGGCATCTGGGCCTCGATTTTGCAGATCCAATTTTGGATATCAGCAGCCTGGCATATCACCAATGATTTGGAAGATGATTCCCATGCATGCATGTCAGCCTCCAACGTGTAAACATCTCGCTCGCCTCCAACGACCAATCGAATTACTTCTCGCTTGTACAGAATATCTTCTCGTCCTTCCCTGATAAGCACGTTCCTAAGTTCTTCCCCCGCGTCCCGCACAGATGTATCTTCTACTTCCAACCCCATGTTTTCTAATACTTAAGTTCATCTCGTAGCTACTTTCCGAGCTTTCACCGAATGAATAGCGAACTATGAGAGCAAACCTCGGTGATACTTCCCAAAGAGATTGAAGCCTCCCCAGATTCGACGAGTTAACAAGGTTTCTCCGCACATGGCGGCCTGGGGAGAGGGCCGTGGGATGCCAAGCGAAGTCCTTGGCACAGTCTTACCGAATGAACGGTTTAACAAGGATGCCGATGGAATACACATCAGCTTACTGCTGTGCAGCATGGGTGCGTTATCGAAGCTCCATAAGTATGTAGCTTGGGGTCTTGGCTGGCGTTTATAATCTCTTGTTTTCTCTTGGCTTTACTTTCTCCATCTTTGTCGAGACATCAACTCTTGGAGAACTGTTTTTGAGTCAATTCGATTGGTTTTTGCAGCCATCATGGACGCCTTTACCCCAGCTCAGACGACAGAGCTTGTCTCTCGCATTGGAGCCAAGAAGGCTCGGATGCGGATTGACAAGATGTTCATCAATTCTTTCATGGGAGGAGCTCTGATCTCATTTGGATGTGCTCTATCATTATCTACCAATTCTTCTCCTTGGTTTCAGACAAATGCTCCAGGTCTAATCCGAACTATCTCTGCCATGGTATTCCCTGTTGGTTTGATCATGGTTGTCTTGACTGGAGCGGATCTCTTCACTAGTTATTGCATGTACTCGGTTGTCGCCTTACTCCATCGCAGATGCAGTGTCTTGGATCTCGTGAAGACCTGGGTTGTGAGCTTTTTCGGTAACCTAGCAGGAGCTTTGTTTTTCATGGCTGTCCTCACTGGCTGTATGTTTATCCTCGTCCCAATCCTTGAAAATTCCGTACTGATTATTGAACAGATGGAGGAACTTTCGAGTCTGGAGCATACAAAGATGAAGCATTAGCTTTCGCAAAGGCAAAGGTCGTCACTCCCGAATGGCATCAGATCTTCTTGAAGGGCATTCTGTGTAAGCTTCCCTCCCAACCTGCATGCCATACAATAACTCTCCTTAAAATCGACATCACTTCCTACTATACACTGCATGCAATCTCTGCCCTACATTCCGTGAATGTCATTGTCTCATTTCCATTTCAACTGCTTCCTTCATTCGTCCAAACATTACTCAAACTCAACCGACTTACTCTCCACCAGGTAACTGGCTCGTCTGCATGGCAGTCTTCCTCGCACTCTCCTCCCGCGAAATTATCTCCAAGATAGTCGCAATCTGGTTCCCCGTCATGTGTTTCGTGGGTCTCGGCACCGACCACGTAATCGCAAACATGTACTTCATTCCCCTCGGCATCTTCCTCGGCGCCCCCAAGCCCCTCACTGTCGGCTACTATATCTGGAAGAGCATGATCCCCTCTCTCCTTGGTAACATCGTTGGTGGAGGTTTGTTCACTGGTGTCGTGTATTGGTATCTCTTCTTGGCTGGGGGTGAGGAGGTTGAGATTCATTTCGATACTTTGCCTATGGATACTGCTGTTTATGAACAAGGTGAGTGCTCTTTGGCGTTTATATCTGGTCTGGTGGGGTCGAAGCTAATGATATAAGGTGGACCCATCGAGCGCGAGATTACAGCCACGGGCGCGGGAACTGGATACAACTCCCATAATCAACATATCCCCGACTCTGGAAATGGAGGCATCAGCGGCATCGCGAAAGACTTCCATGCGAAACACTTCAAGAAAGATAAAGAGATGAATGGAAATAATGCTGCTTGAAGAATGTTTGGAGGGGAATAGGGTTTTTACTGGATGAATCTTCGGTCGTTTTGGAGGTGCAACGAATTATGGATTTTACTTGCGGATCAGAGTTATTTAAACTTATGCATACGAATTGAAGATGTTCAGTCCAAGTTTAGTCAGTGATTTCATCTCATGGTGCTATATCGATGCAGCGGTGTACTCGATCCTATGTTAATGTACGGACGGTTGAAACTATAGACTACTCGAGAAGGGTTTTTGCCAAGAATAGGACATTCGATCAAATGACAGGAGAGTGACAAGTTACAGTGGAGAAGAGCATACTTGATATTGATAAAAGACATCGTTACCATAGTGAGCCGGGCAACAGTGTGAACGCCTGCACAAATGCCCCCACCAATCCATAAACCATATCCTCAGATCTCAAAACAAACGTCAACCAAGATGCTGAAAACCTTTACAGAACTCCGAACGCATGCTACCAACTCTTGATTAATGTTTAATCCAAGCCCAAGTTGTGAAACTCAAGCCACCCTTGAACGTCCACAGCCATATCCCAACAATAACCTAGATGTATAAGCAAGACAAAGACGTAGCCGGAGAGAATATATACCTCTCTAATTCCTCCCTAATACTCACTACCCCACAAACTGCGCATCAATATCCATCCCCCAAGCAGCACCACAGACAAAACCATCACCTCAACGGCGGACATCCCCAACCCAAGGAGCGCGACTAAAAGAATCCCGCAACCAGTTAGCCACCATACCCACATTCCCACACACATGAATCTTCATCAACTTACCAATACCCACAAGTAATCCTTCTCCCATCAGCTCTCTGCACCCTACTCCACCCCTCAAAACACTCCCGATGAACATTCTTCCCACACTGGCCTCTACACCAAGTAGCATCTTCCGGAGTATCGATGGACTCGTGGCAGATATAGCAGTCTTCATCTAGGGGTTGGCGACGGACTTCTCGTGCTGGTTGAGGTGCGTGGGATAATCTGGCAACGGCAGGGAATCGGTCAGGCTCTCTCATTTCGGGGGCTCTGTTTACTCTTGCTTCTTCGGCAAGTTGCTCCTGGCGTCTGCGTACAAGTTCGTCGCGGTTCCGCCTTGCCTGCTCTACAATATGAGTTTGGGCTGCTCGGGCTTCTTCGGCAGCTCTCTCTTGTGCGATGCGCATGCGATTAGCTTGCTCGCGGACTCGTCTTGTTTGCTCGTCGACACGGATCTGGGCTGCTCGAGCCTCTTCGGCAACTCGTTCTGCCTCTATGCGTCTGCGTTCAGTTTCATCGCGGACTCGTCTTGCTTGTTCTGCGAAGCGTCCTCGTGCAGCCCGCTCTTCTTGAGCAACTCGCTCTGCCTCAACGCGTCTGCGTTCAGTTTCGTCGCGGACCCGTCTTGCCTGGGCTACTCTGGCCTCTTCAGCAACCCGCTCTGCGTCGATCCGTCGAAATCGAGCCTGCTCGCGAACTTGTCTTGCTTGTTCATCCAGACGGGTTTGAGCTTGAGCTTGTCTCTGCTGCTCAGCTAGACGACGTTGCCTTTCTTGGTCTACTAGACGGGCTTGCCGTTCGCGTTCGAGCTGATGTCTGTTTACAGGAGCGGGTGAGGGTGGTACAACATGTACTTCGCGCTGCCGCGGAGGAGGTCGAGCTTCGGCACGTTGATTGACGGGCCGCAAAGGACGGGCTAGGGCATGAAGTGGGACTGGTTGAGCACGAGGAGCTCCTTGCTAGTACTTTGTCAGTGATCAAGCCTGTCTTCAGTCTGATATAGGCACCTCACCTGGTTGACTCGTTGCCGTTGCGCAACAACAACTCGAGGTCGTTCTTCTTGTAGCGCAAAAACTCCCTGTCGATGGTTCACGGCCACGAAGTCCAGAACAGACTCCTTGAACTTGTCTGTAGTAGCGACGATTTGCGCTTCTTGTCTTCGGTGCACACCTGCACACAACGTACAACGCACCAAGAGATCCAGTTGGCGACTAACAATATTCTCCTCGACACCAAGAGCCACAACATCGAGCATCGAGAGTGTGTCCTCGATTTGTGTCGCTAAGGCTCTGTCCGATTTTGATATGGTATTTTGACAAGGTTTGAATTGGTTTTTCTTGGTGCCTTTACTGAGCCCGGAGCAGGTCATGCGCTCGCCGCGAGGGTGGACGTCAAGGACTTCTTCTGGGTTCCAGAGTGCCGCCATCGTATTTCGGTGTAATAGAAGTTGATCTGACTGACGATGAAAGAAATGGTTGTCTATGTTGACTGAAGGCCTATATATACAGGCGACTGGGGAAATGATAATCCTGGATAGGTGGTGGTGTCTTTGTTTGTTTCAAGCACATCACCAGAACTTGCGATCATAAACCAGGGAGACCAAGATGGTTATAGATGGCAACTCTGTATAGCTTTGAATCTTATCAAGGTGAACGTCTGACGAGAAGGGTATGTATGCACAGCACGTAGAAGTGCATGGTCCAGCTAGCAGTCGGTTAAGCGCAGAGTCAAACGAGAGCCGTTCAAGGCTTGCGGTCTCAGTAATCGACCTGTTAGGAGTTCGAGAATGGATGTTGTATCTTGATCAGTGCTTTTGAGCTTCCCCATGCTTCTCCCCATTCTAAGGAACTTGGAAACAGCTTGAAGTGGTGCCGTTTGTTGTTTTCTGGACGCCAACATAAAGTTTCAATGATCAAGAATCCTGAGACACGATGAACCCAAATTGATCGCAGGTAGCAAACAACACAATTGTACAACCTATAAGTCTCACCGCTACAGTCCTTCTCTGCTACTACAGCCCGAGACCTGCAGATGTTTCGGGAGAGGACATGCTTCACGTGACCAGAAGTCAAATAGACCCACACCAAAAGCTGCAACGCGGAAAGCAATTCTCAACAAGTGAAAGGTGGAACTTCACAGCCTTCAATCAGTCTATGAATCTCAAGCGGAGTGGCATCTCATTAGTCATCTGCGTTGCAAAATACATGTGACAGACACAGGCATGTCAACAAACAACAAAATAATTGTATATCGTGTTTATCATTAAGCAAGCGAGATCACGGTTTCAATGGAGAGAAGGGCAACGATAAGCACGAACAACTGCTTGTTGATGAGGTCTGAAAGAAGGTAAGTCTAGTAGCGAAATCGAGACCATTCCAAGGGGAAACAGCAAAGGTTTCGAGATTGGCTCAAGAGGGTCTACCTCGCAGCATGTAGCTCGATCTAAAAGCACGAGTACTTGCATAAACATCTCCGACCGGATACAGACGCCGCAACTGCGATTACATACCTCGAATCAGAAATACGTGATGTTGGACTGAAGACAATGAAGAAAACGCGAGCTCTAACATATGCTGCGACAGCGCGTCGCGAATTCCAAGTTCCATGGAAGACAATGATCTCTAGATCATATCCATACAGCAGAAACACAACCTCAGACACACAACCTCATCACCATATCTTGGAAGTCCCTAAAGACTCTCGAATCTCTCATCATACTTCGAATGACCAGTAGCTCAAAGTTCCTTTTGGTTCCTCAAGGTTCAGCAAGTGGATCAGGAATATTGTCGCATTCCGTCCAGTCGATATCTGCAGCCGAATCCGTCTCATCGTCAAAGTCCTCGTCTTCAGGACTCGCCAACTCATAGTCTTCCTCCCTCCGTTCTTCCAGATCCAACATCCATGATTTGACGTCTTGAACACATTTGTTCCGAGCGTCGAGGTCTTTCGTAATCAAAGATATTTCTTGGGTGACGCTTTCAAAGAAGTGTTTCGCTTTACGACATCGTCCCAGCTCCACATAGCAATATCCAAGATCCTGACAAGTATGCATGGTATATCTATGCAGTAATCCAAAATACTTCTTTTCAGAATCATATAGTTTCTCGAGCCAAAAACTTTCCTCTTGAATGCGATATTTTCGGAACGAAATTTTTGCAAGCCTCCGAATCACACTCCTTCTCAGGGTTGACCTCAGCAAGTTTTCATGATATCTCAATAGGCCTTTGAAGATACTTTCGCTTTCATCGAAGCGTTCTTGGTATTCATAGGTGCGAGCTCGTTGATAGTGATACTTGTATACCTCGTAGCATTTAACCCTTGTTACTTTCCCCAGAAGTTTTTGTACACAGTCGAGAACCTTCAAACCTTCATCATAATTTTTGTCAGAGTTTCAAATTGAAGCAAGACAAGTCATGGAATAAAGGAAGCCTAGTTCATTGTTTGCAATGGCCCCTGGAGCTTTCATTGCTTGATATCGGAAAGATATGACAGCCTCAAGTAGACGTTGAGCTTCCGGGCATCTCTTGTGCCTTACCAAGTCCGATCCTAAGTTTCCTAGACTGGTGAGTGTCTCAGCGTGTCTAACCCCAAAGCTGCTCAGTTGAATCTGGAGAATCTGCCGATCAATAGCTTCTGATTCTGCCGAATGTCCCAAGTAATATAGGATTTCCGCTTTTAATTCCTGCGACCGAATGGATATACGATGATCATTACCCAAGATTACCTCGATTTTTGCATGCAAGTCATTATGAAGCTGTTGACTTTCGCTGTATCGGCCTTGGTGACGTAGACAGCTTAGAACTGCTAGGCAAGCTTGCAAAGTTTCCTCTGGCTTGTGCCATCTTATCTTTTGTTTTGCTGTGACTATGCGCCGGTACCAGCGTTCCGCAGAGGCAAAATCTCTTGACATGTACAGTCCCTTAGCGATGGTCATCATTCGACCAGCAAGATTGCTGACTTCGACAACAGCCAGATGCCTCAATTTTCGGAATTTAGTCAGACACTCCGACTCGGACATCTTTGGGAGGGCAGAGGTGTTTGAAGTGAAGTATCGAGTATCGAAGGATCGATTTGAGGACTCGGGAAACGGGTATAATTCGAACTGCAGACCCGATTGCGTCCAAGTTTCTAGAAGTTTGTCGAGTCTCGATGTCTTCGCGGGAGATGTAAAGTTGACTAGACGGGAGTCGTTTTCAGGTAGAACTTCGCCAACATCGCTATCGGATCCATTACAAAGGTCCATCAAGTCCACATCCGACATGTTGACACCTTCAAAATTATTGGAACTCAAGTCCAGGTCGGGAATGCCGCCAAATTCTTCAATCGTCAACAGCCCAAACAATCCGGTAAGTCTCGGTGATCCAATGACGTCGATACACCCTTGGCCGAATGGATAGTGCTCACTGTGGGCACTTGACACAACTTCGAGATCATCAATCAGATTGTCAGGGGCACTCTGGTTGTCGGCAACTGAAGTATTCTCTGTTGTTGGTTCTTTTGGAGCCTCCATCGTTGCTTCAAAGAATACGTCAGCAAAATGGATAAGAAGCAACAAGCGAAATGGGCTTGCCTAGAATGACTTCGTCGCTATCATCGATCATTGATCCTCCAACTTCTCCCTCTTCTTGTCTCACCCAACGAATCAACTTTTCCTTCTTGATTGTCCGGCCTCTCAGATTTCTTGGTGCAAACTCTGAGTTTTCGAGCTCATCGCGGTGTTTTTGAATAAGCTGTCTTCGTTCAGTCTTCTTCACGTTCTTTTCAAACCCCCACGCCGAGATTCGAGATAGGAGCTGCCTTTTTCTGTTTGGTGTTAGTACAGCTTAACAGGTTAAACCCTAGTGTTACTCACGTTGGCTTGTATCCGTGGTTCTCTTTCAAGTACTGAGAAAGTTGTCCTATTGTCTGGCGATGTTCAAGATATTGAGTTTGAATGACAGGTTTCAAGTCTTCCCAGTCTTTCTTGGAGAACCCTTGAGGTTGTGGGTGGTGAGGCTGCGTAACGGGGATAAAAGAGAAGGCTGCGGTGACATTGTTTTGGGACTGCCCAGTTTCCATGTTGGATGAGTTCACCAATGGAGAGTACTTCGATACTTGCTGAAGCTTCCAGGAAGAAATGGTTGCGACTTTTCGGTGAGGCAGTGGGTTCGATATATGCTGAAAGCTGAGGTTGACAACCATCACAGATCTCGTTGTCTGGTCGGCGTTTGATTGGATCGACAAAAGTGCAGTGCAGCCATCCCAAGCAGGATTTCACTGGACGAGCAAAAGTGCCATGCAGTAATGATCTCAGCCACCCAAGTGCGTAATTGGATTGACGAAAGTCCCATGCAGATATGCCACAAACATGCAAGGCGAATTGTTGCCGCATGATTCTAGGCTTTCAAGACGCTACAAAATGTTCCTCGAGTAAAACATGCGATGAACAAAGGACACTCAAAGATTAGATTAAGAAAAAATATGCCAAAAAGATCGACTTAGATGCCACATCTGGACAATCTCTGCACTCTACTTCCACAAACAAAAAAGACACAACAGTACGAAGCACGTGACAGACAAGCCTAAAGGAAACCTACCTAGGTACTTGATGATCAAAGCACAACCTAAACAGCCTTGGGTTCAAAGGAGATGCCATGAATAAGCTATCCAAAAGGGCAGGTAGAATTTTCATTCATTTCTGCCAAAACGACACCCTCCATGAGCCAATCTGAAATTGTCAAAGTATTGTTCCTATTTGGACACGGGCAAAAAGAGTGAAGCCAATATTGAATATTTCACCGAGAAATCCAGAAAGATGCTGGAATCATAAACAGAGCAAGGTTAATTATCGTTTGTCTTCCCCTCGGTCATCTAACAGCATTTCACATTCGATCCACGTGATGCAGAAGACCCCCGGTTCGAGATTCAATCCCTCAAGGGACAAGTACGATGAACTGAAAACGCAGAATGGCCCCAAACGCATTTCCGACCACTTGGCCAGCGCTTCACAAGGACAGTCAAGCAAGTCTGGACTACCCCATTCCTCTCCCCCAAAAAGAGCAGCAGCACCTTAGATGAATCTCAAAACATGAACCGCACACAACGTTGCTATTGCTACTTGATCGAATTACTTGAAACAATAATAATAACAAGAAAAGAAATCGCAAAACAGAATCCCCCCTTTCATCCACCGTCGATCGAAAGGGGAAGCAACCCTCCCGCTACACGAAACGAAACCACCCATCACATTCAGATCGTACCTACCTTCCATTCCCCTCTCCACACTACCTGCCTCGTCTCGACGTCTCGCATACACATAGAACCAAGTAAGACCGAAAGAACGCAGGAAAGAATGAAAGCCTCCAAAAAGGGGGAAACCACAACCGAGCTCTCTATTCTGCCCAAAGCGGTCAACCCTTCGATTCTTTGCCGTAAGCAAAAACTCCCTTCCTCCCTAATCCTCAACACATTATCCTCCAACTCAAAATACGTTTGAGCCTCATGACGTCTCCCTCCTTCTCTCTACCCTCAATTCTTCCGCCTCTCCCGTACCATCCGCCTTTCCCGACCACGCCCGCAATCGCTATCATCGGCCGACTCACCTATCAGCAATACCCAATCTAACAATTCTTCACCACCTTACCAAGCTTCCGAATTGACTTTCCTACCCAAGCTCCCAAACAAGCTTTCCTTAAACAAGCTCCACGCCATAAGATTTTAACCTCTCCTCTCCTCCCGCTCCTTACCATGACAGCTTGCTTTCAGCTTTAGCTTGCACCACACCTCCATACAATACAGTACAGTCCATTTCAATCCTCAACCGTACTGTCCTATACCGACCGGCATCTTCGGCTCCCATGCATTCATTCATTTATCTATCTATCCATCCTCTCGGCACTTTAACCCACTCACCAATCTTACGTACACAAGAATTGCTTCGTTCTACCTGTTCTGCAAAAGCGAATATTGACACACGCACGCGCATCTGCCCTCCCGTAATGCAACAAACCGTATCGGGGACATGGCCTCGCTTCATCCTCCTCGTCATCATCCCAACATCCGTATGACGTGGAAGGCTTTTTCCCTACCCTCTAAATTTTCCCATCACACAAATACGCCGCCTCACAATCTCTCAAGGCGCAGTGTACAGTAAGCGCTTCGCTCCCCGACGACAGGGTTAGAAGGGAAAGAAAGGTCAGCAGCGACGCGATGGAAGAGGAAAGGGACCGGGAGGGGGAAACAAGCTTTGCAGCGTGCTGTCAGTAGCGTTCTTCCGACGAGTGAGTGAGTGAGGTTTTCGTTTGTTCCAACGGTGTGCATAGGATAGGGTAGTATAGCTCTGGTTTTGAGGTCTGTGCTGATTCACTTTTCTTCTTCTCCTTCTCATCAAATCAAACTTTCGAATTTAAACTTTAATGTTTGATATTGATATTTATATCCTGACATGTGATTTCCAAGTACTACCTATCTTCTAAGACTTTAAATCATGAAATAATTGTTTTCCAGACGGTTCCCAATTGAGGAGTGAGATCGTCGTGAAAACTCAGAAACCCTCCGAATCAGAAAAAAAAAAGGATAAAAAAAAAAAGGCGTAGCTGGTTTGTGTGACAGTGACTGCATCCGACATCGTAACTCGTGAGTGGTGAGTCGTGGCTGTGGGTGGAGGGCGTGGGGTAAGGCTGAGGATTAAGGATTTTGGAGTTGGGGGCTGGATTGGGGCGGTCTGCGAGAGAAATTTGAATTGAGATCGAGATGGATTTGAGATTGAGATTCAGGGACGAATGCACGAGATGAGAGAGAATACTCGATTAGAAGTGAGGAGAACGACGAGACAGGCCATTATTACGGAGAAGTAATGAAAGCCAGAGATGAGGGTGTATGAAAGGGCAATCTTGAAGAACAAAAGGATTAACTCGAGCACTTCACAATCACATTCATCAAAGACTTTAAGTTCATTAACATACGAAATGTATTTGATGTTGGTATCATCTAAACCCAGACACCTTTTCCCCACACAAACAAATAATCTAATTAATTACACTAAACACATCCTCTTCCACTTTCAAGAAGTGCAAACCCCCAACGATCGAACATCACCACCATCCAGCAACCACTACTAGCAAGACAATTTTTTCGAAGTGAATGAAAAAAGAAGTCGCATTTCATGTCGCAAATGCATGCAGATAGTGTGTGATGATGATGATGTCCATCATTACGAGTTTGTACTCCTCAATATCACATAGGGTGCGGGGTATAAGAACAACGCGGATGAAGCAAAACATCTAATCATCCTCCTCGGCCTCGGTGGCCTTGGTGGTGAGGTGCCATCTGTTGCCTCCGTGCTCGTCTTGCTCGTGAGCAATGGCGACCTTGGAAAGATGGGCGAGGATGTTCTCCATTTGAGTGTCAGCACGAGAGCGCTTGGCACGTCCGAGGTTGTCGAGCCATGAGATTTGGTTGAGGAGGAAGTAGACCATGGCGATGAGGATGGTAACACCAATCGAGTAGCCCCAGACGATAACAACGGTAACGATGGAGGTATCTCCACCGTGGGTGTTGAGAAGAACGTTCTTGGTAGCTGGGTCGGATGGGTCATTCTCCTTCATGGTCAACCAGCCAAAGACACAGAACAGGGTTGAGATCACATCGACACCGAGAATGGCGCCGACGAGTTGCCAAGATGGCCAGGTGTTTCCACCACGAGTGACGAAGATGAGCCAGTTCTCAGTGAGGGAGACTTCCAAGAAGAGTATACCTTGGATGTTACCGAAGTTCTCGACGATACCACCGTTGGGGATGAAGAGAGCACCACGGAGAACCCAGGTACCAACAGCAAGAAGACCACCGAGGATAACGGAGATAATCCAGATCTTGGGCAATTGCCACTCGACAGGACGTTGCTCGAAATGGGCGTTATCGTAAGCGACAGCAATGGTAGCCAAATCAGCGAACAAGGCCAAGAAGACGATGAGATCGACACCAATGGTCTCGTTGATGATGATCATAGAGGTGACGAGGTAAATTTCCAAGTGCAAGCAGAGAGCAATACGGTATTGGATATATGCCTTCATACGTTGGAAAATTTGACGGGCGATCTTGATGGCAGAGACGATGGTGGAAAGACCTGGGGCAAGGAAGACGATATCGGCAGCGGCTTGAGCAGCTTCAGTGGCACCCTCGACGGCAATACCACAGTCAGACTTCTTCAAGGAAGGAGCATCGTTAACACCGTCACCAGTCATGGCAGTCAAATGACCACGTTGTTGCAACATCTCGACGACCTGGTACTTGTGCTCGGGGAAAACTTCAGCGAAACCATCAGCACGCTCAACGAGATCGTGTTGAGTAGTACCGGAGAGACCACCGTGGATGAGACGTTCAGAGTTGTAGACCTTGGTACCGAGAGCCAACATCTTGCAAGTTTCCTTGGCAATAGCGATAGCATCACCAGTAAGCATCTTAACAGAGAGACCGAGAACTTGAGCTTCAGCGATGGTGGATGCAGTGTCGTCACGTGGGGGATCGAACATGGGCAACATTCCGAGTAATTGCCAGTCACCATCACCCTTCTTGCATGCAACACCGAGAGAACGGAAACCACGTCGAGCGAACTCAGTAGTCTTGGCCTTGTACATGTCGGAGACTTCCTTGGAGCAGTTGGACAGGTTGAGAATAGCCTTGGGAGCACCCTTGGCGCAGATGTAGTCAATTCCCTCTTGAGTGTTGGTGACCTCAGCAGTGATACGCTTGGAGACGGGATCGAAAGGAGTGAACTTGATTGTCTTCCATCCTCCAGCAAGGATCTCCTTGGCTCTTGGGTATCGCTTGAGAGTGAGGATGGTAACCTTGTCGATGGGATCGAGAGACTTGACGTTGTGGGAAGAAGCAAGAGCAGCCACAGCCATCATCCAGTTGACATCGACGCCCTCAGCCACGAATGGCTCACGGATGGACAATTGATTGGCGGTAAGCGTACCGGTCTTGTCGGAGCAGAGAACATCGACACCCTGTTTCGCATATGGATTAGCGCATGTTCACGCAGCAGAAACAGTAAGGCTGTTGCAGATGTGCTATTGCATGGCAAAGCTTTCGTGGGGGAGGGGCAGTGAACCAGGGCAGCTCCGACGAGCCGATATCCACTTCATGCACTGAATGCACGTAAGCAGCCCCAAGGGACCCATAGCTTGGACGTCAAAACCAAACAAAAAAGATAGTTTTGACGTCCATCGTTACTGGCAGTAATCGATTACAGCATATGATGGGGTGCGCAAAGGATTTGGGCCCTCAACGAACGAATGCGCGGGCAATGCAGCGATTGGGTTCGTCTGCCGGATAGCGAATCCGCGTGCAGCACTGATTCGTTGATGATGCAAGCTTCTGCACTGGACGGCACCGGTCGCACGCAATGTGCCGACACGAGCTCCACCGCCAAAAAGCAATGAGGGGGATCGGATTGGGGGAGATTGTGCGGGATATGTGCTGCGATGAGGGTGGTGTGATGTGCAGAGAAACGAAATCAAATGCAATGACGGGGATCAACTTACAGCGAGCGATTCAATGGCAGTGAGCTTCTGCACGATAGCCTTTTCCTTGGCGAGATAAGCAGCACCTACAGCCAGAGTGGTGGTGGTGACGACTGGAAGACCGACGGGGACACCGACAATCAAGAGGATCAGGGCGTAATGGAGAAGGTTGAGCGAGCTGTCTTCGGGAGTGGCAAGGTGCAAGTGATGGAAGAAACCACCGATCCAGGCTGCGAGAATCCAGAACATGACCAAGACCAACAGAGACGTACCGATGGAGTTCATGATGGCCTTGAAATGTCCTTGATCCTTGGCTCCAGTGACGAGAGAAGCAGTGCGACCGACGAAAGACATTTTGGCGGAGTGAGTGACGAGAGCATATGCCTTTCCACGCTTGCAACCGGTGGTGTAGTAGACAGCATCTGCGACATACTTGTCGACGGCGAGAGACTCTCCAGTCATGGCAGATTGATCAATGGCGAGGATAGCATAACCTGATCCGTGCTTGTGCTCTCCCACATCATCCTCGTCCTTCTCGTTGGCAGATTCACCAGCTTGAGCTTCGAGTTCACGGAGATATTCAGTGTAGCCGTTGGGGTTATCGTAGGCAGAGATGATGCGAGAATCAGCAGGAACAACTTGTCCATCTTCGATGATGATCTGTGAAAATAAATGTTAATTTTGGCCAATTGACCCGATGGAAGTGAGAAAACTTACAATATCACCGGGAACCAGCTCACGAGCCTTGATTTCTTGTTCTGAGCCATCACGGATAACAGTGGAACGCATAGCAATATCACCCTTGAGCGAAGCGACAACATCTGCTGCTTGCTTCTCCTGGTACCAACCGACGATGGCGTTGAGCATTAGAATACCGATAATGACACCGAAATCAATCCAGTCACGCAGACCAGCAGCGAGCAGGACGGCAATTTCCATAACTGGCAGAGAGAGAAATGTCAATTGAGTCCAATTGACGTGAAAAGCATGATTTACGAGCCATTGAGGCTGGTGGGCGAGGAATTTTGGGGGGGGGGGGGGGGGGGGGGGGGGAACTTACCATACAGAATTGGGCCGGTGAAATACGAGAGGAACTTCAAGAACATGTTCTCCTTCTCGGTGGTCAACTCGTTCCAGCCAGTCTTCTTGCGGCGATTCTCGACATCGTGAGAGGAAAGACCCTGCTTCCAGTCGGTGTTTAACCAATCCTCAGGAACCTCGAAGGTCGTGCCGCCTTGCGCGTTCTTGGCCTTCCCAAACTGGTACCACTTCTTCTTGGGGGCATCGTCGTACGTGGAGCCAGCGATGGAGCTGCGACGTCCATCACGGTAATTCGAAATGTACTTGACGAGATTGCCGTACTCGCCGAGATCCGCGTCGTTGTCAGCGGCGCCGAGGTGGTCGCGCGTTGCCTGTTCCTTTTCGACGTCGCCGTTCTCGATATCACCGTTGGGAGGTGCCATTGCGTCCCTTGGTCACTGAGAGGAAGAGGGGAGGAGTCGTCTTCGCCAGTAGCTATCTGCTGTACCGGACACCGATGGACTGGAGGAAGAGAGTGGGCGAGGGAAGGTTGAAAAAGAAGAAGAAAAATTGGGAAGCAAGCTCTTTATGGTGGGCGGACGGGCTGCTAAATATCTCTCAATTTCGGTGGGCGATCAACAGACTTGGTTTGGTTTGGTTTGGTTCTAAGCTGGCTGCAGAGCTCCTACCACCTAGTAACCTAGTAACTACGACACTACGACACTACGACACTGCACCAAAAATTTACTCGCTAGACCGGATCCGGCTAGCTGATCGGTTTTGACGGCCACAGCGAGCGTTTCTGCATTTCTGTGTTCAGATGCCACCAGCAGCCAAAATCAAAGCCAGCCCCATGCTATGCCAATGCCAGGCCAGGCCAGGCCAGCCCGAGTGCCAAAGTACAGTAAACCCCGTCCAGTCCCAGTCCCAGTCCCAGTCCCAGTCCCAGTCAGTCCCCGTCAGTGCCATACCAGTCAGCGGCGTCATCTCTTCTCGCTCGGACGAGACGGCAGTCTCAGTGAGGGTTGAGTGGGCTCTGCTTGAGTTGGGATTGGGGTGGGCACTCCGTGTGGGATATTGAGGGATTTCCAGGCCAGCCAGAGCAGCGATGACCGACCAGACCAGACCAGACCAGACCAAAGCCGAGTTTATCCTGACCATGGAATTGTGGACAGAAGGCTGCTTTGATCGCTTTCGCCAGTTCCAGTTCCAGTTCCAATTCCATCTCTTGCGAGGTGATGTGGAATCCATGGCATAGCATTGGCGTGGCCATGGCAGTCACAGAGAAGAAAAACGACTACAGCAGACTACAGCAGACTACAGCATCCGCGGCCCCAAAGTGTGTGCACGTATCGATCCTATGCTATGTGCCGCCGCCGCCGCAGCCCCAAAATCAAAACAATGGCGATTGAGATTGGGATTTCTGGCGCGTGGGTTGGGGCACGTCAGAGACACCAGAGTGGCAGAAAATACGGTACGCCGGACTGAGCTCTGGGCAGCACTGGGCAAACGTTCCTAGGAAGACTAGGGTATCCTAGTATCCTAGTACCCTAGTCAAATGCCTACTAAGTACTGTATCTTTCCGCGAAGCTCCATCTAGGGTGCATCGTCTCCAGGCGGCATCCCTCGACATGGAAATTCTCGTGAATCTCTTGCTCCCTCCTATGCCGACCTGGAATCTGCTCTTCCACTCCCATGTCAGCTTTGATTGAATCTCGACTAATCTTGAATCTCTCTCTTCTCTTCTTTGCCCATGTCCGTCTCTGGCAGCAGCAGCAGGCCAGCCAGGTCAGATACCCGTCCGTCCCCTACTAGTCGACGGAGCTCTCAGAGCTTGAGTGGACACCTGAGATTCACTCCCCGTCCGTCCTCTCAAAGAAAACGCACCGACCGTGCCGGCCATTGACCAATCGCAGCGGCGCAGAAATCATTACAGAACATTTCTAGTCAATTGCCGCATCCACCAGCAGGTGCCGCTGTAAGACGACTGCATGCTGCACGATGGGGACTAATGGGCTGCAGCAAGCAAGCAAGCAAGCAAGCACGCACGCACGCAGCTAACTTGGACGACGAGGCGAGAAGCGGATACGGTGGATAGACCGCTGAATTGCGATAATTCGAATTAGCTAATGGAGCTCGACCCTCTCTCATTGGGCGGGAAGAGCTTCACGACGCTTTGAAGGCGGGTCCAGTGCACGACAAGACATGAGACTGTAGACCAACGGCTCTAGGACCGGGAGAGCAAGGTCTCGGTCTGGCTCGGAGAGAGGGTGAGATCCACTGTGCCATTGGTGGCTGCTTTCTTGATAGGTAGGCCTCGTCTCGGTTCTGGCGGTACTATCTGGGCCAAGCGGCACGTCTGTTCTCCAGCGAGAGGACCGCGAAACAACTTCATTCCGCCTAGTTCGTCTCCAAACAATTTCCTCACCCAACGATAATCTGCGTGCGTTCCGGAATAAGAATAATAACAGCGAGCGAAACGGAAATCTGCAATGAGGATCTATCTCTCTCGGTTCCACTCCTCTTCTCTCGTTTGGGCTTCCACTCTCCGCGTATTTATGCTGCTCAAACAAACTCCGAGATACTGTAGAGATCTAGAGAATTGTTTTGTTTCTCCAGTCTCCAATCTCCCCTTCTCCATCCTTCCTAACGCGAGTCAGCTAGACGCAGCTCCACTCCCAGGATGTCTTCCTCCCTCAAAGCTTAGCATCCCGATTGACGTTTGAGCTAAAGCTTCTGATCTGTCCTGTCCTGTCCTGTATCTCCGTCCGTAGCCTCACTTCTTCCTCCATCCCTCGCTGCTTTTTCCTTCTTGTTTGTTTACGGAGGAAGTGTGCCGAATGAATCCACTCTCCACTCACAATTTCGTATTATTGCTTATCTCATTTTTTTTCTTCCACTCTCACTCACTCTGCACTCACTCTGCACTTCACTCTGCTAGCCTGGCCGCCCTAAGCGGCCTTCCCGGTCCTCCCGACTTTTATGCGGCGGATCTTTTCTTTATTTCTCGCACCTAGGTATAATTTTTCTATGCGGCATTTTTGCACTCATCACGTGGACGATCTCCATATTTTCCCAAGCAGATCTTCTTCCTAGCTGTTGCAGCTTTTTGCCTGCCTGCAGAGAAGGCTTTCGAATCCTTCTTTCCTGTCGCAAAGATGGGATGCAAGCGTGTGGGGGGGCTAACCTCGAAATTTTCCTTCACGCACGTTGGGGGTTGAAGTGAAGGGGAGGAAATGTTTCAAGACAAGCCAACCCCCCATGGGTCCGGGAATAAATGACAATCGTTCAAGATTCTTGGCAGGCACAGACGTGACAGGTAATTTTACCATCCACCTTTCCACGATCGCCACGGGTCGTGATTGGACGGAAGCGGATATCAGCCGCTGAGATCAGATAGCTGCATGGGGTGGGAACGGTAACGGGGGAGCTCCAGATTCTGTGATGGTGCAGCAAGATTGTCGAGCGCCGTGTTTCATACCCTTTGCCTGGCTGGCTGGCTGGCCCTTGGGAAGCTTATTTGAGTGCGTGAGTAGCAAGGACGGAGAAGGGTCGTCGTCGTCGTCGGCGTCGTTGTTTTGTTTCAGTCTGAAGAATTCTTATCTGTCGGAACGGAAGAACACAGACTCGATTTTTCTAGATGAACTTCTTGTCACGTCGGACTGGTGTTTGAGAGCGCGGCATTTACAGGATGGATAGGATGGATGGGAGGATCCGGTATCTATCAAGGTGAGGAAGATATCGGATGCCTTCGAGACGTGAATCAATCGTCCACCCTCTAAAGGTAGATCTTCTCTTGGACGGCGGCACTCTGAAGGGAAACTCAGTTCCTGATTCAGTATTCGCCATGCCTTTGCCAATGGCAGCAGACGCTTGGGATGTATCGGCTCTCGAATCGTGTTCATTCCTCTACTGTAGCTAACACAGTACCAAGATGCCAATGCCCACGCTTTCCTTACTCATACACTCATCACTCGCTGCTCTTACACCACCACTACCACCCTTCCCTTCGTACATTAAATCTTCAACCAACCTGGGTAAGTACAGTAAGTAATCAACACATGATGAATAATCGTCTTCGTCGTACAACGGGCATTACAACCACCGCGCTCTCGTTCTCGGAAATCGCGGAACCTCAACCCCAGCAAGAAAAAGCACCCCGAATTGCGGCTTTTAAAAAGTTCGCTGTAAGCTCTATCGCGAATGCCCTCAAGTGAAAAGCGGTGAGTGAGTGAGTGAGTGACTGAGTAAGGGAACTGCACTCGTGCCCTCCTACTTGCCGGATATCCAGGAGCCGGAGATGCAGGGCGGAGAATTTTTTTTTCTTTCTATTTGTACGGTAGAGCATGCTAACAAGGGTATGAATGAAATAATGCCTCATTGAAATCTATTTTTTACTGTACTGCACTGTACTCGCATGTCTGTCTGTCTGTCTGGCTGGCTGTCGGCATCACCCAAGAAGCGAGTGAGCGAGCGAGGGAAGGAAAGTCTGGAGGCGTCTGTCTCTCGCAAGACCTGCACGATAGGCGAGAAACGGGTGAGCAAGGCAAGGCAAGGCAAGACTAGGGTACTGTAGCAAAAAAAAGTCCCTCATAACGATGGTGAGGCGTTCAAGAGTTTTCGCTCTCCTTCAGAAAAGCCATGCCATGGGATTGAGGCATTTGGCGTTTACAAAAATTCTCTTCTTCTTCTTCTTTTCTCTCACTCACGCATCCATGAACGAAACTGGGATTTTTCTTGAGTGATTGCTTGATTGATTGCTCAAATGAGTAACGGCAAGGTACAACGGCAAGGTATCTTTTTTTTTCCCTTCCAAGAAAAAAGAGGAGAGATAAGCGACAAGATGAGAGTTGCACGGCGACGCGATTACGAAACTGATTGAGCGAGGCAGCTGGGTGAGGTGAGTTCAACGGTAAATTGGCAACGGCAGATTTTTTTTCTTTCTTGTCTTTGTTTTTGGTTTTGGTTTTGGTTTTGGTTTTTGGGGGTGGAGAGCTGAAAATTGTTTTGATTCAGCTGGTTCAGCGTATGTTTGCTTTTAGTGAGTGTTGGTGAAATGAGGTATATATGACATCCGAGGCCCCTCTCTTTTTTCCTGGGATTTTCCATCGAAAAAAATCGACGGAGAAGGTTCGTCGGAATCAAGTCAAATCAAGGACAGGAAGAAGGGGACGGGCCGTTGCTTTGTTGATGTTCATCTCCCGTTTGATTGAGCTGGAATTCTACGAAAGAGCCTCCAATTCTGGACCTCGGCGCGAATTTCCTCGCTTCTCAATTGTTTTATTGCGTTTCATGCGAGTCGATTTTTCGATTTTTCTCACAATTCTATCCAAGCCAAAATAAAAACGGGGTCATTAACAGCAAGTTGCGTTCTGATTCCTCTTTCATCTTCCAATTTCTGATAAGAAAACTCACGGACAATCCCATTCTTTCATTTCTCCCACTCTTCAGCAAAACCAAGATCGGCGGCCAAGTATGCCTGCCTATCTCTCTATCTGCCCGACAATCATCAAAAACACGCAAACAGATGCAAGCTCCTCTTGGCATCTCACCGCGTTCTCTCATATATACCATTTCACTGTACTGCAAAATGTCTTTCCACATGTTCTGGACCCAGTCAGGTGAAAAATGGCAATCATCGAAGATAAATCCGCACCAGGGACACTGCACCTCATTGACGAAAATGGCGACCTACACGTCAAACACTCCACCTCCACCAAAGACATCGTCCTAATCCCCATCCCCTCCGGTACCTTCCCTCTCCCTCTCCCCTTTCCTCATCACGTGCTAACAACTCCCAAGACGACCCAGAAGACCCCCTCAACTGGCCCCTCCCCCGCAAACTCCTCCAAACCTCCTGCGTCGTCCTCTACACCATCATGATGGTCTTCCCCTCCTCCGCCGTCTACTCCGTCACGACCCCCATCTCAAAAGCCACCCACCTCACCGTCAACGACCTCGTCTCCGGCACCGGCGCCATGTTCCTCTTCTACGGCTGGGGCTGCATCATCTGGCAAGCCTTCGCCCTACAATACGGCAAACGCCCCGCGTACCTGCTCTCCATGTGCGTGTCCATCGTCATCATGGGCGTCACGCCGCTGTGCACGACGAATGGGCCGTATCTCGCGACGAAGATCCTGCAGGGCTTTTTTGGGGCGCCGGTCGAGAGTCTGTGTGAGATTTCGATGACGGATATTTGGTTCTCTCATGAGCGGCCGTTATGGTTGGCGGTGTATGGACTCAGTTTGGCGGCCAGTGGGAAGTTGGCGCCGGTTTTCGCGGCGTTTATTAATACGGGGATGGGGTGGCGGTGGACGCTTTGGTGGTGTGCGATTGGGATGGGGGTTGCGTTTGTGTATTGTTTTTTGTTGATGGAGGAGACGAATTATGATCGGAAGGTGAGTTTGGTGGAGAGTAGTTCGGATGAGGGTTCTGAGCCTGCAGTTATGAGCGGAGATGAGAAAGCAGGAGAGAAGAGCGTCCCTGCGGCTGTGGTAGAGACTGGTCAAGTCACTTACCCGAGGAAAACGTACTGGCAAAAACTCTCCTTGACAGGAGACAAGAAACGCCCAAATCGACTGCTGGAAATCATGTGGTCGCCCTTCAAATTCTTCACGTTTCCCGTGGTCGTCTGGGCGGGATTCATGTACGGAACCAACGCCCTCGTCTGGCCTGGGATCTTGAACGCTACTGCCAGTCCAACATACACGAAAGTCTACGGATTCGACAGCAACGATGTTGGATTTGCCTATTTCGGGGCTGTGGTTGGTATGATTCTTGGGTACGTTCCATTCCCCTTTTTCTGAGAAGCAATGGCTAAAGCATGAACAGCTCCCTATGGGTAACCTGGTTCGGACCCTACCTCGTCCTCCGCCTCGCCCGCCGCAACAACGGCATCGCAGAACCAGAACACATCCTATACCTCTTCCTCGCCTCCCTAATCAGCGTCCCCTTCGCCATGCTGCTCTGGGGTCTCGGCTCCACCTCCAAAATCCACTGGTTCGGCCTCGTATTCGCGCAATGCATCCTCGCCATCTCGTCTACCCTCTGTCTCTCAACAGCGATCCAGTACGCTACCTCAGCGTATCGCGATCTAGGCGGGGAGTTGATTACAACCATTATTTTGATCAGGAATACGTTGAGCTTTGCGATTAATTATGGGATTACGCCGTGGATTGAGGCGGAAGGGCAGAGGGAAACGTTTATTACGGTCGCGTGCATTGCGTTGCTTTGTAATGCGACGATGTTTCCGGCGATTTGGTGGGGGAAGGGGTTCAGGGTTAGGAGTGCGGGGACGTATTGGGGGTGGGTGGAGAGTGCGAGGGCGAAGGGGTTGAGTCATTGAGTTGAGGCGTGAAAGCGGTGAGAATTGTGGAAGAAGGATAAAGATGCGAGTAATGAATCACTAACTACATGGTGTATATACATAGATCTCTGTACATAGCTTACATAGCAGAACGGCTAATATGTACTAAATCAGACGACCCTGAAACTCCCTAAGCTGCGCGTATCCTGCAACCTTCTTACAGAGAAATAACAGGTACATCCATGGAATTGTCATTTGGAAAAGCTGAATCTGGGTTCAGAGCCAGTGCATTGAGGACATCGATTGCTTCACTGCAGAGAATACTGGTAAGTTGCATATCTTCTCCAGACCCCAGACAAGGAAAGCTTGAACTCACAATTGCGTTCTACCCGTCGCCGCTGTATACTTCGGTCCATCCCAACTCGACCCATAAAGCAGCGGTTTCGTCGCATTATCGCTATCATAGTTGACGAGACTCCAGTACTGAATATTGACGTACTGCCTAATAGCGTCTTGCACGTCGGCGTCCATGAAGGGGTACACGAAGTGGAGACGACGGATGAGAACAGACTGTATACCAACGACCTTGGTGGAGGTATTGGAGGTATGGAGTAGGACGCCCTGGTTGGTGTTCCATATATTGGTGGTAAGGCTCGAAGTGAGGGTTTTGCGGGCGATGGTAAGAGCTGTGGCGTTGGAGGTCAGGTTGGAGAGGAGGGTATAGGCCGCTATGTAGTTGCCAGTGGTTTCTACCAAACATTAGCCTTTATAAGGGTAGGTTGGAGTGAGGGGAGGAAATAGACGGACGCAGGACAACGAAGTGGTATTCCCTCGAGCAGTTCTTCCCGTTTATCGGACCATTAATAAATCCGCTAGAGAGATCAATCATGAAGCGATCCATGAATTGCAACGCATCATAGCTCCGGTTACAGTACCACATGTTGGAGGTAATTTGGCACAGCTTTGCGGAGAGGAGAGCGTAGACAGCTGTCGAGCCGGAATCAATGTTTGGTTGGCTGGCAGCTTCAAATGCACCCGGTTGGTCGTGTTCTGATGGAAATCCGTTCTGCCAATCTTTGAGGGATGATGTTTTAGTGCGAGCTGGTTGATGCCATGACCAAGAGTGACTTACAAACACCGCCGTACATGCTCTTACCATCACACGTCGACACCAGCGTATTGTTCGGAAAGTGAGTACCTTTGAGATAACCTTCTTCAATAACGGTCTCATTTATGAACCCATGGTTAGAAACAAACTGTTCGTGTCAGCCAAGTCATAAAAAACCGCGGAGTTGATATACATCATGGACGCTCTTAGCATTCTGGAGATAATCCTCGTCTCCATAGGCCGCATACCCCTCCAGACTTGTCAGCGCGGCCCATCCCGCATCATCATTAAAACAGTCGACGAGCGGGCTATGCCAGTACTCGTAGCAGCCTCCGGGATGATCAGCGTAGTAAGTTTCATTGCTGTTAAAGGCATCGTAAAATGTCCTTGTTTTGTGGTCAAAGTCCCATTGTGCAACGGTGGCGAGAGCGTTTTGGCCGAGCCAGCCAGATGGGAAGCTGGGTGATGCGAGGAGAGCGTGGATGCTGGCAAGGGAGTCTTGGTCGATGTTGCTTCGTGACTGTTGGAAAGTTGGGCTAACGTAGGTTGTGTTGAGGATGGTGGAGGCCCAAATGAGTGAGGATGCAAAAGTTAGTAAATGGAGTATTAAGACAATGTTCAGCATTATGGATATTGTGCGTAGATTTTGCCAAGAGCGACGGTGCGACCCCAAAGATTGGAGAAGGGTTCCACCCCATATACTTAAATTACTTCTATGCTATGATAACATTGCACTGATATTCCTACATCAAAAAGTCAAAAAGAAATCCTTTGTGGCTGAAGTTATCGCAGCGTATATTTCCAGGGATCTATTTCGGGATTTGACGTACATCGCAATTGATAGTTGTAGAACGACACAGTGATTCGGCACAGGGTTCAGAACAGCGACTTTTAGCTCCCTCTAGCGATTACTGATCTTCCACTTTGCCACAATTCAGGATTTCAGCCTCAGTACGCGTCGCGCTTCTTGAAGCTTGTTTTTTCATGTACCAGGTTATACAATTACTACGATGGCGTGCATCGTGTTAGATTATAATGTGAGGATTCTCCTAGCGATTTGCTTTTGGGGGCGAGGGGCGGGCATCCAAAGTTGTAAATATGCAGATACGTTAAGAGTAAGTGAACAAATCGAGGGAGAAAACGTGAATTCATCGAGTTGTTTCGAGTTGGCGATGGAGGTCGTAAATCTAAAGTCGTGGAAGAGAAGTGAAAGATAGACATCGTGGATTACCGACTGCCTAGGTTCGTTTCGCTACTCTCTCTCAAAACTATATATACCTCTGTTTGTGCATATCCTTTCTACATGAAAAAAAGACGGCAAAGAGTGCAATTGGGGTCTCCGGGCTCTGAAGCGTGCGTTGACACTTCTTTCTCTGCGCCGGGCGATTTCACTTAACTCATTATCTTTTCGTTGTCAATCTTTACTTCACTTTCACTTTTCATATCCAATCTTCGCTGCTTCTTATAAGAGCTTTGATTTCCGGTCTCAAATTGGGGCCACACATTCCGTATATTCGAATTAAACCCACTGAAGTGAAGTGTCGCCTTATGGACGGTTGTCAGCGGCTACCAAGCGGACTTGGCTTGCTTCAAGAGCTGAATTGGCTTTAGCTATGCATATACGAGTGAGGATGGTTGTATTCATATACTTCCAAGAAGTCTGAGAGCAGCGCTCTGAGGCGAATGAGAAGGAAAGGGAATTTTAACGCGACATCTACGGTAGGTGTGTGATGCGGCAAAGGGGAGCCTGAGAGAGGTGGGACTGGTATATAAAGGATAGTGAGTTTCCGAGAGTTTAAAAAAAAGTACAGAGTCGAAGGAAATTGAGTCCGGCACGACAATGGAAGCCAGATAGGCGTTCTTAGAACTCGGGCTGCTTCTTGTCATCTTTCGTAGCTTAATGGGGAAAACTTTCGACCATACTGTGAGCATTTGATCCCTGGTTCCTGGCAAGTTCGCTGTCAATATTCCATGCTTGTTGTCAAATTTACTTCCACACCTCCGGACAGAATTTTTTTATCTAAGCTCTAGAGCTATTCAATACTCGATCGAAAAGAAAGTTTTAAAAGCGACAGCATAAGCCACGTTCCTATTGATTCGTTAGTTAACTATGACGATGTTGAATTCAGGAGCTGACAGTCGCTGTTCGGAAGTCTGGGTGTGTACTGTATTCTGGCCCACACGTCGAATAAAGGGGTGCTTTTATACTCCTCTGGTGCAAACACGAAACACCTTTTCACTTGAAGTGTTTGTTAAAGTGAATGAAAGATCTCATTTCCTTTCAAGCTGTCCTACCTTTCAAATTCGTTGAGTGAATCAATAACACTCAGCGTCCACTTCTCTCATTGGGTCAGGAGGTCTATGAATCGGCCTTTTGGCACAACGATGTGATCAACCAAATACTCTATCATAAAATTCACTAATCGCACTTCTTGACTCACAACCTCAGCGGAGCAAAAAACGACCGACCGCCGAGAAGTATAAATAAACCAGACGGCACGGAGAAGCTTGAACCTCCGTCCAAACGCACGCAACTAGAAACTCGTCACCTCATTTGAGGGCCATAGGAACTTGAGTGGGGGAGTAGTCGCTAGGACGAAGATACCAGAGACGTTTTGAGTAAAGTTAAGGGAGAAAGTCGGGGGATGCGTTATGAGAAAACGAAAGTCATCGGTGGTAATGCGTTGTTGTCAACAAATGTGCATGCTTTTATTGAGTTGAGGTGATCTAATTGTGGGAGAGTCTAGACAGGCAGCGTGACTAGAATCGTCGGACAGATTTTGCTGATTTCACTTTCATTGACGGAACTTAAGTCTAATCTAAGATGTTTGTTCACTGTCAAGTGAAATCTCATTGTCATCCATCTGAATATCAATCATTAACGACAGCAACACCTCGTCCCGGCACCACCAAGTGTATAACGGCTAACTGGTTGTCTTCTATGGATCAGTAAAACTATCTTTTAAAAACTGCGAAGAATCACCACAACATCGTCACCTCAAGACCCAGAATGGACCGGGCGTTGTTGGGGTTAGCAGAAGACATTGGTCACGTTAATTAAAGGACGACGACTCGAAAAGAAAGGGAGTTTTTATACCCTCGAGTCCCGATTGAATATTCACCCCTGCCTAGGAGCAACGTTTTACACTTCAATTGAATAGTAGCAGAACAGTTTTGATGGTTTGTGTTGTGACTATCGGGTTTAAGGTGAAGTTGTATATGGCTTGTCATTCTTTTCACTAGAAAGTGAACCCCTTTGTCATATTTGGAACACAAAGTATCAATATTTTGTAAAGTTCCTTAAAATCAGCAATAGCATTCTGAAGTCTGGCACCAAAGCCAGGGTTTATCACTATAAAAACCAAATCTTTATCCCAAAAAATTACATACTCTGAGTATTTAATGCTAGAGTCAGGACTTGTCGCCCCTAAAAGTCGCAAATTGATTCGAAATATCTGCAACTTTGAATCTCTGGCCCTAGAGTAAGACCTTCGAGCTTGAGATATGATTTCCCTATCCTAGATATTTACACACTTTGAATGTCTAGTATTAGAGCCAGGATGTTGACCCTAACATATCACACTTCTATCCTAAACACTTACACACATCAGATATTTGGTACCAGAGTCGGGCCTTTCAGCATTAAGCTGTCGCATCTTCATCCCAAACATCCATGCACTCCGAATATCTAGTTCCATACTCAAGACTTGCCGCCCCGAGAAGTCGCACCTTCACCCCAAACAGCCGCAGACCTCGAGACCCCTGCCAAGTCAAACACAAGCGATGAACCCCTTTCGTAAGCGAGCACCCTCCAAACCAAGGCCAAACCAACCAAAAGAGTGAAACACCACTAACTCTTCAAACAAATCCGAAGCCGCTTTATCATAATCCACGATAACCTTTTCGAGTTCGTCCCCTCGCTGCTTCTCACATCTCATCTAGCGCTCCGCTGTCAAACGGTAAGCGTACCCCACGACCCCACTTGGGCTCAGCCCTATGAGCCACACTAATTCAAACCGCCTGCTCCGCTACAGCTCATCGGGTTTTCTCCTCTCCACTATGTATAATGCAGTGACGGTCTCCGAAAATTTATCAGAGATGATGCGATATTTCACAAAGTGATGACGGGAATATAAGGAACGGGCCCAAAGATGTTGCTACTTGGGATACGTCAGTGTTTGTGGAAGCCACAAAGAAGAATCAGACGACGCGAAAAACAATTCTAGAAGACGTCAAGAAGAATTCGAGAAAGGCGCTAGAATTTTGAATGAGACGAAATCTGGATCTCGGTTTTGACCCGAAATTCTGTCACCAATGATGGGGTCTTCGACTCTTAGCCGAGTCTAATCTAAAGTAGTGATTGGCTTTGTTGCGCGTTTTGGGGGTCTGAGGGCAGTTTCTCTTTTGTGCACTCTTCTCAGGGTCTCCACTGGTATCAAAAATTGTCTTATCTTAGCGTCGCGAACAATCTGTATTCCCTGATCGACCTAGTCGGATTTGGGAACATTTCTTCATTCCATCATCACTTGCGGGAGATATCATGTGGAGAAAGCTAAGTGAATTGCCAGAACAGATATGCCATTTCACCGTGAGCTAAAAGAATAAGACTCCTTTGCAAGTGCCACCTGATTAGGCACGGGTATCATATATATGACGTTACGACTGGTGAAGAGAACACCCCACCACGAAACGTTCGGGTACCAGCACTTAGCCAAAAGTACTAGGAGGAAACAGAGATGACATTGTCTACGCCATCGGGCATACTAATAATCGATGACAGAGTACCCGATGCACTTGTAACTCCCGTAGTAGTGTTTGGACTAGTCTGGCTCTTCGTCCATAACGAATTTCACACTACCAAAGGTGAGATCGTCGTCCTCAGAAAACTGTCAAGTTGTAGCTTGTATCAAGTGAAGATGCATGAGGTACATTCGAAACTATAAGCGATGTCGATGATTTAACGTGCCGAATGTTTTTGAGATGACACGACATCACGGATAGCTTCCGGGTCGGGCGAGCTCCTGGTGCTAACCATATTTGGGTGTGGAGAATCTCTCAAAAGAACATCTCGCCTGTCATCGGCCGAATGGACGGGGAAAAGCCGTAGAGGACCACAATCACACCCTCGAACAAAGTGCCTTTACTTTGCAAAATTGCAGCATGTGAAACTGCATCATTTTGTCTGATTGTTGTCCAAAAAGCTTTCCGGGCATCAAGCGGGCGCTCAGTCTTCGTCGGCAGATGAAATTTCTGCATCTTGTAGGTCACCGTCTTTCGCATCAATGCGGATGAAGATCGACGACAGGGCTGCGCAAAGGTAGAGTCCCTGCATCAATTAACATTTCATGCTTCTCCAATTTCCGATGTCTAATCTCACCGCCGCTACGAAAAATGGCAGAGCCCACCAAAATTTAGTGAGCCTCAAGGAGGAGGCAAAAATCTGCTGCATGGCGGGGTCGCCAACAGCATGGCCCAAGCTCTCGAACACCACGATAGCAGCGAAAAAAGTCCCTTTCGTATCATCCGAGATCCAGTAGGAGACCAGCGAGAGTGCTGATACTCTACTCCCAAAGCCAGAAGCGAAGATGAAGACGCCTATGTGTGTCAAAGATGGAGAAATGCTCGAGGGAGGGGTAGTTGGGTACCTAAGGGCAAAAGAATACCGCTTTGCGCAAGGCCAATAGCCAGACAACCAATGCACATCATTGTTACACTCGTTCTGACAAGGAATAGATCAATGACTTGAGGGCGAACGTCGTACTTTTTGCGGATGTAAGCTGATAGTTGAGGGATGAGGAACAGGAATAGAAAGATGTTGACGATTGCTGTCTCGGTGTAGAAGGTCGCTCCGGTGGAGATCTTAATGCCAAACCGGACAGAAGCATATTGTATGAGGATATTGAGAGTAGTATATCTGAAGATACCAACAAGGAAAACAGGCACAACCAAAAGTACATTGATGTTTGAAAGCGGTGATAAAATATCTCGAACGCCTGAAGACTTGTTGGAGTGGCCTGTTTCCCCGACGGCAGACACATCCCGTGTGTTTGGCATAAGAGCGAGGAGTAGGAGGCAGGCGAAAAGAGACGCCATTGCAAGGCTGCAAGGTATCCATGGAGATATGTCAATCGTGACTGAAGCCAGGAACGAAGCGATAAGCTCCGCGACATAGAATGCAGAGAAGATATAGTAGAATGCATGACTTCTATTCAATTTGTCAGCAATCATATCTGAATCTCTAGATATGATACATGCCTTCTGTCTGATGGCATAGACTCTGCAGCCAGTGCCCACATATATGCGGATGCTGCGTTCAACCCGCCCCCACACAACAGCAAGACGGATGAGAACCACACAAAGCGAAGTGGAAAGACTTGAGGAAATGCACCTGAGAAGAATTGTTAGCTACCATAAATCACTTCACGTTCTCGAATGCAATATTTCTTACAAACGAAGAATATCTCGACAAGAGATAGCACTACACCCAACACGGCCAGAGCCATGATCTTTCTCCTCCCAAGGCGATCTCCTAGCCTTCCAAATGGAATAGCGACAAGGAGGACTATCTGTGAATTAGTAATTGTCTATGAAGTTGAACGGGGCAACACTCACCGGCGATCATATCAAAAGATGACTTCCAACCCCTGATTGTCGCGAGTGGGCGTTGAATTTCAGGCACCTTGCATAAGATCTCTTCAACGCCCGCAATTGGAAAGTCATAGAACGTAAGACATAGCAAATTCTCGAAAAGCTTAATCAAAGGTGCAACCAAAATCATTTCACAGAATGCAAGTAGAAAATGGATGGCTATAAAATAGAGGACGACATGGCTGAAGGTTGGTGGGGATGTCAGACTGGTTCCAGCTTCGTCTGCTTCATTACGTCTATTCTCGTGAACAAGCAGGTGCTCTTGCTCAGCATTATCGGCGTCTCTATTGTTGATGGTCATTACACTGCGCTCTTGGCTTTATCGAAGGGTTTGGAGGAATGAGGTTGGTTCTCTGTAGAGGACGAAAGAGGAAAGGTGAGAAGATGCTCACCGCTTTGGCAGAAAGAGATTTGTCAATTTCCAGGTTCAAATGACAAGTACTGTAGCACATACGATTGAGAAGCCTTGTGTCTCTGATTCGTGATTAGTGAATCAGAGTCATTGCCTTAGGCTTCTTGTTGACGGGTGAAGCCAGGCTTGTGCCGTTGAAGCTGGCTTGCATTGATGCACTCCCAGGTTGCGCGAGATTGAAACGCGTGACTTCGGCTTTCCTTGAAAGGATTTCTTTTAACTTGGATACTTTTCTCAAAGAGGCACTCAAAATTTCCTACTTAGCAGTTGGTCCCCAGCGTTTTCTTTTGTCTTCAATATAGCCATGTGTCTTTGAAGTGTTACAGTCCCATCACGTGACTGACCCACCAGAATTATCGGTCAATCCAAGTGGTCAGTCTTTCTAGACCTCCAAGTGTCTAAGTACCGGAGTCTGGCGACTGTTCAGTCTCATCAAATGTGAAGAAGGCGGCAAGGCAGATTATCGAAAGCCTATCAATTCTGCCTACTCCTATGTTCCGCTGCCAGCGCTTGTTGCCTCAGTCCTCTTTGCATGCAGCTCAAAGCACAGCCTCGACGGATACCTCAGAACCTCGAAACATGTTCTCCTTCACCAGTTCTGTATCATCTTCCTCAAATATACATTTATCATTGCAGAAAACTTCGTTCCTTGCCTTCCAACTAGTAGTTGCCAATTACGTGCCATCCATCTATGCGATATCTCGAGATAGGTGCCCGTCCTCGTAGCCTCGAACTTTTCGCAGCCTCACTTTAAGGCTAGAAATCTTAGATATGTCAGAAAGTCCTCTTCCTTTTAGGAAACGTGGCAGACAAGAAGAAGACCAGGTGCTAGATCTGCCGTCCAATGCACATCGCCAGAAAATTCCTCGACTTTCGAACCCGACAGCGTCCTCTTCCAGCTCGAGCAACTCCGTTTCCTCAGCCCAGATCACGGCTCCACCAAACCCACAGTCTCAAGTTGACCATACAAATCTTTGGCTTCGAGCGCTTGGAAACCTTTCAACCAAGGACCAAGTAAGCTCAAACACTTTCATTGCATTCACAATCTCTACCAATCGTAAAGAAGTTATACTGATTCCTTGCTTGACGAACAGGAGCTCATATGGGGCCTTCAGCCTAGCCTAGACACCCGGCCGTTCTCCAAGAATGGAGTTGAGGAACTGCTTGATCTGACAAGACAAGTACTACAAAAGAGTGACGAGCGCTCTTGGAAATTCACCTTCAGGGGAAAGGTGATTATTGCAAGAGATGTACTGGCGAAGATCGTTGTCTGGCTAAACAGGTTCAAAGACGTTGGCGATGTTGCAGTCAACTTTGATCCTGTTCATGCTAGCTTACCATGGGCTGGCATAAGATTCATGTTCCAGGTACGTGAATAAAGTTGATCAAGGGACTTTATCGTTCAAGTCCTGCTGACAGTTCGTAGGCGGCAATCGGAGAGCATGAGCAAATGGGGGACTTGGTGATAGCCATCGAGAGGCTCACCTCCCTGATCCACCGAGGCGCAATCTATGAAAGACTGTACCGACCTGCAACAATACTCGGCGATGTCATTGGCCACCTTCACTCCGCTATGGTTGATTTGTATTCCATGATACTTCGGATCATGATTTTGTGTCGCCGAATATTCGCCAAGAACGCCGCAAAACGTGCTGTACATGCGCTTTTTCACCCTGGTGAGATCACCGGACTGCTTGACAAATGCGAGGAGTTAGAGACTCGAGTCGAATACGAGGCTCACAACTGCGAGCGGACACGAAGTCAGAGAGCAGATGCAGAAGTCGAAAGGCTCCTTTCGAGACTACAGGAGCCCGTACTTCCAACTGACGAAAGAGTACTGAGTCTTCTTGAGACAGCGACAGAGCGTGAACGGCTAGAAGTCCTTGACTGGACTTCAAAAGTTCTCTATGGTGCGAATCATCGAAGAGTGAGGGACAAGCGAACAACAAACACTTGCGAATGGCTTCTTGCTCACCAGCTTTATCACGAATGGCAAGAGACAAGTGCTTCAACGATTCTATGGCTCTGCGGAAATGGTGAGTTGAATGTCCCTAATCATCATAAGGACTGTCTGACTATTAATTCTACCCAAACAGCGGGAACAGGCAAAACCTTTCTCACCTCGAAAGTAATTGACGAGATTCGGACTGCCCTCGAAAATCAGCCAAATCAGGAAGCATTTGCGTTCTTTTACTGCAACAGGAACGAAGCCGATCGTCGAGAACCTCTATCAGTACTCAGGGCTTTTGTACGACAGATGTCCACGACAGCCACCGACAAAGGGTCCATTCAAAAAAACCTCGAACAATTCTATCTTGAAAATAGAATTAAAGCTTCCGAGCCTACAATGAATGACTGCAAGAAGCTTCTTCTGGAATTCATCAACATCTACCCTCGGACTACTCTCGTCTTGGATGCCTGTGACGAATGCGAGCGACACAAGCGGCTGGAATTGATGGATATATTCGACCAGCTTCTTTCTGAAGCCTCCAAACCCGTAAAGATATTCGTTTCTAGTCGGCCTGATGACGATATCAAGAAGAAACTAAAGGACCGAAGCAATATCCAGATCAATGCGAGGGACAATCATCATGATATCACTAAGTTCGTGAACAGCGAAATTGGCAAGCATCCCAATTGGCATGTCATGAGCCCTGAAATACAAGCCCAAATTGTCGATACTCTGCAAGAAAGAAGTCAAGGAATGTAAGACAAGATGATTCAGCGTCGCTTTTCGTCACTGATAAATGACAGGTTTCAATGGGCGTTCCTCCAAATCAAGCAGCTCCTGGACCTTGACTTGGAAGAGGATATTCTAGAAAGATTGGGGAAGCTTCCTGACGATCTCAAACAAGCTTATGATGAAATCTACCGATCAATGAGCAAGGCTGAAAAACGAATCGCAGATCGGGCATTTCGATGGGTCATGTGCGCATGCCATCCACTTTCGACCAAATTGCTACTCGCTGCAATCTCTCAGGATGAGAACAGCGATCTCCTCAAACATCTTGGTGGTCTTACCGAGAACTTGGTACTCAAGTACTGCCACAATCTTCTCGTCATTGACCCCGCTCGCGGAGTCTGGGTTCCCTCACACCTCTCTGTGATTGAATATCTAGAAAAGCACCTTTGGAATCTCAGCCAGGCTAGCTGCCTTGTATCAAATGTGTGTCTTTTGGTACTTCAAAATACTACCTTAAACAATCGGGAAAAGTGCTGGGGGGTGGTCGAAATGGATGATCAGACTTGGTCTCCGAAAGAGATCAACGACCCAGATGATCCACTCTCAGGGCAAAACCTCGGTTACCTCAGTTATTACGCACGGCATCACTGGCCATTACACATCCAAAGCTGCAATGATACTGATACTAGCAGTAACAGTACTCGTCTCTCTAGCCGCCTCAAAGCATTTCTTGGGTTACCAACAAACAGTAGTGCTGCATATAGGTGCTGGCACAGGATGGTGGAAATGGATGTTTACAATTACGCAGCGCCCGATACCACTGTATTTTACAGTAGCAACAATTGTGAAGATCTAAATCCTGCTTCTATGGCAAGTTTTGCATATTGTGCTTTTGGGCTCTCAGACATTCTACCAGATTGGTTTGACTTCGATTGGGTGAACGATGAGATCAGGACACTCCAGGGTACGAGTTTTCTTGGGATCGCAGCATCTTCTGGATCGATTTCTACTTGCGAAACGCTCTTGGAACATGGAGCGGAGGTAGATACTCAAACTAGGTCTTACTTCGGAAGTGCATTAGCTGCTGCTGCTTATTGGGGTAAGGAAGAGGTGGTCGAGTTTTTGATAAGAGAGGGAGGTGCAGATATCAATATGCAATTGCAACATGGGATGTATGGGAGTGCATTAGCTGCTGCTGCTTATTGGGGTAAGAAAGAGGTGGTCGAAATTTTAATAAGAGAGGGAGGTGCAAATATTAATATGCAATTGCAACATGGGATATATGGGAGTGCGCTGGCAGCTGCTGTAAGCGGCCCATACATTGGCACAAGTGAAGTTAGGTATTTAGTAAAAGAAGCGGGGGCAGAAGTAAACATGCAGCTGGAGCATGGGAACTATTCGGATGCTTTAGAAGCAGCGGAACGGAATGGAAATAGTAAGGCTACAAAATGGCTGCTCAAATATAGAGAAAAGAGAGGAGAGGAGGCGAAGAGAATCAGTGAGGATAATGAAAGGGATGGGGAGGAAAGCGATGGGGAGGAGGAAGAAGACGAGTGGGAGGCGTATTATCAGGGCGAAGAAATAGAAGAAAGACAAACATAAAGATCATTAAATTTTGATAGATCCAAAAAGGTCAAAGCTTCCAATAGGAGAGCGCATTGGGGAAACAGTAAAATGAATATGTTCGAGCCTTTGCATTGTAGTTTCACACTTCTTGGCCTGAGTCAACATTATTCTAAATAGAAATAATATCGACATTTCAAAGACAGTTAGCTGCCCGGTGTTCAGAGCTTCATTCCTCGACCCAACCCCAAGCCTCTTTGAGCTGTTTCTGCACCGTAGCTGTAGGACGCGCATGATCTCGTTCTGTTCTGACAAGAATATCAAGAAGTGCTTCTTGGTCGAAACGATCTTCGAATCTATCGCCACCTAATGAATCGTCAGCAACTCCCTTGTCAATTATTGGAAACGAGACGAACAAAGCGCAATCCCCATCGAGGCCGTAAACATGCCAGGTGGAGTCCATCGATTGTACAATCCAATGCCACATAGTTCGCGTAATGTGGGCTTTATTTGCGCCTGGGTTCTCTTGTGAGCAATTATAGAAGTACATCGCGAATGCTGTGTTACTGTGAAGCTCATAGAGAAGGGCAACGAGAAATAGCGGGGTAGTGGGGTAATGAACTGGTGGGGTACCTCCATATTTCGTACAGCAACACTTCTACTCCCACCAACCCGTGGTATTCTAGGATCAAAGATACAAAGTAGGATCTGAGCTAGTTTAAGATGCTGGACACCGATGACTACGCAAATCAAATATTAGTATCACGTGAGCATAAGGGGCTACGCGAAAAGGCAGCACAAGGGTACTACTTACTGTGACACGCGTGGCTATGCCAAATCTCTGGAAAAGCCTCCCTGTCATTATTCTCTCCACCTGTTCCCTTCTCTGTCCTTACACCTCTTCGGAATATAGGCGTAAAGCTGCTTGGTTTCTCATCCTCCCACCTCTCACAAGCCGTTTTCAATTCTTCCCACTTACTTAAACTAACTCCTTCCGTACCAAAGCAGCAATTCAGAACATCGGCGCAAAGTACCACGGCCCTGTTGGCCCACCCAAAATCTGTAGTAGATGATGTAGTGCGATCAACGACGTAGTGCTCGAGGTTTATTTGCACGGAACGATGGTATAATGTTGCCATGTAGATCTCTTGTCTTAGACCAATCCAAAAAGAAGCGGTCGCCAATGAATTGTGTCGTGAAATGGGAGATGAATGAAGATTTATGGGGTGAAACAGTGATTTGACGAAGATCTGGATGCCTAGCATATGGGACTGGAGGTCTGTTTCAAGCACTACACCACTCGCAAGTTAGCCATCCTTCTCGTAAATTTGAGAATTAAGCCACTTCTAGTGAATGGTTACTCACAATCAATCTCCTCTAGCACCCTTAATATGATCGTAGCAGCAAAGAGTGTTTCATCAGACACAGTAGCAGTATTATTCAACATTGGAATGAGGTATTTCAAGCATTCCTGATGATACCTATTGCTCGCCAACGAATCGTAGGAGCCAGTAAGATTAAGATGTCGAGCCGAAAGTGCGAATATCGCATTTAGTAAAATCGGGCAAGTGCCTGCTCGTCGAGGCACCTCAACCTGAAAGTGCTGGGCAGGGTCGCAGAGATCGAGCCAAATAGCCAAGTTCTGCACGAAGTGTCGAAGCAGTCGGGCTTCTTGGGGGTCTGTTAATGGCCAGACTGGTTTGTCAAGGTAGATGGACGGGAGAGAGATCGATCTGAGGTTTTCTTGAAAAGTATTGTGGTCTTCATGGTAGATATGAGATGGTGTTTCATAGTTGGTAACAGTTCGTGGTGTAGACGAAACAGGTGAAGGCAGTTGCATGAAATCATGATGAGGGAGTCCGGGTAGCTTTGGAAGTGATGTGTATTGATGATGTTCAAAGGCTGGCGGGCTCGAGTGATCCCATGGAGGTATTGTCCGCGGGGTTGAAGGTGGATGTGACTTCAAACTTTGTGATGCCTCAGAGGGAGAGTCGAGTGATTCCTCGTGAGCAATCTGATTTGTAGAATGGGGATCGGATGTTTGCTTTGGAGTATGTTGCGGAGATAGCTCTTCATTTTCCGAATCAGAGTCGTAGTCGTAGCCGGTAGTAAGAGATGGCGTTTCTTCGACGAAGTTTACTAGAATCATAGTATTGTCAATTACTGTTGCTTCACGAGAGAGCAATTTCACGGGACGGAAGCTCTGCTTTTCAAAAATTCCGTCCTTTTTGATAATGCCATGAATTATGGCACCGAGGGGTGGTTGAAGAATGGCCAATAATGTTTGGTACTGAATGATTGAACAGAACAGGAACGACCTACAATCCGTGGCAATATTCAACCAGACCTGGTCAGCAGGAGCAGATACTGGCAAACAGTCAGACAGGATAGGGATTAGCTGCAGGTATCTATACAATTGCGCCTTCTATGAAACGGATCACTTGTGCATTGCAAGTTGCGTGATTGACAATGGCCACATTTAGGCTTAGCCTTATCACCTGCTCAAAATTAACCAAACTGCAAAAGTTCCCTAGGTAATCCTATACATTTGACTCGATCTTTTCTGCAAGTATCGCTGAACGAGGGGTCAGCAGTGGACTCAGAACCTCGAGGTAAACCCACCAAGCTCGCACCCTTGTCGTCATCGTCCACTAATAAATAAGCAAATCAGCAGAGCTGGATTCATGACTTTGTTTTCAAATGGAGCCAGAAAGGTAGAAATGGGGTGATTTCTCCACGATCTTTCTCTAAACAGAGAGCAGAAATAGGTATTTATGGCGACAGATTGCGGGGAATACTTTGCGGAATTTCCCCCGCTGTGTGAGACACAAGAGGAAAATTTCGGCAAGGAGCGGGACTAGTGTCTTGTCAAAGCCGCCGTCAGACGCCGGACATATTCTCTTCTGCTGCTCTCAATTGGGACAACTTAGATGCCATATGGAACGAAATACTATCCAAGCCTTTGATTAAGATGAAGACGAGCATAAATAACAGGAATATGTAATAAGCAAAGGAACGATGCTGTGAACTTCGATCGATTTTAAGAGTTGCGCGGAATTGGGGGTAATGTTTCATCCACATCTTGAAGCTGAACCCTAGCTACTTGGCTGAGAGTATTCTCTTTCGCACTCTTGCGCGGAATGAAGACCACAGTTTACACATAGTTGTATTCGCAAGTACGAGTCGATTCTGAAGAAGATATTGGAAATTGAAGAAAGTCGAGGTTGCTGTACAGGCGCTGAAGCGCGACCGTGGACGCGACGCGAGAAGTGGGGGCGCAATCGACGACCTTCCTTTCATCTCTTCAAAACTTCGAGCAAGAGAGATCGAAAGAACGCTGTCCCTTGGAAGTGCTCCCCATATCCAACATACTGAGGGCTCACGACATCGGCAATTGTTTCGAGTGTCTTCTGATTAGTTTCATGCGAGCCAATGTATATCCTCACGTGCGATCATTTCAATTCAATGCCGTTTCAAATAGTTGTCTATTGTGCAGTCTTATGTTTCCTGTTCATACTCCCCAAGAGCGTCATTCTACACTAATCCTTGACGCTGAAAAATCTACTGTTGTCAATCACGTGATAGAGACATTTTCTGCAGGCCGGGGTTTGATGGATATCTTGCCATTGGGGTTTTTGTTTAGTAACTCTGAACTTGCTATGCGCATGTTGTATTCATAGGTAGAAAACCATGTTTATGGTACGATTCAACGGAGCCAGCAAATCTTTGGGGCCGGACCCGTTCCCGAGTTATGTCAAAGTCAATGACACAAAGTGTTGAGATAGTCAGACATCATGATAAATGGCCATGACGATAGCTCTATGGTCAACACGCGCTGCACTTGGAGTGCTCCGTTCAAATATTCTAAATCGATAATCTAAGGGATTCCGAAAACTTAAGAATTGGGACCGTTCATTTCTTCATTTTGATGTCCCATGCAAAAAGCTGGTATGATTCTCGTCAGTATACCTTTCAAGTGCAAATGATTTCATCCCGCTATGTTCAAGTGGGACATAATCAGAATTTTCAAAGCCATTCATCAATACTACAGACACTGAGTGTGATGCTTGTCCCCACTAGTGCGCACTACGCCGCGGGAACTAGAATATGACATTTACATAGCTCTGTTACAGACATCAATTACACAAGTCTGCAAGTCTACTCATCATCTCCAAAGTCTAGTGTTCTAGTTCTGCACCCACATACACACACTGAAAATTGTATAAAAGCAGGCCTAACCCATATTTCCCTCCCTCCCTCCGAGCTTGTCAGCACAACAAAGTTCTTTATCACACTCACTATCTCGTAGCTAGCTACCTACCCCTCGCTTTCACGATGAAAATCCTTTACCACACCATCTTCTTCGCCTTCATCGGCATCTCACTCGCCCACCCCCGAAAAGATCGCCAAGATTACGGCAATAAAATCGACTACAACTCTGTCTGGAGGGAAAACTTCATGTACGAAGCCAATATCCAGTTCTCGAGCAGAGACTGGAACGTCGCCGAAGGCTTTGCACCTAGTCCTGGCAACGATTCTCATTTGGGTCCAGAACGCGGTTCTAATGTCAAGTACGACGCCGGTACTGCCAGCCTCCGGATCAATAAAGAGGGAAATCTCGTCATCCAGCCAACCAAAGACGACAGTGGACAATGGCTTTCAGGAAAGATTGAGACAGTAATGAGCTGGGTCACCAAAGCGACAACGGCGAGGTTGTTCGAAGCCAGGATCAAGGTTGGAGATGCCCTCATGGAAAACTCGCAAGGCATTTGGCCTCGCATCTATCTCATGGGCAAGACTTATAACGAAGATCAATCAAATTGGCCGAGAATGGGAGAGATTGATATTTTCGGATTGGCGAATGGCGGCGAAACGTTCACACCTACAATTCATTGCGGCGAGCCAAATGGCGGGCTTCCTTGCAGCGAACCCCAGGGATTCAAAGCGCCAAACGCCATTCCTTTTTCTCGAGGCAGTCTTCACACTGTTGGTTTGCTCATCGATAGAAGGGAATGCCCTGCGCCGGTTGCAGGGACGACAGGTGAATGTTGGGAACATGAGTCAATTAGCTGGTTCCTGGATGAGGAGCCAACATACAAGATCACTGGAAGGGAGTTTGGGGACAGGGATGCGTGGCAGAAATTGGTTCATGAGGAGATCATCATTGGGTTAGCAGTTGGTGTCGGTGGTGATGGAGTTGGCCCTCCCAATGAAGCTACTACAACGGGAGAGTCTGTGGGAATGGAGATTGACTATGTTGGTGTTTGGGAGGCCAAAGTTCACTCAAGTTGATCTTCCATCCTCGCTTCGATATCACCTTTGTGTTCTCAATTTGGGTTTGCTGTGTATTTTGGTTCTCATTTGTGGGCATATACTCGTCAAGTGAGTCTGTCTGCAGCAAATCACTCCTGCTGACATGTACATCGGCCTCTCTTGCTGAGCAGCGTCAATAACTTGAAATTGGCGACTCACATCCTTCATTACGAAAGATGTTTCCTCAACATAGATCATTCTTTTCTTTACGGACTTATGTACATATCATGCTCCCATAAAACGAAGTCTATACTGTCCACCATCTCTGCCAGGGTCCACCTCCAAAATAATTCGTGGAATATGGAAGTCAATCATCTTCTCTTGACACACTTTATACCACTCTTCCAATTGTTTCCGACGACGATCAATCATCAATTGCTTGATAGCGAGACTAGCAGCAGCAGCATAGGCCATGTCAAGTGACACGGTCAAGACTTGAAGACCTTGAAAACATTCTATGGCTTTCAGAGCCTCTTCTCCCCTGAACCCTATATGACCAGCGATACGTAAATACCGAACTGACTTGAGACCACCGTCGAGGTTATTGTCAAGGTAGGTCATCCAAGCCGTGTATTCGGACTTATAGTATTCACTCTCACATCCAAGTAGTGCGAGATCTACTGGCAAGACCAGTGTATCCAATGTTGTGTTGACACAAAGAGGTCGATCGTAGGGTTCCGCCAAAGGCTCGATATCGCCCACGTCACTCCGATAAAAGATTTGGTAGTGTGTCAGAGTCTCGATTCTGCTTTCGTGATTGATATGCAATGAAACTGGCAGTGGCTCGTTGAGTTGCTTCGAGTGAAGGGATTTCCGTTTTTTGGTAGAAGTAAAAGTCATCATAAGCAAGCCCACTTTCCTCTCTTTTGGAAATGTAAGGCGCCAAATCATCAGTCGGAGTTCGGCGGGAAGTTCGGGGAAGCAGGTGAATTCGGTGAGTGATCCCAGTGCGGAACTTGCGCTTTGTATTGCCATTGTTTGCAGCTGTATTTCGATATTAGTACCGATCACTTTAGACTGTTCCAAGGGAATACTTGCCTTGGATTGAATCTCAGATTCACTCAGCTTCGAATTACAGTCGGACTTTTCCATGATGGCTTCATTCATTATCGACAGCTGGCGAAAAGATCCACTTTTCTGTCCACAAATTGTGCCATCTACTCACAGCGATCTCGCGATCGATAGTTTAGACTTGGTAATTTGTAGAGAGGATACAGTCGTGTGGGCGAAGTTGACTGTGCTTGAGCAAATGGTTGCGGACCAAGTAGAATGAATTGCTGGTAGTTGTTATGACCGGGATCTCGACGCAGATGAATTTATCGAGTGCTGAAATCCGTGGCACTGGAAGAGATTGAATACAGATCAATCGAAATACTTCCAAAGGTGTGTGGAGCATTGCAGGTAATGGAAGGGTTAATGAACAAGGTGCGCTAACAGTAGCGGCTTTGCTGCACATGCTTGTTATCACTTTGCTGTCCTCGAATGTAGAGATATCGATTATCTAGAAACACGATTTGCTTGATCCTGGATTGAGAGTCTCTAGCAGGACGTCAAATCGTAATCTCTTCGAACTCTCACCATGTTCTTCAACACAAAGCCAAGTACTACTAACAACAACCAGCTTTCCCTTCCGACTTCCCTCTTGTCTCCGGAACTTCCGCATAAGGTCCCAACCCCGTCTGCTCCTGTACAATCTCAACAATATGACTCCGACAAGAATAATTCTTAAACTCCGTGATCAACCCCTCTTCATCAAACACAACCACCGCCGTCTCGTAGAAAGGATCGAGTGTCTGTCCCAGCACATGAAGGCGATTCTTCATCTCGCAGTAGACGGTCAACCCATCTGCGCTTGTGGATTGAGAGATAATGTGTCGATTGACGACGTGTTGGATCTTTAGGTTGTCTTGGAGGGAGGAAATGGTTGCGGTGCGGCCGAGGCTGGGTTCGTCGTATTCGCGCATGCTTTTGAGGTAGGTTGTGCAAGTTGGGCTGAAGAAGGCGCTGATTGTCTGGAATTCTTCGGGTGTCGAGGTCGGCTTTAAGCTGTCGATTGCTTGGTAGAGGTCTTTTAGTTTGGTGAGAGAATCTTTGTTCGTGGCTGCCATGATGGTGTTTGAGTCGAGGAGAGTGGTATTTGGGATCAAGTTGCTGTTTCTGGATCTCCTTTGCGTAAAGATGAAGAACGGTTCGAATCTTTTGCCAGTCCTCGAAAGCGAGTGTAAATTAAGGTCGAGTTGTTTGATCCCTCTCCTTCTACCTTTCTGATATGCGGCTTGAGTTGTTTACCTTGTGCTGGCACAGTGCTGTGAGAGATGATAGGTAAGTTGAAGCATAATATCTGAAATCAAATACAAATCATTTTGCCAAGAATTCCAAATCCAGGGCTAGTGATGATGTTTCGGCCGCCGACAGCAATCATGACAAACTAGCCCGTGAATTTGTAATTGCTTATGATTATAATGATGAAGCTTGGTCATAATCACAATCTCGCTTATTTTCTTTTGTATGAGTATTTACATAAACATAATATGCCCAAAAGTAAAGAATATAAACAAGGGTTGTCGCTACAAGATTGAAGCAAGTATTGCTATTCCGAGTCATGATGTCAATGGTTGATTGGTTGACTTCGTTATGTTGCGATACAGTATCCTTACCAGCTCTGCCAAAAGACCACTCTGAAAATCCATTTCCTATCTCTGCACTATACTTTTGTGGTGAAAAACTTGGCACTTCTAAGCACTAGTGCCTAATACCATATGCGACACTTGATCGAAACTTTTCTAAACATTCTCTACCTCCCACTGCATTTAAAAAGATACGGTATCATTGGCTAATAATAATGAATATTCGACTGGGTATTGCCTGCGCATCCTTCTAAAAAATATATTCTTCAGAACACCAACCTCCCCCATGAGATGAATCATGTAGGACAACCCATGCAATCTAGATACGTCCAAATGTCCTCAAAAGAGTGACCGCGATTACTTGACACAAATTCTTCTGTCCCAACTCAAGCCATAAGGCTCAGAGGCACCACCACATCATCTATCCTCACCCCCCAACCACCCCTGAACCCCCAAAACGCTCCCCACAACCCCCCTCAAAACATCCCACCCACTCCCTTCCCCCACTCCCTCCGCACCATCCCCAAAAGTCCCCACAGCAATAGCCGTCGCAGCAAACATACCCTTCAAGAACCTTCCCTCCGGCCTTCCCCTCGCACCCGGATTAACAACCAACAGCACAAAGAAAAAGATGCCCGGATGCAATTTCCACACCGGTAACGGGACGCTCCACATACTCTGCCAGATCGTCTGGAGCTGTAGCTGCGTCAGGGATTGCGAGAGCGGACGCCGAGAGAGGATAGCGGAGAGCAGGATTTGGGTTGTGGTGAGGAGGGCGGTGTGGATTGTGGGTTGGTGGGTGGGAGGGGGCGTGGAGGAGAGGCGGGTGGATATCCATTGTGCTGTTGCGAGGAATTTTTGGTGTGAGGGGGAGGAGGGGGGGTGCTGGGTGTGAGAGAGGTGGAGGATGGATTTTGTGAGCCAGCGGACGTCGTCTAGGATTTGGGCTGTTTCGGGAGCGATGTTGTGGATGTGGAGGTTATCGATGAAGCGTATTGGAGAGGGGAGGAAGGGGCAGTCGAGATGGATGGGGTAGGTTGTCAATGGTTGGATTAAAGTCGGCATCTCGTTCGCGTGTAGGAAGAGGGGACACTCGAGAGTGCATGCTATTTGAAAATCGGTCCTGTTGTGCGTGTAAGCGGAATCGCAGATAAATAGAAGAATGGTCAATACCGTAGGAGCATTTTTCGAAGCAGCGGAAAGGTGACATTCTGTACTCCTCCCCGCGTTCTGACCATTTCTCGCAGCCCATGCATATGCGCCAATGTGCTCCTCTCGTCCGAATATACTAGCTTTTATCACTTAGCTTGAATATCAAGTAAATTCTGGAATGGTATATCAAACCTCGTTATAAGCCAGCGACATAACAGCAGCAATAGACTCATCATTCACACCCTTGCTATGAGTAACAATATGCGCATTGATCAAACTAATAAGCCTCCCTTTCGCAGCCATAGCATCAACCGAATTCTCGACCTTGATCCGATGAGTTGCAGCTTGGAAATAAGAAGCTGTGAGGAGAGTGATATATATCGAGATCGGTGACTGCGTCATAAAAGGTAGCCATTGATCCATGAACGTCGCAGGAGGATCATGGCCATCTATCGAGCACATGAAGGGCGACAATCTTTGGATGACTGCGAGACTTTAGCAGATAAAACGTAGATAGGCAGTTGTACTTACAGAAATGAAAGAGCTCAGCATTTCGCCTCGAGGGCTCGACTGGCAATGACTCCAAAGGCCCCAAGGCAACACCTCCGCTTGGTATTACCGCATGTACATAGTGAGACTCAAACAGCTCTGGAAAGCTAGTGAATCGACCATTGCGAATGTACGAACTGATATCCAACGGATAAAAGCCGAGAATACTCACATCAGACGGATCTGGTGGCTTTGGATCTTTTCCCGGTTCTCGATATACCTCATACCAATTTGCTCTAGATAATGGTGATGTAGGTGATTGTAATGTTGGATGTTGTGCTACATAAAAGGGTGTGGTATTGCGAGAATTGGGTTCTTCATGCAGTGTTGCAAGAGCAAGGGCTTTTGATCTTCCCGCCTCAACATCTTCGACTTTTGGTCCCGCAACGTCAAGCTCGATCACTGTTTCCTTGTATTTCTTCGACTTCCTGGTTTCATGTTAACACTCTGGTCCAGCCATAGAAATGGAAAATGTATTTACTTGAAGGTTTCATAGACACACGGCACGGGTGGATAACGCCTCGAACAATTATTGCAGATCTTTTGTTGATTACACTTCATCTCACACATCAGCCATTTCCTCCCGTCAACGAATGAACATTCTAGACATCCATACCTTCTGCTTCCGTCTCCTACATTCCGTACAAGAAGTCGAAGCTCTCTGTCTCGACCTCACTTCCATTTTCTGCTCGTTCTGCTGCAGGGCGTCGGGGTTAACCATCATCACCACAGATCTTCACTTCCGAACACTCAAATAGGCGTTTCGCATCCGCGTTTGAACAGAGATTTCCGAGAAAGAGGAGACGATGCATGACAATGCACAGGGCTTGGATTGGATTATATGGTTCGAGTGTGACATGGGAGCTGAGGTGCTGCAAGGTTTCGGACTTAGTCGAATATGGGTTAGGGCGGGGCAACTATTTCGGGAGCTGAAGGAATAAAGGGGTCGGGACTCCTTCCGTTTCTGCGCTCCTCGAGGTTGTATAAAGTAACAGCTGTGTCTTCTGACGTACATTGACAGTTGAAGTCACTGTGACGACTTGCCGGATGGTTGAAAGCTTTATCAGGTACGACATGCCGTCGCGGCGATGGGGCTTTTGCAGCGACGCCAGACTCAGTCGGCGGCGGCCCTTCGGTTCGGCTGCCTGCGTCGACTTTATCATGGAATACCTCCCAAGAAGAGCTGAAGCCAAGGAGTTTTCTTGGGTCTTGAGACCGAACTTCAGCTGAGTGTCCGTGGCGAAGTTCACGAAGATGGTCCAGCCTTTGTAGACAAGTCGTCCACATAGTCTTCATCCTTCACACCATATGTTTCTGTACGACGGACAGAATAGGGCTTTTTCCGATCAGGATCACATTCCTTGCGCATGTCTTTCATATTCAGTGCATATTGCGGTGGGAGCTTGAGACCGGCAGCGCAAGAGCCGGTGTTTGCTCTCAGCAAAAGAAAGTTTATCGGCTCACCAAATGAAGTCTGGTCCAGCCTCAAGCCTTGGCGTTACTGTATGCGAGTGGAATATTGCTGTGGCTTGCTGCAGGAGCGCCTCGTGGAACATGCATGATCACATGATTTACCCCTCATGATAGACTCTTGGCTCTGCTCCTAGGTTTGGAGTTTGTAGTTTGTGAAGAGATCACAGAAGTTGAGGTGAAGGAGTTGAGCATGATAACGAGAAGCTCTCGATGATTTCAGCAGCGAAGGTTTGATTTCCATCACGTGTTGAGATCAAATTCGAATCCTCCTGGCCTACTCGCATGCAAGTCAATGTTCCATCTCCCGATATGGCAGGATCCCATCCTCCCAGCCCGCATTGAAGTACGGAAAATACTCATTATCAGTTGGGCTTGCGAAATGGCCGTATATTGGGCTTGGTAGAGGAGGTTGCTGAGGATGAGCAGTAAATCCATCCAGTGGTGGATACGCCATTGCAAGCAATCCTCCTTGCTGCATATGGGTGTCTGCGAAGGGACTATTATAGTCTTGATTTGGGCCTTGTGGTATTTCGGGAGCTGTGAAAGTAAGCGCAGGTTGAGATGGGAGATCAACTCCAGAATCGTTTGGCAGATTTCTGTATGGGGTTTGAGCCTCAGCTGGAAAAGTAGGCAAGTTTGCAAAGGACAATTGCGTTGGAGAAGTCATAGATTGAGTAACCTGAGGTGGACTTCTCGCTAATTCGCGAGATCTCTGGTGCTCGAGACAAAGCAAAGAGATCTTATCGAAAAGAGTCTATACGACGATCAGCAATCCCATCATCTCGAACTCGATTGCTAACTTACTCCTAGAGATGCTACACACTTCTCAGCAGGTACGCTTTCGCTCGCCAGTTTGATTAGTATCCGCCTCCCCTTTTCAGCGGTACTTAGTGCATCATCGAAAGTGGGATCATCAGGATTGCTAATGATAAACATGCACAAAGCCATAACGGCGAAGAACGTAATGTATACTGTGAACCAATATTCACTGATCAGAAGGCCACGATGTTCAAGACCCTCAATTAGCCATACTATCTGCATAGCGGCTTTGATACAAGAAGAGGCACAAGCGAAAGAACGCATGTCCGGCGGATCTGACGGTGATGTTCGAATAACGTGAAGAATGAACGGACGATACAACACCATCTGAACATGTGCATATGCTAGACGAAGGAGAAGTTGTGTCCTGTTATTGGTCAGTGGACGGCCCTGAAGCAGAAAAAGAATGAATTACCTAATGATTCCGGGTTGATCGCTTTCACTCTGCATTGGAGCAGAGATCTGCTTGTGCCACTCCTCAAGCTCTTTGTCAAACTCGAGGACACGGGCGTAGTTGACTCGATACGCTCGTCCAGTTCCACGACGCAACGTTCTTGGATAGATATCTTTGACAATTCTTCTCTGGATCTTCAACAAGTTGATGTGTGCAACCACAGGTGCCACCGGACGATGAGTAACTGGCACTTCGGGTCTGGTGCTTTCTGAGCCTTTCAGAAAATCTTCGGCGCACTGTGGTAGGTCCTGGTCAATATCTTCATCATCCAGGACTGTGGGCAGACCCAGCAAGGTAGTCACATATGTCTCCATTGTCTGAAGAACCCAGAATACTCTTCTTCGCGTCTCTTGCTCGATGGGGTCTAATGATGTTTCCGCACGATGTAGCCCCATTTGGAGCGAGACTGAGATCGCTGTCGAGATGTACGAGTAACATGAATGCATCAAAGCAGAGGACTGAAGATATATTATAATGCAGACCAAGGTTTGCAGCGACAACATGTCGCGACAGTTTGCTGTATCGATCAAAGCTTGTCCGGCTCGAAACCATTTCACACTTCGCATGATTAGCCATGAGTATAAGTATAGAAGGAACTACTTACCCTTTCATGTGATTGAGGCTACCAGTGGGGTGGGCCTCACTACCCGAGCCAGAGAAAAGCTCACCTATAGCCAATGTGACATATAGTAGAGGCAAGAATGCTAGCTCTTCTGTGCAATAATTCTCTGGTTTGGTAGCATAGATTCGAGTGAGAAGGTTGTTGAAAATTGGCTTGTGAATGAAGGTCATCAGACTGAAAGCATTGTCCAGGGCCATGCCAGTAAGCTGCTGGGCAGTCTCTTTGGGTGGAAGATTGAACATAATCATCGGGTCCGCTGAGAGCTGATTGGAAGGTATCGCAGATCCAAAGGCTTGCTGTAATGGTGTCTTCGAGAATGGTCCTCTTTTGGGTCGTGTTACACCAAGCAATTGACTGCATCTTTCATCGATCTGTTGCAAGAATGCGATGCCAGCAAAATCGCCGTGGTATTGACAGTGGCCTTCCTCGTCGATGCTCAACCGGCCAGCAGCCTCGATCATCGTCTCAAGGAGTTCTCCAGGATTACTCGACACTTCGGAATGGAATTCGCCTTGCCTTGAAATCAGTTGCATATCGGCAGAGGATTGGTCGTGCTTTCTCGACTCGTAGACCTGCCTCCGAATTGTTTCCGCCAGGTCATGGGAATGAATATCGAGATTAGGAAACACATCATGCAAAGCAGTAGATATATTTTGATTTTCTGACTCGAGCATCCTCACTCTCTCTTCCAATTCTTGAATGTATAATGGCCCCGAGTACTTGGACTTGCGTTGGAAAGTGTAGCTGCATTCTGTGCGACAATTCAGTGCGTCGTTCATAAAGGGTAAGATGAAAGTTGTGGGATTGGCCGACCTTGGTGTGCCAAACGACATGGCATACATGGCATTTTGCCATCGCATTTGATCTTGCGTCCTCTGCAATCATCGCAGGCCCACCGACTCCTTCTGTGAATCTTGTCTCGCTTCCTCTTTCCCCCTCCGCTTCCTCCATCCTTCTCTCCCTTGGACTCGCTCAATTGCGGCGGGCTCAGCATTCCATCCGACATATCGTCCTTGATTGAATTCATTCTGGTGACCGAAAAAGCACCATACTGGGGCACAGCATGGACTTATAAAGATTCGATAGGGAAAGCAGGCGTCTTGGCATTACCGTAAGAATGGATCCGGGAAGGAAAGTGTCTTCTCTGAACGAGATAAGCCTTGCTCGTGGGGAAAACGCTATCTTTGCTCGTGGAATACACTTGTGCAACCAACGCCGTTTGTCCAGGAACGGCCCACCAAAGCTTCTTCCCTGATGTTTTCTAGAAGGGAAGAACCACAACACGGATGCACAAAATTATGAAAACTAAGGTCGAAAAGGGAATCCGCGACGTAGAACGGTGGGAAGTCAGGAAGATAATGTGGGTAAGTGGCTGTGGTTGCACGAGGCCACAGCCGCCATGGGAAACACGAGCCTCACTTGGTGGGACAGGTGCAGGAATGCCAACTTGCCAAGACCTGGGGGAACAGCGCTGGTTGGTCGTCACGGCTCAATTCAGGGTCCACACAGGGCCCCGAGATTCTTAACATGTATACGTCAGAAGCAGATGTTTAGTGATCAGTAATAGAAGGGATCTACCGGTTCTCCCGGCACGCGAACATGACGACCCTGACCGGCGGCTTGGCATTCTAGTCGATGTCCTTTTTGCCGCAAGGCTGAAATCACGAGACCGTAGCGAGCCTTCCGAATTGTGGGCAATTATACAGTACTTTTTATAAATCATCCCCAGGACTGCGGTCCTCCCGAGGTGTCGGGTCTATTGGCCGCCGAAATCATACGTTGCCGTGCTACCGACCATGCCCTAACTCTTAGGTGCAGATATTTCTTTAATTGTCATCAATAAGTAATGCTTTTGCCAAGACCCTGTCGGTCGCGAGCGATTGTCCGCTCAGTCTCGGTCTTGGCATCTCTGAGTTCAGGAAGCGATCTGTTGAAATTCTCGAACATAAAAGAACGTTGTGTGGCGAATGATTTTGATGGAGAATCTCACATCCCAGCTATCGAAAAAGGATCTTGTTATCACAAACTCTAAACAAATCTCACCCAATCTGCGTAGCGAGAGCTGATAAAGCCCCCCTTTTTTGCCAAGACACCGTCGCTAGCTTATTTCGTCAAGCGACTGCATAATTTGGCCGAGTTACGTAGTCCATTTCCCTTGCATGCATCAGCATGTGCTGTGCCATCGGCAGTTAAAGAATCCCCGTTCACGTATCAATGGTTTCATTCTCAGATGAAGCCTTGAGGTAACGAGTACAGTATTACTTTTGGAAACTCCGAATGAGATCTTCGATTGACCATATATATACCTCTATAAACACTTTTACCATTAAGAAAGTCCTCCAGAAGATCGAAATAGAACCACCAACGCCAGTTGCCCGCTAATTTTGCTTCCAAATAATCCAACCAACAAATCCATCACGGAAGAGACTATTCTATCAAGAAGATCCATAAACGTCATCCACAGCCTGCAAAGGCCAGACCATCAACTCCCTCCACTCCTCATTCAGAGCATTCTCGATAGCCCTCACCTCCCTCCTCCCACAATCCCCAATCCACCAAAAATCCCTAAAGTCCCACAAGAACGCAAAGAAATGAGCCAGGATAACGAGAGCCCTTGGTCTCTGCTCCTTCACCAAGTCAATGAATTCCGTATACACGACCGTCGGGAAGATGATCAATCGTCTGAAGATATTACTCGTGTTTTCTTTGGCTGCTATAGACAGTTGGACGGAGCCAATATACGAAGTCGTCGTTTCATACGCTTTCTGGATCTCGTCGTTCCACGGTTCTTCCACGAGGTCCGAGTCTGTTCTCCTCAGCAGGTGGAGGAGGTCTTGGCGATTGGATTCGCGGAACAGGACAGTGTCGTCTCGGAGCCAGCCTCCGGTTTTGAGGCCGGGTGCGTTGCTGATCATGCTTCGCATGATACTGTTCCCATCGTCTGCAATGAATTTCCAAGCCTCGACATTCAATCCTCGTCCTGTGCTGCTGCTCATCTGAAGCCATTCCGTTGGTGGTGTGTAGGGTTCCATTGGTCTGTCTTGTAGTAAGGCAAAATTGATAGCTCTCAAGAAGTTCGAAGTGAGACAAGCAGCGTCCGCATTCGCACGACTCAGAACTCCTACTTCGTCCCTATGTTCTCGAAGCGTGAGGCCCATGTAGCGTTGATATGCTGCAATGTTTTCCAGGTTTCCCGGATCCAGCTTCGCTATGTGCATAGCCGTGAACGTATAGATACTGTACAACAAACTGTTATGTTTCAGTGCCACTTTGGGGATCGATACGGTCCATTCGGGGGCAGCTCGATCGCCAGGCATCGTCATAGTCTTGGAGGTGATGGCCATATAATGATGCATGAGATGGAGCTCTGTGATTCGACGGAACCGCGATTCTGGCGGCTCGTCCCAGTCGGAAGACGTTGAAGTGAGGTTTGGTGATAGTTTTGGGCGAATAGTGTAGGGTTTGGGTTTACTGCTCGTGTTGCTCGAGCCTGGTGAATTGGATCGTCCTGGAGATTGGCCTGGTCTGCCCCAGACGCAGGTTGTCTGGTGGCGGGCGCAGGAACCACATACTGGGTGTACTTCGTTGCACTGCGTTCACGTTAGAGATCTGATCTCTCTCGGAGGCTTCTCCTTGATGACGGCTGCGGCGTTTTGAATGAACAAAGACTGGTGGAAATCTCGAACAGATAGAGAATGCTCATGCTCATGCACTTGTACGAGTTTTTGTTGTTCTAGAAGCAATTCGGAAGAAGCAAGTTCACAGAGCGGAGAATTCCAAGAACGAAAGCGAGACCGAATCGAATGAAACAAACGACGTACCTTGACTCTCCTAGCTCGACACTGCTGGCAACCCGTCCGACTCTTCTTGTGGTGCAATCGCGGGGCTGTTTTGCGGGGTTCGTTTTGACTTCCAGGCACCCATCCAACAAACATAGTATCCATGACTTCTGGTTGTTTCCCCTTCTCTTTGCTGCTTTTGGGAGCTTTTGATGCGACTTGGTCGGCCGCTTCTTCACGGTTCGTTTCCTGAGTGTCAGACATGTTCGCCGGCTTATATGATTATATGTACAGAAGGAGGTATTGGTGAAGTCCTGGGCTCAGCAACTCTAATGTGTGGAGCCGATCAGTCGACAATTTGGTTGCTGGACCTTGGGGTGCTCGTGAGGGAGGGTTGAAGCTGCAAGTTTTCTAGAAGTGGATCTGACACAGGCTGTGACCGGCCACTCAGAGGCAGCGATGCGCCGCCCTGCGCCCCAGCCGCTATTCTCCATCGTCTTGAACCCATTCGAGGCTTGTCTGATAGGGCTTGGGGGCGGTTGCGCAGCAAAAGACGACCCACCCCGAGTGACTATCTGCAGTGGGTGGCCCCGCTGCACAGAGCAGAGAATCCCAGAAGATGCCCAGGAACCTGTGATCTGGCAGTGCTTGGTGGTGGTGTCATCTCGAGACCGGTATCCGATTAGGTAAAGCGCGTATGCTTAATTGTGCCGCATGCAGCTGCAAGGTTTGAAGCGACAGCCTGCATCCAACGTGCACAACAGCCAACTGCAATCCAACCCCATCCCATACGACCTGGAACAAACCAACAACATGACTGGATGCGGACCACTGGGACCGCCAGAACCACCAACGTCTAAGGAGCATTTGCCTAACTTACGTCCTCCTGCTCCTGCTCCGACCCCGCCATTATGTGCCTTCGAGGATCTGTTTTATCTCATGCAATTGCGGGTGCTTGCCGTCCGCAATGGAGCACTGGATCATCCGCCATAGGTTCACTCGTGTCACATTCCGTCCGATCCTTGACCTAGTATTCCCGAGGTCCCTCTCTAGGCCCGGTGGGCAAAGAGACCAGGCCCAAGCCGAGCCCGACTTGAGCTGGAGGGCCGATGATTTACGGCTTTACCTACCAACTTAAGGCAGCAGTTCGAAGTACTTGACCCAGCCCACCCCCTTGACAAGTCTAGCGAATGGCCATCGTATACGGCATCGATAACGGCCAATGCTATACGAGTCAGGAAAATCTGCCGCAATTAGATATACACTTGACGTCAATACTACTACCCTTTGCTCCCGCAACTTCATTTTCAGCAGTCGGCCAGGCCACTTGGCTTTCTGATTTTTGATACTCAGGCGGGCCAAAATTGACCCTTGAAGCGCCTATTCTTCCCCGTGGTGACTCAATATCCATGAGTTCTCCCTATTCTCAACAGTACGGATTGAAACTTTATTCGAACCATTTGACGATTAAAATTCCAGATTGACGCAACTACACTTGACTCTTCCAATCTCCCTCGATCCTTATGAAGAATTGTCAAAATCCACAGCAAATGTGCCATGCATCCGCCCCTGAAAGCACTCGCTTCCACCCTACTGGGCTCGCCTGTCGTACTGCCATCAAATCATCCACGATGTAACATCTACCCCTCCACCCCCAAAAGCCCCAACCTTCCGTAAAATCGCTCAAACGGGGTGGAACAACTGCTCAGCCTCGCGGAATCAAGAACTTCTGTTCAAGCTTCCACAAGCCCCCACTGGCCGCTGACGCCATCAGCACATCCCCAATGCAGACATTGCTCCACCCTGCAAACTCAGCCTCGTCATCACAGCAAGGTCCGTACAGGAATCCACACCCGTGCCCTGACTTTCTACCCCAGCTTTTATAGGTATCACAAGCCTCCTTCTCCTTTCCCTTGCCGCTCCTCATTTCAGACATCCTACCCTCCAAGATCTCCTCTGATATACTAGACGTCGATGAACGACATGCATGCTCGGCTGTATTGCATGCATCATGCACTGCAGCTGAACCTAAATTCCTCATCCGTCACCGGTGCCCCTGTCCTGCACATCTTGTGCTGTTTCTTTATGAAAATGACATAAATCCCAAACATAAGTAAGTAAGCTGATTCCCAGTGCCTTGCATCTTTAACCGTCTTCGATGCACACTCGCTTCACGGCTGGGTGCCGCGCCTTGATTCGCTCCTGTACGCTCCAGTGGGTTTGATTCGACGATCTTTTCTACGTATGCGTTGTATTTGATGTGCAGATGTCTCACATTCCCAACTTCTTTCTCGAGGTAAAATCTCAACAGGGAAGTTATAGGCTTAAAACATAGCCACTCTATATATGCAGAGATGACACCCGATATAAGGTTCATCACAGCCCAACACCAACACTACTACGCGAAAAACGACTATTTTAACGTCAAGTTGGGTGTGTCACGTGGAAGCGTCCTTCTGCTTTCGCTACCGGTGAAGGAGGAAAAGGGAGAGTTACCGAGATGCGGGATGTTTGGTACGATGAAAGACGGTGTAGGGTTGAGAGTGTGCATTCGGGAGATGGAATCGAAGACTATCCGTGCCCCCTGGCTGAGTCGGATTTACTGATTTGTGATCAGAGGTCGATATGTTGGATTTGGAACCATTGTTGGACGGAAACTGCCGCACGGTACAATGTGACATAGGGCTAGGCGAGGGACGTCTCTATCAGCCCTACTTCTCGGCATCCCTCAATGTCAAACTTAACTTAGAGGTGTTTCTCTGCCCAATTCTGAACTTCATTCCAATCTCATACCTCGAGCCTCATTTTTTCAATCCCTTCCTAACGAGTTTGGTCGTTAAAATGCCTTGCACCTCACCTTCAGCTTCCTCACACATATTGCCGGACACCAGAGGATATAAACGCCCCACTTAGACACTCATCTCCACTCATAGCCGCCCATGTAGCGACATCTTAATCGAACGCACCTTCCCTCTCCCCCGATATCATCCCATCAGCATCCTCACCGGTCGGTAGACGTGTCATAGGGCTGTGACGAAATCATTCCACTTCATCGCTCTCCGTCCACGAAGTGTTCCCACTCATCAGCTTACTGCTCCAGCTGAAACCGTGCATAAAAGGATCATGTATATTCCGGAGAGGAAAGAGCTGAAGCAAGTGAATGATAGGATTGCGAGAATGTCCGTATATCGTGAGCACAGGCGGTATTGGTGAGCTCGCCGGGTTTGGACCTTAAAAGTGAAAGTTTGAAAACATTTCAATTCGCTCAAGGTCCGGACAGACAGAGCTGACGCGAGAGAGCTGAATATGAGACGCCAGACTTGACTGTCATCGTTCGATAGTCCCCAAAAATCCGAAAACCCGCCCAAAATGAAACTCCCAAAAAAAAGAAAAACATAAAGGAACAGAAAATCAAAAATAGAAATCAAAAGCAAAACATCAACAACTCGCGCTCACCGTCGGAGACGATCGGGAGCTGCGAGCTGTTGGTGCCCAAGCGCAAAGCATTGTTGATATATCAACCATACGGCCAGCCGAGTGGTTGATGGTAGCAGCTTTGCTTATTAGATTCTATATGTGTGGTTAGCGAGTTGGTAAACAATGATAGAGGATCAGGCTGCGCTAGTATATGGATGTGGTATCGATAAGAGGCAGGCTGAGGGTTGGTGGTTTGTTGGTAGATTGTAGCATCGGTGATGACTATGCTCTTTGTTAGCTGAAGGAGGCCGATGTTAGTTCATGTATTGTATTCTATTGACAAAGGTAGGAAATTTGATTGAATTTTGAGACTGAATCGCTTCCATCAGCAATATCGCGGGTCTGTGAAGCATTCATACAGGAAGCAAGAGCTCAGCTAAGAGACCGTAACTCTCTCGCTCATGAGTGAAGCGAAGTATGAAGACTCTTGGCATCAAAAAGCTGTGAACCATCAAGTAAGGCATTCTAGATGCTAATAGCCTTTCATTTGAATCTGAAATAGCCGATCTTGATTCCCCTCCAAGACCCCTTTACAGCGTCCTGAAAAAAAAAAGCACTGCAAGAAAATCGAAAAACAGGGAAGAAAGAAGAACGAAAGGAAAAACGGAATGGCAAAACTCTTTTGGCCGGCCTGCTGGGTTTTCCCGCAGCCGAAGGGGGCCAGTGAGCAAACGTAATTTAATACGTCTTTGGGACTCGAGGAACTTTAAAGTCTTACCGGACTCCGAAGGAAAAAATGTTTATTTAACTTTATATGTGCTTTTGGCGAGGGAGCAAGATGATTGGCTAAGAGCGTTTGGGGAAAGGCGAGAAATTCACCTTTCGGTCTGATACTTAGCGGGAATGAAATGATAACATGATTGTAGAACGATTTGATGCGTACAGGAACCAGAATTTCACTTGATGTATATGCCTATTTTCAGGTATAGGAAATACTGCTCAATTCTCTTCGGGTATCTAGTAACATATCCAAAAGTTCAAAACTAACAACTCGAAACGCAGCAAAAGATTGTTCGCAAAGCACCGCAGCAGCAAAGAGACACATTTCTCGTACAAGAAGCGGACGTGGTCCGTGTCTTGATCTCCCACGCTCCTCCCCAAGCACTCAAACCTTCCCGACCTTTCTCAGTTTTGACATGTGTCGTGTCATGATGCCAGCCCCGGCAAGAACAGTTGTCATAATCGCCTCAGGCACAACGCTCAATATGACCTTTGCCACGAGGCTGTTCTTGAAGGTAGTCGATGTGAGGAAGATGTTGAGGGCAGCATAGATGTCGCGAATTCCGATGAATGGTAGGATGATAGCAACTCCATATAGTAGCTGTTTGACCCGTCAGTACCTCTGATCCTGCGTCACATAGTTGAGTACTGACCGTAGTAGCTTCAGCATAAGCCGGAGGGACGCCATAGACAGGTTCTCTGGTGTGGGGAGTCGTTAATGGAATCATTTCATAGGATTGATCCGTTTTGCGTAGCGATATGCCCACCCAGGCAGCCAGAACGCACCAAGCTAGCAACAGGATCACGATACCGAGTTTCGATAACGTTGGGGGCGTGGTCGTCTTGTTGTCGATTTCGTGGATGATTCCGATAATGATGAATACCATTCCTCCGACAACAACGCTGTGGAAACTGAGAACCTTGATCCACTCAAGCCTCGTGTTGAGTTTCGGATTGCGAGCTGTTCGTCTATCCGTCAGTTAGTTTTTGCTCTTTTAAAGGAGGAAGATGGCCCTTACGCCTCGTGAAGGACACCGAGAGCCGCAAGGAGTAATGGAGATAGTCCGATATTGTTAAGAATTAGAGTCGTGGTTGTGTCCGTCGAGTGTGTATTGTTTTGGTGGATCTCGATGAGGCTTCCTACTATCCGTAATCCACAGAATAATTGAATGGTCAACCATCCTAGAATTCCATGTCGGCCATGCTTGAAGAGACAAAATGTGATGGGTACTATGAGAATGACATAGATGACACAGGTTGCAGAAGGCAGAGAGTTTTGAGTCATTGTTATGGGAAGAGAAGAGCTTGGTTGGTTGGGATGATTGGAAGCGAATGCTTAATCAAAACACCTCTGATCTCGAGATGGGATATCTAAGCAGGTCTTTATATCATTTTGGCCCTTTTGTGCCCCCAGAGATTCGGTCAACAATAGCATGCAACTCTTGGTGGGTGGAAATTCAAATGAGAGAGGCGAAGCACTTGCTGTTCCGCACTGCGAGGCTTAACGCTGGGTCTCAGGACAGGGAATTCGGCCAGGAACAACATCCTCCTTGCCAATTAAGGACTAAGAAGGATACCAGCTGAAGACGATCTATCTCAACGATGAAACTTTGGACAGGAAAAAGGAGTAGACGCGCAAGGTTTTCGCGGATTGTTAATGGGAAAAGATAGGAAATAGTCTACACGACGTAGCAAATAGAAGGAAGCTTTTCCTTTCTGTGTTCGCTCTCGTTCCGTAAGAGGCAAAGCTTCAGGCCGTGCTTACTTGTGGGTCCCACGGCTTGCTGATTGGTGTCGCTTGGGCGACTTTGCCGCATCCCCACGTCTCAAGCTTCAGCTCCGAGCCTCACAAAATCACTCAAACCTAAAGCCACAGTCCTAAAGTCGATGAATCCGCGTCAATGCAAGGCTGTGCCTTGGCACTATCGATAGGAATGTAGATCTCAAAGGTTTAGTGAAGGGCAATATGGATCCAGTGATTCGGAACCTTTCAAGCACGATGCTGGCGCGAGGGATTTCTCACCGCCCTCATTCAGTCTGTTCTCACTTTCCGTACTTCTTTTCTCATTGCCTTCATCAGTCAGTCGTAACTCAAATCTTCATACGCAATGGCAGACCAAATCCTCTCCTATGCAATCAAGGGCATTGCTGGTGGTATTGGACTCGCATCTGAAAGCATCACCGCTCACAAGAACAAGAAGCGTGCGAAGTCGCAGGTACGCGACGAGCAGAGCAGAAGTCCCGGAGAATTGAGCCGCTCAAACTCAGACGACGAGAAGCATCACGAAGAGAAAGACGAAGACCAATGGGCTCTCGACGATGCTCAAGATGAACTCATCCCAATACATTCTCCTCCCACATCACCAGGATCGACCGAGAAACCAATTACAGACGTCAAGATTCTTATTGACATCTTCGTTCAAACACACCCTCTGCCAAACTTTGCCGACCTCCCACCGGCTCCAAGATTGCCATTCCCAGTGGTACTTCCTCAGCGACGACCAAAGAATAGAGCGCGAGGCTTCATTCGAGCTTATGCGCCAGTTCTCATGAATGCTGGTATTGACCAAGCAACATTTCTCGAGTATCTCGAGCTCTTCAACAAAGCTAGTCAAGCTTCTCCATGGCTGAATGCGATCAATTTGGCTGGACTTGCTTTCTCCTCCCTGCCTGCAGGTATCTCCATGGCGATCGGAATTGCCATCGCTATCTCAGTGAAGGTGGCTATGGAAATGCAAAGTCGTTATCGGTAAGAATCTCATCCTGCCATTATTTAGGAAATACTGACCTCAAATATAGAACAAACACATTCCTTGATCGCCTCAATGATGAATTCTTCCGTCCCCGAGGCCTCTTCTGCCTTATCCTGACCTGGAATCCCGAATCACCAGATAGTCACCACAACGTGAACCTCGCTTCAACACTCGACTCCTCATCCTCTACCCCATCATCAGGGATTTCAAAGCTTCACCACAAATTCCAATCCTCATCTGGAAGCACTTACGGCGAGCTCGAGTTCCCTGAGACCGCGCCTCTCATCTACCCAGCTCTCGATCATCTTGAATCTCAAGAAGGAGAACAAGCAATGAAGCTAAGACAAAGGCTGATAAAGAAGCATGAGTTCATTGACTCATACTGGGACAAGAGAGCACAAGCCAAGTACGCCGCAAAAAATCCAGACAGTATGCTGGCCCAAGGTCCAAAGCCAGAGTTCACCAGTCGATACGCAGATCCCAATCATCCAGCCACTAGTGGAAACTTGGTCTCGCTGCTCACTGGAGGACATATCAATCCCCCTTCACGACGAGATATGATGATGCAACGGCAGGATATGATGTGGGGACGACGGGATATGATGATGCAGCAGAGACAAGGTATGATGCAACAGAGGCAGGGTTTCGGTGGGTTTGGTCGCATGGATGCCTTTTCTGCCAGGTTGGATCCATACAACCAGTATGGAGGCAGAGGCCAAATGGCTGAGTACAATCAAAATCAACAATACAACACCAGAGACCAAATGACCAGCGGCAGGAGATCGATGGACGAAAGAGAGTATGAAGACTCCGGCGACAGAAACCCAGCTGAGCCAAGAAAGTCTATGGAAGAAAGACAAACTTCCCAGTATCTGGATCCAAACTACAACGCATATGGAAGACAGCAAATGAATGCTTCATATAGTAGTGGATATGGAGGCGGATACGGAGGTGGTCTTGGAGCATTCGGAACCTATAGCGCTCCTGCTCTTTTGAAGAAAGGAGTCAAGAAGGTCTTGGGAAAGGCATGTAATCTGAAGAAAAGTGTCCTTTGTTCTTTACTAACAGTTCGCTAGAACGTTTTCTACATGATGGTTGTCAATATGCCTTCAGATGAAGATATGGTTATTGCCAATGAACATGTCGATGCATCAGACAAGGAAGCCCAGCAACAAAGTTGAGATATATGTGAATGCGCCGAATTGATGTTCTGTTTTGGTGTTTTTTACTAGATATAGATTCATATATTACGACTGATTGTTCAACTGCGGAGAGTTTTGACTGCCAAGTCAAGTGCGGGGTCAATTCCGCCCTTTCCAGTCCACCGCCGGGTTACCCCGCCATGTCATCACCACCTCTTTGAACAATTATCTTCATGGTAAACATTCTTCACAAGCCGCAGCTCTTTGGACGCCCTTTATATGACTCCAATGGTTGTCAGCGGAATGAGTGCAGATACCCGAACTGCACGAATAGTACCCGAAATACCCGACTTCCAACCATGAGCTCTTTCCGCCATGTAAGCAAATCCCGAACCCTGCAAGACAGCTATATATCAAATCCATCTCCTTCTCTCTACCAATTCCTTCAACTCTCTCACACCGCAAACAAAATTCTAACAATGACCTCCGACCAGCCTCACCTCCTCCTACACACCTACTTCCGTTCCTCCTGCACAGCCCGCGTCCGCACCGCCCTCCACCTCAAAAACCTCCCCTACGAACCCTCCTACCTCCACCTCCTGCAAAAAGAGCACCTATCCCCCACCTACTCCACCATAAACCCCTCCGCCAGCGTCCCGACCCTGACCATCACTCCCTCTTCCGGCCCCAAAATCGTAATCCGTCAATCAGTCGCCATCCTCGAATTCCTCGACGAATACTTCCCCGACACCCCACAATTATTACCACCCCTCAGCGACCCCGTAAGGCGCGCCAAGGTCCGGGAACTGGTTAATATTTTGGTAGCAGATGTGCAGCCCCCGACGAATCTGCGGAATTTGAGACGTTTGAAAAAGATCGCTAAGGGAGATGAGGAAGTTGTGAATGCGTGGGCGAAGGAGATTATGATTGAGGGGTTGAGGGCTTTTGATGCGTTGGCGGAGAAGTATAGTGAGGGAGGACGGTATAGTGTGGGAGACGAGGTTACGATGGCGGATGTGGTGCTTGCGCCGGCAGTGGAGGGGGCTTTTAGGTACGGAGTTGAAGTGAAGAGATTGGGGACTGTTTGGAGGATTTATGAGGAGATTAAGGGGATTGAGGCGTTTAGGAGAGGGAGTTGGAAGTGCCAGGAGGATACGCCTGAGGAGTTGAGGGAGAAGGAATGATAAGAAGTGGATCACAACAGAAGATAAAAGATATCCCTTTGAAGAAGCACCTCAAAAGGATAAGCATTAACAATACTGCCTATAATTTACAGTTCTCCAGCCATAACTGGTGGATGACTTTGGAAGATACCAAGTAAAGTAATCGAACTATAAAATTCAAGTAGAGAGTCCTGGCCAATCTGTTCTCAATGTCAGTCTCGTCACGACACTCACACACCGCAAAGTAAACTCACAAAACCTCGTCCTCTCCTCATTCCTCCCACTAACCCACACCTCATCACCGACACTCACAACTTTCCCCTCCCCTCCCTTCCCCACAAACCCATACCGTCCAAAAATAGGACTATACTTAACCCCCGCATCAACCCTCCTATCACTCATCAGCGCCTTAAACACCCCACCATCTTTCCCCGTTCCATTCTTCCCCGTCTCATAATCAACCGTCAAACTAGCGCACCGTCCACAATTCCCCGTCAACAGCAGCTTCGCTTCATTCGAGAAGGTTAGCTCGGACCAGAAATCCTCCGAGAATGCGGGCTCGGACGTCCTCACGACGATGTTGGAGCGGAATTTCGTGAGGTCGCAGGATACGTCTTCCGGGAGGCGGGTCGAAACGTCTGCGACTGATGGCTCGCTGATTACTAGGTAAGGAGCACAGTCGTTGAATGCTATCTTTGTGTTGTCATCTTCTAGCATGGGGCCAATGAGTGGAAGGGAGCTGAGGACTTTGGTGATTGCTGTCTGGGCTTTGGGTCCTTGGTTTGAGGGTCTATTCGGAAGGTTTCCGAGCACGGAACGAGGATTGAAACCCCAGAATGCGAGGACGACTTGGAATCCAAAGCATTTTGAGAGGAAAGCGTTGTATTTCTCGCCCATGTTGTAAGCTGTTGTTGGACTACCATGCATGTTGACGTCAACCTTGTCCAAATTCTCGAAATTTTCTGGGTCGAGAGGAATCTCGATGGTCTCAGCTGGGGATGGGGTGCTTCCTGGGGGTCTGTAGGTGATTTCCAATGTGTTTTCCTTGATGGAAGGGTGGAAGAGACACATTTGTGGAAAACTGGTGACATGCATGTTTTCGAGCTTCGATTCTGTGACTTTGAGAAGCATGAATCGTCGATCGAGGTAGAAACCTTCGTGGGTCAATATTGCAGATGATACTGAACAGCCTCGCATGGACTTGATTGGGTAGATCCAAAGCTGTCTAGGAAGTGAGCAGTGAAGTCGATATGAGAGTGATATACCCTCACCTGAGCAATCTGCATGGAATTGGTACCCTTCTGTTCTAAAGCTTAGCAACAAGGCTTCTGATTTGGAAATCGCATGCTCTTACATTGCTACCGTTTGTCGTTGAAGAAGACGATTTTTGTCCACTCATAGCCTTGAATGCTTCTTTCATTGCTTGGGCTTGGCGAGCCTTTCTCGACTTGGCTCCCGAATTCTGCCCATGAAGACTGAAATACGAGATAAGTGCGACCAGAAGGGCTAGACCTCCCCAAAGCGCTTCCATTGCCATTATTTCTAGATAATTATGCTTCCACCAGCAAAAAGTGTTTGGTACCCCGGCGTATTTTGAAAGCTCGAGTGGGGGAATTGATAGATTGTGGGATCAGGTTTTGAGCCGCAAGTCCGACTGAAACTCGGAGAACAGTGCTCTGAACTTCGCAGATGACCCACCAGTTAGGTGATATGATGTGCTCAAAGGATTCTGACTCGAGATAGAAGGTCGATGTTCGAATTTACGTACGTTGCTGTTGCCGTTACCAACGCTGAATCGGGCGCGCGGAACCGAAGACCCCACTTTTGGTGAGTCTTGAATCGCATGAAGAGAACACAAACAAAATGAGCAATCCAGATAGGCAAACATCATGAGTTTGTTCGCCCAAACAAACTCAATCGTTGTTAGCAGCTTACTGAAGATGACAATCCGAGTTAAATCTTCATTGTCAATCGAGGTATAGCCAACGAGATATTATCTGCAACATTGGCCCTGAGTAGGCAGAGCGAGGGAAATGATGGAAAGAGTTGTGATTTGATCATCTTTCAAGAGGTTGGACAAGATGCAGTCAATTTACTACAGTAGGATTACCCCGATCCTTTTCCTAGTGTGCATCTTCCGCATTCTGTCTCCGTCGTATTCTCATTGGTATCTTGCCAGCTGGATGCGACACACCACTACCAAAACCCTTGAGCGTGAAGTCCTCCTTCATATCCTTGCCGTCCTTTATTATCTCACAGTCAAACAGGCTTACCATCAGAGCAGTGGTCAATAATATCTGGCGTTTCGCAAAGTGCCGGCCGGGACATTGCCGCGGTCCGCCACCGTAAGGAATCCACGACCCTTCGAGTTCTTTCGTCGAAAATGTTGGATCGCCCAGTTGTGTATTACTCTTCGATGGATATTTGAGGAATCTTCCAGCCCAGAACTGGTCGACGGGGTGCTCATTCTTCAAGCCAGTGCTCCAAGCCTCGGAATCCATGTGTGCAACTGTCGTAGGCGTGACGATGACCTTTTGCCTTGGTATGATCCAATCTCGGATATTGATTTCAGCACGGTCTGACATCCTGATGATATAAAAGTGCATTCTGAGGCGCAAAGTCTCGGCATAGACGGCTTGGAGGACTGGCAGTCGAAGCAATTGATCGATATCGAATCGAATGAGGCCGTCTGCGTCTTTGATGGCACACGTATCCACTTCGGCTCTCACCCTGACGAGTAGTTCAGGGTCCCGATATATATCAAAGATGGCCCAGGACGCAGCCGTGACGGAATTCCGCGCTCTGTACAAGATAGTTAGCTGGAAGGAGTCTCAACCTTAAGATGAAAACACAGCAACTTACGCCCAGATTGCACCAAAGTCCTCTGATGCAATAGCAGCATGGTCGAAACCGTCCATTCGGAGGAATATTTCCTGCCTCTCTCGGAAGAAACTACTTCCCCAGAATTCGTCATCACCGTCAGCATTGATGGCTGATTCATCGAAATGATCTCTCGCATGCTGTTGCCAAACTTGAACGGCCTTCAGCACCCACTTGCGAACTGCGTAGGCCCTGGGAGCGAGGAACCAAGGAATGCCTGCGAACCACGTCAGCAAAGTTCACTACTAATATATGCTTTCACCTCCGTACCTTGAAGATAAGTCTGCAAATTGCGGTCAAAATCCCAGTAGTCTTGCAGGAAATGCGGATTTAGCTTCAAGAGATGCGGGCCGCAAAGGGCATTGACGATTGAGACCGTAGTCTCATTTCCGACAACTTTCATCAAGTCTTCATGATAACCCCACTCGGATCCAATGCGATCATGTAGGCTATGTAATTGCTGCGTGATGTTGTGTGAGAACCTATTGAAGAAAGGCTGCAGTCCTTTTCCTTCGAGAAATCTGACCAAACACTGGAACACATTGTAGTCAATACGATTGCGGGCCTCTACCACGCTGCCAGGATGAGGTACATGGCCATCACCAGAATCGTCCTTTGTGTACAGACTCGATGCTTTAGCTGGTAAGCCAAAAGCGTATTCAAGAGCAAACTTGACGAATGGAATTGACGTGCATGCCCAAGAATTCTTGAAGAGGGCTTTTACATTCTCCGGTCCACGGACGACATAGAACTCTTGGGTGAGGACCTTGACTCGAGCCGGATGCAGACTCTGGAAGAAATTGCTGTGTCAGTCAGTCGTAGATTGGCCACTGGCATACGATGTGCTTACTTGCGGCTCAAAACAAAGGCTCTCGGGTTCCACAGATATGCAACGGGCAGACTTCCTAGTAGCGGGAAAATGTATGGGAACGTCAAGGGAACAACACCTTTGTTATTTTCGCGTTTCGTGTACGCTGTGAAGCTGCGACGGTTGGCAGCATACCGATGCCAGAGCGCGGCAATCAAAAGGAGAAAAAGGGCCCCAAGGTGGGTTGTCTGCAGTGCCAGAAGATCGAACGACATTGCCTCAGGATTGAACGCGTGCTATTCGTCGTTGGATTGGAGAAAAGGGGAGCTTTGAAAAGACAAGCAGACCAAACAGACCACTTTCGCGAGGCGACCACGTGAAAGAGTAAATTAGCCGCAGAGCCTCCTATGCAGCTCTTCGTAAAGGTAATTTATGGTGCATCGAGGCTGAGTGGCGCCTTGAAAGATTTAAATCGAGATGCATCTAGCAATTTGGTACAACTTCGGCATCGACATTGAGAGGCCAAGCTTTGTTATTGTTGATAGCACGGCGTGAGACCAGGCCGAATTCGGCTTAGCGCGCAATATAAGCGAGCGGCGTGAACCAACGCAAATACAGTTCTCGCACGGAATATGATGGGTTGGGGGCCAAGGCAGTCAGCGCTGCAGCAGGCTGGAGGCAATGCTATGCAGTGTCGCCCTCCACGAGAAACCAGAAATGATCGGCTGTCAGATACAGAGAAAGGCTTATTTACCCCCTTAGTCCCCAGACCCGCCTTTCTTGATTCCCAGTCTATGTATGGCAAGTACCAGGTCAAGTACAGGAGAAACATGGCAACTCCTCTGGATCATCAAGATGCTCAACGACTGATCGAATCGTCTGGCCAGATTCATATGCATGCGTTTCAAGTAAGGTGACTCCAGTTTTCCGCGCAATTTTCTTTTTCTAATCCAGCTGACATCTAAGTAGGTTGGTATTGGAGTTTTGACCGGCTTAGCACTTTGTTGCTTCTTCGTACGGCTAGCCATACGAATCAAATACCAGGGACGTCTACGTCTAGACGATGCCTTCCTGATTCTCGCTGCTTGCTGTCTATGTACGGCAACCGGCATTCTGTACCATATCTGCTATTTCTTGTATCTACACTCAGCCGCTTTGCTTGTTCCGGAAATCCTACCTTACCTTCTCGCTGATTTCAGCCAACTTCTCCTGCTCGACTCGCAAGTGTATCCCTTCCTAGCCATGATATGGACGACGACTTTTGCTGTCAAAGGATGCTTTCTAACATTCATGCGTCCGCTTGTGTGGCATATATCGAGGGGCATGAATTGGTATTACTGGTTCATAGTCACTTTCTGCGTACTATCTTGGGCATATTGCGTCGCAGATCCTTTCATCATCTGCCCATATTTTGGGCTAGAATCAGGTCAGTACCGTTCCTCCTAGCTATTGTACCAAGGCTAACTTGCAGGTAGTCAAATGCTTCAGTTCCACCGTGGACGGGAAAAAGACATTCGGACTTACAGTACTAGTTACGGTTCTGGACTTGCTTTCTGATATAATGGGTAGGTTTCATTTGATTTTGCCTACAAGCTAATTAATTGCTCTCGACTAACTTCGCTTCAGTCGTCAGTCTCCCCATCATCGTCCTCTGGAACTCGCTCCTTAGTCGATCTACCAAATTTGGCTTAGCCATATTTCTCTGCCTCTCAATCTTCATGGCAATTTGCGCTATCATCAGACTTGCCGGATTTCACTACAAAGGCCTCGAAGACGACACCTGGGAATTCTTCTGGCAGCACACGGAAGGTGCTGTGTCGGTCATGATGGCGTCTATCACGGCATTCCGCACATTGTTCATCAAGCAGCAAACCAACAATGCCGACAATGCAAAGTCACCCAATGATAATCCTGTAGAAAGCCTTTTCCGCAGGTTTTTCAGACGATTCCGATCATTGGCTGAAGCGCAGCCAGACGAGAAGCCTGCTTCGATGCAAAGAGGTCCAGTACTTCAACTCCCTAAACTGCCGTCTCCTATCTTTACTGGCATGCGCAGTTTTATTCGTGGGAATAACAGGACCACCAGGACCAAGACTGATGTTAGCGCAGCTACATCTGCTACGATTGATTCCGTGTTCGTCGGCTCAGAGGCGGACTATCATACTGCTCTTAAGACGCAGATGCGAACAGCTCCGACATCTGACCATACGGTTTGATCCATGAGCAACAGTACTAGTTGAATTCAATGCGAAGTATATCACTTGCATAATTTCGAACGAGGACTAGAATGACCGCCAAGAATACATAGCGGAGGAGTGAGATGGGTTAGCAAGCGTGCATTTTGATTCGCATGATCTTTAAATATTCTTCGTTGTGGATTTCATGACTGCTCTTCCAATCTGTAACAATCAATGCTATAAGTGCTTCCATAAGTCGTTCTTTCACCTCATATTTACAGCCAGTCACTAAACCACTGCACTGCACCTCGGAAAGCATACTCCTTTGCCAACCTCATTTCCTTTATACTCAAATCCCCTCTGACACTGAAACCATGCTCCGTCCCACTAAACACTGTACTCGTCCAAGTAACTCCAGTCCTCGTCAGCACATCCTCCGTCCCCCTTCTCTCTTCCGCTGGCAATATATCATCTCTCTCCGCCGCAAATATCGCCAACCTCTTTCCCCTCCCCAGCTTCCCAACTTCATCCATATTAAAGAAACTCGGATGATTGACGACCCCCACATCAATGACTCCAGCGCCCATAAGTCGCATCACATACCGACCCCCGAAACAATACCCCACTCCCCCAATCTTTACACCTTGACCATAAGATTCGTGGATCCAACTCACAATCTTCTCCAGAATCGGATCCGTGACCTCAGGCTCATGTCTCAACTTCCATTTCTCAAATTCAGCCTCGCCTTCGTTTTTCCACCAAGGAGGTTTCTGAAACGGATACACGTCTGAGTTTTCGACATTCTCTTTCAACGGAACAGCCAGTCCTCGAAGGTCGTAGTTCGGATCGTTCTTATCCTCGGTCCATGGGATGACTTTATGAGGATAGAGGCTGGGCTCTATGTTCTTGGGCAGGCGAGCTTGGCCGGCGAATTCATCGGGCATGATGATATCGCAATTGAGATGCGAGGCGAAGGAATCTGCTAGGAGTTGAGCGTTTGGAAGGTAGATGCCATGACCTTCTGTGAGGAAGAGTATGACTTTGTCTACCTTTAAAGTCGGGCTGGACCCTTTAAGTGCGGGTGGCTTCGCGATGTAGGTTTCGATGCCGGAGATTTCGATAACCTCGCCTGATGGGGTGCCTTCCCATATTGCGCTTGGTGTTGAAGGATCGCAACATGGATGTAGATGTTCTGTCATGGTTGCTTAGCTCAAGGGATGCTAGCAATAGCTTTTCCTTCAAGGAAGTCTTGATCTTTTATGTTCTTAGTGAGATATGCAAGGCTACGCCTTGTGATCGACGATCGGCTCAACAATGGGGTTTGCTGACATCAAGGCGCTAGATGAATGGCGACTAGAATAGAACCACAAGTAAGAACGAAAGTAAATGAACCCACGAAAGAAATGTGAAAGACTGAATGCATCAGAAAAGATTCAAAAGCAAAAAGAAATTGCAAAAGAATGAATCCTCCTGATTTGATACAAATCCTCGGACCGTGGAAGACGAAGAAGTCTAGTTGCACTCTGGTTTCCCTTGATTGCCCACCTACGTAACATCATTCGACTAAACGACTTGCTTCGAACACAAATTCTGCTATTCAGGACTATAAAGCCCTTGTCTTGGGGGTGCTAGTCGACAGCGTACATTCGGCAAATGTGACGCCAAGGCCCCCTATCCTCGCTTCTTCTTGCAATGCCAGGCGTCGGTAATACATCTATATGCCGAATCCATCTTGAGAACTTCTGCGACCATAAAATCGCAGCCAAGAGAGCAGATAGCCGACTGATCCGTACCCCGCAGCTCACCTGTGGGGCTTCCCCACATTCTGGGACAGCATAAAATACTTGGCTTCAATCTCATCTGGATAAAGTTTACCGAACTCTATCGAGCTGAATAAGGACATCATTATGCCTGGTCTTATTCAAGAAACACCATTTAAACATATCACGATCAAGGAGCTTGCTCCCACGTTCGTAGCTGAGGTTGGAGGAGTTGACTTCTCGAGGCCTGTGGAACCGGAAGTCTTTCAAGAAATCCGGGAAGCTCTAGCTAAAGTTAGTTTACTAACAATCATGAATGGAAGTTATTGACAAATCACAGTATGGAGTTTGCGTCTTCCGTAACACCGGTCTCGATGATACAAGACACGTCGAATTCTCCAGACTCTTGGGTGAACTTGACGATATCAAGCCATACTTGACCAATGGCCGCAAAGCCAAGTTCCCTTACTACGAACTCTTTGATGCTGGAAACCTGGACGATGAGGGCAATGTCATTCCAGTCGATAGTCCGAGGACGCATTACAATAAGGTCTGCTTGCTCTCCCAATTTAAAGTTCCTTTGTAGGGCTTCAGCTAACACATCCAAAGGGAAATGGACTGTGGCATGTCGACTCATCCTTTAATCCTCGTCGAGCATCATACTCTCTCCTCCTCGCTCACACAATCCCCCCTCCTAACAACGGTGGCTCAACTTTCTTCGCCGACACCCGAACCGCATTCGACGACCTACCCCAAGACCTCAAAACCCAACTTGAAGAAAACGATTATGTAGCAGCCCACTCTCTCTTCCACTCCCGTAAACTCGGATCCCCAGAATACTTTAAAGATCTCAACCCGCTCGACAACAAAATGAGTCGCCACAAGCTCGTCCAAACCCACGGGCCATCCGGACGCAAGAATCTTTACATAGCCCGCCACGCGCACCATATCGAAGGTCTTTCTCCACAGGAATCTGATCAAATGTTAGATCGCCTAATTGAGTTTGCTACGCAGCCGAAATATGTTTGTAGTGTGGAGTGGGATCAGGATGGGGATCTGGTGATTTGGGATAATACGTGTGTGATGCATAGGGCAACGGGTGGGAGTTTCGAGGGGAAGTTTAAGAGGGATATGAGGAGGACTACGGTTCATGATGGGAGCTCTACGGCTTGGGGGTTGAACACTGTGGGAGATAGGAAATTGGGGTTTGCGGATCCGGCTTTGGCCAAGGCGGCGGAGACGAAGGCTTGAAACATGACGGGAGAGAGGATAAGAACAAATGAGCACAATTTTAGACAGAACTTGTCTCCTGACACTTTTATTTCTGGATATCTACTAGTCCAAGGCTTAGTTGCTTTCTTTTCTTGATGCACCAATCTCCAAGCAACCACGGTCTGGGGACGTCCAGTCATGAAAGATCAAGCTCGACAAGAAGAGATCCATCAAGAACACCATCCACCTGCAAGGTCAATTGTCAAAAGAAACAAACCAAGCCGAGCCCTGAGAACCTAAAATCCGAAGTGTACACACTGCGGTACCTCACTCTGCCAATGCTGCATATCTTGGAATCGCTCGAAGCAGCTCTTCCAAGATCTCGCGTCTGGCCGCAAAATGAGTGATAAGATGCGAGTCAGTAACATCTTCCGCGTAATGATCTCCATCTTCGTCGTACCCGTCCTTGTCGAAGCCATCTATGTCAAAACCAAACTCGTCGTACAGTTTAGTGAACAAGTCTTCACCAATACCTGATAGTTCCTGTACTTCAAAATCAATCCATCCCTTCAGGGGCTTCTTGACATCCTCGTCTCATGCGTTGTCAATGAACTCGACTGACTTGACAGAGTGTTCACATTCGTTTGAGTGCAAATGGCCCCCGGTCCACGTCCTTGATATCTGACCAACCAAGTCCCAATTGTCAAGAGGCCATGCGCGTTGCAAATTCTGGGAAACCATGAATTCTTGGAGCCGATCGTAGGCACTATCTTGACTGCAATCTCCACTTTGCTTGAGCACAGCTGCCGCTGTTCTCCATATTTCCGCCACAAAGGCTGTCATCTCCGGGGACGTCGAGTCATCTTCGGAATCGTATGTTGACAAAATTCTCCAGTGCTCATGAGGAGAATGGATGGCGTTTAACTCTCCCCAAGCCCGAAATCTCTTCAACTTTAGGGAGGCTCTCAATCGATTAAAGAGACTTTGCATTCCACCAGACCACAGCGCAAGGTTAAATAGCTTCAAGACCTGCAGAGTTTGGGCATGTCGATTCATAAATTCGAACAGTCCGTCTTCACAGACAAGAAGACCATCGAGGCGAAGCTCACGAAGCCTAGGCCACGTGTGGTTTCCAAACATCTTCCACAAGGGGACATACCAACCGGCGAGCCGCTCATAACTCTCAAGGTACCACTGTACTGACGGATTGTAGAGATTGGTTGAGAAGCCAAAGCGTAAAACTGCGAGGTTTGGAATTGCCTTCAAGAAATGTCCCAAACTAGCCCAGAACTTCATATGCGGAATGTCACTTGCGTCGAAAGTCAATCGAAGTGTTGTTAAGTGCTTGAGTGGCTCCGCAAGCTTTGCCAATATCTTGTCGCCACGCGCAAAGAATGTGACCGGAAGTCGGTCATGATAGAGGGTTTTAATGGATAGAGTAGTGCTCGCAAGGGCCGCGAGAAATGTGAAGAGATCCTTTGGAGCTCTACAGAAGTTGACTGATGTAGGTGATGCCGGTACACAACACCAAGATTTCTTGAGAAGCTGGCTGCTGGAGTTTGTGTCCTAATATGATATTAGCCTCAAGTGACGTAGTATTAAACCTTGTTTGCTTACTCTGATACTGAATCCAACGCTGTCAAGTGACTTGAGCTTGCCCAACATCGATTTCATACGAAAGAGGTCGCAGTAACTTTGCTTGGCTTCATGCCAACGAACATTCCATGCCGCGTATTCTGCGATAGCAGTTGCTTTATCTTCATTCATGGCGTCAATCGACACGTAGTCCTTAAAAGAGCCTGCGCTGCGCATGCTATTGTTCGAATCGCAAAAGAACATAGCAAGCTCATCTTGAACTTGGTGTAAGGTAATCATACCAGTCTCAAAGCGCAGAGATCTGATACCCGCAACGAAATCCTCATCTTTGGAGACGTCTTGCTCATAGCGCTCGATATCTCTCCTGTCAATTTTGAAGACGAACGATGGGAAGAGGAATCTGGCAGCGATGTTTGTCCATGGGCTCCAGGACAAACGAACAGACTTGATGTCTTTCAAGTCTAAGTGGTTAAAAATCTGCTCCCAGATCTCGGTCGGGAGCTTGAGTGGATTGCCACTTTGCTCTCGCGATGTGGTCGAGATGCGACGACGACGGGCTGTTCCTTCTTCTATTCAGCTTTACTATTTGTGTTTCAAGTAGATTGAAGACTTACCATCGCGACTTTCTGTTTCGCTTGCGCGTCGTTTATGGGTATGAAAATCGGCCATAGGAATTCGGAAAGTTGACATTGATAATGTTGTGTTTGGGGAAACTGATTATTGAAAGATGGAATCGCAAAAAGAAATTATATGAAGCGCCTGATCCTGCAGCCACTCAAGATCAAGGGTAGGCTAAAATGGATTAGCGCCATCGGGAGCTAGGTATTGGGTACCTATTCACTTTTCGACCTAAAATGAAGCTAAAACGTGAGCCCAAGTTGCGATGTGCAACAAGACATAATTTATCGATATCCTCCCACAAATACTAGAACTGTATTGTCATTCCAATCTTCACGATAGCTCAAACGAGTTTTAAGGGTTCGTTCATGACACTAGTAGTAGACAGAATGTTTAGTGAACTGCACAGGCTTAGCATAGAAATAAAGGTATAGTCTCACGTGGTTTCAAGAGACCTATACATATGGATTCAATATTCAAAGTGTTATGGTACTATGTGACTTACTTCAGGGGAAACAAGTTTAACTTTAAGTCACTGACGCCATCTCTATCCCATCAGCATTGTAATCCTCTTGTTCATCTTGCACCTCATCGTATCTTGGAATGCTGACCAACAAATCGTTCAGGATCAAGCATCGAGCTTTGACCCTATACATCAAATTAGGCACCCGGAGATGATCCTCTTGAAGGATAATGTAGTTAACACCGTTTTTGTTTCCACGAACGTTTTCATATTCAAGACTGCTTGAAAGAAAAGAAGTTTAGTTGAAGTATGAAATGTGCAGGATGTTTTATTTTATCGCATGTGCAAGACAACATGTCGAGGAGTGATGTGTCGTTTGGTTGAGGTGGTGAAGTAAGGCTAGTAAGCACCCATGATGTGAAATCACATGTTCAGCAATGGAGGTTATCTCGATGAAAAGAGACATGATTTGAATGCATAACTTCAGAAATCGACAGGTGAAGTTCGTCAAATGAAGAGGAGGTGAATCCATGCTTGGTTCGATGAGGCAATAATGCACAACTTTTTCCATTCATCTTCGTCCAAATATCCGCCCAAGTTTCTGTTCACGAATCTGTTACTCCTACCATCTTCAGCGAATCTTCCCACAACCTCGCTTCCTTTTCCTTGTCAAAAATATGAGGGCTATAGCCCTGTCTCGTGTCGTCGATGGCACCTTCTTTCCCATTCGTCTTCGGCGACTCGACATCACAATCTACCAAATAAAGCCTGCCCTTCTTCTCAAACACTTTACCAACAGCTGCATATACCGAAGTTGCAGCACCCTGTTCGTAGCTCTTGATGTGCTTGTCAACATTAGGTCTTGCTTTCCATTCTGCCATGGTCTCTGGTGCTACAAATTTCTGCAGTCCACTCCATATTCCACCCGGATGTAGCGAGATGCCATGCAGTCCTTTCTCAGCATAGCGATTCTCGATCTCGTTCGTCATGTAGATATTGGCAGTCTTCGATTGTCCATACCCTCCCCATGGTGTGTAATCTTTCCCATCGCTGAAATCGTAGTTCCCGAACTGGACCTCGCCAGCAGCATGCCCAGTCGAAGAAACCGTCACCACTCTCGAGTGGAAGTCCGGCGTCGATGACTTCAGCATCGTGTCTTTGAGAAGCTGGAAGAGCAAGAAGTGCGACAGATGATTTGTTTGAAATTGACTCTCGAATCCATCTTTCGTCTTCTGGTATGGAGCAGCCATAATCCCGGCATTGCAGACAAGAACGTTGAGTTTGTTACTCTTGCTGAGAAAGTTTTGGGCAGCTTTCCTCACGCTATCCAGATTTTGATTGTCCATCTCGAGAAGTTCGACTCGTCCAGGTTCGAGAAACGACTTGCATGCTTCCTCGCCTTTCTTCAGGTCCCGAACTGTCATGAATACTTTACCGCCAGTTGCTGCGAATGCGCGTCCAGTCTCCGGGCCGATCCCAGCTGAGGTGCCCGTTACAAGAAAGACTTTGTCTGACATTTTGCCCTCGAGACCTTCGTCTTTGATAATTTGAAGTGCGGTGGGACGAGCATCGCCGGGTCCGTTCTCGTTCTCGGGTCCATGGACGGCTGCGTATTTTCCTGGCATGACTGTGTTTGTGGAGAAGTGGTTCTGGGGAAGCGTCAACCTTGACGTAACTCTAATATTGCTTGTGGTGAATCTAGAGTGCAATGAAATTGATCTGAACATGGAAATAAAAATTATGGCAGAACAGCTGTTGAAGTCGAGTTTATATGTCTGGTGAGTTATTGATTTTAAGTCCGCTCATTTTTTAATTCCTTTCATCGTGCATAGAAGACTTGCTGAATCAGGCAATTCTTGTCATTAGATTTCCTTGCTGAGCAAGGTTAGATCAGCCACAGTCTCGCTCAGGTCTCGCTGATTTGTCCGCTAAATTGACATTATCTCGTTAGCGAGTTTTGCCCATGGAAATGCGGGGTGGGCAAACAGCACCGCCGAACGCGCGGATGACTTGCTTACTGTACATCAGAGTTTGGATGATAGCCAAATGCTCACTTTGAATACGAGATGCCTCTTTCAGAAGAAAGTAAGTAGGCATTTTCAACTACTATCATAAGAAAGAGTCGATATGTAATCAGTACCTACAGTACCTAGGTACAAAGGCAGGCTTCGCTTCATTGATGGTCAGAGAGTCGTTTCATCCTGTAGTTCATGATGTAATCATGCGTCCACCTCAATTTCAACGACAGAACTTATCGAATCGTGTATTATTCTATCAGCCATAACCCGATATCTCTGGTTCTGTCGGGATGGACATCTCTTCTGTTCCAGTGCCGGCCTTCATCCTCCTATCTGCTGTCCTTGGCATTGTCTCACACTTGGGATATTTTATGCACGGCGAGCACCACTTGCAGGCAGTGAGGCTGGCTGTGCTTCTCTGCACTGTACCATTTGCGATATTTGCTACCATCCACAACTTCAATTCTCGAAGCTCGATCTGGAGCGCTGCTCGACTTACCACAATAATCGTGTCTTCATACCTAGTATCACTCACGACTAGCATTCTTACATACAGAGTCTTCTTCCACCCACTCAGAAAATTCCCAGGTCCACTAAACTCCAAACTCACAAAGCTCACTCACGTACTTCGTCTTCTAAAGGAATCCGATAACTACCGGCAGGCCGATAAGTTGCACGAGAGATATGGAGAGATTGTCAGAGTTGGACCAAATGAATTGACAATCACCATACCCGATGCTGTTCCTCTTATATATGGACCTGGATCAAAGTGTACGAAAACAGCCTGGTATGATGTTGTTGGACGTCCGAACAAATCACTTCAACTGGAACGCGACCCAATCATTCATGCTAAGCGAAGGAAGGTTTGGGATCGAGCGTTCAACGCCAAAGGTAAACATGATTCACTTGACTGACAACGGAAGCTAATGTAACCAAGCTCTTCGCGATTACGAGAGCCGTGTGGTCAAACACGCAGATCAGTTGGTCAAGCAGCTTCGGGTACGATCTGGAGAGACCATTGACTGCTCTCTATGGATGAACTTCTACTCGTTCGATACTATGGGAGATATTGCATTTGGACGCACATTTGACATGCTCACGAGTGGAAAGAAAGTAAGATGTTCGTATTTGCCTTGATAAGAAAGTTCTGACAGCACTTAGCATCATGGATTGACAGCGCTGCAAGATGGCATGGCACCACTTGGCATCGCAACTCCATTTCCTTGGGCTATTCCCATCTTCCAAGCACTTCCTCAGCCAGCTGGAATTGATCACTGGATTAACTTTTGCGATAAGCAGATCAAAGCTAGGAAAAAGGTACGAAACGATTTCTGAATTTTGCTGCCACTAACGTCTCCTTGCAGTACGATCCAGAAAAGTCCGACATTATGACTTGGTTGATCGAAGCCGAGAATGAGAATCCTGATCCTGTGGTCAGTGACCCAAGGTATTACCATCTTCGTCCGAAAAGCAGTCAATGATCAATTTCAGTCGCCTAATCAATGTGCCAGATGGCTTTGGGGAGATACGCGACTTGTAATCGTGGCTGGCAGTGATACATCTTCCTCGGCATTGACCCACATCTTTTACCATCTCGCCAAAGAACCTCATATAGCCACCAAGCTTCGAGAAGAACTTCAGTCGTTCTACAAACCAGGATCAGACACTGAAGTACGAGATCTTCAAGAGGCAAAATACCTCAATGGAGTCATCAACGAAGCTCTTCGCCTCCATCCTCCAGTACCGAGTGGGGTGATGAGACAGACGCCGCCTGAAGGGCTTACGGTCGGTGATATCTTCATTCCTGGAAATATCACAATTTCTGCTCCTTCATGGAGTATGGGAAGACGTAAGCTCATCCCCAGCCTAGAATCTTCGAATGATACTGACAAGGGGTAGTAGAATCATGCTTCAAGCATGCCGAAGAATTCTTGCCTGAAAGATGGGGCAACAAACCTGAGCTGGTTCTCAACAAGGCTGTCTTTATACCATTCGCTTCTGGTTTGCTTCCTCCACCTCATGGTCGACGAAGCGTTATACTAACTGATCACGTGGTAGGCGCATATTCTTGCATTGGCAAGCAGCTTGCTTTAATGGAACTTCGAGTCGTCACAGCGAGGCTGGTTACGGAATTCGATATTGCTTTTGCTCTTGGTGAAGAAGGGAAAGCTTTGCTAGAGGAGACGAAAGATGTTTTCACGATGGAAACAGCGCCTTTGATGCTAGTGTTTACCCGGAGATAATCTACGAACGAAATGGGATTCACTCCGAAACTACTACCGCTGTTTTCATTTGGTGCAATATTTCCATTTTAATTTTTGGTCTTTATTTCCACTGACTTCCCTGTGCTAAATTGCAGAAGTAACTAGAAGCATGTATCGCGCTCACCCTCATATCCAGTCATGGCCGCTCAATCCCTCCAATCCACTTCCTTCATCACATGGCAATTCTTTCTCCTGGTATGCTCGGGTCTAAGGACACGATTCTCGGCTGTCGGGTCTAGCTCTGAATATCGTGGAATTCGACATCTGATACCCTGGTGGATTATTCGGTAACATTGAGCCCTGGTCACCGGGAATTTGTCTGTCCTAATTTCCTCAGTACCCGGTTGATCACTCACTGGTGGTCGCTCTCCCTTAGCGTAGCCGTCGCAGTCGAACCCAAATTCATCGAAACCCGCCTTGTCGTAGAAGCCAATGATGGGCGGTTCACCGACGCCATAAATAGTCTCGACCCACGCATCCCGACAATCCTTCAAAGAACGTGTTAAACCATCCTCCCACAGAGCGTCCATGTTCTCTTCGGGGTATGTGCAGCCATCACCGTCTTCGCTGTGTTCGTTGAGATAGTAGCGATCCAGACTATCCAAGTACATGAGAGGCCATGCCCAGATTTCCCCAAGAGAGTTCGGCGTCTGGAGAACGAAATTCTCTATCATAGCACGAACTTCTGGATTCGAGAGACGACCACGGCCACTTCTTCGCCACGAAAGCATATCCTCACTATCTCGCTTCTTCACATACTGAGTAAAAACTTTGGACCAATTGTCATCGCAAGGTCCATAACAGCGGCAAAACCTCCAGATCTCATTTGCAAAATGCAAAGCTTTGAAGTAACCCCAGATACGGAACTCTCGTAGAGGCAGTCTCGCAAGATAAGAGAAGACTCTTTGAAAGCTGCCGTGAATGAGACCGATATTGGAGAGCTTGATGGATTTCAGTGTCTTTGCATGTCTAGAGAAGAATTGCGTCAAGCCTTTCTCGCACAACACTAGGCCTCCGAGCCAGACAGCTTCGAGGTTTTTCCAAGTGAACTTACCAAGTATCTTTGACAGGGGAGCATACCACTCCTCGGCGAGATACCAGCTGCTTTTCCAGGTACCTTCATTGTCGAATCTAGTTGGCAATGAAGCGAAGTCGAGGCGGAGATCTTTCAGTTCAGGGAGGGTCTTCAGAAATGAACCAAGCATCCGCCAAACGGTATTGTGAGGCGATGCTGTTGCATCGAGTGTTAAAGGCAGGGTTCTTAGCTGATGTAACGGTGCTGCGACGGCAACAATATCATTGACTGCCGCCATGAAAAATGAAACTGGAAGTTGATCGTGGCTCAGGTGTTGCAGTTTGTTGGGTGCCTTTGTCAAAGTTCGAAGGATGGCGACAAATTCCTGATTAGTCTTTCGGAAGTTGTAATTATCGGTCCTTTGCATCCAAGCGTCCATAGCGAGCTCGGATTTGAATGGGCAGGACTTGTAAGAGATATCGATCCGAGTCAATGCTTCTGTCTTGCTGAATATTTCTTCCAGACCGCTCCTACTTTGATATGTTTGGTCCATTTCATGCCAGCGTTCGTTCCATTCAGCGTACTCTGTCATGGCTGCAATCTTGTCTTCCTCCAGTAATTCATACTGGGCTTTCTTTACGCTTTCTGGACGAGGGTCGTCTCGCAAAGTCTTCAGTGCGTGATAGTATGCGTAGCCAATATTATGAGCTGCGAAATCAATTTGCTGTGTTCCAAGCTCAAACCGGATGTTGCTGATGGCTTTGGCAATTGGCGTGTGTGCTAACTTCTTGTTGAATACATCGTACTTATTTCGGTCTGGTCGAAAGATGAACGGCCGAAACAGGAAAAGGGCACCAACATCTATCCAAATCTTTGACGCAAGGCGCAGAGACTTGATATCTGTCATCTCAAGATGGTGTAAGATTTGCTCCCAAATCTCATCGGGTAGTTGAGACTTGCTATGCTTCTGTGCAATGAGAGGCGCATGCTTCTGACCGAGGGAGCCTGTGTGGAAATTAGTACTGATTAAGCAACACGTGGCAAATGGATCGCGAGATGACGCACTCTTGAGAGACAGGTTGGACATCCTCTCCATATTGTTATTCAGTAATCCAGCCATAATACAATCAAATTTGTTTTGTTTTGTTTTGCGATTGGAAGTTGTTCTGTCGAAATAGGCGCAAGTGTTCTGGTCGAAGGGATGTGGGGATATAGTGAACAGCCGAAGCGCAATGGACTAGATGAGCAGCACCAAATGCTACTAGTGTGCAACTTGGTAGTCCACTTCTGTCTAGTGAACCAGTGCATGTCTGTTAATTTTTAGTTACACATTGGTTTTGTCAATGCTTCTTGTGCAGGAGGGGGTGAAGTCGCGTTCATGAGTCACTGAACGTATGCAAGAGGCATGAATACTATATACCGAGGTAAAGAAACTTTACCACTTAATCTCAAGAGGGTCTATGGGGACTGAAGCAGATTTCGAGCAGGCATAGTGTGTAGTATCAAAGGTACAGTTTAAAATCAGATCGATGATTATCTTATGCATGCACAATCCTTCAAAAATTGAACATCGCAAAGGAAAGCACGACTACAGTATACCATAGAACACTAAAACAGAGCAGAGAATGTGAGATGAATCTCGTCGCAAACGGCGAGATATATTTGTTAGATGAAATCAACTACACTCTGGAGGCGAAGAAAAGGGCCAAAGGACCATTCATATACACACAGAGAATTAGACCTAGGGGAGGGTACCTCTAATTAGCACAGCTCTTATGCTACTCTAGCAGGTAACACCAACAGCTCATCCCAAGCAGCTATTTCTCGTTTGACAGCAATGTTGCGTGGCACGGTATCTTGCTGATATATACCAGGCGCGTGGTTTGTGACGCTTGGAACGTTTTCCAAAACAGACGTTTTCTGCGAAACCTATGAGGTCAATTATGGTTACGTGCATAAGATACATAACATCAGGTAGCTTGTTGAACACATTCCTGCTCTTTGCGTAGGTAGCTAGTACTCCCTTTCCGCCTCATCCTTCTTCACATTTCTTGACAACGAGAACCTCTTCCATCCAGCCACAGCCACAAGCACCAAGGTCGATATCCTAACCGTCAACACCACCGCCAAAACCAACTTGTACTGTGTTCCCCAAAGAATCGACAACACAACCGATCCGAGCATTATCAACACCGAATAAATATCGCAGCCAGCAATTAAACGCCGTCCCTTCAACACTCCTTTCGCAGTCTCGCTCTTTGGTCTCGGCTCCAACATCCACCTCTCTTGTCCCGTAGCCGGATCCTCGACTAAAACCGCGATTCTCTTCTTCTTTGCATTGGCACCGTTCAAAACTCTCTCCAGTGTATCTTTCGTAGACAATGCCTCGACCATACATAGAAGTAGAGGTAGTATAGTAAGCATCAAAGTGATAAATTGTACCGGTAAGAGTGTTGGTAGGGATTCGGGCCCGCTCAGGAAGGTGAGTGGCGTTGCCGCAATATTTAGGATAAAGGCTGCAACACGGGTTCTCATGATGTGGTTGTAGGTTTTGGTATACTCTGGTCTGTAAAGTAGTGGTAGGATGGGGATAGTTTTGGCGTCCTCAGGTATTGAATCGGAAGGCTTGGGGAATTCTTCGAGGAGGAGTGCTGTGGACGATGGGTCGCGATCCATGACGGTTCCATCCGAGGAGGTTGATTCTCTTGGCGAACCCATAATTGTTGTGTGAGTTTTGTTTTTTGAGAAGTCGATACTAATCTCTGATATAAAGTGAAACGCATTCTGGATGAAGAGAAGATCGAAAAGTATATATGTAAGTTAGATTGACGTACAATACGATACTTTAGCTCACTAAATGTTAGTGACTGGAAGCGAGGCATTTCCGTCATTGGATTACGACATCCGTTATCCGACGGCGTAGGGCGCAGCACTCGAGGGATTTTACACAGCCAGACTGGCCATGCAAAAGTTGATTCGCTATAAGCTTAGCTCTAGGCGTGCTCCTGGAAGCATTCCATCGAGCTGGACAATTGTACCTGTCACGTGCCATGACTCCATCTTCAACAGTCTTGGAAGTCCAATTATACCTACTCAATATAGGTAAAATAAGATAGCCTCAGCGAGTGATTTTACCGATAAAACAATGTCTACCTATGCATTTTCTCCCTTGTCCCTCGTTCTGTTTTATTCAAATATAAATATATCAGGCGAAACGCAGTACCGAGCATTACCAATGGGCGCCCAAATTTTGCTTCAGCCTCATCTTATTGCTTGCATTCCGTGTTGCCGCAAACTTGACGATATACACACTTATCAAGCATTAGAAGAATCATTTCCTGGGATGCTAGGCTCTTGAAATGTTATATTCGCGAAAGCATTCGCTACTCTCTGAGTCTCCCTTATTCCCGAGCCTTCTTCTATTCGCTCACCTATTCAGAGCGATTGTCACATTCCTTACCAGTTTTCCTTGGGGTAAAAATTCATCCATCATCATCCCCACAATGCCCCTCCGCCTCCGCGATCTCCGCTGCGCTCGCACTTGCCCCACCATACCCCGCTCTACGTCAACTAGTTAGCTTTAGCTAATATCCAACCAGAACTCGCTGAAAATATCGTTGATGTTAACCTTAATCCCTTTGGAAGTGGACGTTGAGGTACCTTTCTGCTTAGATTTCCTGAATCATGGTCTCGACTCCGAGGTTGATCATGCTTCCCTGTAAGTTCGTCCGATGCATGCTGGTAAGTGCCAAGTTTTCGGATGCTCCCCGCAATTCATTTTACTTTTCACCCAACCGACTGTGGAGATCATCTGCAGATATATAAAGTCGGCCCCAAGTTGGGATGTTGTTCCTCACTTGCGCCGGTCATTGTGGATTCACCGTTTCGAAGACAGTCTCAAGATGCGCTTCTTATCCATATATTGGTCTTTCTCTATTGCCATCTTGGCTTCTACTAAAGTGCACGCGCTTTCAGTATATGATGTCTGCACGACATCCTATGTGAGTGCCTCCTTGTCGCACGATGTTATCTACTTGGGGACAACACCTGTCACCATTGACCCATCTTCAATACAAGTCAATCCCGTCCTCAACAACTCCGTCAGCGGCAGCGCAAACTTTCCTGATGCTACTTTCGATTACTGCAATGTGACATTTGCATACACGCATACTGGCCGTAATGATTCCGTCTTGGTAGCTTACTGGTTGCCATCACCTGCATCATTCAAGAATCGATATCTCGCAACAGGAGGCGGAGGTTATGCCATCAACTCAGGGATTGGAAACACGGGATCTCTGCCTGGAGGTGTGATTTATGGTGCAGTCGCCGGTGCTACTGACGGTGGCTTCGGAAGTTTCTCCAACAATTGGGATTCTGTTTATATCATCCAGAACGGAACAGTTGACTTAGAATCACTTTTCATGTTTGGGTACCAAGGTATCAACGAGCTTACTTTGCTGGGTCAACTATTTACCAAAAGTTTCTTCAACATGACTTGTGACGACAAGCTGTACTCCTATTACCAAGGTTGTTCCGAAGGTGGTCGAGAGGGTTGGAGTCAAGTTCAGCGCTTCACGGATTTCGACGGCGTAATTACTGGTGCTCCTGCCTTCCGCTTCTCATTTCAGCAGATCCAACATCTTTACTCGAACGTCGTGGAGCAAACACTCGATTACTACCCTCCAGCATGCGAACTGCAAAAGATCTTAAACGAGACTATCGCCTCCTGTGATCCCTTAGATGGCCTTACAGATGGAGTCGTTGCACGTACAGACTTGTGCAAGCTGCAGTTCAACACGTCGTCTATCATCGGAAATTCATATTACTGTCCTGCATCTCCCGAGTGCCAAGGATTCCCTCCAGCTCCAGCTTGGCCAGAACAAAATGGCACAGTTACAGCTGAAGGCGTCGCAGTCGCCAATGCAATCGTTGATGGCCTCCACGACTCAAACGGGAAACGAGTTTATTTCTCCTACCAGCCTTCTTCTATCTTCGCAGATGGCTTCACATCATACAACACCACCTCCGATACTTGGGGACTATACATCAACTCCTTCGGATCCGAATTCGTGGCGCGATACCTTGAACTTCTAAACACCAGCACTCTGCCCAATCTCGACGGCGTAACCTACGACACCCTCAGAACATGGATAATCCAAGGGTGGAAGAAGTACCAAGACACTCTCCAAACAACATGGCCCGACCTAACCGATTACTACAACTCCGGCGGCAAAATCATACATTTTCACGGCGAATCCGATTTTAGCATTCCCACAGCTTCCTCCGTCCGCTACCATGAATCCGTGCGTCAGATCATGTACGGAAACCTCACTTTCAACGAATCGACTGAGGCGCTTGGAGATTGGTACCGTCTGTACCTTGTCCCCGGAGCACAGCACTGTGCACCTAATACCTACGAGCCCAATGGTCCATTTCCACAGACTAATTTGGGTGTCATGATAGATTGGGTGGAGCAGGGTATCACACCCGTGACATTGAACGCTACGCATCTTGCTGGGGAAAATGCAGGAGCGAATGCGCAAATTTGTGCCTGGCCGTTGAGACCGCTGTGGGCTGCTGATGGGAGCATGGATTGTGTTTATGATCAGGCTTCGATTGATAGTTGGCTTTATGAGCTGGATTCTTTTAATGTGCCTGTATATTAAACCTATACTTAGAAAGGAATCACAATGACCTTCTTTCCCAAATTAATTACTGCACGACGGGATGCTGATAAATGGCGAAGGAGACAAGAAATATTAAGTCTGAGATTTAGTTTCGCATAATCAGGAAAGAGCAAACAATTGCTCTGGCTTAAATTTCAGATACGCAGAGCATTTGCATTCATTGCTCAAGATTTTCAGTCAATTGTGTGTAGGAGTGCATGCGATGGCTTTTTTGACCCATTGAGGTTTGAATAGGGGCTCGCTTAACCCCTGTGCTTGGCTTGTGATCAGGAACTCCACGGCTTCGGCTGGGAACTTGGATCAATGACTTATGCATTCATGAAAGTGAGATGCTTCCTTCTCATTCGGTCAGAGCTGTGGGCGAAGCTTTTGTGGTTCCAGCTAGCGACAAATGCGATTGTGGCGAGTCCGATATCCGAGCGCCACCATTTCGTTTCATTGACGTTCCAGCCCCATTCGGACTCCCACATCTCGCTCAAGAAGCTTAAATCCATGCCTTGACCTGATACAAGAATCGGATTGACCGAGGCTCGAGCAAGTTGGCGTTGCGATTGGGACACAACCGCCTGAAACGGTACTGGTAGATTGATGGCATTGCCCAATGCGAGTTGAGTTTGCGGAAGTAGTAAAACCTCATCTGATGTTTAGATGTGTCAACTTAGATGAGCCCCAAACAACGAAAGGTAGGTACCTGAAAACATTCCAATTCCCTCTGCGTGTCTTTCTTCTTTTCTTTCTTCTCTCAGCAATACATAATTAAACGTTGCCTCTACACTCATTAATTCCCAAGGAAGAAGTCTGGAACTCTCGCCATCTAATCCACAATCATGAGGTCGACCCTCCTTCTCTTCAGCCTTTCGATGGGCATCTCCTTAAGCTCAGCAACACTCCCAGGTCCCAAATATCCTGTCTCCAAATTCGCTGCAGCCCTCCCAGCAAATCTACCATTCCCTCCCTCGGCGAGATCGATCGTCATCCCCGCTTCAAACTCTAGCTCTTCCGCCTCGAACTCCTCTTCAAACGCCAACACCACTGCCTGTGCAACGGGAGTCCACATGATCGTCGCGCGAGCCTCAACCGAACAACCAGGCCAAGGCATAATCGGCGCCGTAGCCACACAAGTCCAACAACAGCTTCCCGGCTCCGATTCCGAAGCCGTCGACTACCCTGCCACCTTGACCGATTACCTGAATTCCGAAGCGAGTGGAGTAGCAGCCATGACAAAGCTGGTAGAGAACTATGCGGTGAGGTGTCCGAATAGTAAGATGGCGCTTTTGGGGTATAGCCAGGGAGCGCAGGTTGTGGGGGATATGATGTGTGGGACTAGTGAGGCGAACTTTAATACTACGAAGCCTATTTCTGCTGCGGCTTCTAAAAATAGTTTGTTACTCCCATCTGATTATATATTGAAGTTAAGCTAACGGCAATCAACACAGTCGTAGCAATAATCCAAATGGGCGACCCCGCACATATGATCAACCAACCCCAAGACGTCGGCAACTCGACCCAAAACGGCATTTTCCCTCGTAACAATACTGCTACTGCTTGCGCTTCAATGGAGCCTCTTACGCAGAGCTATTGTAATTCCGATGATAGGTTTTGCGACAGTGGAACTTCCATTGCGGTGCATCTTGCGTATGTGCAACAGTTTGGGACCACGGCCACCAAGTTTATCATTCAGAAGGTTGGAGGGAATGCAACTTCAACTTCGAGCGGGAACGGGACGTTGACGGGAAGCAGTACGAATGGAACGAGTAGCAGTGCCGTGCCTAAGAGTGATGCGAACGGGTTCGAGGGTGTTTCATGGGGGTTGGTGGCGTGTTCGTTTGTGATTATGTTGATGCTGTAGATGGGAACACGATATAAATAAAGTCCTTGATCTTGTTTCTTCGACACACTCAAAAGAAGCCTCCCAATCGTAAGTTAGGATGCCGCACTGCTCACATCAAAGAATAAGAAAAGTCAGTGGAATATCCGTATTTACTGAACAAAGCGGACCAGGAGAAGGCTGAATACCTACAGAAGTATTTCAAAAAAGAAGCTTCTGTTTTGACAACTTATAGAAAGAGGCATTACCATGCACAATCATCAGCACTAGCAAGGTCGGTGACAAAGCTCCAGCACTGAATTGAACCCGCCACCAACCAAGAGCATCATCAGATGCGTTTCGTTTCAGTCACTTCCTATTCCGCGCTTGTCCTTGAGTGGTTGTGGTAATAGGAGGCATAACTTCCTCTGCATTTGCTTCTGCATCACGCACACACACACAAACATATATATATATATAGTGTTTTGAAAGCCGCAAGGTCGGGACGGAGACTTTGACTAACATGATATCTTCGAGCATTGGCTTCATTTCCGTGTCTCTCAACCATTTGACAGTCCCATCAGATATCTATCGGAACTTTTCATTCACGCCATAGAGAGACTATTGCTCTGATGAGATGTGGTAAAGGATTCAAAAGTCAAAATACGGTTGTAGGGAGTAATCACGTGGTCCTCCGTCACGTCTAATGGTCCGTGCACGACTGATCCTCAAACTTTTCTCGAAATCGAGTTGCAATTCTTTGACTGGCTGATCAATACTGGAGGATCGTATTCAAGATGTCATCAACCGGAAGCACCGATCATTCGCAGACCAACTCTCCTTCTGAAAACCCCTCAGGTAATTCATCTCTTTCAATTGTCCTAGAACCCCACTAACTCGTGATCAGGTACACAAAATGAGTCTGCCTCAACATCGACCACACAAGCAGAATCTTCCTCGTCATCGTCAAAGCCAAGTCCAAAATGCGACACATGCGGCAAGCAAGGTGACACCTTGAAAGAATGCATCAAATGTCACTCAGTGACCTACTGTTCGAAAGACTGCCAGAAAGCGGACTTCAAGAACCACAAGAAAGTTTGTGCGAAGATGGCCCAAGAATACGCCAAGAATGCGGACTTCAAGATGGCGAGTAGAACGGCTCCAAGTGAAGGTCATAGAGGTGGATTGCAAAAATGGCAGTTTGACACGTGAGCTTGCCATCCGAGAAAGGTTGGGCAAGATAAATTGGGCTGAAGTGAAGGTGATGGAGTGGCTGCCATTCGATCTTGATGCGGAAGCCTGAGTGTAATGAATTCCAGCTCGACATGTGCACGGCATATTGCCTGAATCTGACTGCTAGGAGAGGAAAGTTGATCCAGGCCTTCCAATAGTCACAGACTGGCTGCAATTCTCGCAATCTGCAAAAATACAACGCCTCAACTTTGCTGTCAATCTTACGGGTGCTTGAATCTCCACGTGGATGTACATGTCGACAAGCCGTGTGATTATGTCTGTGCAAGATTTTGTGAATGCAGCAACCTGCAGCCAGGTTCGCTCTGACGGATCAATCTAGCTCACTGCAAGTAGACATGCTACGATACGGCTCTTTGCATCAACTCACAGTTTCGTCAGAGGCGAAATGGGACAAAAAACCTCCATAGATGGACTATTCAAGTGTAGATTGTCAAAACAATATCGGCTCCGAGTTACAATTCTCCATTCTGCACCATATCGTCTTCCCATCCCTCACAGTCTTGCGCTGTCATATCTTCATTTCTACTTCCCCAACACACCCAATCCCGCCATATATGAGCTTCAGACGTACTGAACCTCCACTTTGGTGCAATAGCCTTCTGCTGTCCATGAGGTTGATAGTCCGGCTTCATTGATTCCTCAACTCTATTCTTCGTCTCTTCGCAGATCTGTCGGCACCAATCCATCGTATATTCCCCATCACTACAAAATCTTGCTCGATACACCTCGTAGAGAGTCGGGAGGAATAGAACATCCTGCTCACAATACGCCTTCAAGTCTTCGTTGAAGGGGCGCTCGTTGAAGATTGCAAGCCTGCAACCCAATTCCGGAGCAAAAATCCTTTTACCCTTCTCCTTTCTCTCTTTCCAGGTCGACTTTGAGTCCATATCAAGACCTGAATCTTCAGCAATACACTTGTCGAGGTTATGGACGAGCCATTTTCCATAAGCTGTAAATCCATGACACATTGCAACTTGATACCAAAGTGACTATACAGCGCGTCCGAGTCATTACGCACATCGAAGAGAACTTTGCGAATAACAGGACTTTCAAGAATCTCTTTCAGGGTTCTGGATACAGGAGGACCAACTTGAGAATCACTTTGAGGGGTACAAAAGGCGGAGGATTTGAGTGTATGCACATCGATTAAGTAGATGGCATCCAGTGAAGAGCTTGTGTTGATCAGCAGAGTGAGAAAAGCAACACTGCCATTTCGCGAAAGATTATTTCCCTCAAGATCCAAGTACAGTGTTGTGTCTGAATCGTCGTCCAGGTTTTTAGCCAGGACTGACATGAGCTTCTGGATGGACGGGACTGTGTCCACCAGTGTCGTAGGGACCAAACTCGAGACCATCTGGACGGAAGATCAGCTGCAAACTTGGAAAGGATTTACAGCGAAAATTTTGGAATTGCGAAGACTCGTGGCATGACTTTTGTTAACTCAGGTTGCCTGATGCGGTCCGTCTTTCATCCGGGCTTCATCCTCTCTCCCTTGTGATAGGTCAGCTGGTCATGTGTAGGTCATGTGGTATCGAAAATGATATTTATTTGATACGGTATCTGTTCGCAGACTTCAGCATGCATCCTCGGGTAAGCTTTTCCAAGACTCAAAAAACCCGTTCATTCCCATAGGAGATTGATGAGCCGCAGCCTTCGCTCGTTGCTTCTCATGAACAGCGAGTTTATAAATCTATCACGTTTGCCGAATACTGCGAGAAGATGATAACGGCCACTCAACTTATTCTTGATGGTTGAATCCATCAGGCTAAAATAATAATATTGGAACATCAAAAGTCACGCATTTTAAATCGAGACAATGGGAATCCTTTCGTGTGTCAATGTAGGTGAAATTTTGCCGAGAGAAGGACGTATGTTTTCGGGCAATCATCTGGCCATGTTATAAAATGAGGGTGCTTTCTTGGAAGGTTTCACGAGGTGCCGAACACCCAGAATCTACCCATGTATTCGGATTGATGTCTCGAGATGAAATATTCCCAAGTTGGTATACACTTCAACCAAGGTTTCTTCTTCAAAATATCACCCGCCTTTTTCTGATGAGGAGTGACACATGTCAGCGATTTTGTGATTTTTTTTTGGATTTAAATTAGACAGAATAGTTCATTTGTTGATATCTCAGATTAGCAATGGCGCAAGCTTCATGCGTAAGTCACGCTGTGGTAGTGTCAATGTCAATTGCAGTACGGTGCGATGTTATTTATTTCTTACGTACAATTACTCTTCACTCATTTCTCCTTCCCAACACGCTCAAGCTATGCCGAAATTGTTATGCCTGCATGAATCCGCAATAATTCCCCCCAGCAATGCCCATCATCATATCAATCTAGAGCTTGCTGACTTTATGAAAGAGAGCGGTTGAAAAGCTTTACAGATTTCCAGCACATTAACATATTACCCTTACACATGCCAGTGGAGATTCTTCTTTATATCGTCCGACTCTTGGAAGACATTCTCGCTAGACGCACTCAGGGCTTTGGAGTACCGTGGAATGCGACACAGGATGCCCTCTCGCATCAGTCGGTGAAGCCATGGTCCTTCGACGGTAATACCACTCCACGAAAACACTCGTTGAAACCCTTTGATCATCAAATCGCCTGTTGAGTCACGACCCCGACGATCGAAACCAAACTCGTCATAGCCGTTTTTCTTGTCGTAGAACCCTACAATGCGTGGCTCTCCAACACCGGGTACGGACGCATTTGTGGCGGTCCAGTCCCGGTTCTTCGATAGGGGAATTGCAAGTTGCTCGTCCCACTGCTTGTCGATTTGGTCGTTGGTTCGAACACAATCACCGCAGTTGACATTGTGTATGTTCCATTCGCTCTCCATTAGCGAGTCGGAGTCATCGAGGGGCCACTCTCCATGCCCGAGGTCAGTACCGAGAACGAATCTCTCCAGTTTGGTACGAACGCCGCCCTTGGATCGAGGCTCAAACCCATCTGAACCATCTTCAGGCCATTGTGTATTGTGCCATCCTGTATCGTTCATATCTTCTTCTCTCAGCATGATATGTTCTCTGAATTTCCAAGACCATCTAGGATCTAGACAATCGAAATGTAGACCAAATCTCCATCTCTCCGATTTGTGATGCAAACCTTCACAGTAACCTCTGACCTTGAATGCCTTCAGAGATAGAGTTCTCAAGTAGGAGAATACGACCTGGAAGCTGCCTTGCCAAAGACCAATGTTGTGCAGCTCAACTGAACGGAGGGTATTGGAGTGTCTTTCGAAAAGCTGGATAAGTCCTGTCTCACATAAGACCATACCATCGAGCCTCAAAGTCTTCAGATTCTTCCAAGTATAATTTCCCAGTATCTTCCACAAGGGTGCGTACCATTGCCCAGTAAGCCTATCCGGACCACCTCTCCAACCTACCTGGTTAATGTGACCAGTAGGGAACGGGGCAAATCCAAATCGTAAATTCTGGAGACCGGGTATTGTCTGTAAGCAGGTGCCAAGTCCTTTCCAGAAACTGGCATGCGGAGCCAGAGTAGCGTCGAATGAGAGATGGAGTGTCGCTAACTGAGACAATGGTGCGGTAATTTGCAAGATGTGTTCCGAACTCTTCATGAAGAAGGAGACAGGTAACTCGTCATGGGAGAAGTGGTTGATAGTATGTGGGCTCTTCTTTAAGGCTTGAAATATTGCATCAAGCTCTTGAACGGTCTTGGCGTAGTTGTGATTAAGAGTACCTTGCGTCCACGCTTCCATGTTAATAACGTTGTCGAAGGGACAAGTCTTGTATGAAATGTCAATGCGGCTAACACTCTTCATCTTACTCAACACGTCCCCTAGTCTCTGGACATTTCCGTGTGGTTGTTTTGCCTCGTGCCAACGAACATTCCAAGCAGCATAATGCGCCAAAAATTGTTCGGGCAGGAACTCAGTCAGATTCGAGTTCTTACCGCCTCCTAAGTGAAGTATGATACGCTCCCAAACTCTGGGGAGAAGAGCTTGGGTGTTCATAAGATTAACTAACATCCTGCTGGAGTGTACGACTCCTATCGAGCTCTGAACGTATAGGCAATACGCCCAGCCAAGATTGTGTGGCGCAAACACCAAAGGAAGAGTGCCAAGTTCGAATCGGAGAGAGTGAACAGAAGTAAAACCTGGGGCTTGAGAGAGGTGATCGAAGCGCGCAAAATCATCACGGCTGTCAATGAATCAGTATACGCTTTTGACAGACATCTAGGAGTCGAGTAGCTCATCCGAGGATTTGGGATACATGTAATTGCTCCCAAAGATGACCTCGAGGATCTCGGCTCCTAGGTGAACGACAGATCAAAGAACGAACTCGACTTACTCTGGGCGGAACACGAAAGGGTTGAACAAGAACTTGATACCTATAGCGGTCCAACTTCGCCATGCGCTTCGTACGGCCTTGACATCTTTTCTGCTCAATTTCTCGAGGATTTTGTCCCAGAGCTCCGCAGGAAGTTTGGGAGGCTTGTGTCCGTGGTCTGTAAGGTAGGGTAGATTTCGAGCAATCTCAGCAGCCTCAGCCTCAGCCAGAGCGCGTTGGAGAGCTTGTTCATATGGACATGCTGGAAACCGGTCAGCGTGAATGATACCGAACACATATTTGAAAACTAACCTTCTCGGAACTCTGCGATCATGGCATCGATCAAACGGTACTTTGTCGAAGCCATAACTTTTTCGAAGCGGCAATGCGCACTACGTGGTGCGTTCAAAGCGTTGTACCGTTGGAGTTGCTTCGAGATAGATCGGAACTATTTACAATTTTGAAATTCTTGAAACATACGATTTAGTGTGCGGCCGCATCACCGTTCTCTATCGGCGTACCGACGTAGGCATCATTAGCTTAGACAAGATGAGAACAAGAGCGGCCGCTTCATTGCTAGCCGACGTAGGTAGGCATAGCGGATAAGCAAGTTCTCCAGTACTCTTTCTTTAAGCATTTCTAGAAAGCCATTCCTGTCGAGGCCTCTAAACGTTCTGTTGTCTGGATAACGCACTCCTCTGTTAACACATGCTTCTCAAGCAAGAGGTTACAACTGACCTGCCATGTTTCCGCCGAAAGACAACGTAAACCCACAGCGGATACACGCTGGACTGTGCAGCCATCTGCTTAAACTTTTCATTATAACAATGTGCTAGAGAGGTTTAAAAATAAAAATAAAACACTGCGATTGGGCTTTATTCGTTCTTTAGTAGTCATCTGTGGTGTTCCCATTGTCTCAGAATACCATCAAAACTGCACTTTAACCCCATCTTCGTTCTCACTTAGTATTCATTGTGAGTAACTAATACCTTATTGGGAGATAGAGGTGAGTGCACTTCACTGTTCTGCCTCACAGGCCGACCAACATACAACACTCAGGTACAACAAGATACGGAAAGTGAGGTGAATGCAATGCAAATTTTCTGGCTGTATTGTCTTTAGAGTAGAGCATATAAAGGGGCTTGCTCAAACCAACTGCGATATTATATGCTCTTGGCACTTACCAAAGATTCTTTTCGATATGGGTTACAGACAAATTTGTGTAACAGGAAGCATGAGAAGGCCCCTTCAAAGCCACTCATTTCGAATTGCGTCCACCAAAGGAAAGAAAATGCATTTTCTTCTACACTTGTAACCCTTGAGCAGCCATCATTTTAGCTACTCGTTTTGCCGTAAATTGAAAACATTCAGGTAGCCCAGTATCGCTCCACTCCTTGCCGAGCATCATTTTCACGACACCTGGTGCACAAGTGAAGATACGTGCCATACCTGTCTGGTATCAGCATCTCGAATTGTTCGACGGAGAATAAAGACTTACCATGACCACCAAATCCAGCACAAACCCACTGCCCTTCCATCCCATCTAAGGGACCAACGAAAGGCACAAAGTCCCCAGTCATGCCAATGATGCCACTCCAAGCGTGGTCCAACCCTGCACCATGAACACCATTTCTGTTTATATCAGCATCTACTCTTGGGAACAAGACTTTCCACTGCTTCAAAGCATCCTCGAGGATTTCTTCGTTGTACTTCCCATCATTGTACGTCACAGCCCCCCTCCTAGTTTCCGTGCTCAGCGTAGGGTTCGCTCTTGACACACCCAGGATCAACGTCCCATCTCCTCGTCTCTGAATCAAAGAGTAGAAGTGATGCAAACTATATCTCAACGAGAAAGTCTTCGTTAAAGATCCCTCTGCCGAGAAGGCAGGCGGCGCAATCAAAGAGTGTGCTTGTGCTCTATTTGGCGTCAAGTGAGATTCCAGTTGTGGGAGCAGAAGAGATGCGTATGCGTTCGTGCAGTGAATGACCGTCGGCGTAACCACCGCACCACGCGATGTGTGGACTTCCCATGACTTGTCTTCTGACTGCGTCACCTTTGAGACAGGACAATGGGTGAACAGCTTGACGCCACGCTTAATACAAGAATTCAACAACCACTGAGCCAGTTTTGCAGGATGGCTTGAACCGGCAGGCCACTCATAAGCCGCAAATGCATCTTGGATACCTGTTCGCTTCTTGGCTTCATCACCCTCAAAGAAAGATACATGAGATACGTCTCCACCGGCTTTCTTGAAAGCTTCAAAGTTGTCTGCTTCATAAGCTGCAAATTCAGGGGTCATGCAAACATCGAAGGTTGATGTGAGGTGGAAGTCACAGGGCACATCGTACTTCTTGACGAAATGGTCGACTTTTTCGAGGACTAGACGTTCGTTGGCGATTATTTTGAGAGCTTGATCAGGGCCGTGGAGAGACGAGTAGTGTTTGAAGCCTCGGAAGGCATCTTGAATTCATCAGCAATCGACTTCAATGAACTCCAATAATAAGAAGAAGTGTTCTTCTGGAAAGAGGCAATTCGAACCTGGTCTCACGTGTCCCGCGTTCCTCGAGCTGGCTCCACTTGCTGCTTCCCTAGCTTCCAGAATGATAATGTCCTTGCCATCGACACCATTTTCTGTCAATTCGAAGGCTGTGAGTGCGCCGGAGATGCCAGACCCGATTATCACGTACTTGCTCGATGAAGGAAGAGTTGACGATTTGTTGATGTTAAGGTGGGGAAATGCTCGTGTCGTCCTTTGCCAGTAACTCAGACAAGGATTTGGGAGCGGTGCTGAGAGAGTCAACGACCCTTTCAAGTCTTCATTTGCGGCTATCATGGTGTTTGATAATGTTAACAAAACAACTTAATTCAAAGTCTCGAGATTGTTCCTATACCACGAGGAAGGAATTTAGTTGTAGGAGTCCTTGTGGTCGCTCAGATTTTGGAATCCTGGTGCGAAGACAAGATCTAGCGACGCTTCGACTTTCCTCTTTTCTCAATACTATCACTCTCTTCTTCTTCCTTGCTTTGCTAAGCCAACCTCCATCGTTGTTGTTTGGTGTGGCAACACTTTCTTCCACTCTTGGTCAGCTTCCTCGTCAAAAGTGGGATCGCTTCAATTGAAGATCAGCTCCATCCGCCCAATCGTTGCCCGCCGCCCAGACAGCGGAGAACAGGTCTTCTTTATCATACTTTCGAGTACACAGTACAAGTAAGGTTACATGTAAGCCTTATCAAGATCGTCGCAGGGTCATGGTGTAACAGTACCCCGCTGGAAGCTTTCTCACGCTGCAAAATTCTTGCCTTGGAGAGCCGCGGGCAAGTGCGATAAGACGTGAGGATGCGACGAATTTCTCATGTCTTCTGAAGTCTTGTTCCTTCTCTCCAGTTCATCACATCTAGAACATTGATCAAGGTCAAGTCAGTCTTTAAAGGAGAGTAAGGATTCGATCAAGATGGTGTCGTGGAAGAGCTTTGGTCGCCCGGCGGTGCTGCAGAAGCACGAGAGAACGCCTGCTGAGAAGAGTCTCGTGCTCAGGCTAGATATCTTTTTGATGACTTTCGGATGCATATCTCAAAGTACGTATCGGATGATCTCGAGATATGTTTTCGATGCTAACATTGGTTGTAGTTATCAAGTGAGCTTCATAGGATTGAAGATTTCAGCAGCACATGACTGACCACGTGCAGATATCTCGACCAGCAAAACATCAGCAATGCTTACGTATCTGGCATGAAAGAAGATCTGAAGCTATACGGCAATGAACTGAATTAGTAACTGCTTTCCCTCAGAAGTTCGAAGAGAAATTATACTGACCCTCCGCAGCTTCACCACCTGGTTTAATGTTGCTTACTGTATCTTCCTGATCCCATCTCAAATCATCCTTACCTATGTCCGACCAAGTATTTGGCTACCCGGACTAGAGATCTTGTGGGGTATGATGACTGGTCTGATCGCGACTACTCAAAATGCAAAGCAAGTCTATGTTCTTCGAGCATTTCTGGGTATGTGTGAAAGCAGTGCTTGGCCGGGTATGATGACATTGTTCAGTAAGTAATTCGAAGTGTCAAATGAAAAAAGTCTGACCTCAAATATTGCACTGGTATACGCCGACTGAATTGGCGAAACGTATGGGCTTCTACCATTCATGCCAAGCTGTTGGAGGCATGATGTCTGGTGCTCTTCAAGTTGCTATCACCAACACTCTCGATGGTTCACATGGACTTGCTGGATGGCGGTGAGCTTCACCAAATCAAATTGATGTATGTAACTGATTTGAAGCAGTTGGTTGTTTGTGATCAATGCCATCATCACAGTGATCTGGGGCTTTCTCGGCTTCTTCATGATCCCCGATCTACCTAATCGTCCCAACCCAAGATCCTTCTGGTTCACGAAAGCACACGCTAGTATGGCCATGGAGAGGCTTGAGCGACACAACCGTGCAGAGCCAAAGAAGATGACTTGGGCAGGTGCTAAGTATACAATTTCTGTGTTTTTAGCATGTGATCGATTTACTAATGTTCTATTCCCAGACGTGCATTCTCTGGTTGGGTTATGTACTTCATCGCCGTGCTGTACATCGCAACGGTATTAGCCTCATATGGATATGCTTACTTTAATCTCTTTCTGAAGAGTTTGAAGAATGCTGATGGAACACGAACTTGGACGACTTCTCAGGTCAACGCTATTCCGATTGGTGGAGGAGCAATTCAAGTTGTCTGTGGTATGTCTCCGAAACCTTCAGACATTTTAGAAGCTAACTTCAGATGTAGTCTGGACTTGGGCACTTCTTTCGGATTTCTTCGGCACACGATGGACACTTATCGTTGCTCAAGCGGTCATCGGATGATTCCTACTATCATCATGAGTATCTGGACACGGCATCCAGCTTCCGTGGCCCTGTCGGCTGTCTATGCCAGCTATTTTATTTCCTATATTTGCTTAGGAACAGCCCCTCTGATTATGTCTTGGTTGTCTGACATGTGAGTGTCCAGAAATAAACAGTGGGTAACGTACTGACCCTTCTCAGCATACCACAAGACCCAGAGGCTCGGTCGCTTATTGTCGGAGTGACCATTGCTGGATACTACGCAATTGCAGCATGGTCGCAAGTCTTAGTATGGCCAGCTGTTCAAGCACCTTATTGTATGTTCCCAAGTTCAACTTTTGGTGAATTCCTTCGCTGACATCGAATCAGATAAATACGGTTGGCAATCAGCTCTTGCCCTTTGGTTTGTTGTTATTATTATGACTTGCATCTTGCGCTACATTGACGTCCGTTACATGCTGTGAGTGGCCCCTCAAATCCTCGAGTGTGATTGCAAGCCTGACCATATTGACAGACCGAAACGACTTGCTTTCGCAAGAGAGATCCACGAGGAAGTGGTGAGTGAGGATGGAGGAGAGATAGTTGCTGGCGAATCTGATGATCCGGACTCGAAGACCGGGAGGGATATCCATACACAAGTCATCGCTGCAACTGCAAGCTGAATGAAAGCTTTGCATGAGAGATGATCAGGGACAATAATCGGAGTAAAGATAGACCACATTAGAAAGAGGCATGCAAGGATGAAATAGGCGAAAACTCAGGAGAGCGAGCGACGCCAAGAGCATAACAAGTTAAAAACAAGCAAAAGCTTACCAACCCTTAAGAAAATTCCTGTATGACGCAAATCAGATTCTTCTCAACCCTCACTTTTCCAATACCTCGGTATCTTTCATCCCAAAAGAAATCTCAGCCTCATCACGTCCACGTTTCTCCCAAAACCGCGAATCAAATGTCTCACTCATCTCCGTTCGCTTAACATTAAGGGCTCCACCACGACCCATAAAAGTACCCTCTCTTTCCACGGCCCGACTTCCACCCTTCCTTCATCGATAAACAAATTTTCTCCTTTACGGACGAAAGATAGATAACCCAACCCAACGAACGACTCATGAGCAGATCCAAGCGGGTCAGATCCTTATCTTCACTTCTCTCAACTTCTTACCTCGGCATTCCCAGCCTTGGCTGTTCGAGAACATGCGAATGGTTCCGTTCCATTGGGTTGATGCTGTGGATTTCCTATTTTTAATATGCGGCGTGTCCGCCACTTCTCCCACGCATGAGACTCCGCTGTCTGGATGGTTGGTTTCTGGCCAGCGCCCGTGCTTCATCTTTGACAGTGAGTGGATCTCTGCGAACTGTTCATGTTCGCAGCACTCTACTCAATGCGGAAATACCGAGGCACATAAATTGGCGTTGATTCATAGATGGTGCGATTTCTCGATGTTGTTATGTGCGTGTGAGGCTGTGCTGTGTGGAGCTTTGCGCGGGATGTCGAGACGGGAGATAGACATACATATCCTTCCGATTTCCCTCTTCTGATTTTGAGGCTCTTTTCCATGTCGTTGATCTCCTTGTGCCTTTCCAACTTTGTTCTTATATAGCAAGGCTATCAAGATGGTTGCTTTCGAAGAACCAGAAGCCACAGCCGCTACTAATAAGGAATTCTTCGAATCACCTCCCGAAACAGCAGTCAACACTGCTGCTCCATCTCGCGTCCCCTCCATCCTCGCTCAGGAATCAGACGATCTTGAAGATGGCGTGGCAGCAGAGAAACGTTTAGCTGAAATGGCAGCGCAAGAAGAGAAGTTATTCGGTTGCGTAGACCCAGTTACGCATATCGTTGGATGGGATGGACCAGATGATCCCCATAATCCGATGAACTTTCCCAGATCAAAGAAATGGAGGATCACGATGGTTACTGCCTTGATCACTTTCGTGGTCAGTTTCGCAAGCAGTGTGTTTTCGACAGCTACTACCGTTACTGCATTGGAGTTTGATGTTAGCCTGGAGGTCATGATTCTAGGTGTCAGTTTATACGTGCTTGGATTTGCATTTGGTCAGCCGTTTCTCCCCCCTCTTTCCATTTGTTTAGAGGTCCTAATTTTGTGTTAGGTCCGCTCTTCTGGGGCCCCTTATCCGAAGTATATGGACGAACACGTCCCATCTTCATAGGTTTCTTCATCTTCTCACTCTTCAACATACCCGTAGCCTTAGCCCAAAACGTCTACACCATTATGATCTGTCGATTCCTCGCTGGCAGCTTTGGAGCCGCACCCATTTCCATCGTTGGAGGCACCTATGTCGACTTCTGGGATGCACTAGACCGCGGAATTGCTACAGCCGGTTTCGCAGGAGCTACTTTCCTGGGTCCCATAGCAGGTCCTATCGTAGGAGAGTTCATCACGAAGAGCTATCTCGGATGGAGATGGACGGCTTGGATCACGCTGATCATGGCCGCATTCTTTGGTGTGATTGGGCTCTTCACTTTCCCAGAGACGTATGCACCAGTTCTGCTGAAGAGAAAAGCGGAGAAAATGAGGCACGAGACGAAGAATTGGGCTATTCATGCTCAATTGGATGAGCAGCCTATTCATTTGAAGTCATTATTTGAGAAGTACTTCTCCAAGCCATGGATTATGCTCGCACAAGAACCTATTGTCAGTCTCCCATCTCGTATCTCGAAAAATGAAAACATACTAACGCAACACAACCACAGCTCATGGCAATGACCCTCCACTCCTCCCTCGTCTACTCCATCCTCTACCTAATCTTCTTCGCCTACCCATACTCCTTCCAACAAGTCCGCGGCTGGGAAACCGGCATCAGCTCGCTCCCCTTCCTCGGCCTCTTCCTCGGCATCATCCTCTGCTGCATCTACATCGCCGTCGACACCCGCCTCCGCTTCAACCCCATGCTCCTCGCCTCCAAAAAGCCCTTCATCCCCGAAGCCCGCCTACCTCCCATGATCGTCGGCGCCATCTTTCTGCCTATCGGCCTCTTCTGGTTCGCCTGGACCTCGAACCCGCACATCCACTGGGCGCCCCAGGTCGTGTCGGGCATCTTCACCGGGTGCGGCATCTTTCTGGTGTTTTTGCCCAGTCAGATATATGTCGTGGATACGTATCTGCTGAATGCGAATTCGGCGTTGGCGGCGATGGCGTGTGCGAGGGCGCTCATGGCTGCGGGATTCCCGCTGTTCGCGACGTATATGTATGTCAACTTGGGGGTGGATTGGGCGACCAGTTTGTTGGCCTTTTTGTCGTTGGCTATGGTGCCGTTTCCGATTCTGTTTTGGAAGTATGGGGAGAAGTTGAGGATGAAGGGGAAGTTTGCTTTTGCTTTGTAAGCGTTGGAAGAGATTGGATAGACTTGGGAAAGAGGATTTGCATATAGACCTGCTTAGAGCGGCATAGAGACGGCGTTTTGGGAATATAGACGGGACGACAGTATAGACTAGAAACGAAGAGGCAACGCACAAGCATGCAGAGAGGTGCATGGACATGGTATATAATCTCATAGATAGTCGTAATTATAACTCATCTTAAAGGATGTACCGAAATCGTGGGCCCTCATTCTCCTCACCTTCTTCTGGTTCTCCTCCCTTTTGATGGATTACCGGGCTGTACTTTGCGTCCAGCTTTTTGTTCTCCCACACCAACAACGCCCGTAACAACATGGCCAGAAAGCCATTGAAGAGCATAAAGGCTGCACAAACCCACATACCCTTCCTGTAATACGGTCCCTCGCTACTGGGATATAATCGTGTACCAAGCAGTGGCCCACACTGTCCTACTACATTGATGATAGCGATTCCAGTCCCTCTTCTGGTATCGCTGCCCTGGTTGTTCATCACCCAAGGAAGGATATTGCCAATGCATGGGAAGATACCAGCAGCGGCCAGGAAGACACCAGCGTATCTGACACCAGTGCTGCTCGAGACTGCCAGCATAATGTAACCCGCAGCTCCAAGTAGGGACAGAAAGAGAATGGTAAAGCCACGCTGAGCAGTTTTGTCGGCAAACCAGCAGGAGACGAGGACTACGAGAAAGGCGAGGAAGTATGGTGGTGCCGAGAGACCTTGTGCATTGATGTTTGAAAACCCCATAGCTGCAAGGATAGTAGGAAGGAAGACCGGAAGACTGGCGAAGGATACGTTGCAGGAGAAATACATCAAAGCATTAATCCATGGTTTGAAGTCGAGTATGGCATGTCCAACATCTCGCCCATTGATGCCGTGTATTCTGACATTTTGATCCTTTCCAACTTGACGAACAGAGCGTGCTTTTGCAACAGCTTTTTCTTCCTCGGTCAGAAACTTGGCGGTTTCTGCACTGTCTGGCATGAGAAACCATGTTGCCACACCTGCGACCAAAGATGGCAATCCTTCCACGAGGAACAACAGTCGCCAAGAAGATATGCCATGTGGATGTCCAGACGTGATTCCGTACGCAAGTGCACCGGCAAAACACGTTGCCAAGGGAGCCGCACTAAGATATAGACCGCAGCGAAGTCCAAGCTCGTTCCGAAGGTAGAAGAAGGAGAGAAGGTACGTAATCCCTGGATCATGTCAGTCCGTGTGCCCATGCTTTCGAATGTGAAGGTGACCCACCTGGTGCGAATGAAGCTTCAAATGCTCCCAAGAAGAACCTCACGGCCATCATTCCTGACCAATTGAATGTAGCTGCTTGTAATGTACCGCAGACTGCCCAACCCAGCACACAAAAACAGCCCCATATGTGTGGCGGGATGATCTTCCACATCAATGCCAATGGCTCGAAGACGATATAGGATATGTAGAAAATCGTGAGAAGCCATGCGTAGCTTCCGGAGTCGAGCTTGAGAGCCTCTTGCATGCCGGCAATTTTTGCATTTCTGACATTGCTAGTCAGTCATGATACCATCAACAGTCCACTCTAGAAGGACTTACCCAATGTTCGAGCGATCGAGATATGCCAGAAGGTCTGCAATCCACTTGTTAGCTAGCATATGTGCCAATTCCTGTATGTTACGCACAGAGAATCATCACAAGCGGTATCAAGTGCAAGTCGATCTTCCTGACGACTCGTCTTTCCAGCGCTCGATCGAATTGGAGGGGTACAGGAGACCCATCCTGCAATACCGGTCCTCCCGAATTCTCAATGTCTTTCTCTGGCAGACCCCGCTCTGCGAAGGTAGCAGGCGAGCTGTTCTCCTCCTCATTTCTATCGATATTACCCATTATTCGAGGTGACGTTCGTGCAATTTGTGTTAGAGGGCAGAGGCAGAAGTTCTATGTTGAGGGCATAGCTTGGAGAGTGGGAAAGAAAGAAAAGAAACCTTAACCATACTCCTCTTGCTTGAAGAGTCATACTCACCGTCGCAATCGCACAGGCATGGAAAACTTTCCCAGGGCCGTGTAGCCTGCCAAGTGGATTCTTGAATCCGATGCAATGTGCGGATCTTCAAGGTACTACCTCGGAAAGAGTTAGTGGGTGAGAAGTCTAAAAATCTGCCGGTCATTAATTCTGCGAGATCGGCTTGCGTGATTGATAATTGGCGAACAGGCAAGTGACGAGGTACGTATATTAATGTGCTCGCTGTTAGACAAACCTCAATGCGCATTCGGGAGTTGCTTAAAGATATTTTGAAGGATGAAAGAAAAAGAGTCGAGGTTTGAGACCAGGATGTGCGAAATCGACTTAGCGCTCAGATTGGTCTCAGGTATGCGCACATTGCTTAGACAAGCGTACAACTCAGAACTAAGACCGCCTTTCAACGAAATGCACTCTCTTCCTGTCTAACTTTGCCCTTCATCCCCCACCGGTATGTGCAGAATTCCATACTACGCGCCAGTTTCAGCTACGTTTGTGATCTTCATTCAAACGCCACATTGGGCGTCGGCTTCGTGTTCACGGTCAATGAACTTCGATGGTCTTGTCAGCGTTGCATTGTTTTCCCGCGAGCATGGATTACTCACAATATGTCAGGTCTGGAATAGCTTCCAACTGCATCAAAGTCCATCTTAGACTTCTATTAGAATTTACTTCCTGATACTCGTAGAATGATCTTACTCTTGCTTCTACCAGCTCCGACGAGTTCAACGTTGCGTATACAATTTCCTCTTTGTCGAATACAGGCTCCGCTAGGAAGGTTCCAAGTGGTCCTATGACACAAGATCCGCCATGGTTCAAGATATCGTCCTTAGTCCAAGGCTCCCCATTCGCATTGCGATCATGGTGACCAGGTGCAAAAGGAGGATAGTCAGATGGGAAGTCGGAAACCTTTTCCTGGTCAGCATGAGTTATTGGGAGCACTGCTCTACTTACTTTGCAGAATTGATTGACAGATATTACAAAACATCGTCCTTCTTTCGCAATATGTTGCATGGAAGCAGTCCATGAAGGTAGATCGTCTGCATTGGGAGCAATATATATTCTGCCGCAGAGTCAGATGCTTCCGGGATGGACTCCGTTGAGGGTGTACTCACTCCACACCCAACTGATATAATGCCAGACGAGCGGCTGGCATGTAGTTCTCCCAACATATCAAACCCCCTATCTTTCCAAAGCCAGCGTCGACTACCTTTAGAGACTCCCCGGACCCTCGACCCCACACGAGACGTTCAACCGCTGTTGGAACCAGCTTTGTCATGCATCAGCTGTATGGTTTGAGGAAGAACATTTTCAAAATTACCTTTCTATGCTTGCTGAGCAAGGCTCCGTCTTTCCCAATCAATATCGCAGTGCAATACAAAGTTGCTCCATCTTTCTCGATTATGCCTATTGAAAGATTGATCTTATTTTCGCTTGCGATGTTTTGGAGGACTTCGAATTCTGGAGATGGTATCGCGACTGAAGACTCATAATACTTCGCATACCACTTGCGACCTGCTGCCGTCAGAACCGTGGTTCGTACCACAAAACCAATTGCATCTCCTACCTCGTGGCTCACGTGCACCGATGGTTGCATCGAATGCATATCTCCATGGGTAGGCTGACAGAAACCCCTCACTGGCAACGAAGTCGTTAGAGTCAAGTTAGTCAATGTTGGTCAGACTTACGGAAATGCCACAAGCTCTGCACCTTGCTTTGCTGCCTCAGCGGTCAACTTCTCAACTTTCTTCAGACTCTCCTCAAGATCGAAGGCCACTGGTGCAGCCTGAACCGCCGCAACTTTGACTTGCTGATCTTTCGTCATAGCACGTGATTGCAATTGTTTGATTTGAACCCAGAATCTTTCCTTATCGCATTGCAGATAGGTGTGGCTAGGAGAGCGCTTTTGTCTCTCCAAGCGGTGATCCATCGCGTTCTCGTATTTTTGTCCAACAATCCCGCGCTCTTTGATCCGCACTGGGACCCACAGCGGTTGTGTCCGAACACCCCATACCTCCCGAGAATAGATGCTCGGGATTTGAAAAATGATCTGACTCCATTGTCCAATCAGAGAATCTCAGTAATCGTGCGTGTCTTATCTTATTAATTGTTTCTTATCTAGTCTCTGTGAAGCGACGTCGAGAGAGGTAGTGCTCATTTGACTGCATCGTGACAATGCGTATGTTTCTATTCCAAAGGCGTTCTCCAGAAGACTAATGCGAATAGTTCTCGACTATGTGCCTCCCGTTCAAAACGAATACCACAAATTTGTCACAAACCAAAAATTCGCTTACATTGACTCAATTGAACTAGAATCAGGGGAGCAATTGGAAGGAGTTGTCGTTGCGTACAAAACATGGGGAAAGTTGAACGGAAATGGTGACAACTGTCTCGTTGTCTGCCATGCATTATCCGGCAGTAGTGATATTGTAGATTGGTGGGGCCCGTTACTTGGAAACGGCAACGCATATGACACTTCGAGATACTTCATCTTCTGTGCCAATGTACTCGGCTCACCTTACGGTACAACCTCATCGTTAAGCTTGGATCCACGAAGTGGACAATCCTACGGGCCTGAGTTTCCTCAAAGCACAATTCGAGATGACGTGCGGTTAGTCTCCATTATTTTCACTGTTCACTCAGACGCTGATGATTTTCTAGCTTGCACAAACTGGTACTCGACGCCCTTGGAGTGTCCAGTATCGCTGCAGTAGTTGGCGGGTCTATGGGAGGAATGATGACCCTTGAGTGGCCACTTTGTACTCCTGAAGGCTACCTGAAGAACATCATTCCCATCTCGACTTCAGTGGACCACGATGCATGGGGCATCGCCTGGGCAGAAGCTCAAAGGCAGTGCATCTATGCAGATCCAGCTTTCGAGGAAGGCTATTACCTTCCAACTCCCGCAACACAGCCAGCTGCTGGCCTAGCAGCCGCGAGGATGGTTGGCATGCTCACATATCGCTCGTCGCCGTCATTCAACAGCAGATTTGGCCGTGGTGAAGGAGGATCTCAACTCAAGGCTGTCAATGAGGTCCTCGCCAATACCACTCTAGTCAATGGCAATGGGAAAAGCAAAAGAGACAGCAAATCCAACGGCGTCCACAACTCCGCCAAAGACTTCAAGGCTCACAGCTACCTTCGCTATCAAGGCGAGAAGTTCGTCAAACGCTTTGACGCCAACTGCTTCATCCACCTAACGCAAAAAATGGATCATCACGATGTCACAACAAATCGAATACCCCCTCACGAACTTTGTTCCATGTCCAAACAAGAGTCACTACGGAGAGTCTTCCGCAAAGTACCAAAGAATGCATTAGTCATAGGAATCGACTCAGATGTCCTGTTCAGGCCTGAACAGCAAGTAGAGATTGCGGATGCATTGCCTGAAGCATCTTTGGTGATGATTCCTTCTGTTGAGGGGCATGATGGGTTCTTGCTTGAGTTTGAGATTTTGGGGCCTCTGATTGAAGCGCATTTGAGAAAGCAGTGTCCTTGGATTTATGAAGGCGCACCTTTGGTCGTTGAGGACTCGACGAGTGCTGTTAGAGATAGTGTTTTCGGTGAAGTTGAATCTGGGTGGTGATTTGGTTAAGCTTTCTTTGTTGTACTATTTTAGATTTTGGAATTATGAACTATTATTTTACACAACCAGATGCCCCAAGATTTTTCATGCGATACATGCTATTGTATTCTCTAACGTTGTCTACCCTCAGTCCTCAACTTCTCATCGTTCTCGAACTAGGCCAGTTTGCGCCTCGAATGGCTTTTCGAGTTTCTTGGAGACTCCCACGCACGAGTCAGCACTCTATTCACATCGCACCAATAAGCTTGCAATCCGCATTTCTCGGAAAACGACTTACCGACTTGACCAGTGGTGATCAATTCACATAGTTCCTCGCCCGTGGAGACTTCCTCCGTCCTACGCAAACAACTCAAACCCCGACCAGACACCGACAACACTCTCACCACATTCTCGCACTTCGACCTCGGTATCACTACATGGAAATCGAACACCGCATGGATGTATATGATGGGTACCCGTCGTATCAATGCAGACCTCTTATCTCTGAACTGATCCTCTAGTCAATTCCTTATCTTTACCTTCCAGTGCCAAGCATTTCCAATATGCCTCTCATCCTGACAGAAGAAGACAAACCCTGGGTAGTCCAGAAGTACGGCGGCACATCGCTTGGAAAACTTCTTCCTCAAATCACAGAAACCATCATTCCCTCATATCTCGAAACGAACAAAGTAGCTGTTGTCTGTTCCGCCATCTCAGGAACAGAAAAAGCGAAAGGCACGACAAGTCTCCTGCTTAAAGCCATCGAATGCGCCATTACTCCAACTCGAAAGGATGAACTCAACGATATCATTGATACCATCCGAGATGAGCATTTCAAGGCCATCAAAGCATTGAAACTTCGAGCAGCAATTGGAAACGAGAAGCTGTTTTCAGAAGCAGAAGCAGATGTGGTTACAGAATGCGAAGAACTTCGAAGTTTCCTCTCAGCAGCACAAACGATAGGAGAACTTTCTCCAAGATCAAAAGATAGAGTTGTTTCCACTGGCGAGAAACTATCATGCATCATCGTCGCCGCCGCTCTCCGCAGCAACGGAATTCCCGCTCATCTCGTCTCCCTACACAACATCGTCCCTCTCACCAACGACCATACCCTCAACTCCACTTTCTTCGACACTCTCTCCTCCCATCTGAGCTCACATCTAGCCACATACCCCCAAACCTCAATCCCCGTCATAACAGGCTTCTTCGGCCCCCTCCTCCCCTCGCTCCTCCAAACCATCGGAAGAGGCTACACCGACCTCTGCGCGGCCTTAACAGCAACCGCGCTCTCCGCCCCCGAACTCCAGATCTGGAAAGAAGTCGACGGCATCTTCACCGCTGACCCTCGAAAGGTACCTTCAGCACGCCTCCTCGAGACCGTGACGCTGGAAGAAGCGAGCGAGCTGACCTTCTTCGGAAGCGAGGTCCTGCATCCGGGAGTCGGGGAGGTGGTTAAGAGGGCGGGGACGAGGGTGAGGGTGCTGAATGTTGGGAGGCCTGAGGGGAGGGGGACGGTGATTTGGCCGAGTTCGAGTGGGGTCAGTACGCCACTTTCTAGATCAGGGGATTCTTCTGCGTTGGGGGTGTCGTCTAGGTCGAATTCTCCTGCGAGTGGGTTTATGGCAGCGAATGGGTATTATGGGGTGAATCAGGCGAGGAGAGCGCCGACGGCACTGACGTCGAAGGATGCGATTGTGCTTGTGAATGTGCAGTCGAATCGGCAGAGTAAATCGCATGGGTTTCTTGCAAAGGTGTTTAATGTTCTTGATGGGTTGGACATTACGGCGGATTTGATTACGAGTAGTGAACAGAGTGTGAGTCTTGCTTTGTCAAATGTTGGGGAGAATGAGGAGGGTATTGGGAGAGTAGTCAAGGGACTGGAGAATTGTGGAAAAGTTGAAGTTCAGAAGGGGATGGCGATTGTGAGTGTGATTGGGCATAAGATGAGGAATATGGTTGGGATTGCTGGGCAGATCTTCTCGACGCTTGCGAGTGGCGGAGTCAATATTTACTTGATCGGACAGGGAGCCAGTGAGATCAACATCTCGTGAGTTCAGCTAAAGTTGACGGTATGCACGAAAACTAACTTGCTTAGGTTAGTTATCAAGGAAGAAGATGCATTGGTGGCGCTAGATATCATACATGCTGATGTGCTTGGAATTCCAAGGATCAAGACTCATATGCCAATTGCCCAGAACAGCATGATGAAAGGTAAATGTCTCGAGGTATTGGGTTGAATACGATGATTAATGATGATTAGGACCATGGTTGTATTAACACACTCTATACCAAACAAGATTTCAGAAGTATACAGAAAGACATTTAGACACAGAGCAACGAGAGAAAAGAAAGGGGATGGAAGCAGTTGTGTAAATAAGCATCATGTATATTCACAGAAAGTCTTTCCTCCTCTATATGCAAGTCTTCTACTTCCCAATCTCACCAACAGCTCGTGACTCGTCGTCAATATGATTGTTGTTCCTTCTTGATCATTACTAAAGTCCGCCTATATACTACTCCATGGGAGATCAAAAATTTTGTAGTCCTTCATATCAACTAGATATTAAATACAGATACTAGGACAGGATTACTACGTCCTTATCTCACTTCTAGCAGCTTACACGATAAAATTGCTCTATTGAAGTGAAGAAGCTTCAAGAGTATTCGGTGATATCTATGTCCTTAGCCTCCGTGAGTTGACCATCACAGCAAGACTTTAACTTGCACGTAGAATCCCAAGTTCTTGAGTCAATCTGCAATTTTGAGCAACGAACATCACTATCGATAATACACCTCTTCCTCTGGACCCGAAGATCTCTTCTTCTGAACTTAGCAAGACACCTTCCTGCTCTAAATTTCAGATGGAGTTTGCAGACAATCACGTGCTCCAACAGTTCATCTCCTTATCTCTGTAGATATGTATCTAAGTATCCAGATCCCTAGTCCAAAATCTAAACATCTCTCTTCATCCTAATCCCACAACCCCACAAAATCCCGCTACCCAGACACTAAGTAGATCCCGCAGATCACCCCATATCTCTCTCTCCGCCATCTCCAGAACTCAAACCCCGAGATATCTTATCTCCATCAGATGGCGCACTCCGCTCTGTACTGCCTCGGTCTCTGCACTTTGCCTCTGTTCCTCTCGGTGTCTGCTTTTCCAGAGCTTCGAAAAGAAGAATGCGAAGTGAACGCGAACTCTGGATTTGATTAGAGAGAGAATGCGAGCGCGGGGTATAACGAAAACCAACAATGCAGACGCCCGTAAGACGCAGCGGGATTCGAAATCTCGCTAGCGGAGTGAGATCGTACGCGAAGCGAGAAAGGGGAGGGTTGGATGGATCATTTGGTACGCATGTTGGGAAGAAGAACTCCGAAGATGGGTGGTTATAAGATGCTTCGTGTGCAGGTAAATTGATGAAAGTATCGTAACGATTGTTTCTTCTTTCAAACATCGCAAAAAATAAATTCGGATTCAACATGCCAGCATCAGGATCTCTCAGGGGCGTGACGAAGTGAGCAACAACAACACCACCATACCATAGATCTGTACTAACAAACCAAAACAGGGAGCCAGGCTTCGACACTCTCCAACTACACGCAGGACAAGAACCCGACCCCGTGAACGGCTCGCGCGCAGTCCCGCTGTTCCAAACATGCTCGTATAATTTCATGGATGCGGCGGACGGAGCGAGTAAGTTTGCGTGGCAGAAAGATGGATATGTGTATACGCGGATGGGGAACCCAACGATTTCGGTCTTGGAGCAGAGAATGACGATGCTGGAGGGAGGGGTGGGTGCCGTTGCTACGGCGTCGGGACATGCTGCTCAGGTGAGAATAGAGTCTCTGATGAGAGGAGGAGAGTGGGAGCTGACACTTGTCTTGTTGTAGTTCATGGCTCTTACTTCTATCATGGAGCCTGGGGATAACTTTGTCAGTACTAGCTGGCTGTATGGAGGTAAGGAGAGAGCTTGTGCTTCACTCATCTACTTCTCAACCATTTAGAGTAGACAATGACTGATGTCCCGATTTCCAGGAACTTACAACCAATTCCGCGTATACCTCAAGAAATTCAACATCCACGTCAAGTGGGTAGAAGGGCAGGACCCCAAAGCAGTCGCAGCCGCCATCGACGACAGAACCCGAGCAGTCTACCTCGAGACAATCGGCAACCCCAAACACAACGTCCCAGACATCGCCGCCATCGCAAAAGTGGCCCACGATGCCGGCATCCCACTCATCGTCGATAACACATTCGGGATGGGCGGTTATGTCCAACAGCCATTTAAGCTCGGAGCCGATATCATCACCCACTCGGTCACCAAATGGATCGGCGGCCACGGCACCAGCATGGGCGGCATCGTCATCGACGGAGGGAAATTCGACTGGTCCAAGAGCGGCAAGTTCCCTGGCTTCACGGAAGAAGCAGACGGGTACCACGGGATGAAGTTCTGGGACGCGTACGGATACAAAGCCTTAGCTGCTAAACTGCGGATGGATGCCATGAGAGACCTGGGACCTTGCATGAGCCCTTTCAATGCGTGGCTTTTCCTGATGGGACTTGAGACACTGAGTTTGCGGGGAGCGAGACACTGCGAGAATGCGCTTGCGTTCGCGGAGTGGCTGGAGGCTCATCCGTTGGTCAAGTGGGTGTTGTATCCTGGATTGAAATCGCACCCTGATCACGAGTATGCGACGAAGAACTTGAAGAATGGATATGGAGGCGTCTTGACATTTGGAGTTGATGGAAATATTGAGGAGGTCAGCGCAGTGGTTGATAATTTGAAGCTCTGCAGCCACTTGGCTAATGTGTAAGGCTCTCTCCGATTGTTTTCCGTTGTCGTGGATGACGAACTTGCTGACCACCGTCATATAGCGGAGATGCAAAAACTTTAATTATTCATCCTTGGAGAACGACGCATCAGCAATTGCCAGACGAAGAGAAGGTCCAAGCAGGAGTGACGCCAGATCTGATCAGAGTCAGTCTTGGGTTGGAGAATATCGAGGATATCATCCATGACTTCCAGCAGGCATTTGATGGTGCGGGGTTGAAGCCACTGAAGACCTTGCCTGTGACGAATGGCACCAAGACATCGTAAGCCAGCGTGGGTAATATATCGAAATGGCGTTTATTGTGATATTCTTTTCCGCTATTGATGATGCGTGTAAAAGAGAATACATAGACAATCGACGATCAGATTAATCGTGATGACAAAGCCAAATGCTGTGCTACAATACTTCTACGGAGGGTATATCCAACCAACCAGAAGAGTCTCTGCACACTGCACAGTCAGCCTCCGGGAAGTAAAGGATGCTAAAGAATGCTAATGACCACCATGCAGATTTGACATCGGGAGACTGCGGACGGGTACAGTTCGGAAATGCTCAAACTTAGGAAAACTCGCTCAATAGTCGACGCTTTATTGCACTCTGCAGTGCAACGATGAAAGAAGTGAGGTTATCCATGTCGTTGCCCTGTGTCGCTTAACAGTCCTCAAATTTCAAACCCCGAGGGATCTGCTGTGCTTCGATGTCCATCTTCAACAAATCACATTGCCGCATGCAACGACCAGGGAGTTTTCTTCTGCTTACAGGGCTTGATCGTAGCCAGTTGCCCACCAGAGCCCCCTGTCCACAAACCATGAGGGCTTTTCCTTATCACCCCAGCTCTGCCGCCTGTCGACGCCTGCAGCGCCCTCAAACGTGAGAAACACGCCACATAGAGCGTCGCTACAGCTATGGCCAAGGGAAGAAAAATGTGAGTTGACACAGAACGCGTCCAGTACATATACCCGCGAACCCCAGAAAAACTACCCCGCCATCGTCAGCACAAAACTTATCATCGCCATGATGGAGTTTGAGATTCCGGCTGACTCGTATGTCGACGATAGCACGAAAATCGCATCCTCTGTGAAACCCGAGAAGCCGGCCAGGAAGAAGTTTGCGGTTCCGCCAGTGAAGCTCGCGTGTTTGGAGTGGTGAGCAGATCGCCGATGGTGGCTCTCATAATGGTTGCTGACAGCCTCGTGCAGCAGACAATCACGAACTCGATGCGATGGGAAGACAGAATGTTCAAATGTGCGAATTCGAATCCATTGAGGGTATTTGAGAGCAAATGAGCTAATTTCTTGCTCAGTGTCTGAACAGAAATAAGACATGCGTTTATACTGCGAGTAAGAGGGGAGGATCAAGGATTCGCAGAAGAAAACTTTCAATCGACGAGGAAAAGTCACTTTCGACCAACAATAGCGAATTAAATCACTGCGCTCTTTCAATTCTCCCAGAACTCGATGAAGGTAATTGAGTTGATATGATTTCACGAGGCTGGTTCTAATTACTTAGTGGCAGCATCATTCAGTGGCCCTTTGCAGCTGGTGGCGCCAGGCGGCGGATTGACACAATTAGATTTCTCCTCAGACGACTCCTTATTCATCTTCGACTCAGTATTCTCGGGCCAAGGAGACAGCCTAGACAGTGGATATGAGACTTCGGAGGTGTCGGCCACACTGTCGGAGGTTGATCACCCGAAGGAATATATTCGAGTATACCAAACAGATGAAGACATGTGAGTGCAGATTGGAACGATGAGAGTCCAGCGCTGATGGGCAAAACAGACTCAATGCCTATTATGTCTACATACATCCCTACTTTCCAGTCCTACCACCTCCTCAACCCCAGCAGGTGATCGATAACCCCGACTATGGCGTTCGACGAGCTCCAGATGCGATCTTCAGCAGCAGGACGAATCCAGACTTCGAGCCTTCCACGCCGTTGAGTCTCGCCATTTCAGCATCGCTATCTTTGATTCCTCACCCAGACGACCCCAACCCATCCGGTCTGCATTCTGTCCGTCTTAGAAGAGAGCAAGCTCAAGCATTTGCTCAATCTGCGTTCGAAAGCATTGAGATCGAGTCGGAATTGATAGAGTCTGGGATAGAGCCAGGGGAGGCTTTGAGTAGCGACCCGGCACCTCTCATTCGAAACCCGTTTCACCCTGAGCTCCCACTTGAAAACGAGAGTATTGTAGCATTACTTATGCTCAGTACATACGAATATGCGCAAAGAGGTAATATCGCGAAGATGAGGAACAGAGCAGGTCAAGCGTTAAATGCTGCGTTGAACCTGGGACTACATTCGAAAGGAAATGAGGAGGGCTATCATGCAGAAGCGAACAGAAGAACGTGGTGGATGACCGTCAGTCGATTTTTCCCCGAAGAAGTATAAATCTGACAAAATTTCCAGTATATACTCGTTTGCCAAGGCGCGATCCTCAGTAATTCCGTACGTATTCACTTTCGGCTCATTCAACCAATCTCTGACTCGCTTACAGACGCCCCCTATGTTGCTTAACGACCGCCGCTTCACAACTGCTGGCCCAACTTACATGGGAGATCCAGGGGTAAGAAACAGTTTTTCACAAACTCCAACTATGAACCAATACTAATACCAATCTAGGCTTGGCCAGTCTTCCTTCAATCGCAACAGGCCATCACTTCCTCAACTCAATTCGTTATCAACCTCGATGCAACACTGAAATTGGGAACCAACCCAATGGCAATTTGGGACCGTATGCTCGAGCTTGAGTCTTTCATGGAGCCACTTATCAACCAAGCCGATACATGGTCACTATCCACAAATCCCCAACCTCCACTCGACTCCTTAGAAGTCGTAGTCGGCCAAGCACTTCGAGGCATGGCACGCATAAAGCTCAACAGGTCAGCTGACCCTCCTTCCCCCTTTACCTCGCTAACAAAACCTAGCGCAAGAATAAAACTCCACCGTTACTGCGCATTCTCAGACGTCCCCGTCTTCTCCAAAAAACACTGCGACCTCCGCTCCTCATCCGAAGTCTCCTCCCCCGGCCCCGGCACCGGAACCCCATCCGCCCCCAACTGCGGCTGCAGCAACACCTTCCACAACCTCCCCACCGCCGCCGACCTCTCCTCGCCCATATCCACCGTATCCAGCCCATCCATGAACTGCGCTCTCCTTCCTTACAGCAGCAAATACTCTGCCAAAATGTGCTTAAAGTCCGCTATGAACATCGCACACTCGTTCCGCACGCTTCCGTACCCGCAACCTATCCGACCGAATGATCCTTTGTCTTTCTTCCCGGAAATGAGGATCGATAGCAATGCGCCGAGGATGATCCCCGTGTTTGCGTGCTGCGCGATGCAGAGTAGTTATGCGTTGATCATGTTGAGCTATAAGACGAAGGCGATGGGGTTCGTGGGTGATACGAGGGAGGAGTCGGCGATGAAGTTGTTGGGGCAGTTGAGTGAGGGGTTGCAGATGATTTTGGGTGCTATTAAGAATTATTCGATTGCTTATGAGGCGTTGGGTGGGATGTCTGGTATGTTCTGTCTCCTTAACTTAATATCTGAAGCAATGCTGATGATGACTTTTAGGACAAATCGAGGCTGCGGCGCAATCTATTAATGTTATGCCGGCGAATGCGTTGATGGATATGAATTTTTCTTAAAATATGATGGGGATATCTGTTTGATTAGATGACGGCGAATCGGGTTGGAATTTGGCGTTTTGAAGACCACTCTTCTGATGATGATTTATGATAGCTGCTAATGGTTGGTTGATGAAAGGCGGAAGATACTCTTTGGTCAGCAGAGCAGAGCCTTTGGGTCTCAAGGGCTGGGCTAGATTGTCTGCGTAACGAAGTCCAGAAAAGTTCAAACATCTGAAATTTCGACTCTTACGACTGCCATTTGATGTGGTACAAGGTCCTTTGGTCTCACACATGGTTCCGAGGATTTCCGATTCTGAAACAAAACCCCTGAGACTTGATTCCTGACCCGAATCTACCCCACCAGTTCGCTTATGAGGGGTAACTCCAGCTGAGCCTCATCAAGTACATCCACAAAACCTCGAAACCATTCCAGATCCTAAACCTGCATTAGAAGAGAAAATGCCAAGCCAATATGACATCATGTGACCACCCCCCTCCACCCAATCAGGCAGGTGGACCAAAAACGCCACCAAACAACACGTGCTTCAATAACTGGCAAAAATCACTGTTTATCCCCTCTTCTCGCGGCTCAAGACCTACAAACAATATTATTAGATGTATCTTGGCGGTGAGGATCATCGTATAAGAAGATTTCTCTTTCTTCTTCTACAGAAAATTTTCTCCAAAGAAATTGCTTCACGATGCAGATCACCAAGATCCTTGTCGCCAGCGCCCTCGCAGCTACGTGCTCCGGCACTGCTGCTCCTCTTCCAACCCCTGCTGCTATTCTGCCACGACTCAGCAGTAACGAGTGGATTAATTACACCACGTTGACAGGATTCTTTGCTCAAGATGATCCTGCCACGAACCCGAGTACTTTCGATTACGTGGGTTCCCCAAATCTAAGAAGGAAAAGCATACTGAGACTAGATAGACAACGACCAACTTCGGACTTCTGAATATCACATATCCTACAGATGATGAAGTCGACCCAACATGGACCCAATGGCAGAAATTCGAGCATCACGTTTGGCGTCTCAACAGAGGCAGTGGACGGTTTGTGCAGTACAAAGTGCTCTACATGGGCCGCCACGGTGAAGGCTACCACAACGTAGCCGAGTCCTACTACGGGACTCCAGCCTGGAACGTACGTCCTCCCCATCCCTCCATTCCCCCCATCACTAACCCGCAACAGTGCTACTGGTCCGAAAAAGACGGCAACGGCACAATCACATGGGCCGACGCCAAAATAACCCCCAACGGCGTCGCCCAAGCGCAAAAAGCCAACGCCTTCTGGGCATCCCGCATTGCGCTCCAGAAAATCCCCGTCCCAGAAACGTACTATACATCTCCTCTAACCAGATGTCTGCAAACATCCAACATCACGTTTTACGGCCTCGATTTACCGAGCAGACAGCCGTTCATCCCCACCGTCAAAGAGCTGTTCCGAGAGGGCATCAGTGGACATACATGCGATCGGAGAGGGACAAGGACGTATATCCAGGATGCGTATCCGGGGTATAAAATCGAGGCTGGGTTTTCGGAGGATGATTTGCTGTGGAAACCGTTGATGGGTGAGGTGCCGACTGATGAGGATGTGCGGAGCAAGAGGGTGCTCGATGATGTTTTTGCGGGTGATGATAGTACTTATATTTCGATCACGAGTCATTCGGGGGAGATTGCTAGTATTTTGAGAGGTATGTTGGTTTTTTATTTGAGGTGCAAGGGGGAGAGATGTGCTGATAATGAGATAGTTCTTGGACATCAACCGTTCTCGCTTAGTACAGGGGCGGTTATTCCTGTTCTTGTGAAGGCGGAGATTATTCAGAGGGATGTTCCTGCGACGACTACGCTTCCGTGGACTGCGTTGTCTACTTGTAGTACTGTCCCACCACTTCCGACTGCTACTTAATTTTCAATATTGAGTTGAATTCCTTGAGGGTAGTGGAGGATGTTTATGCACATGATTGCTCTTTAGCTTAAGATAATAATGCCTCATACATAATTGGATCAAGTTTGGTCTCGATTAATGACACTCTACCCATAATCTTGTCATGAGATGAAGCTTGGAAACGTGCAAATCTAGATCCAAGTTCCCGACTCCGCTGTTCCTGATCCTACCATTGTCTTACCTGCAGCGCCAAGGTGACGCAAGTGAATGGTGGCTCAGTATAGCTCTCCTCCTCATTCCAGCAATTCGTTAGACTCCCTAGCAGTTCCCTAAACCCCATTAACCTTCTCTCCCGCCAACTCCCTCACAACATTCCTCCTACTCTTCATTCTATTGACAAATTAGCATACACTTCTAACAAAGAAACCGAGGAGCCCAAGCGAATCTTCCCACTTAAGCACCCTAACCCCAGCAGCTGGAGCCCAGCTCTAGCCATAAACTCAAAAAAGAACAGGAAGTTAGACAACAAAAGTCAAACCTACAACGGCTGCACCCTCTCCCCAAAAACCCTCACCCCCTCCACAAAATCATCAAACGTAAGCATAACACCCTTAACCTCCATGCCCGCGACCTGATCCAACATCCCGGCGACACTCTCCCAACTGCCAATCAGCGTCGCCATACTCCCATTACAATTGCTATCCATCTTCACCATGCGCATCGCGGTCGAGAACTCGTCCGCTTTGGTGTCTTTGCCGCTCTGGTTGCGCATCCAGGTCAGGGCCTCGATGTCGGTGCCGGAGTTGTAGTGGGTGAATTTCGCGTGGGCGAGGGCGTCGGTTTCGGCGGTGATGACTAGGGGGAGTTAGGTGCTGGTTTTGGGGGAGGTGGAAGAGGTGATTTTAGGAGAGGGGGGTGGAATTTGTGTGGAAAGGAATCGAGGAGAGGGCCTAATGAAAGGGGTTGGTTGGGTACTCATGAGGAGGACGAGCGCGCCTACGTCGCGGTTCGCGGCTTTGGCGGCGTCGACGAGGCGCGCGTTGGCGTCGCGGAAGGCCGTTGGTTGGTTGATTCCTGTGCCGGAGGTGAAGTTGAAGTCGCAGTATTTGGCTGCGAAGGCGGTTCCTGGGGATATTGTCAGATTTCTGAAAAGATCATCTTGGGATAGGGGGGTTACCTGGTCCGCTCTGACCGGCTGCTATGAGCTTAATGGGTTCTGAGGGCATGGGGAGGAGTTTACAGTCATTCATCGTAAAGTGTTTTCCTTTAAAATCTGATTGCCCTGTACTCCAGAGCTCTTTCATGATCTGTACGTATTCTGTTGCGTACTCGTATCGATACCTATTCCTCTCTCTCAGCCAAGACACACTTCTCACTTCCCCAGAAAAAAGTTAAATTCACAACTCACCCAAAATACTCACTCCCAGGCCACATCCCCATCTGATCATACTCGGCCGTCTGCCACCCGGTGACAATATTAACCCCAAACCGTCCCGGAGCAATCGAATCAATCGTCGTCGCCATTCTCGCTACGACGGCTGGCGGCAATACCAAGATTGGTGTCGAGGCAAACAGTTTTATTTTGTTGGTTACGGCGGCGAGACCGGCCATCAGGGTGAAGGATTCGAGGTTGTAGTCCCAGTGTTGAGTTACGCCGCCGTAGCCGCGCATTTTGATCCTGGGGTGCGTTGGTAAGTTGATGAGACGAACAGGGCAAGAAGAAATATGGTTTGGGAAAGGAAGGTAATGCTTGGATGACTAGGAGGGAATGGAATTATGGCTTACATCGAAAGAGCAAAATCGAAACCGTAAGATTCGGCGGATTGGACGATTTCTTTGTTGAGGGCGAAGGTGGGTAGATATTTTGGAGAGGTGGTGGATATGATCCAGCCTAGGAATTCGAGTTAGCGCTGGCGTTTCTTGTCAAGGTGGCAAGACCAAAAAAGTTTTGAATGAGAAAGGCTATCTTTATCGAAGAATAGAATTGAAATAGCTTGGGTTAGGTCAGGAAGCATTTCTATACCATTGTTCCCGATTGGAATGAAGACGCCAATTTGCATATCCTTCGTCTCTGACATCTTGAAGATTGTGAAGATTGAGTAGAGGAAAGAGAGAAGTGATCACGAAGTCAGGTTGATTCAGACGGTCTCTTGATGAGGTGAGGAAGTTTGAACGGCAAGTAAACAAAATGAAACTTTGATATGATCTACGCAACGAAGCTCTAAATGGGGAGTCCACTCTAGCAACCGAGGACTCCACCTTATCTCAACCTTTTAGTTGATCTTATCTCTCATTTGCTGACAAAAGACGGAGTTCCATCGGATTTTAGAGGTTCTTATCAAAGTGAGAATCCGTTCATAGAGGCTGCAAGATATCGGGTTATCGGCAAGTCGTTTGGCGAAGCTCATGGGATTCGAGAGTGGGGTTGTGCACTGTAGATCGTATCGAAGAGAACGTATCCTATTCCTTATCTTGCATTTAATCAGATATGTACATCTTATCAGTGGAAGGGTCTGGGTTTATCCAATAGGTTTGCGAAGGGCAAGAAGCAATCACCATGGAAAGGTTCCAATTTGCTTGGCAGTGACAATCCTGGAGGAATCAATGTTTCCAATGCACAATTTCACAATAATAGCTTCTTCTTCATCACTAAACAGTCTGATGAATCTGTATGCTTTATGCTGTTCAATGAGCATAAGAGTAACCTAAAATGAAAAATGTAAACTAAGAGATTCGTTGTGTCTCGCCTCCCCTCGCTTAATTAAGGAGGCGAGAATTTGGGCCGTCAAGGTCACTGTTTCGAAACAATTCAAGGACCCATTGTATTCAACACTTGAGAAAGAGTGGCTATGGAGTACGTTACAAATGCCATGACTTCGGCATATAGTGGTTTCCATGCATCGGCTGAAACTCCCGACTGTCGCTTCACTTGCTCCCGACAACTTTCGACCAGTCAGATCGTCGAGCCTTACCCATTATTTCAGAACACCTTATCTACAGATCTCATATCCATCGCTCTGGAACCATGTGCATCTTATCTTTTGCATGTCCCCATACCAGATGTTATCAGGCAAGGCTATCTGCATCATCGCAGGGGGAATTACAATACTTCAACATCCCCTTTGTTATGCCTCCTTTCTGCATTCCGAAATTATTCAAAGACATTCAAGTTTGTTGAATATCCCGTCAAGCTATCCATTGAAGATTAGCCAAAATGAACGAGAAACAAGTCGATGAGAAGCAGGTGATCGTCAACAGCGAGAGCCACGCAGATATCTCAATCGGTGTCATCGAGCCTCTCTCAGAAGCAGCCGATGCCGACTTTGAAGAAGGACAAGTTTTCAAGCAGGTCAAGGATGGAGTGAACTTTCGTACTGTGGGCTGGAAAAAAGCTTCAGTCATTTTTCTGAAAGGCGAGTTTCCCCAAGCCCCGACTTAAAGTTCTTTACTGAGGAAGGAAACATAGTCATCTTTGCTACTGGAATCCTGAATATCCCTACTGCGATGTACTCCCTTGGTTCGTGGACTAATATCGAGTAATTTTGACAGCAACTCTGATGTATTCAACAGGCGCTGTCGGTGGCACACTTTCTGTCATTGGCTGGACACTTTTGAATACGTATTGCGGCGTCATTCTTGGAGATTTCAGAAACAATCATAAGAACTGCCACAGCATTGCTGATATGAGTGGTGTTCTGGGTGGCAAGATATTTCAAGAGATTGTCGGGGCTATTTTTATAATCGCGTGAGTAGTCCTTTCACTATTCTGTGTGCATCGTCCAAACTTACTTGGCGAATGCAGATATGTTCTTGCCTCTGGTTCTGGGATCTTAGGTGTCGCCGTGGCTTTGAATGCTCTTTCGGATCATGCTACCTGCACTGTGTGGTTCGCTTTTGTAGGGATGATTTTGGTTGCTGCTGCTGCCAGTGTTCGAAAGCTGGAGAAGATTGGCTGGCTTACCTGGGCTGGTTTCGTCTCCATTTTTGTTGCAGTATTTGTCGTTGTGTAAGTTCAAACATTCTTCCCTAATCATCGAACCTCTTCAAGGTAAAGCTAAGATTTGTAGGATCGGTGTCGCAGTGCGCAAGCGTCCAGCATATGCTCCTCAAACCGGTCCATATGAGCTTGGCTATTATGTCATTGCACAACCTTCGTTCTCTGCTGGTGTCACGGCTTCTGCAACTATCTTTGGATCCTCTGCTGGCACTTCCGCTTTCCTACCCGTCATTGCTGAGATGAGAAATCCCAAGGAGTATCGCAAAGCTCTTTATGCTTGTATGAGCTTCGTGACTGTCACGTACACCGTCTTCTCACTTGTGGTATACCGATATTGTGGCCAGTGGGTCACATCACCATCTCTTGGAAGCGCAGGTGGTATCATCAAAAAAGTCGCATATGGCATTGCGCTGTTCGGTCTTGTCATCTCTGGATGCCTCTATCTTCACATCTGTGCAAAATATCTGTTTGTCCGAATCTTGCGAAATTCGAAGCACTTGCAACTCAATACTACCATTCACTGGGTTACTTGGCTCAGCTGCGTCTGGGGCTTGGCAGGACTCGGATTTGTTCTCGAAGAAGCAGTCACTGTTTACAATTGGCTCGCTGCATTGTCTGGTAGTTTGTGCTTTGCGCCTTTAGCTTTGACACTTCCGGGACTTATGTGGATTTATGATCATAAGTCTTGGGTAAAGGGAAAGCTATTGCAACAAGTCATGTACTGGCTCCACTGGGGACTTGCTGCTTTGGGTGTCTTCCTTATGGTTGGTGGCACATACGCTACAGCAGAGGAGATCAAAGCCGCTTATGCTACTGGGTCCCTGGGTAAGTTAAATTCTTGTTAGACGATGTCTGTGACAGGATACTTGGTAGTATTCTACATCATTCATGTCGTCATTTCAACAGGGTCATCTAACGCAATATCCACAGGTGCCACTTTCAACTGCGCTGATAATTCTGCCACAACTTTATGAAGAAATTATCTTGGAATGCGCTCGATAAAGATAGTTATAATTATGACAACTGATCTAGATAGATGATGCAAAATAAGCATTGTCATTGATTGTGCATAATTGACAGTGGCTTGAAGCTCAGTCCGCCTCCAAAATGATGTCTCCTTCACCACCAGACGCAACAATATCCGAGAACCAACATGGGTCACCAATCACCCAATTATCCACACCTGAAGGAGCTGTAAATCTTACTGGCAGATACTGGACCTCCCAAACATATTCACCCTTGAGAAGCTTCGTGTCACGACTCTCTCCTTACCCTGGTAAGGTCACGTGGGTTGGTATGGTGAATGAAGTAAGATAAGGCAATGATATAGTAGTTAGGAAAACTTAATCAAGTTGAGCACGGAGTTCCTCCCTAGTGAGTGACAACTCGCCGCTATATAGGACCTCCGTTTCCTGGATCGTAGTGGATCGCTCGATCCCCTATGATCCCCCATGATCCACCACGTGACCCAGGGCCCACCACAGGTCGAGATTCCCCGCTTGCCGAGCCCATGGTCCACTAGTCCCGTGATCGTAACACTTCGACCAAGAGTTTGTCTCCCCGCGTGAGGCGCCATGCAAGAAGGTATCTACCAGAACACTGGTTCTTGCATTGGCGGCTTTGATATCTTTCTTGCGAGTGATTTTGACTTCAGGATCCACAGCACTTTTGTAGTCAATGACCAAGTACAGATCTCTTTCTTCCAGAAATGCGTCCAACCGTTCCTTTGCGACTCTAGGTTCGTCCATTTGGAGTATTGACTCCAATCGGTGACGATTTATCTTGCAAGTGCGGATGTAACACGAACTTGCAGTGATTCGAGATGTATAGACATATTTTGGCTGAAATAGCGATCCATGTTTCCGGTCGACTTCCGTCATATCGCTCAGCTCTGAAAGTCCTGCTGCATAAGACGAAGGAAGGTCGTTCATCCCTACTCGACCAAGCCCTACTTGACCAAACCCTACCCGACCCATCTTGGAATTCGGTCTGCATATGCGAGTTTTGACTGGACTTTTCGTGTTCCGTACAAGGCTCCCAAGAGGAATATTGTCAACTTTGCATTGGAACTTTTCTTCTAGTCTCAGCATCAACTCAGTATCTGTGAACGGATGCTTGAGGCGGGAAAGCATGATGGACAAACAACGTTAATCCATATAATGCCGTCCAGCTGAGTTGGATCGATTGGTGAAGATCCAGTGACGATGGGGCTTCTACGCATAGAGAACGTTTTCGACGTGACCTCTAACGGTAGTCGGTACTTTTCGAGATGAGAGTCTTATCGTTGGCTCCTTGGTTGGCACGAGTGTGATTGAAAGAGAGGCGTAAGTAGGAATAGCTGGCTATCGAAAATTTCGGCTGATCGTAAGTTTGGCTCAGCCTGATCACAAGACGCAGCTGAAGTGATGAAAGTGGCGGTTCAATCTAAGGATTTGAATGGCTAGGTTCTACAATAGAATGAAACACACAAGCGAACCTCATAGAATAGTCATGATACTCGAAGAACATCTGTAAGAAGATCCATACCGTCGAAGCAAACAATTTTCACGATGGCGACTCGAAGAACACTACTGAGCCTTGCTAGCCTTGCTATGCTGATCTATCCTTCAGCCGAACATACTTTCAAACCCAATTGCTCTCTGCCCAACGAATCATCTTATCTGGTCCTTTCAGCTGATATTCGGGGCACGTTTGACATTCTATGGAGCTCGCTCTTCACGCTTTTGATATGTACATGGACTGTACAGCATCCAAATATCCCCCCACAAGGCTCACAAAATGGGTTCGACGTCGAATATGTACTTTCTAGCGCTTGGCGCAAAGCCAAATGGATGCTACTCACCCTCATCCTACCTGAATTCTTGGTTGGGAAAGCTCTGCAAGATAATGGTAGGGCTAAACGATCCATAATTAACCTGTCAGAGCTTGCCAATGTCTCGGGGATCGCTTGGTCTACAACACACGGCTTTTACGCCGATATGGGAGGCTTCGTACTGAAAGCCAGGCAGCAGCGTAATGGCGAAAACGTCCCTGCACCCATATTTCTCAATTGCGAGTCTTTGCAATTCGCCTTTATTGGCGATGGCAACCGTAGCTTAATCGAAAAAATTCCCCATATATCAAAAAAGGATATCCAGGACAAAAGCAAAGGGGATTTTTTTGTGAAAGCAACAGCAGTTGTTCAAGTGTGCTGGATGGTCGTACAGACTATTGTTCGAGGAGCGAAAGGCCTGGCCGTTTCTCAATTGGAAATCGCCGTACTGGCGTATTCTGCGTGTACTGTCATCACCTATTATTTATACTTGGATAAACCGCAAAATGTACAAGTACCAACATATGTGCTTCTCAAAAAGGAATTGGGAGGCGAAAAACTCACACCTGAACACCAGGAAGCGATCCGAGACTGCCGCCCACGTTCTTGGTTCACCGTGTCACTTCGGCTTTTCCGATATCAAGGTGCTGGGAAGGAGCGCAGGAACATTCTAGATCCAATCCCAAACGATGCTCGATACGACGATGTGAAGTCCGCGCTGTTTACCGCAAAATCTCTCTTCACTCGCATGGACGACGGATTTGTGATCGCGGGGCTAGTATTTGGCAGCCTCCATTGTGCAGCTTGGAACTTCGACTTTCCCACCCCGGTAGAACGACTGCTCTGGAGAATATGCAGCGTGATCACTGCTGGTACACTTCCATTGTACTATGGTGTTCTCCTTTACGATATCCACATCAAGTCACTAGCTATCCAGCGTCTCCCTTTGGTTACCATTGAGGTTGTTCTTGCTTTGGGATATGTCATGGCTAGGCTATTTCTCATCGTAGAAGTCTTTCGCTCGCTATTCTTCCTTCCACCTTCGGCCTTTATCACGACATGGTCATCCCAGGCACCCCATGTCACTTGATCAGCTACCAAAATGGCAAAGAGTTATGCATTCAGGAGACCTTTCATACACATTTGTCCAACGCTACCACATCCAAAAGCACCTTTACGCCATCAAGAAACTTCGAAGACTCATCAATATCCAGTCAGGCTGGAAAATCCCCACCTATCGATCCTATCCACCAAACTTCCATTCGCATTTCGAACCCGAATGCCATCGACGCCGTTGAATATTGAGTAAAGAACGCCACCACCTGGCGCAGATTGATCCTCCATATAAGTCAGCATCAGGGCGGTTACGAGAAGAGTTTGTCTTTCAGGCTAGGCGGAAAGATGAGCGCGCAAAAGGCGCCTACAGCGCACACAGCGCACACAGCGCAAAATGCGCAAAAAGTAGAGACTGCGGGGTAGAACTTACAAAATTCATATCATTCCACTCCCCACCGAAAAAGCTTGTTTCCTCCATTTGAACATGTGGTCTTTCATTGCCAACTCCCTCAGACACGCCTTCCATGTTCTCCCTCTCTGAACGAGACTCACTTTCTTCTGTATCACCCCAAGTTTTACCTTGCCTTGTCTTCGCCTGCCTGATCTTAAGCACAGCTTCAGCCCTAGCTTCTTCGAGTACAACACTGCACTTCTGAGCAAAGCTCTCCTTTGCCATAGTCGAGGAATTCTTGATCTGTTCTTGGCATTTTGATGCTGCTTCGAATTGGAGCATCCAGCGCGCGTGACGAGAGTTGATAGTCTCGGCCGAGGTGCTTGTCATACTTTCGAAGGGACAACTGGTGTAACGTCTAATGACGTGAAGGTAGAGAGCTACGATTGCAGTGTAAGCACAGTAGTGGGCGAACTATTGCATATTAGCTAATCATGTTACGGCATTGACGGTGAACGACGCGACACCTACCCAAGAAGCATTAAACGAAGACTCCACTTTGTGTAACGAGTCAATTGTCTTGACCACGTCCAGAGCGGCGTTCATACAATTATTCACATTCTCTTCGAGTTTTTCTAAAAGAACTGGAAGAGAGATGTCCAGATGGCTATCGAAAGTATCAAGTAGAAATGGTCTATGGAGAAGGATGAGGGCATGCGAGTACGAGAGACGCAGTGCCATGTTTTGACGCATGTATAACGGCGACAGGAGGGACGGGTCGAGATCGAGAAAGTGAGCGATTTCGCCACGCCACGTGCGGAGAGCAAGGTTCAACTGGCTAGCCGCAGCAAAGCGAACCTCCAATGGGTGTCTTTGGACACTATAAAGCTCACGCATGATTTGACTCATTATCTTGGAAAGTCTGGTGCGATCGTTAACATAGAATTCTTGCAGGATAGGAGCACACACTTTATCTGGTAGATTGCGCCTCGCATCGGAACTTGAGCTTCCTTGCTCGTTGTTTGTAGGAAGCCAGAAGACAAGTTCTCATCCTCAACCAGAAGAGGCAGCTCTTGATCAATATCTTCATCTTGAATTAATTGTGGGCGGCCTAGGGACGAGCTTAGATATTTATCCATAACGTAGGCTCCCCAGAAAACTCTTTTCTGCATTTCAATCTCCAGCAAGTCGCTTGTACTGGAAGGCCTTCGTTCTCTGTGGATACCGATGGCGTATATGAAGTTAACGACAGTACCAAAGATACTATAGCATTGATTAATTCGCGACCTCGAGAGTAGGTAGAGACATTGTAATAGTCGAGCTTGGAGAGTAGCAAGTCGGATCTCGCCTGTTTCCTTTGCCAGCTGGTTCTCTGCTGCCTGAAAGTAATAGAAGCTACAAGAAAGTCAATTGAGGTTCAAGGAGTAATTATGAGAAGTACCTGCTATTAGCATCCCACTCGCCGTACTCGTCACCCATGTATTCATACGTTAGAGCAAACAGCATCAGAACAACAGCACGGTGGCTGTTCTCTTCTGCACCTGTCCGCATATCACGAATATTGTTCAGTAGATCGACAGTCCATTTCTCCACTGTGGGGAAGTGCAGAATTCGATTGGTGGCGGAGACATAGTCAAAATACTTCCTGATAATTGCATGTGCTGTGTTCTGGGATGGGATAATGAGAAAGGTGGCGTCAATATCTGGAAGCGCGGGGTCTCCGTAGGCATAGACGGGATTTCTGTGGTGATAGTCACGCGTGTGGATATTGTGTTGGGTCCGATCATACAAAGATGTGGCAGATGAGTTGTTCGCAACTCTGTCTCTTAGACAAGGGGTGATATGGGAAGGTTGAGTGCTGGTGTTGGAAGTCCCTGAGGTTGAGTCTTGATGCTGGCGAGTAGGAATTGGCCGGCTTGAAGGAACTGACGGATACCCGAATGCGGTCTCCCCGTCATACTCCGAGTCCTCTTCCTCTGTGTCTAAACGTGCATCATCCTGTTCGTTACTACGCACGTGACTGTGATTCCTTCTGCCGGGCGATGGTCTCCAGACTTGTCTCCGCTTGTATCCAACTTCCTCAAGGAACTTTTCTTGCTCTTCCAATGGAGCCGATTGGACTTCTGGCACGGCTCCGCGGGTATAAGCAGCCTTAAACTCGCACGTTTTGTTGTTCTTGATACAATGTGCACATGGCTGCTTCCCAGTGCAGCGAATCTTTCTTCTGTTTCAGCTTAGCATTTCCGTACAATATGCAGGTCGGAATCCACCTACCTCTTGCAGGTATCACACGCACGTGATACTCGTTGCTTCTGCATTTTCGAGCGTTTCTTCACAGCCTTTACCCGGAAAGCTCAGCTTGTTGCTGCTTCACATGTCATGATAGCTTTCCGCACCTCGAGGAGGCAGTCGGACCATTGTTCTACATTTGAGAGAAGTGGAGATGGTGTTCTGTTGAGTCGGAGGGTTGAGAAGGATGACGGAAAAGCATTGACGGAAAAAGGTCGTAAGCGAGCGGAGATGGTTTACTCATCAGTCAGGCCGAGGCGACATCTTTTCCATTCATCAAGTCTTCTCCTTTAAGCTCTAACTTGCATCACAGTTTGAGTCTTCACGATAGTTGTCAATACGGTTCATAGTCAGAGAGAATGCCCGGGATATAGGTATTCTTCTAAAGGAATGAAGTCTTGCATGCTTTCTGAGACATGGAAAAGTTTCCGTTCTAATTACTGTACTTGCGATATCCGTCAACACCATTCCAAAGGACAAGAAATTGCGCCGTGTCCATTATTTATCATTTCGACGATTGGCATCTTAGTTTTCGTTGTTCGTTCAAATATGGCGGTCTTCACTAAATTTTACCATGTGCTCTTCGTGACTACCCCAAGGTTTGTCCTCCCGTCCTTCCACTTCATGCAGTCATGTCGAGCTCTTCCGAATCCCCTCTTGAGAAATTCAAGCCTGGCTGGCGTTTATCTGCTGCGTTCACCTCCATAGCAATAGTCAATCTCACCTGTGCTTTGGATGCGACTACCATCGCAGTTGCGCTTCCAGTGAGTCGCCTCCCTACTTCCACTCCTCGTCCCAAAGCTTATCATTGACCAAAACTACAGGCAATCTCCAAATCTCTCCATGGAACAGCCATCCAAGCCCTCTGGACGGGAACCTCCTTTCTCCTCGCATCCACAGTCTGGCAACCAAATTTCGTCGCATTCTCCGATGTATTCGGCAGACGTCCAGTCCTTCTGTTTGCTCTCACACTTTTCACTATAGGAGCTATCATGTGTGGGGTGTCCAAGAACTTCACAGTAATGCTCGCAGGACGAGTAGTGCAGGGAAGCGGGGTGGGAGGAATCATGACCTTGACTGAGGCTATTATCACCGATCTTGTTCCGTTGCGCGAAAGGGGAAATTATTTTGCTCTCATTAGTATTGTTTGGGCTATTGGGACTGTTGCCGGTATAGCTTTCTTCAAACTCCACATCGTTTCCTTCTGCTAAATTTGGCACAGGACCGCTAGTTGGTGGTGTTCTAGCGCAACATGGTGCTTGGAGATGGATTTTCTATCTCAACCTCCCTATTGTTGCCATCGGTTTTCTAGGCGTCATTCTCTTTCTTAGACTCTCCCTCAAAGAACGATCACTCACGCAGAAGCTCCTCGAAATCGATTACATAGGTTCCTTCATCTTCGTCTCATCAGCAACATCGTTCCTGATCCCACTATCCTGGGACGGGGTAATGTACCCCTGGTCGTCATGGCACACACTTACTCCCCTCCTCCTCGGCCTCTCCGGCCTAATCCTCTTCATATCCCACCAAATCTACCTCTCATCCCCATCTCGACCATCCGGACCCCGGAATACCCTCCTCCCAATGCAAATGTTCATGAACAGATCAACAGCACTCACCTACCTAATCACCTTCCTCCACGGCACCATCCTTTGGTCCATAGTATACTACATGCCCCTCTACTTCGAAGCAGCAAAATCATACACCCCCATCCAAGCCGGAATCGCCGCTCTCCCACAAACGCTAACTGTCGTCCCGTGCGCTGCGATCGTGGGTCTGATTGCGTCGAAAACCGGACGGTATCGCTGGTCTCTGTATACAGGCTTCGTGCTCACTACTCTCGGGTGCAGACTCTTGTATCTCCTCGATGTGAAGACCAGTATCGTGGAATGGGTGTTCCTGCTCTTGATCAGTGGTGTGGGAATTGGACTTTTGTTCCCGGGCATGAATCTCAGTATCCAAGCTAGTGTTCCGCCGAAAGATATCGCGATTGCGGCTGGGTTGTTTACTTTCTTTCGAGCAGCGGGGCAGAGTGTTGGGGTTGCTATGTAAGAAGTTCCTTATCCATTCCCCTCTGGGTTCTTAACTGACAGAAACGTACGATAGAGGAGGAACTATCTTCCAAAATCGGATATCTTCCATCCTTGCACCTTATCCATCGCTATCCACCACATCTCTCGACGCACTGACTCTCATAAGCACGATTCGGAGTCTTCCCTCTGATGCACCTGAGACGTTGGTGCTGAAACATGCGTTTGCTGATGCGATTAAGACGATCTGGGCTGTGATGTGCGGGATTGCTGGGTTAGCTTTGATTGCTAGTTTGGGTGTGAGGGGGTATGAATTGGATCAGGCGTTGAGTGGGGAGCAGGGATTTGTTGATGGTGTGAGAAGTGATGAGATTGTGGAGGCAGGTAGAGTTGAGGATGCTGAATGGGTGGTTCCTGAGGGCCTTGTTGGGACTGATGAAAAAGCTGGGATATAGAGTTGTTGAGATAGGCGCATGTGAATAGAAATGAAAGATGTAGATGAATAGATTGGAATATTTATAATTGAATACGTAGACCGAAGTGGGAACACTGATAAACTCTGCTCTGTATTATAAAAAGAAATAGACCTTTCTTGAAGAGGCTGAATTTCGTCAACAAAGTGAGAACTTGAAAGATATAATTACAATTGTTTTTGTAGCACTGTTCCAAGTCGGGAAAACGTCGATTGCGGGGTAAATTACCCCGCACTGCCAAAAGATGCTTGCGTAGCCACAGCTACAAAGAAAAATTGATTCCTATCATCTCGTGGCGCAACTTTACTTTGAAATTGGACTTGATATTTTCTCTCCGAAAACCTCGAAAGCAAAGCTAGCATATGTAGGCGTCAACATAGAGCAGAAAAAGTAGCGCATTTGCAACGAGCCCAAGACTGAGACTTTCAATGAGATGAGACTCGTTGGCAATGTGAAGATGGCTTCGACTCCAACTTCACGGCCCCGTATTAACCTCATCCTCTCCCCTTCTGACCCTTAAATTCTCTTCCTCCTTCCTCTCCCTCTCCCTCCTCTCCTTCCCCCTCGCCCAAGCCTTCACAAACTCCACATCCCTCAAATGCTGACTAGCCGGCATATACCTCCACTCCCCCACCTCAGCATTCCACCCCCGATTCGGACAATACGCCTCCAGCATATAAAAATTATCCCTATGAAACGGGAAATCCAGACTCGGCGGTCCACTCCTCCTCAAAAACGCATCAGTGCCCGCCTCCACATCGCTGATCTCCATCCTAAACCTCCTTCTCTTGTTACCTGCGTTGTTCCCGTGTCGCTTGATGGATTTGGTTGTCGATGATAGGTGTTCTTGCAAGATGCGCGCGTACCAGAGTGGGTTCTCCAGGGCCTTTTCCACCTTGGTGGAGTGCGAGAGGATGAGGGTGCGGTTCCAGCGGGGGTGTTTGCCCCGGGGGATCATGGGGATTGGTTCTCCGTTCTCGAGATTCGTTTGCCAGTGTGCGAAGTCGATTATTACGCAGAGGTTGTTCCAGGCTAGGATACAGGTGAGACAGGTGCAGATTTTCTTGGGATCAGGTGGTTGAATGTGTTGGTACGGCTTCTTGTGGATGTGTAAATGCTTGATCTGTCTTTCTTCGTCTAATAAGGCTGGATGGGCTTCCGCTTCCACGTTGGAGAGAAGGATGGGAAGGGGAAAGCATTGCGTTAAGATTGAATAACGTCTTGAGATGACGGAGCTAGCGATACGAGATTTTTCTTCGAGGATGAACGAGTGCAGGCCGCGGTTTACACGTGAGAGAGTGATAATATCACTGGGCCGAAGATAGCTCAAGATAGAGAGAATGAGTTCTGAAGGAAGATCCCAAAGGGTTGCGGTCTGTCTTGAGGTGGCGGCTTTGAGATGACGTTTCTTTTGCCGGCGTTCTGTGCGTTTTGAACGCAGGGCGAGAGGAGCCGTGGTATCAATTAGAGGCTCTTCAGGTTCGGGATTAGAGTCCTCTTTATGGGCTGGCATTTCGTGAAGAGATTCGCTGGTTGAGAGAGTGTTGGATGAGGTATGATTATGAGGTTAAGAAAAAGTTGCAGCTTGTGCGGGTTTAGCGGGGTTAATAACTTCACGTGATCGGGTGGAAGGTCAGGGCATCGCTTCAGGCTGTGACCGCTGTATAATTAGTGGTCTTGGGAATAGTTCCAGGGCACCGATCGCCGCGGCAACTTTTTAACGCTGTTATCATCTTCTTTCACATTCTCCAAAGTTTTCAGAGTACGCCATAGTATTATCATAAATTTCATTAAAAGATAGAAAGTGGTATAGTATCCAGAATCCAGTGGACGGGTATATCTAAAAGAAAAGTCTCCGTCCCAATCATGCAATCAACCATTTCAATCCAAGTCCCTGAAAATTTCCTCCTCCACCTTTGAACCCATTTTCTAGATCTTCTCGTTGATCTGTTCTCCGTCTTGCACATCATTCTGGTTTTCAATTTGGACATCACTTCCACTTCCATTGCCATTGATGCCATTCTTCTTCTCTGCTCTGACTCTATCAGCCTCGTACATAGCCTCGATTCTATCTTGGTCGTTGCTGCTGGTATCGAAGTGATATAATGGCTCGAGAACAGTGTTGGGGCGGCGGAGGATGTAGCGGTTGATGAAGTAGGGAAGAGCTTGGGTGATTTGGTAGCGCATGTGAGTGCGGGTTGGGACAGCGAAGATGTAATCCAATTCTTCGAGGGTACGTTGTTTGGTTTCTGGTACCCAGAGGAAGATCATGATCAGAGCAACGATATTAGTTCCAGCATAGAAACCGAAGACACCCTAATTGAATTATTAGTGATTGGCAGGGAATGAGAGGAGAGGGGACGTACGGTAGGAGTCATGGCCGCAAGCATGAGCGGCAAGAAGAGAGTCAAGACACAGGCCCAGAACAAGCAAGTTGCGACAGCCCAGCCCATACCGACCTCACGATGAGACAGAGGGAAGACTTCAGCTGAGTAGGCGAACGGAACTGGTCCTTCACCGGGGGAGTAGAACATGGCGAAGATGTAGATGAACATGGCGACCAATGCCAAATGAGCAGTGATTTTTGTACTGATCAAAGCACAGAGGCCAGCTGCGAGCAGCGACCAAGCCATATTCGGGAAAGTGAAGAGGAGAAGTGCTCGTCGTCCAAACGTGTCAATAGTCCATAAGGCTGGGAAAGCAAAGAGGAAGTTGATGAGACCAAATCCCCACGATGCCCAAAGAGCCTGGTAGTCTGTGAATCCAGAGTTCTCGAAGATGGTGGAGGAATAGAAGGCAATAATGTTGATACCGCACATCTGTTGTGCAATCATGACTGTGAATGATGCTAACGTTGCTCGTCGAACACGAGGAATGGTAAAGAGTTGGATGAAACGCGTGACATAGTTGCTCTTGCCGATGATCTCCTTCTCAATTTCAAGCTGGCAATGGATATAGTAGAGATCTCGTGCAGCTTGAAGTGGGCTATTTCGGAGCCTGAGGAGGGAGTTGAAAGCTTGTTGATATTTGTTTTTCTCTGCCATATTGTAAGTGTGAGATCATAATTTTGGGGAAAAGATTTCTTACTCATGCACCATCTGGGTGATTCTGGGCACATAAAAATGAACAGGATCAGTGGGATTGCGGGAATCATGGCAGAACCAAGTTGCAGTCTCCAAGCAATCTTTCCTACATGTGCCACAGCCAAGTTCGCGCAGAAGCCTAAGAAGATACCAAAAGCAGTCCACAATTGCCAGGACATGACCAAAGCTCCTCTGATAGAAGCTGGACTGTTCTCTGCAGCGTAAATCGGTACAGTTGAACCTTTAGCACCCATACCGAATCCGAGCAGGAGACGACAGATGAAGAGTTGAACCCAAGTTTGAGTGAAAGCCGAGCCGATCACAGGGACGAAACAGAAGATGGCAGCGATGAAGATAGTTCCTCGACGACCAAGGTAGAAGTTCAAGGGATCAGAGAGCCAGCAACCAACGAAAGCCGAGCCAATATAAGGAGCAGAGTTGACAAGACCGACGAGTAGAGTATCGTGGTTTGATTCGGTACCGATACCAAAGTATTTTGGAAAAGACAAATTGGCTCCGTTCGAACCAGTTTGATCCCATCCTTGTACAGCTGCTCCAATGGAGCAGGTAAATATTGTGACATATAAAGCCGTTGGCTGGCGCCATTTGTGTAGAACTTCGTTCCGGAGGTCATCAACTTCTGTTGGTGTCAATGCGTGGGTGCCGGTGATATCTTCATAGTTTTGGGGATCGCTAGCAACGAGAGCGCCTTTTTGAAGGAGTGGCAGGGAGTCCATGAGACCTTTCTCTTGCGCAAATTCTTCGACATCTTTAAGGAGCGTCGCATGGGGAATGCCGGCCAATGGATTTCGGATCCTGCATTTTGTTAGCAGATTCAGAGAGAAGAGCTCATTGGGTTTGTGGCTTACTTGGCTTCTGCATTGGAATTCAAGTTAATGTGACCAGTATTGTAGCGTCCATGCTCACTGGGGAAATGTCAGCACTGTAAGAGAATCCCTGGCGTATCCGTGTTCAAAGTAAATCGACGCAAGTTCGGGCATTTTTCTTCTGAACGAGATCTGATGCGATACGACGGAAAACATACTGATGAGAAGGATCAGACTCCGTATGAGTGCCAATTGACTTTGGCTCAGCCATTTTGAAGTTGTCGCGTGGGTAAGTGAGTGAGGATCAAGCTTCAGGTACGGGAGACAAGAAATTGGCGGGGAGCTTCTTTCTTATCGTCGAGCTTGGTTTCTCTCCCAATTGCTTATGTTGAGGGACAGGAAGCTCGGAATGCAGATCAAGCTTCTGAGCTGGGGGATGGCAAGATTATATGGTTCTTCTTGGTCTGACCTGGGGCATACTTCCAAAGCATGGTTGGCGAGGTCGATCTTTTCCCATCTTCTTTCCCCTCACTTCACCCTCACCTCCAGCATCCCCAGTCCCCACAATTCTGCCAGCTCCATGGCTCTAACACTCCATCGTCGCCCCATTCTCCAATGGTCTCTTGCGCCCAGTATCCGCTAGAAGTCCACACTTTTCCAGGCAACAATTTTTGTACCCTGTCACGTTTCTCCGCCTTGACGGGTTGAGCTGTTGATTGAAGGTTCGCAACTGCATCCTACCAGACGCCAGCGTCTGCTTGGATCGATCGTGGTCCATCTCTTCCTTGTCAGGTGCAGCATGAGCGGGAGCGGCTTAGCCAAATGCGGCAGGTATCTGCAAATGCCGTGAGACTCGCGCGGTACCAAGACGCTACGAGGAAGGGCAGAAGGGCATCCTTCACTTGCTGATGTGGGACCGAACTTCTTAGAGGGCATCCTGATGCGAATGAAAAGGTCAGAACGCTGTGGAGAAGCTGTCAGAGAGCTTGATCGGCCGACCTAGTGCTTTCAATTGACCTGCTCGGTGCCGCCAGACCATTGATCGTCGGGATCCCTCAAAGAGTTAGTCTCAAGGCGAACCATCATTGGGCTATTTTGCAGTTTCCTCTCTGTGGGGATTTGACGGCGTCTTTGAGTGCCTCGAAGGCACAGATTAGGAGGATAGACCTCGTTGCCACGCCCAATTGACTTTTCTGGCTCCCGTCTATGGGCGGAAATTGGCGGATACTCGGAACCTGGGGGGTCAATCAAAACTCTAGACCCATGGTCGCTGGATCAGAGGGAAGAACGCCCCCAAAAACGCCTCTGAACGCCTCAAGAATACACAAAAGACGCCCGATGCAAGCCACTTACAGCCTCAAAAGGAGAATTAAATGGTTGCCTTAGAGACCTCAGCACTATCTTTCAAACTTGCAGAACGCTGCAGAAAATGACTCGCGACAAACGTTGAGGTTGTCCAGATCATGCGGCAACATTCCACTTTTCCCCCAGGTCAGCAAATTTGTGGCGTTGTGGAGTAAGACGACAAAAACCGTGGAGGAAGCAGTGTTCCGGGGATGCCCCAGAGAAGTCTCCGCTGCCCAGCCTTGGCGGTGTGACCGTTTCATTTACTGAGATAAGGAACCGGCTCCGACAAGGGCAGATTTTCCTCTCGGTTTTCATGGGTTTGGTTGTTGTCGTGCATGATGTGTGGTGCGATGACCGCATCTGATGCATGTTACTTGCTCGGGCGTGCCGACTGGAGGGTAGATTTGCAGCGTGTGTGTCAGGGTAAGGAAAGGTGTGTTGTGACGTAATTCTCAGCGGCAGGAATTGTTCTCGAAGTCTTTTGTGATTCCTTGACTTCTTCACATGTCGAGAAACTCAGTCTTTGCTGTTGAGGGTCTTCAATCTAGATTCTATATGGAGTGGATCTTGTATTCGGCCCCGGAATAAGGTTTGTACTGTATGGCCCGCACTATTAATCATTCGGAGGACGAGTCTGGCGACTTTGCTCTTAGGTGAGCCTAGTCTGTAAGCTGATAAAAGTTTTTCCTCTGGCTTTTTGCAGATACCCTTGCTGAAGTCGACTATTGTCTGTCAACAAGGTCGCGCAAGCCTTTGTTTGTCCCTTCCTCGTCCGATTTATTTTCTCTGTCTCATTACTTAGCAAAACAAGCAAATCCAATTAGGCTTTCAATTTCTAAGGCAAGATTAGTATAGATGTTGACTCAATATCTTTCACTTTGTGCTTGTCTGTTCATAATTTTGCGCGATTTCTGTTGCGCATGTGCTTTTGGTTTTACATCATTAATCTAAGTTCATGGGCTCAATATGGATACGCACAGTATCTTGGCCTCGTATGTAGAGAACATAATCTGCTTCATTCTAATTTTCGCCTCTGCGTATTCTATTTGGTGGGAACTTGGGCAAATGATCACGACCCGAGAACTTAGACGAAGTCGAAAAATCCGGTACGCACGCAGTGGTTCCATTTCTATCAAAGAGACGTTTCTGCAATCCTTAAAGCAAAAGATATAGCATGACGAATTGGTGGACCACTCAGTCTTCGAAGACATGAGTATCACCGTCACGTGCAAGCCTCAGGTGGGCTTTCAGCGCAACTTGCGCTGTATGCGCGGTTCGCGCAATTTGCTGGAGATTGTAAATTTCAACGACTTTCTCAATCTTCTATTATAGCCTTAACTTGGCAGCTCTGAATGCCTAACGCTTGAGGTTAGCAGAAACCAATGCTTATTTCATGTATGCTGCGAACAATCTCTTGTTGAATTCTGCCGAATGAAATCTCCATCTCCGAGGCACATTCCACGGTTAGCTTGGTACTTGCAGAGATAATGACACTGACGCATGTGGCGCTACGCAGATCAGTACTATATCAGGAGGGGTAATGAAGAGTCTCTGGAATGTTGGTAACCGATGGTTACCCGAAACCCAAGTGTTGATTTCCACACCACTGTACAAATCATTCGAACAAGTCTTTTACCAAAACCTGAACGTGTTGTTGTGGGCTTATTCAGTAATTCGAAGTCTGTTGCTGTCGACGCAGCCATCAGCTCTGGGACACTACGTTCAAAATATCTATCTGGGGGTTTTTGTTGGTGTCGGCAGCACGATCTCGGGTCTTTGATGTATCACGTTCCTTCTTGCAAGATGCCAATATTTAATTTGCGCTCCACACTAGCATTTTTTCTACTGGTAGCGTCAGTCTCTTCAAGCCCACCATATGCATGGGCTCCACTCGGCTGCTACAATGATTTCGGTTCCGACTCACAAAGAGCCTTGGATGGTGCTCCAGAGTGGTGGCCAAGTAGCATGACAGTCGAAGCTTGTAACACTTATTGCACGGGATACGTTTACTCTGGCATCGAGTATGGCGGACAGTTGGTTCTCTGCTTCCTCAATCGATAAACAACAGTACTAATATGAACAGATGCTTTTGTGGCAATACTATCTTGACCTATGGGCCTCCAAACTACGTCGGAACTCTGGCGACAGATAGTGGTAGTTGCTACATGCCATGTACTGGAAATGATGCAGAAACTTGTGGTGCAGCGAATTTCATCAATATTTACGTCTACGATGGCCCAATCGATACAAATCCAGTTGTTTCGAGTAGTATTGACGTCTACAACCCGATCGCTTCAAGCACTGTTGGCCTTTACGACTCAGGCATTTCAAGCACTGTTGATGACTACAACCTAATCGCGTCAAGCGCTGTTGACGTCCAGAGCCTGATTGCTTCAACTTCTATCGACATCTCCAGCCCGATGTCTTCAAGCAATATTATGGACTACGACCAAGTTGTCTCAACCACTGTTAATGTCTATAATACAACCCCGCCAAACATCATGGCAACAAGTTCTACTGATTCTTTTGATTTCTCTGGCCAGCTTATTCCAGCCACGACAGCAGGCTCCACCGCTGCCCTCGACGTCGACAGCCAAGTTGTATTAGGCACTTCAACGACAAGTTCTATTGTTTCTCTTTACGCGTACAGCGACATCGCTCGAAGCGATAGGATCTTCTCTATTCGGCTGTTGCCATCGACAACTTTTCCCAGCTTTGTTTCAGTCAACCCAGCAATTACTAGCAACATTCGAGGATTATCTTCAACTCCACCTATCCTATCAACGTTTCCACCCCGCTTAACCTCAATCGTTGCATCAACGCTCCGATCCGATTCATCTAACTCCTTACTTGTCAACCCAATACCCACTTTGAGTGTTGCAACATCCTCTCCCACTTCAACTATTCTACCGGCGCTGCAGTCAAACTCTTTGAGCCTATCAACCGTAGTATCAACAATGACCGCAGATGCCTCGGTACTTTCTTCAGCCCAAGAATATACCATCACAACCGTGTACACAACAACAGAATACACCATCACCTCCGTAAGCCTTTCTCCTTACATTCTACTCAAAAGCTAACAGTAAAAAGTGTGCCCCCACAGTTTGGAACTGTCCAGGGAAAATCGGTTCCATTACCACCAAGACGATCGCGCTATACACAACAATCTGTCCTGTCACCGCAACCGAGACATCAATTTCAGCCCAACCGACAGCTACCATTGCAGTACCGACATCCTCATATACCATACAAGCCGGAGACACATTTAATTCAATCGCAGCGAAGTTCGGGATCACTGTCGCTTCCTTAGAAGCCGCAAATCCTAATGCCATTCCAACAGATCTCCAGATTGGATCCATCATCACTATTCCGTCCTCATACACCATCCAAGCGGGAGATACACTCAATTCAATTGCAGCAGAATATGGGATCAGTGTGGCTTCCTTAGAAGCCGCCAATCCTGACGCCGTCCCGACAGATCTCCAGATTGGAGAAATCGTCATTATTCCAACTACGCCTCAACCGGTACCTATGTCTGTGAGAGGTATATTCGCTCGCCTCACCTCACCGATGGCCGAATCTTCTGGGCGGCGTTTAATTCCTCCGATCTCGCGACTTTTCAGGCTCCTGGAACTGAATAAATGGACGGCGACTAAAAGAGATTGATGGGATATCTTGGAAGAATTAAGTAGAGATCACCAGCACATGTCACATGTCGCGTTGGTTTCCTTGGTTCTCAGCGCAACCAGCGCAACCAGCCCAATTCGCGCGATATGTGCAAAATGCTAGTAGCTAACTCGATCCCAAGATTAATAAAGAAATTTGTTTAGCTCTGCCTACACTTGAAAATCAAATATAGTCCACTCTTACTGCGATTTCTAATGATTCCTTCAATCGTCATTCACAGTCCCGATTGGGCAGAGCCCAACTCTCAATGCCTGAAGTTATGAGAAACTAAAACTAAATGCCTCTTACTTTAAGTATGCTACGAACAATCTATTCATGAATAGCATGCTTGCTGTTAGAAGAACTTGGAGATTTCAGCCGAGGAGAGTCACCAGTTTGAAATGCGGGATTATCTTCAAAGCTTGTCTTTTCATTTCATGCTTGACACTTTAGCACCTCGAGATTCTTGATCTCTGGAGACAATGTATAATCTTGTCTGGTGGGTGTTATTGGTCGATTTCTATATTGTCATCTCCTGACTTTATCCAATCAGCTTTCACAGCCAGATTTTCATGTGCTGATCTAAGCCAACGTGGCATTGCTCGAGGCTGACTCAGTTCCTCGTCGTACGATACAGCCTCATCACAATTTCTTCTCGCAGCCTAATTTTTTCTTTGTTGTTCATAAAGATGACACTCTCTTTTTGACTATCAAAATTTCTTGCTCTAGTGTTTGATTTCTCCCCAAGCTGCGGCAGTGGGCATCAAATGGCTTTCAGCGAGCCTTTCAAGCACCAACCCCTAGACCTCACCAAAACTCAAATCCGCCTTTTCCGACTAACAACAACCACAACTTCTGGCAGGAGTTTGACAGGGGAAATAGCCATCTTTGATTTCAAAAGCTGCCCCGAATACATCGCTGTATCTTACACCTGGGGACCGCCGAATCCCACCCGAAAAATTCTGATCGACGGACACAGTTTCACTATTCGCGAGAACTTATGGCAGTTCATGGACACCGCAAAGGACTATCCTAAGTCATGGCTATGGATTGATCAGATCTGCATTGATCAGTCTACGGTTGACGAGAAGAATCATCAAGTCGGCATGATGGCGAATATCTATGCCAAAGCAAGTCATGTCGTGTTATGGCTTGGCCCTAAGGCAGATTGGAGTGATGAGGCAATACGGGCCATTCACTTAGATCTTACGCTTGATCGACCGTATCCACCTGGGCCGTGGGATCACCTGGTTCCCGACCAAGAGACCGCGATTCAATACCGATCAGAACGAGATTCGCCGTGGCATCAGCTTATGCAAAAGGTGCTGCTAGAAGGCCAAGAAAAGCCAATTCAGGACCTTTTCCGACGACCGTACTGGGACCGGCTTTGGATCCTTCAAGAGGTGTTGAATGGGCGAAATATCTTGGTATTCTGTGGCCGAAGTTGCTTTACTTGGCAACAATTGACGACCATTTTTACCCCAGGAGCAAAACACAATGGCACGGAGTGGAAAATACCAGTACAGATCCCCGACGTAGTAATGTCTCTCATCAAAGAGAAGTCCTTTGGCCAGGGCTCACATAATAGACTTGCCTACATCCTCGACACTTTTGCGCATTCACAGTGCGAGGATGTCCGGGACAAAGTCTTTGGTCTACTTAGCTTGGTTCGGGAATCTGGTGCAATACCAGTTAACTATTCTCTAACGCCTGTAGAAGTGTTTTTCAGGGCACTAGAGAGGATACTCATGGATGAAATGACCTTACATATCGAAGAACCTTTCAATACAGCGCGGATCCTGAGAGACGAGATGCTGTTGCAGGAGATCAACGATGTGGAAATCTTTCAATTTGCCGAGCAGCAACTGAAGAAGATGAGGCAGGAACCTAAGCGCAAGCATAGGGTGTCTCTATTTGCGAATGATATGGATAATCATCATCTCCTATGGGCTATCGAGAATGAATACAGTGACATTGTCAAGTTCTTGGCTGAGAGAGGCGTTGATCTTGAAAAGAAGAACGGTTTTGGGCAAACACCACTGTTGTTGGCTGCTGAGAGGAATTTACTCTCCATGGTTGCCTTACTAGTAGAGTTGGGCGCCAACTTGGAAGCTAGGGACAACACTGGATCGTCGGCGTTGATTTTCGCAGCCGTGATGCATGCAAGTATTGTGGATGAAGACTTTCACTGGGTAGATACTACTCCTATCGTGCACCTTCTCCTTGAGAAGGGTGCCAATCTCAAAGCGAGGAACAACGCTGGACACACTGCACTGTGGTTAGCAGCATGCAAATTAACCCCAACAACTCTAATAACAGTAGAAGGTTACAAAGTAGTGAGTTTATTGCTTAAAGTGGGAGTGGAGACGAAGAACGATGATCAAGATTATGAGAATGAGCAGATATCTATAGCAGCAAGATATGGAGATGAGGCTATTGTTAAGACGTTACTCAAGAGAGGTGCAGATCCGGAGGCCAAAAATATCCAGGGTGAATCAGCGCTCTCAAACTCTTATTATTATCAGCAGCCTGCTATCACCAAGCTATTCCTTGGAAACAGTAGAAAGAAAAATGGAATGGGGCAAAGAGCCATCAAGGCGGCGTCAGAGGTGTTCAAGCGGTAGTAGCTGTCAATTTGGAATGGTGCTAGCTTTAAATGGCAGGCTTTCTACGTTACATGTCACCTTGATTAAGAGCTTCCATTGACATCTTGACTCCCTCTCAGAAGCAAGCCGTACATGAAGTAGGACGGAGATTTTGAGTCCACGAGCATGCCTCTCCTTAGCCTTATTCTCTAAACAATAGTAACAACTTAGATCACAGGATCCTGACTAATCATAGCGAATCTTCCGGACTTGCAGCATTCCATGCAAAACTGAGGACAAAGATGTGTCAATCCATTTGCGTGCCGTCTCTTAGTTTCCTCCACCAGACAATGGTAGCAGTCGGCTTTGCATGGCCCGCCTTGGTCATGGGTTACCTTTTGCTCCTGAATCTCCTCCATGACGCACTGCACACAGAAGCTAGGGCAAAGGTGTTGTAACCCTTTGGCATGCCTTTCCTTCATCGCTTCTGGTGTGAAAATAGAATAGCCGACTCCCTTTGTACATGTGCGTGGTTTTTGAAGTGATGTTACTGAAAGTTCGGCGCTGATAACATTGATGCCTGTATGGGCCTCCACTATTCATATTTCGAGAGCCCGAGAAAAAGATGGTTGGTGGGTTACGGTTGAATTCGCTGATGAGACTTCGCAGACTGCAACTTGAGGCGGGGGAGCTCCATGAAACTCTATCTTTTCATCACTTTCGCTGGGAAGGGGTTCCTGGCTATCAGAAGTCAGATGAATGATGATACCGTGAAGGCTTTCCAAGATCTAAGAAGAAACAGTGTACGAGCAAATTCTCTGGGGGAAAAGTTTACTTGACTGTGGGGAGAAGATAAAAAAGGCAAAGCCTGATTTTGCCAAAGAGAGCAGTAACAAGACCGAGATCGTCTTGCGAGATTTTCCATTCGCGAGATGTGTCTTTGCTCTGCACAATTCTCGTCGAGAGGATATTATAGTCGCTGCAGACCGCATCGCAATCTCGAATGCGCATGAGCAAAAACTTGTCTCCCTCTGTTGGCTCGTGCGAGTCGAGGATCTCTTTAGAAATCCGAGACAATTCGTGTTTGTTGAGAACCAGCTGCAACCACTTTTGGAAAGATTCCACTTCTATGAATAGATCTTGGGATTCGGGGACCGAATTCACAAGATCTTTGAGTCCAGTGAGAAGCTGAGAAACAAGCTTGGCGAGGCTGGTGATTGGCATCTTAATATTAAAGCTTTCAACCATTTCGACTATGTCCAAACTGAGTAGAGGCGGAGAAAGCCAATAGAGGTGATTATCACCGGGGGTAAAAGGACTGTATTGCTTCGATGACGGCTACTGGTGATGTCGATAGTTGAAGAAGGAAGGAAGACAATTCACAAGATGTTTGCAAGATAACTCAGTAGGCAGAAGTTGTTTGTTTCAGCCACAAGTCACAAGCTAGGTCGTTTTTGGAGGCTGTGTAACGTTCGCCAGCTCACAGGAAAGACCAAAACCACAGCATTCAAGGTACCGTGATAGGAAATAAGAACCGGTATATGAACATAACTCGAATGCTGTCTAGTCCGTCATAGAGTGAGGCTCAATTTCAATGCAGGATGGATGCAATTACCAGAATATTTTCTGTTCTATCGACTATCTCCAGAAGAAAATATTCGAGTTGATGCTCTGCGGGTACAGGCGGCGGGGCGTAGCGGGGTCTATTTTACCCCGCCATTGTGAAGGACTGTCAAAAATGCGGTCTTACATTGTACAGTGCACATTACTTTCTCGCACTTCTCGTCACGAAAAGGATAAAGTCAAGTCATCGGCGCTCGAGGTCTCGGTTTAAGATTCGGTGTAAGACGTTTTCCAATACCTCACATGACTTTGAGATTTGCTCGGACCTCCGTGTCTTCCTGGTGTTACATCTCTTACCTAGGTACATTGAGCAACAGCATCCCACAAACAGGAACAAGTGATTAAAAGAGCTCAAAGACGACTTCCAGTCACGTCTCTTCCTAAGCAGCTTGATTGAACAGCATCTTCACAACAATACCATTCCCACCATGGTTCCACCTCTCATCACCCTCGAAGAGCACTTCATCGCCACCGATGCCCTTCCAAACTTCTCAGGCAAATACTCAGAACAGCTCAAGCATGTTACAGGCCTAGCAGACAAGCTGGCCGACCTAGGAAACCTCCGCATCAATAACATGGACATCGGCAAGATCTCTCTCCAAGTCATCTCGCATGGACCCTTCGGACACTCTCCGTCTCAATGCCGAGCCGCAAACGAACAATTATCAGCAGCAGTGAAAGCCAATCCATCGCGATTCGCAGGATTCGCGACCCTTCCGATGGCTGATCCCAAGGCAGCTGCAGAAGAGCTTACCTATGCGATCAAAGACTTGAAGTTCGTGGGGGCATTGATTGACAACCATTGCGATGGGAAATATTACGATGGTGAAGAATATCGGGATTTCTTCAAGACCGTACAGGAACTAGATGTCCCAATCTATTTCCACCCCACCTGGCCAAGTGAAGATATGACTCCCCGCTACTCCGGAAACTTCTCTACGGGAGCCGAGCTGAGCTTGGGAGCGTCGGGATTTGGATGGCATTCCGAAGTAGCTTTACATATCTTAAGACTCTTCGCAAGTGGACTGTTCGACCTGTATCCGAAGCTCAACATCGTCATTGGACATTTTGGGGAGATGTTACCTTTCATGCTTGGTCGCATTCAGGAATTGAGTCCGAGGTGGGGTAAGTTGGAGAGAAATTTCAAGCAGGTTTGGGATGAGAACATTTGGATTACTACGAGTGGAATCTGGAGCCTGGATCCGATGGCGACGATTTTGAGGAACACTAAGATTGAGAGGATCTTGTATTCTGTGGATTATCCGTTTGCTAGGAATGAGAGGGGGTTGGAGTGGATGGAGGAATTGGAAGCGAGCGCTATGGTGACGAAGGAACAGTTGGAGATGATCGCGTACAAGAATTCAGAGGCCTTGTTGAAAGTCAAGCTTACGGGGCAATAAACTGGTAAAGGATTGATAACACCATGCATGTTTTTTATGTATTGCTAAGCAAATTCCAGAAAGCATAAATTGTTTCCCCTTGTGTATATTCTCCCTTCACCATGACCTCGAGATTTCCAATGCAGAGAAAGAGATTTGTTGAAGAGCGGCCTCCCGCTGATCACTTAGTATCCGGCAGAGGTTTGTTGGCAAGGAAGAAGAATGCCGATGTGCTACCTTAGCGTCAGCAAAACTACTTTCAGCTTCATTCGCATTCACTTACGGTTCCTGGAGGTGTGTTGATTTGTTCACAGCAAGCCGGAAGTCCTTGATCTGTCTCGGCGTCATTGCAAGTATATTGCACATCGGCACCATTGATGAGGACGTCGGCTTTGTTGCCTGCAAAGTTCAAGCATTAGCTGAAGATCTAAGGCTCTGGTTATGAGGACCTACATCCAACGCCAGTTCCATCAGCGAGAAATCTCTCGCAACAGCCTCCGAATTCAGGAGCGGCGCAACTGAAGATTGGTTGGTTTAGTCCTTGAGGCAAGGCATTGCTGGCGACTGCTAAAGCCAAGAAGGAGAGAAGTGTGGCAGAGAACTTCATTTTGATTGGTTTCTTGATGAGTTGTGATTGTAAGAAGTGATAGATAATAAGCTGTTAATTGAAGAATATGTTAGAGGTGACCTGATGTTTATATAGATTTTCACAGTCGTCACCTGTCTATCACGATCACATTCACCGGTTTACGAGTTGGAGTAGACAGTTACACAGCGAGCATAATATTTTAGAGAGTCATCGTTTGGCACCAAATGAGATGATGCTTATCGTATACAGATAATCTCATTTTTTCTTCATTCGTGTCAATGGTGGAAAAGCAAAGTCCGAGAAGAGAGGAGGTTGCGTGGTGAGGCTCAGCAGTGTTCAGTGCAGGATCTAGTTCAACGTTGTAACCACAGACATCAGTCCCATCGGCCCGGTAAAGCTTCAGCCCTACGCCACGCGGAATTTGTTCGACCACAACCGTAAGCGGATTTGGTCGTATTATATCCAAGTCCTTTTGGGGAAGCAGGGACAGATTCTTAATGGCTGAAAGGACCCGAGTAGCTGATGGAGTACAGGCTATAGTCAACAACAACTATAGGCAATTTACCAAAATACTATCCTTGTTGACCACAAACTTCCACGTGGTAGTTGGTTTCTCATGTTACTTCAACATCACGCTTAAGAACAAGTTTTTCACGATTACGACAAAAATGATACTTTGTACCACCACGTGCTGGTAAGCTGATGAATGCAAGCGCGAATCACGGAGGATACTTTGCGATGCGTTTTGTGCCCCCTTGTCACCCAGGCTTACCCCGAGTCATCCGAGGGCAGAAGAGTGGAGGGGAAATTTGATTACGGGAGTGTTGGAAGCAGGTACAAGTTGCACAAGCTTTCCATTGTCGGTTTCTGTTACCAATTGTTATACGAGTTTACCCCGCCACATAGCACATCAGCTATAGAGAAAGAACATTAAGCCGAGGTGAGTTTGTACCTCCTGAATTTGACAAATTGCTCATCGACGGATTTTGGTAAGACGTAAGCCAGCGTAGAAGACTAAACAGGTTTCACTTGATGTAGTACACAGTCGATGTCAATCAACGGGCAATTGAGGTTCGAGCCCACACATATTTCCACCACATGATCTAGTAGCAGAGCTGAATATGAACTCTTGCTATGCCTCACACATATCACGAATATAGTCTCAAACAATATTATTCTACACCTCTTTAATCTACAAACATGTGTCCGCAAAGGATAGCTTAGTTAGAGATGGTGACATTAAAAACATAGGGGCTTAAGCGAGAGCGCGGCGGGGGCCAATCCGCGTCACCAGGAAGGCTACCGTTCAGCCCAGGCTTTAGTGATTACATGCCGTGACATCTCCTAATGATACGATTGCTACATCTTCACGGCTTGATTAAGGATAGAATCCTAGTCCGTTCTGTCTTGACCCATTTGATTAGAAGCGAAAAAAGCGCACTGCAGACTTTTCCCAGAATATCAATAAGGTCTCTGCTTCCCCTCTTGTTGAAACCTTGGCGAAAGCACCTTATAACAAACAATTTCAATATTTCACTTATGCCCACCAACATCCGTTGTCTCAATCTCTACCGCCAAGCTTGCCCCAATATCAATAATTCCGGCTCTTCCCTCCCCAGTATCTGCTCCACTCTCAAGTCTCGCCACACCCCTACTCTCTCTCCCATCCTCAAACTCCATAACAGACTCCATACTTTCATTCACAGAGCCCACAAACGTCCCAAAATGAATCGCCACCGAATTCCTTGACCTGACATCTTTATGAATATCAAGCGCATCAGCAGGTGCGGCATGCAGTGCAGAAGGGATGTCATTATGGTTTAACCTGAACCCTAGATGGGATATAAATTCCAGCGTGCCTCCTCTCCAGATTGGTACGAACGAGAGGTCGAATGGTCCGTAATCTTCACCGATTTGTTTGAAGATTGGGCATACGGCGGTAGACTTAGCTGTTCGACGGTATCCAGTGTCGCCGGCGTGGTAGATGGCGCCTTTACGTCTGGTTGGTGATGTTTTCGTATTTGATACGAGCATTTGTTCAATGATCCAGCCGCACCAGAGTGTTTTGTCTAGGTCCAATGGGTCACGGCCAGAATTGTGCTGAGCAGGAACGCAAGTGAAGCGCAATAATGCATCTTCGCTCGCGGCTTGTGAAGTTGTGAAACCCAGATCGCTCATACTGAGCTCACGCTTCTGCCACCAATCGAGCTCGAAAATCTTCTCTTCTGATACGCCCAGATCGTGCAGCCATTTTTTGTTTCCCAAGGGAACGAAGTATTTTGCGTTAGGAAACTTCTTGAACAAGGCTTCGATAGTTGAAGTATCCAAGTGGTCGTAGTGGTTGTGCGAAATCATAACCACATCGCAGCCTATGGCATATCAGTAAAAGTGATAGCAGATTTCCATAGCCTAGAGAGTTCTACCTGGCAAATCAGTCACCTGACAAGGAGGCGGCCTCATCCTCTTCGGGCCCGTAAAGGGCGTGGGACCTGCTCTCTCAGAGAATATAGGATCATACACGATCCAGAAACTCTCCTTGACCCCATCTGCTCCATTTGCCGTCCCCTCGAGCGGCAATTCCGTGATCACGCCTGCGTGACCAAGCGATGTTCCTATAACACACTTTGCCCTGTCGAGTCCATTCTTCTTCAAATTCGATGCACCCCAGTCTGGAGCAACGACTTTCACGTCCTGTGTTCCTGGATGCTTTTTCGCATAGCTCTCATACCAACCTAGGGGGAACTTGTTTTCGAGGAGTTCGGTTACAGTTGGCTTCTCGGCTGACGGCCAAGGATTTTTGAAAGCGGTGCCGAAAGCATTTAAATGGTGCGAGGGAACGTTTGGTGTGGTATCTGCTTGGGGAGGTTGTGTTGTAGACATTGTTGATGAAATGGGTTTTATCCGTTGTCGGGAGATTCGAATAAATAACCTTATTGTTCTCATGCATGGTGATCGTGATGAAGGAATGACGTCAAAGTTTTGAATGCTCGCATGGGCCAATTATAGATCCTCTGCCTCGCATAGGCTAAAGGTAGCGAGTAACATCAAACTTCAAAAGCCTGATTGAAATTGCTAGGATGACCTGTCGAGGAATGGGAAGGCAGGAGAAAATTAGCTAATAAGCTATTTGCACGTATGCACGTTGACGAGTTTAAGCTTCGCTCAATAGCACTTCCAATCCTGTGATTCATTCTCTGGTAAGTGCTCCCAAAAAAGCGCCAACAAAGCTGTTAGTCCCAGCCTTCTGCTGATTCATTCGTTGTCATTCTTCTTCAAGTTCTCCTTATTGCAGTTAAGCCAGTGTAAATTTGACCATTACTAGTCATTCCATTTCATCCATTCCTCTTTTAGCTTCGTGGTTTCTCTTTCCGTGAGGATAGTATCCGCTCTTAATATTGATCTGTATTTGGTTTGGAGAGATGCTCTCTCCCTAGCCGTCGATGCTAGCAACTCGAAATCGCCTGCATCAACCGCATCCCGAAACACTCTCCTCATCCTCCGGGAAGACAACTGGCATGAGGCATTTGGCAATCTCTGCATGGTTTTGTTGAACAGGGAAGCCAAGGCTTTCTGTTCCTCTACTTCTGGCCAGACAACCTGAACGAAACAATCTTCGCATACTGTAAATTCGGGTAGCTCGGTGATTGTATGCCAGCGCCGATCAGTCAGCTCAGTGTCCCGCAGGCATTCCTCTATTGTGGAAAATCTTTTCGCGAGTTGGACAAAATCTCGAGTATCCAGAGTCTCGCCGTCATGAACAGATGCCCCGTCTGACATTGTTTCTAATGCATCGAAGTATGGAACGAAACGCTTGCTTTCGAATCTTAAATCACACACCTTCGGAGAGTCTACTAAGCCAGAAGTCTTCTTGATGAATACACCCTTTATGGCTGGAAGCAAGACCTCTATGCTCTTGACGCAACTGGGGCACACATCGAAATCGCGAATCGGTTTTCCACGTGACGGGTCGATAACTGAATACCACTGTCTTCCAACTGCGCGACTGCCGAAGCATGGTGGAATTGATGCAGTAATACTTGCTAGCTCTTTAAACATCTGTAGATCTTGTCTTCCTTCCTTGAGTGCCAAAAGCCACGCTATACGAAACCATGGGCAGGAGCCGAAATCGCACAGTACTTCCACCTCAGGTGCTCGTTCAGCAGCAGAGACAAAATAGCCCCGATAGTCTGTAGGTGCAATTACGGAGTTGAAGCAGGATGGGCAAATATCGAAGCTAGGAGCGTGTGGTATCGTCAACCAATCATTGTGACCTCCAGTGAAATCTGTCCTTGGACATGTTGGGAGCGGCTTTATTGTTGCGTCGCGGTCCAGTCTTTTGGCATCGCGCTCTTGTACAATTCTTTTGAACACTGAGATATCCTCGTCAATATCTGATTCCAGTCTTATTGTACTTGAAGGAAGAGACGTTGGAAGGCTCGATGGTAGTCCAAGATTAGGTCTACTGGCAGAAGAGGGTAAAGGTGTCCTCATAGCATCTTGGGTAGCAATATCCTGTGCACTATCGAGAACTGCATTTAGGATTTCCTTTTGGCAGACTGGGCTGTTCAAGATCAGACAAAAGCTTTGTAGTATTGCTGGAACAAAGACATACCAAGTTTCCCACGACTCCGTCTTTGACCTCACCCAAGTTCCAGAGCAGCTGGGCTCGGGACACCGTTCTCTATTAGTTGTTGAAGATCTGAGACGCTTGCGTACTATCATAGACATCGCAACTTTTGCACCAGGAGCAATAGTACGATTCCAATTCTGCTCATTTAAAGCCCGGTTATTCGCCAGACTCACGATCAGATATTTGCCACGATCCACCCATGTACCGCCAGGAAGGCTTTTGAAATCGTCTTGAATGAAAGCTTGTAAGACCTAGTTATTCCGTTAGGCTATACTTTCGCCCTCTAGCCAAAGACCAACCTTAAAACTTCGAAAATACTCGAATGGCAATACCCGTGGTGGCCTCCCAATTGCATCTAGAAAAGATATGTTGTACTGAGCTAGCAATTTCGGCATCAAAGCTCGCGGTGGTTGGACCATCCGAGATATTGCAAGACTATGCATAGTCTGTTAATTGCTTGTGGTATGTGTTTGACGTGTAGTATACATACAAGAGGTTCTTGAGGAAGCAGCCGAGGTACAAGAATACTAGGTAGTAACTTTCGAAGTTAGTATACGAATAGCAGCTCAGATTGAGAGCCATACATTTCCTGTAACGATTCCCGAGCGACTTTCGCACTGGGTAGATCACCGGAATCCAGATTCAAGGTCCCGGTAGTCCTTTCCAGATCGCATGGTTGATCTAATCCCAGTAGAGCTTTTTGCCTAGGTTTTGAACAAGCTCCTCGAAGCGAGGTCTCAATATTCCGTAATATGATCTCGGAGCTGTTTATTTGCAGTTTCATGTGCTCCATTGCTGATGTCAATTCTCCATAATCTTTTGATGAGGTAGTGACCAATGTCTCGCTGCTTTCACGTGCTTGGCTTCGGCCGTCCTCTAAAAGGGTCGAACGTAAAGGCGACAAGTTTTCTCGAAGGGTAGCCATGATATCAGGCCGTATTGTTTCTTGGAATGTTAGCCGTAGAGTATCCGGGAGCGTTTGCTGAGTTCTCCAGACCATATCCCTTTCATAAGTCAGTTCAAATGGAAAAGAGGACTACGTGTGACAAACATAGTCAACCGTTGCATCAACGAATCGATGATTCGCATGTGTGACCCGATCTTCTTTTCCAAAGCGAAGACCTTCTTCGACATGAACATATACCACTGCAGCTTCTGAAAAACATGACGATGGTTGCCTCCCCTAGTCTTGTCCCCAAGGCAAGGCTCAAACTTCAATACCTTCACGAGGAATTGCTCAACCGGCTCCCTTATAAAGCTCACTTGCTCCGAAATATCTGCCCCATACTCTGGATAGGCACTCCAAGCCGTAAAGCTCTGCAAAGGCTCAAGGGTTCGCTTCAAATGTTGCAGGAATGATACAGCCTCGCGATAATTGCCAGCGGCTCCGTCGACACTGTCAAGAGCTTGGATAAGATTGTAGGCAACGGTCAGTGCCGCAGCGATGTCACCTGCTGACCATCCAAAGGACATCGCTGAGATCGTGTTGAGCTGCCGTTGTCATTGCGAGAGTCAATGGCGATATATCCGCATGGTTTGATGTGGAGGGCTGTGCTGGGTCAGAGATGGTCTCACAGAAATTTTGGCCAATAGAACGGCGGCGCCGCTCTTATATTAGCCAAGGCTCAGTCTGAGGTTGAGCCAATAGAATGGCTATATATATTATAAGCTCCTCAAAGTTTTGAAAATCGGAAAATTATTACTTGAGAATACTGAAGTTTAAATCGACGAGAGTACTGAATATTGATAGTGTTTTTGCCGTCAAAAACTCTACAGATTAGCACCAATTGCAGTAGATAAAGGGGAGTCCAAGAGAAGTCTCAATGATGTTCATGCCCTCTGTATGATGGTGTTGTAATACTACAAATTTTATTCCTATACGAAACATACCTAACCTAGGGTGGAGTGGAATGCGCAGCTTATATCGGATCTACTTTCTCGTTTCTGATCAAATCTGCATTCGCAAAGCGCAATGCTAAGAACGCCCAACATTTCCAAGTCATGTCGAGCTCGCTGATTGTTTTCACCACCTTCCTCATGTCATGTTCGGGAACTCTCAAGTCCTTCATTCTGTTCACATGTCAACTTTAGTGACATTCCGAAGAATAATCACGTACCAGACACTTTCCCACCAACCCCCGCACGACGTTCCAGCTCCTTCGCGATACTCATCCTATGCTTCGCATGATTCTCCTTCTCCGTACCCAAGATAAATGGCATCATGACAGAAACTCCAGTAATCTTCGCCTCTTCACGTAAAATCAATCCTTTGCCATCGTCAGTTGCTACGACTCGATATCGAAGTCTCCCGGAAACTCCCATCGGAGCCTGAAATGTTGCGATGACGCCGTCGTCGGCGTCCATGTACGCGGATTTGGACGTGATTGATGTGCTGCCGAAAGGTCCGAAAGGGACTGCTATGGTCACAGCACGATAATCGACTGTTGAACCTTCGGGGCAAGCTGATGTTGCTTCTGTCACGACTGGTTCGTTGGGGGAAGGGACGGGAATAGGTTTGCTGTCTGTTACTGATGTTAGATTTCTCGTCTATTTAGTTATGATAAATCTTCAAGAGAGCTTTTTGCTCGCATACCAGTGACGAGGGGCTGTAAGTTTTGGACGGTGGCATGTTCATGTAGGAGTGCGATAGCAGACTTGCGATCTGTAGATGCGGGCAGAGGAGTCTCTGAGGCGAGCTCCTGTGTAGACCAGAAGACTGTAAAGCATTAACAAGACCGATATCGACTCAGGCTTGACAAGGGACTGCTTCTTACATGACATAATACTCGAATTGAAAGGACAAGCCGGTTGTTCCCGACTTCAAAGCCAGACACTCAAAAGGCATACAATTACGAAGAAGAAGACTGCTTGTTCTCGAGTGCTCGAACTATTATTACTCAAGGGTCATTGGTGTGGGACTTGAAATTTGAGGAGGTGTTGTTTAGGTAGATGAAGATTGAGTTGAAGAAGTATCGCTTCATCAACTATTCTGGGCTTAGCTTCCCGCGGCACAGCCAGCTTTGTGGAATGGCAACCACAAATGATAGAGGCATTTCACGTCAAACGAGTACGAGGTCTCCCATGTGATCTTACTTAAGTCTCGTGAAGCTCGACTGCATCATTGTCGATGCGATACAGAACACACTGTTATCACGTGCCATATATTCACGTGACACCTACCTATTTAAGACTTCCATTGAAAGCTGGAAAGCTCAGGGGTTGCTCGCAATGAAGAAAGCAGTAGTAACCGAAGTTTTTATGTATTCATGAAGTTATTGACAGACTACCGGATCATGTTTCCATATATCACAACTCCTGCTCCCCGGATTTCCCAACTTTTCATAGCCTGCACCATTTTGAGACTTCACCCTTGGCCTCTCTACTCAACAGAACCAGTATCATTCGGATCAGCAGCCTTACAAAGTAATTGCTGAGCACCATGAGCCTGTCTCAAATTAGCTCTCATCCTTTCCTCATCGATTCCTAAACTCACATCAACAGTTGTTGAATACTTGCAACAGAAAGCACTCTTATCATCCAAATCCTTGCAATCATATCGGTTCTCGTCATCTTTGAATGAGAGTTCTCGATCCAGTTGTTTGGCGTCGACGCCTGATGAAGAAATTAGTTTTGTGGGAGACGATGGGGAGGAGACGAACAATCGCGACCAGTGCCATCTTCTCTGAGATCCTTGCAACATTCCCCGAACCTGTGTTCGTGGCAGAAGAACTTATTCTCGAGAGCCATTGTGCTCGCCGTGAAGGTGATGGCGAACGCCAGGAGGAGTTGAGTGAAATGCATATTGGAGATAGTCTTCAAATAGTTATTAGTTGATACTCTGAATGCGTGAAATGAAACGAATGATAACTCCCCCCTTTTATACCAAAAGTCAAGAAATCCAGACCATCTATTTTCGTCCCACCTCACTGCCGAAACCCGAAACTAACTGTCTGAAATGAATCCGCGCTGGATGAATTCCAAGAAAAGACCTCGTGCGTCCAAATCCTCCGAACCCCACACTTTGGCTAAATATCTTGGCAATATAAACGTCGCCCGGACCCGCGAGCTGAACGTTCCACTGGAACGGTGCTCGGAAACCCAATTTCTCGTGATATTGAGCTGACGATGCATCACTAGAATGATCTTTAATTCTCTTGGCGATGATATAAGCTTTCAGACGGACATAAGCTTTCGTCTGATAAATAATATATCTTGGCAGTTTTACCCAAGCGATTAGACCTGGGGGCGCAAGAGTCGGTTTTTATAATCAGATGAAAGATTCGCTGATCATCAGGCTGGAATGGGAAGCCTATAGCAAGATTGGGATAATCAAGAACTAGATGAATGACGACGGTATGTGGTATCCAAGTCCCGCTCACATTGAAACTTTTAGGTCAGAGGAATGGGTTAAGATTGAAAGTGCGGAATGGAGATTTTGCATACCAAGAATACCACTCTCAATCAGAAGATGCGTCTCTCCACCATGATGGAATGATCTGAGAGCTGAGTTAAACACGTGTTCCTTACCAGCCAGCATGAGTGCCATGAAGGGGATGGTATGTATCGTTTTCATTGCTTCTAGTCTTGTACACTCAGTCCTCATCGCCACAAATGGTATAATACACGAGACTCTCCAGCTTGCCACAATCCAGAACAGCTTTACCGTCACGGACCGTTTGCCAACAAAGGTATCTCCCCAGTAGAGCTCCGTCGCTCATCATGAAATGCACGCTCCAAACGCCGATGAATGAGTCCACACAGATCGTAATCCGAACAAGAAAGTCCTCCGTCATCAATCTTCCAAGCAATCGTATCAGCCATTAGTCTGTCCTTCAAATTTCATTTCCCTTCAACAATGCCCTCAAGGTCAACACTTCTCTTCGAAGTCTGGCGTTCTCCTTCTTAGTCTTTGCCGTTTCCTCACTCGCATCCTTCACTTTCGTGATGAGTTCCTCTTTGTCTTCCTTGCCCTTGCCTTTCAGAGCTTTGACAATCTTGCCTAATTCTCCGTTGAATTTCTCGTACAGTAGTTCATTCTCTGCGCTGCTTTCCTTGTATAGCTGATCCAGACCCTTGACCTTAAACTCGCTGGCCTGCAGGCTCTTCTCCAAATCGACTTTGATGGCATCGTTGCGAGTTGTGAGGTCCTTGATGACTTCAGGAATGCGGGACTCGAGGTTGCTTACTGTCGTATTGAGTTTGCTGAGATCAACTGTGCGCACTGAGGATGAAGTAGTGAGTTTAGCCATTTCTTCACCGATCTTGGAAAGTTCCGTTTGCAAGGAAGCCTCAGCTTCGTTGATGGCCTTTGCTTCGTTTTGTAGACGCTCACGGAGCTTTTGTGGGCTTTGTAGACGCAACTTCTGAGGCGAAGGTTTGCTAGGACTTGTGGTTGGTCGGGTGACAGATGGAGTGCGACCTCGGAATGTGGGAATGTTCGATGACATGGATAGCGCCTTGCTGTGGCCTTTCGCACCACCAGCGGACCAGAGGTCCTTGATCACTACAATATCGGGGGACATGATATTGTTAGGACGTTCGGTCAGGTTGCCGACATTCCTCGACGTCGTTCCGTTCAAGGGTGTATTCTCTTTCTGCGCTGGTGAGCCAGTGTTATACATAGCTGACCGAGTCCGATCCATGATTCCACCTGCAACAGGTATCTTTGTTGGTGAAGGTGTCTTGGGTGATGAATTGAATCTCAAGCCTTTTCGTCCATCTGGAGTGAGTGGCGAATTTCCCATTGAAGCTGCTGCCATGAGTGACTTGAGATCGGACAGGGAGCTTCTTCGCTTCTTCTTCAAAGTCTTCTCTACCGGCTTCTGATCTTCAGGGGGTGGTGAAGCTCCAATAGTACTGAGTCTAGTGGAAGGACCTTGCGAGCTAGAGGGCCTCTCATCAAATGCACCAAGGACAGTTGGTCTATCGCGAGAGCCAGGTCGTCTTGGTGATTCGATAGATCTCGATCGGTTAAGCGATCCTTTGGACAGACTTGAAGGGGTGACTGGCTCGCCCGTAGCGACGTGACGGTTGGTCTTGCTCAGAGTGCGCCAGACAGAAGGCCGATCTCCATCACCTTTACTATTCTGCCGCAGTAATGTATCTGCGAAACGCTTGCGGAACGAGGAAGTGTTTGAAGCAATAGACCCCGTAGCAGAAGCGTTAACTCGACCGCCAGAGATGGAGCCGTATGCAGAGTTATTGCCACTGCCATGTCCAGTGACAGCACCAGGTCCGATATCGTCAAAGAGTCGATCTTGATCTTCCACCATTCGGTCGAGCAAGTTGATATATTCATGCGGTTCACCGTCAATAACAAGAAGTTCTGCAAAAGACGCAGTCAAAGCGCCTCGATCGCCGTCATTGCCACAACCTTCAAGGAGGTCAGCAAGTAACTTGATGATCGCAATAAAAGCTCTTCTATTCTGAGGAGCCATTTCGGCAAAGACCATCTTCACAAAGTCGGCGAAATCATTAGGATGAAGTCTTAAAGCCCTCTCCTGCAGTTCATTCAATGTCTCTGTTGACATGACTTTGCCCATCTGATCCTTCCATGCCAATCTTACATATTTTTCGAAAGCTACAAATAGCACATCGACTGTAGCTTCGGAAGCTACACGCTGATCGAAAGGGTTCTCGATGAAGGTATTGTAGACGGCATTGATAGCCAATTCGTCAGCAGCAACTCTGTTCCTCAATACCCGTCCGACAACATTGCCTTTACGAGCCTGAAGAGCAGCAATGTAGCCAGTGAAAGTTTCCTCAAGACGAACCAGTGGATTCGTAGGTCTTTCGCCAGTTCGTTGGCTGCTTCTGAGGTCTACGTCTTGAATCGAATGGCTTGACTTATTGCTGTTTGTTCTGGATAGTGGTGGCGGCTGCATAGAAGGTATGTTTCCCATGATGGGGGTTCTCGGGTGTTTCGATGAGCTTCCGTGAACCGAAGAATGAAGCGATGTAGTCGAGCTGTTGAACCCATTTGACAGAAAGCTGGACAGCATTTTGACAGGCGATGCAGGTCGGAAGGACTTGAATTTATCACCATCCCGTAATATAGTCAGCGATCTTAGTACCCTTGAGTAGAAAGTGATGAAAGAGACAGTCAAGGACGGGTTGCTAGGGTGAAATTGCGTCTGGAGAAGATCGTTTACTATTACCGTTAGCGAATATTTCTATTCAGTGATTTACTACGTACCTCGCTTCACAAGGGTGGGAAGCAAGTGTTCAACCACCACCTCGTCTACAAATACTCTGTCATGAAGACCATCAGTCTCGAGTTTGTAATTGAGTCCTCCTGGAAGTGAGCCGATATTACAGACTATGTCGACACCATAGTGACCGACAGGGGCGCCTTTCGTGCCTCGCTCATGGTCGACCACGATTCGAATAGGGGCAGGTTCCTTTCTACCCTTCATTAAAGTATCGATTCCCTCTTCGAAGACAGCAGTGTGGAGACTGATATCAGCAGCGGGCATTTTGACAGATCGCAAAGACCACCTATCAGTTTCCCGTTCTGGCTCAGAGAATCTTCCTTCAACTCTAGCCTTGGTGATCTCTTCGGTGAACCTAAGTGCTTTGCTTTCATACGCGCCTTGCAAGCTAAAACAGCGTACGGTTGCATTTGGAGCAGTGCCGCCACGACCTGAGCCAGGATCCTTTAACTCATGAAGCGATACTAATGAGACGATACGGCCATCATCTGACATCGTGAAGCGGGTATCTCCAAGCGCGTGCCAGCCACAGAAAGCCAGTTCATATACTTTCTTCTGTCCTCCGGCGTTGGCTGTAATCGAGGCCATCATGCTCGTTGCAGATGGTCTATCAACCTCGGCCATAAGACCTCTGCCAGAAATGGTGCATTGACTAGACTTCCTGAGAATGACGATGCAGTCTGCGAACAACAAGAACATCCCGTCTCTAGGTGGTCCCGAGGCAGCTGTCGGAGGGCAATGGAAAGGGGCTGGCAGTTCTACAAACTCTGCTGCAGTGATCAATCGACCTTGCGGCTTGAGAGTTGTCGGCCAGCTTTCCACTAGGTTTCGAAGTCGATGGACGATTTGCTCCTTGTCAGCAACAGGTGGATCCAGAGAACATATTTCTGTGATTATGTCTCGGGCTTTGAGCATTGGTTGGAGCGCGGGATGCAAAACGGGCAGAAAATTGACAATATTGTCAATAAATAGACTGTATCGTGGTAGTCGTTGAACAGGTTCAATAACGGAGGAGCGAAGGCGCTGCTCGCCGGTTTGCTGTACGCGTTGTGAGAAACTCGACTGCTGGTTGACAAATAGAGTGATGATTTTGGGGAACTCTTGGCTTGCACGAATGTATTCTTGATAGCATTCTGAGAACTGGGGGAACCATTCAAGGAGAACCTTGGAAAATGCAAGTGCTCCAGTGGGATCCTTCAGTCGTCCTGTTCCACCATATCTCGAACCAGTCGAGCTGACGATTGGTGCCTCGAGGTCTCGCATGGCGTCTTCCTCAGTCTCGTCCATAACTTTCTTAATTTCGGCAAGGAAAGCAGAGTTGATAGAAAGAATTCTATCTAGAGATTTGGGAAACAACTTTTTCAAGTCCTCTTCAGATGGACTGAAACTGCCGAATGCTCGACTCTTTGCCTTCTCACGGAAATCATCTGCAATATGATTGACTAACTCATGCATCTTCATGACATATCGTTCCTCAGTGTCAACAAACTCGCTCATTTCTCGACGCAGGGACATCTTTTGATCTTTGAGGAATGATCTCGACCGATTGAGAGAATTGGCTTTTGAGGGAGCTCGTCGTAGCTTAGAAGTCGGAAGAAATGCGACCTCACCAAACAGCTTCACAAGGGGGGCATATTCGCCATATTGCTTGAGTGTAGGGTCCAACAGCGTGTCATCATCTTCGTCGTTCATATGCTCATCTGGATCCAACTCCTCGAATGGAGCAATGGTTCCCGGAGGCAAGACCAAATCCACGTCCACATGATTGATGTTTTGAGGTCGCAGAGCTGCTTCCATATCTTCGACCACTTCCGCCATGTTCTCCACTCTAACCATAGATGATGCCAAATCTGCTGCATGTTGTTCACCAAATAGTGTCGGAGCTGATCCAGGTCTTTTGCGCTTTGAGCTGGCAGCTTGCACAATCAGACCAGCCTTTACCACCTCTGGTAATTCCTTGAAGTACTTCAACAGCCCAAAAGCGATGCCTCGACATACTTCGTCTCCTTGTCTATCGCGTGGCAGATGATTGACTGATTGGTAGAAGGGGGAGTTCGGAGAAATGGTGATGCGCGGATAGCTCTGGAAGCCAGCTGCAGTGAGGACGTGGACTTGAATTCGAGAGCTGTTGAGAGTGGAATTGGTCGTTGTAGAGGGCCCGTGAAAGATTAGGACGGGCAGATGACCCAAGTAGGGGTCTGAAGTATGGTAGAGATTGACTTCATCTTGCGACAAAGCCAACTCCTCGGTGACTCGAACCATTGTATGTTTTCAAGGTCGCTGCTGGTGGTTAGTCCGGGTCAGTCAGTGGGCGGCCTCGCCGGGCATATCGAAGGATCCTCGATGACAGCGGATCAATTGACGAGGAAGTCGTGGTTTTGAAAACTGGCGGGCGTTGTGTGTTTTTGGAGGATTGTCATCTGGTTGGTTGTGACGCGTCGAGTTTATCGCGTGTTTGTTTTGTTGAACGAAAGTTGGATGCAGGTACAGACCTTGGGCGTGCAAAAAGTTCGATTTCTCCTGGTCGATGCTGCAGATTTCAGGGATTGTCTTGCAGTAGTAAAGTTTTAGAAAAGGTTCCCTAGCATCATTCCTGGATTCTATTTCGAGAGCTGCAAGTCGGACATTTTCATGAGGATCAAGAGGGCGTGCTCGACGTGATGATTGGCCCGAAGAGCTTTCATCAACGCGACTCAAAAACATCAACCCCGCCAAACTTTCAACACGAAACAACCATCGGAAAGCTTACATCGGGATATCTTGTCCAACATTTCTGCTTGGAGAAGCACATGCAAAGCTGACAACACCATAATTGAGTTCAAGCTGTTGCAATGGCTACACAATACGCCAACGATATTCCTTTCTCTGCCAGCCACGACCAACAGGCATTCAAGCTGCTCGAGCTCCCTCCCGAGCTTTTGTCTCTCCTCGAATCAGAACATCCTCCAACGTATCCTTCCCTCCAAACTCTGCAACTTGACTCCAGCTGAAAATCATTACAGGCTCACGATAACGTCTTCAAAAGCGACGGAAACAACCTCAGGCTATGCTCTGCTCTGCCATGGAGACAAGAAATACCAAATGCGACAAAAGAATACGTCGAATCCCATCATGATACTCGCCCCTTCTCGAACCATGCCGACAGAGTCGGACGACGCGGAAACATTCATCTCTAGTCCATCAGTCACTACAATTTCGAAGATTGAGGATACGATCGAGCTGATTCTACAAGAAGCAGAGGTGAAGGCTGCTCCTAAGAACAAATGGCACGAGAAATTTGCAAAGAGTAGGGCAGAGAAGAAGAAATGAGACAAAAATTCAACTTGTCAAACATTATATTATGTGGGATATATGAAGTATACACAAGCTCTTCAGTAATCCAGGCTCAAGCAGAAACCGATATCATGCCCCCAGTTTCAACAAAGTCCTCGCATTCTGGAATCCGAACTTCTCTTTCGTCCTTTGACTGAGTTCCAGCCGATCAAACCATCCTCCGATCTCAACCATATCTTCGAACGGATAGTCCACCGAAAACATAACCCTATCCTCTCCCAGACTTCGCCACGTATCCACCAATGTCCCCGAATCTTGCACACCACTTGTCGTCACCCAGAAGTTCTTCTCCCAATACTCTGCAAGCGGTTTCTTTGCGGGCCAATATGGTGTGAAATGGCGCATCCTCTGCTCGATTCTCGGCAAGAAGAATGGAATTCCTTCTCCACAGTGTCCCAGGATGATCTTCAATGTTGGATATGTATCGAAAACACCACCTACCAGGAGTCTCAGCACATGAGCGCTCGTCTCGGAACTAAATCCCCAAGGCGATCCAGACAGAAAGTTATACCCCTCATACACCCTCTGTTGACCCGGGGGCGGCGTTCTAGGATGCAAATAAATCGGGACATCCAGCTCAACCACCTTCTCCAAAAAGGGCGCCATAGACGGATCATCGAGATACACAACATTATCCGCTGACCTATTATTTGTATACCCTCCCACGAACGAGCCTACGCCTCCCAAAGTCTTCACACACCTCTCCAACTCCGCCGCTGCAGACACAGGCTCCTGCAACGCATTACTACACCAGAACTCGAACCTCCCGGAATAATTTCCGTTCTTATAAATCCTCGCCACCTCGTTGTTCACGTACGTCGCCGCAATCGTCGCGAATGTACTATTAAAAACGCCCTGAATCCCCGGGGCGCCAAACATCAACACGGAAATCGACACGTTCGCCGCGTCCATAGCCGCGACGCGTGAATCGATGTTGGTTAATCGCGGCATAACATCATTGGCGTAGATAGGGATGTCGAAGTTTACTTCATTGGTGAAGTTCACGAAGGGCGTGGTGAAGGTTCCGCTGAAGAGAGAGTTGCCGACATGTTCTTCCAGGGCGATCTTTCCTGGGATGGAGAGCGAGGGGTCATAGAAGGTGGGGCGGCCGCTGTTGATGGGGATTTCTTGCGGGGTGTAGTTTGATATTATTTGAGCGTGTGTGGTCTGTCCGAGGAGGAGGACGTTCAATAATATCAAGCGATTGATAAGGAAAGGCATTTTGGCCCCGAATATCCTTCACGTAGTAGAAAATCATTGAATGGAAAAGCGACATTAAATACTTTATAAAGTACAAACAGCTCACTTGTACTTAAATAGCAATACCACCGATCAACCCCTCCCTTCCGGCTGCAAGATCTACTAGGTACCTGCATGCATGTTTACGGCGGGGCGTTCGCGATAGGCCGTTCGGAATAGTGATCGGTATTAATGATCAAGGATTGGATATTATCCAGTTGGGAACTGAGAGGAGATTTTCCGAGATGTGAGGTTTTTTGGTTGGGGTTTGTCATTGTTTGGTTGGAATGGTGGTGGTTAAGGATACTTACCCCGCAAGATGCCAAGATTTTTATCGATGGCCATTACAAGCATGGAAAATTTGATGGTTTCTTCTTATACTCTCTAGGCTGTGATGCTAGGAAGAGATTTGAATATTTTGTTTTGTATTTTCGTTACGGTTTCCTTCACAGGCGAATGTCCAAGGTTTCAAGAGATGTTTTTTTCTGGTTTGGGAAATATCCATAGGGGAATCCTTCCAAGTGGACGATAGATAAAATCCAATCTGTGAAACATGAATTTTCTTCATATAAATCATTAAAAAGTCGTCTGTATCCAAGTCTTCTCTCTCAGCACCATCCAAACTTCTCATTAGCAACCCACCGAATCTCATCCGCCGTCCCCTTTCCCTCCCCATACCACATCAGACTAGCAATACTCTCCTCCTTCCTCTCCACCTCCTCATGCTCCAACCCCGTCTTCCTCACCAAGCTCCTAACCACTTGACTCGGATTCCAGACGTCTACCTCACTCACCTTCCACTCCTCCGCCTCTCGCTGCGCAATCTGCAACACAGCCTTCAAACTCTCGACGTTCTCTTGAGTATCTCTCTCATCCTCGAGCACGAGACGCAGAATATGCAGCGTATTCCCCGATTCAGGCTTCAGAGGGCCGTAGTAGGCTCGTGTCCAGATGGCCCAGACGCGAGAACCGGGAGAATCGCAGATGGCGCCTTTGATGGTGGGGGATTTGGAGAAGATTTTCGAGGTTACGAAGTCTTCGCGTTTGTGGTGCCATTGCATTTGTTCGTAGCTGGGTAGGAGGGCGACATGGGTCTTGTTGTCGCTTGTTTGGGAGAGTTGGGTTCTGAGGGTTTGTTCGTCGAGGGCGCAGAGGGGTGGGAGGTCGGTGTAGGATAAGGTCTTTGCTGAGGAGGAGGAAGGGGAAGAGGATGGTGGGAGGGCGACGTGGGTGCTGGGGTGGACTTCCCAGCCGAACTTGGAGTAGTATTTTGTACCGATGTCTGAGTATAGGATGCTGAAGGGGCAGGTTTCTCGTCCTGGGATGTTGGGATCAGTTTGCCATGTCTTGAGGATTGGTGCTAGTTCTCTCAGCATGCGGGTAGCATATCCCTTGCCTCGGAACTTGGGCTGGGAGAATACGCTGCCAATTCCATGTGTGATGCCTTCTGTGACGACTCCATTGTGTGAGACGAGGACTGGCTTTCGAAGAGATTCGCAGGATGCTAGGATAGAGCGCTCGTTGGGAGGTAGATTGCGGTCAACGAGGATCCAATGTGTTACGCCGTTATCCTTGGCTAAAGGTACGGTCGTGAGGTATGCTTCTCGTTCGAGGTAGTCGGGTTCGGACAGTGCTTTACCCCAATTGGCGGCATTGATGCTCCAGGTTGCGACTTTCTCTTCTTGTGTGGGATTCTTGAGGTACAGAGATGGAGATTTCGAGTCTGGGTAGTCGACTAGGACTTGTTCTTCGGGGGCATTTTCTCCCATTTCGTCGAATCGTCTGGTCTGTTATTGTGAATGAATCTGCGAGTTGCTATATAGATATATAGATAGACTGTCCGGCCGAAGATTCGAAAGGACTTGTCAAGTATAAGGCGTGGTAAGTCTTCGGTTGGTATATCTATGTCAGAGTTCTGTTCTTCGTGCTGACCGCCCTTGACTCTTTGTTAAAGGTCTATACTTCGCTGAAAGCAATGTAAGAAATAGTGGTCAGATAAATGCAATATCCTCTTGTAGTGAAAACAGAGACCAAACAACCAAGAATATAAGGAATGATTCCGCAAACGGTCTGCTGACACAAGGAGATATATACTACCAATCCATGAATCGTGTGATCATGCCAGGTTTTGAAACATGGAGTTTCGATGTGTAAAGACGGGCCCTAAGGATCGTGGTCCTGCCGTTAAAGGTATCCAGAACCGAAGGTTGGGAAGACGGAATCTATTTGGTGATGCAGTAAGAAATGACCTTGACCCGTGGGAAACCGATCCCTCCACTTAGTGAGCGGTCTGGGGTCCATCGCTTTAGCAGAGCACTAAAGGGGACGAGGGGGACAAGCGAGAATATCAGCAATGCAGCTAGAAAAGCAGTTGACAACCCTAAAAGAAGACTCTGGGGCATGGAACAAACGAAGATTTTCTTTCGTCAACCAAAATTCTTCGAAACATCATCTAGTTGTACAACGCTGCCAAATTCCAAGTGGGAAATATGATCTCAAGTGAGAGGGTGGCCCGAGCGCTTATCGATAACGACCACAAGGCGGAAGCTCCCTCTGTAGCCGCACCTTTCCTTATCCAACATGCGGTTTCCTCAATATTTGGTTCCTCCAAGTTGTCCGTTCCCTTCGATCTCCACCGACGATTCCTGGTTCTGAATGGTGACATCAACGCACTCCGAATCTGTTGCTCTTTGGTAACGATTCTCCCTTCTCCCCACTTCTTTCCGCTGTAACTGTCTTTACCAGATCGAACGTCAGCCCGTCACGCTTGGGATCATCGACCAAGCTACGTTGTTCCCCTTCCCTTCAAGTCTGTCTTTTTCGGACGCGTGTGTTACTGTAACCACTTCATTTTCATGCCTGATAACAGCAGATACTGAAAACATGTCAGGTATCCGGAATACAGTTGTTTCCCCTTTAGACGCGCCTCCTCGAGGCTCCAATTTTCTTGTGCTACCCATCCAGCTCAAGCCTGTTCACCAACCACGAGCTTCCAGCAAGAACGAGAAAGCGCAACCTGAGACTGAGCCACCTGATGAGTACTCGACAGCCAAAGCTCAATATAAAAGCAAACAACGTGATCAAAGCATCAAGATTAAGTCCGAGGTCGAAACATTCACGCCTGCGCCAAAAAGCAACAGCCTCAAACCGTCCATTTTTGCTCAAGCTACCCATGCCATCAGATCACACATAGCGGTAGGTACAGATAATCTGAGCTTGAAATATTGCTGACAGGTTCTCAGAAAGGTTCTACAATGAACGGCACGGGACCGAAACCCTCCAAGGGTCAGGTTGTTGACCTCACGTTTGATAGCGACGATGAAGTTCCACCTCACCTCACACCTAGCCCATTATTACGCTTTGCCCGTGTTGAACCACAACAACAACAACAACATGTCATGGGTAATCCCATCCAACCTGCGGGCTTCGACCAGGAAAATCTAAATGTTGGCGCTGGACCTTACGGCGAGAACCAACCTCCTCAAGACGGATTCTATGAGAATGATGAAGCATATGCTCGTGCCCTTCAAGAGCACTTTGCCTTCGATGCCCCCATCCGACACTTCGATCCTCATATCCAACTACCAGGTCCACCAATGGCAGCTCCCGCCGCGGCCCGAACTCCTGCTGCAACGCCAGTGCCCACGACCGGTGTTCCGCAAACTCTCGAAGAGTGCATTAGTATTCTTGAGGGTGTCTTTCCTGATATATGTCATGATTATGTGTCTGATCTCTTCAAGACCACTTTGGAGACTGCAGATCAATTGATCGACCACATCTTGACTAAATCGACTTACCCAAGAACGAAAGACAAGCAATTGGCGCTTAAGAGGAAGAGAGCAGAAGATCCCGACGAAGAAGCAGCCCGCAAGTATGGTTCTACTGATCGGAATATCCCAGCAACTCCTGGCGGGGTTCGCCCATACATGTAAGTTTTGACAGCCTTAGACCACCCGAGATTAACAAACCTCCTGGTTGTTCTCGTACCTATGCTTCTTAATCATACTCACTGCTTCGATATATCCATACTTACTTCACACAGTCGCACCATCTTGATCGCCGAATTCCCTCTTGTGCCAGTAACTTTCATTGACTCGAGACTACAAGCATGCGGATTCAGACTATTCTCAGCATATCAAGAGATTTTTGAAGCAGTCAGGACTTACAGCTCGGAAACCCCAGTGTATCAGCGATTACAAAAAGCTCGGAAGGTCGATGCATTATTTACGGAAGAGACAATCGGAGGTTTTCTTACCAACCCCAACGGAGATACCGAAAGAGTGGAAGTCTTAACCGAGCTCCAGACTGCGAGAAGAGTCAGAAAAAAGGAAGAAGACCGCCACGAGGGCCTCCTTCGTTTGCAGCAGTTAGAGGACCAGAATACACGACAGGCTATTGCTGAGGGCGCAATGGGAGAGTGCGGATGTTGTTATGGTGATTTCCCGCTCAACAGACTTGTTCATTGCAATGGCGAAACGTCGCACGAGTTCTGTAAAGATTGTGCTCGTCGCAATGCTGAGACTGAGGTGGGGAAGTCAAAATATGAGTTGCATTGCATGTCCATGGACTCGTGTACAGGAGGATTTGATCTCGACCAACGGTAAGTCATTACAGATTTAGAAACATCTCGCTAATGTCTGAAAGTGCACATTTCCTCGACGAAAACACTCGAATTGCTCTCGATCGCAATGAACAAGAATCTGTCCTACGTCTGGCCGGGATCGAAAATCTTGCGAGCTGTCCGTTCTGTCCCTTCGCAGCAGAGTACCCGCCAGTGGAAATTGACCGCGAATTTCGATGCCAAGCTCCTGATTGCGAGAGGATATCTTGCCGCCTCTGTAGTGAAGAATCTCATATTCCTCAGAGCTGCGAGGAATACAAGAAGGATAAAGGCTTGTGTGTCCGACGAGAGCTCGAAGAAGCCATGTCTGCAGCACTTATCAGAAAGTGCAACAAATGTGGAACACCGTTCGTCAAGCTGGAAGGTTGCAACAAGATGACATGTACCCGGAACGGATGTAACAATATCCAGTGCTACGTCTGCTCAAAATCTTGTGGATATGGCCATTTCAACGACCGTTCCAGGGGTGGCAAGCCTGGAAATTGTCCACTCTTTGATAACGTCGAGGAAAGACATAAAGGTGAAGTCAGCAAAGCTGAAAAGGAGGCATTGCAAAGGATTCTCGCTGAGCATCCAGAATATACTGAAGACGATCTCAAGGTTAAGATATCTGAAAACGTTAAGGACGACGACCGTAGAAAAGATCCTCGGGCAGCATTGGATGAGCTTATCAGAGCGGGAGCACTTCGAGGAGTCCCTCATTTCAATGTTCCTGGACAGGATGCTTTACAGGGTTAGTAAATAATCTTCAGTCCTTGATCGTCTATTTGTGGTTTTCATTCTGCGAGGGTGTCAAGCTTATTGTTTGGTGTTTGTTGTTTTTACTTGTTTTGATTCATTGCACCTACATTCGATTTCCATTCGTTCAACTATTTATATAAGACTAATGATGTACAAGTACGGCAACGCTTTGTGCATCGTCTCAACATACGTCAAGCCTTGCTACAACCGGAACCCATGCGTTACGATCCTCCTCCTCAGCCGCTGGATCCATTCGATGAATTCATGGACTTTGAGGCTGGTTTACTTGGCCCGCCCGACGAGCCAATGAACTTTCATATGTTCCAGTTTGTATACCCCTCTCTCGAGTAATGTATAGCATTGCGGTATATTATCACGGCATTCTCAGGATGGATTTGAATAGTTAAAGTCTCTGATCAGAACGATCACCTTCTATCCTATATGCCACTCTCAGTAATCAAGATTACATAGCTAACTCATATAATAGCCATAATAGCCCACATGCGAATGAGAGACCAGCACGCCGAAATTGAGCGCAACAGAGCCATGATTGCGGATTTGCAGCTCAGAGCAAGAGTACCTGACGAACTGAGACGCCAACCCAGAGAATTTAGATACAACCCTGACGAATTCAGACGTCAAGGCCTCGAGTTCAGACCCCAGCACGAACCGATCCGTGAGGCTATAGTCATAAATGATCTAGAAATACGCCAACTCGGAGGTTGGATACAACTACCAAAACAGAACGTCGAGGCCGCCCCTCAACAGCACGACCCTAAGTCGGAGAAGGACAAAGCAATTCCAGAGCTTGATCTTCCATTCCATCAACAGCTTTCACTACCGCGATATGAACTCGACCAGCCTCCTCGTGCAAAGGCAGAAATGCTATATACTATGGTCCAGGAAGTGCCTCGTAAGGCAGGACAACATGAACTCCGCGAGGATGATAGGCTAAAAGGCGAAGAGAAGTTATTGCAAAATATAGGCTTTGCTCATTTCCCGGCCCAGCTCGAACTCAACCCCAACCTTCGACCCGTAAATGGCAAAGCACTAGCTCCTGATCTTGGTGCCCTAAACCGTCGCTTAGCCGATTTCCGTGGTCGACACTTGAGGAAATTCTGGCGACGTCGAAGAGTTCCGGCCGTAGCTGCAGAAGAGGCCGTTCGTCCACAACCAGAGGAGTCTAATGAGGAAGATTTGGGAGCCATTGCAGCTAGATTGGTGGAGGAGTCACTTTTCGTTGCGGATGCAGAAAAAGCCGATGATGCAGATAGCATTGATTGATGAGCGAAAGCATGGGAGGAAAATTAAGTCTCACAGCGTTTATTAGGGCGGTTACATAGCGGATACCCTTTGCTTTACATTGCGACTTGGTTTGATGGAATTTTGTATGGGTTCTTATTGCAATGAACGAGAGATGGTGAGAATGGAGGATTGTGGTTGGATCTGTGTAAGTAGAGATGCAGAGTAATGACAAAGTATGATACAACATTCCGTCTATGGTGATTGTAATTTCATCACACCATAGGTACAGTACTCCCAGCTTCCGTGCATGAAGCCCTCGGGCTTCTAGAATTCAAGCTGCTGAGAGCTTTTGATAGGTTTCTACAGCTTCTTCTCTATTTCGACGGCACTAAAGGAACCAACGATCCCAGAAGCAAACGGGAAATCTCCGATCAATAATGGTTCTCGAAAGTCTTATTTATTCCTGAACATTCTGGAGAATCCAAGGTCGAACACTATCTAGACACGTGGAGCTGTTGTATTGATATTCCAGACCCTCTGTAGCACTTGTAATGCATGCTCAAGGCTCCTAAATTACCTGCCACTGCTTGAGCTCCCGATCTCTTGGCGTTTAACGGATAGCTTTCATCTCGCACTACCCTCGACTTTGTACTCCGACAGAAGTTGCTGTATCCTATGCCTCTTTATTTCACTGCCCTAGAATGTTGGGCGATAGTCAAGGTCGTCGTGCTCGACCTGATGGAAGGTGTACAAGAAGCTATGAAGGTCCCCTTTGCATCGGGAGGAGGACAACGATATGTATCAGAAGCTGCACAATGCTCTCCAGGTCTCATTCCCCATTATCATGCAACTTTGCTCTGCCTTCTTCAATCCACATCTCCAAAATGAACTCTCCAGCTTCCACAAGTCTAAGTGGTGTACTTTTAATCCCTCCCAAGTCGGCTCCAATCCTCTCACTGGTCTTCTCTCCAGTCTGCAGACTTGGTTCCGACGGTACCCAAGGTTGCGGATGCTACTTCGAATCAGCTTTCTCATTCATACACTTCCAACCCAGTACTTACCCCAATCGGCGGATCGACCTCATCCCTCAACTCCACAGCAAGGGAATACGTACACCCTTCGGGCAACGGACCCAACTTCTCAGCCCCATAAGCCAGCCTCCTAATCGTAGCCCTCAATTGTTCCTCGATATCTACTGTACTAACACCCACTGGCAACTCCTGTCCCTCTCTGTCCCTCCTCGCCTCAAAATCCGTTAACCCCTCCTTGGGATCCACAACTGGGAATTTCGACATGTCGAACATATACCTTTCCATGACTTCTAGGTCCTTATTAAACACCACCACCGCAATGGCACGTACAGAGCCCTTGGTCAGGAGGGTAGAGACGGAGGACACGGCATTGTTGATCCAGGCGCAGACCACGGGGTGTCGGTTCTGGCGGACGGGGAAGTTGTATTTGCGGGTGCTGATGAAGGCTGATGGAGGATAGAGGGTACGAGAGTAGAGGATCGTGTGGATTGCGACTGTGAGGAAATCGGTGAAGGTTTGGAGGAGGGAGGTGGTGTTTGTGAGGAGGGTTGGTTGGTGAGGAGGGGGGGCAGTGGCCATTGGTGGGGTAGTTGGTGGCGGTGTGATGAGGATTATTGTCTCGAGTCGCGTCAGTTACTTATTGTCAAGAGAATATCATTGTCGTGTCTGAAGATTGACAAAGTCGTTCTTAGAATTCGATTTCATATTCTGATGTTCTGGTGAATACGTCAGGTACAAAATTTCCGACATTCAGGAACAACAACCGCGTCTCGCCGCGCTCTCCTCATTAAATTTCCCACCTCGCGTGTTCCTCGACAACACCAACGTCGCAATTCTGAGGTACATCGACCCCGCCATCTCAGTCAACACCTCTACAATGGCGGGCACCATGGAAGAACAACTCCTAAGTCTCCTGGCCGACACCCAACTCCCGGCCGAAGCCCCCCGCAAAGCAGCAGAAGCACACCTCGCGGCCGCGCACTCGAATCCCGCGTTCCCTGGCTCGCTGGCTGCGATAGCTAGTCACTCGAGTGTCAGTCCGCAGATCAGACAGAGCGCGTTATTGGTTCTCAGGACGTTCGTGGAGAAGAATTGGAGTGGGGAGAGCGAGGATGGGCCTGTGGTACTCATTGATGATGGGACGAAGGAGGGATTGAGGAGGGGGATGTTGGAGTTGGCTACGAGCGGGGAGGTAGACAGGAGGGTGAGGGCTGCGGCTAGGTATGAGCTTGAAATGTCATGAAGGGATTGGGCTAATGCGTGGATAGTTACGTGGTGAGCAAGATTGCCAACGTCGACTTTCCTGATCAGTGGCCGAATCTGCTCCCGTCGTTATTACATCTGATTCCGAACGCGAACGATGAGCAGCTTCATGGTGCGCTGAAGGTGCTGTCTGATTTGGTGGACGACTCGTTAGATCAAGAGCAGTTCTTCTCTGTTGCGCGCGATATCGTGAAGGTGGTTTATGATGTGGCGGTTAGTGAAGCTAGGAAACCAACGTTGCGCGCCTTGGCGGTCTCGGTGTTTAGGAACACATTCGATATCATGGATATGGTGAAGGACGAACATGGACCCGAGGTTAAGGGCTTCGCGGACGAGGTGTTGAGTGCGTGGTCTCCTTTTTTTGCGGAGGTCATGAAGAAGACGCTGCCTGCGAGACCGAAGAGCGATGATGAGGGATACGAGAGTGGACGGGATGATATTCCGGAAGCCTGGAGAGGTGTCATTGCCTTGAAGCTTCAGGTTGTTAAGACGTTGATGAAGATTCGAGCCGTGTTTCCCACGTTACTCTTACCTCAGAGCCCCAATCTTTTCAGCGATACCTGGGGCGAACTTTCGACTTTACAGGAAGCGTATAAGGACATGTATGTGGATAATGACGAGCAAGGACGACTTGAAGATGCGGATGGCTTGCCATATACACTGGATTTCCTAGTTCTGGAAGAACTCGATTTCCTGCAGTCATGTATCCGGGCACCGCCGGTCCAGAAGGAACTTGAAGCACAATTACAGCAACAAGGAGGTGTTCGAAGTACACAATGGGTTATGGACGTCATGAAGCTGGCTATTGGATATGCACAGATTCCCAAAGAAGAGGAAGATCTGTGGGATATTGATGTCAACCTGTTTTTGGCGGAAGAAACGGCCGTTACGGCAAACTACACGGCTCGTACTGCTTGTGGCGACCTATTGATCAAGCTTGGAGAATGGCTGCATCAGGGTGCTCTGGAAGGTCTACTCGCTTACACACAACTCCTATTCGTTTCCGAATCTGCGACCTGGAGAACACGAGAAGCTTCGTTGTTCCTCCTAACACAATTGATGACCGACTTCCAGGACCAGGACAAAGCCGTGGCTCCCGAAGTTGTCTCTGCCTACCTAGGCTTGATCGACTATGCTGTTAATAGAACAGAGGAGCCTCTTTTGAGAGCCCGAGGTTATCTGGTAGCTGGTGTGCTTGTTCAAAGCATACCAGACGTTGCACTTGGCCTACTCGATCGGACAATCAAAGGTGTTAATGATGATGAATCCGAAGTCGTCAAGGTGGCCTGTATCAAATCTATCCAGGGATTCATCAAAGCCCGCACAGTTCCATCTGATCGACAACTGGCAATTGTGGCATCGATATCTGAGTTCTTGTATTCAAAAGATCTTACAGACTTAGACGACGCTGACGATCTTCTTGTCACCTTGGTCGAATCACTAAGAGCAGCAATTGGTCTTGACCCAAGAATCACCATCACCGGCGATAGCGGAGCTCTTGACCTTCTTTTCGTCATGGCAAAGCATGGCGCGACAAATTTCCAGCTCGTTATGATGGTCAGCGAAACATTTGAAGATATTGTTACCGCTTTGGCTGGAAGTGACTCGTACACTGCTTTGTGTGCCAAAGTACTGCCTTCTTTGACTGGGGCTTTTGATGTCGGGAATATGACCGGCGATGACCCATTGGTTGAACTTGCTACCGAATTACTCGCTGTCCTGACCGAAAATGGCTCGGAGCCTCTACCTCCTGGATTCGTTGCAGCTGCGTTGCCAAAACTCAACCGTCTTCTAATGGCTACGACCGATGGAGGGGTTCTCCGTCCTGGTGTAGAGGCAATCAAATATATGCTCATGCACGATCATCAGCAAGTCTTTGCTTGGCATGATGAGCAAAATCGATCCGGTTTAGAAGTATGTCTGATCATCATTGACAAGCTACTCAACCCAGCCATCGAAGATAATGCAGCCTCAGAAGTTGGTGGTCTTGCAGCCGAACTTGTGGAGAAGGCAGGTCAAGAACGCCTTGGGCCATACCTGGAACAACTTCTGCGAGCAGTTGCCTCCCGTCTCAACACCGCCGAAGCTGCTCCCTTTATTCAGTCCTTGATTTTGGTTTTCGCTCGACTTTCGCTTGTTGGCGCTCAAGACGTTGTCGAATTTTTGGCTCAGATTGATATCAATGGCCAAAATGGCTTGCAGGTTGTCCTTAGCAAATGGCTAGAGAACTCGATCAATTTTGCTGGATATGATGAGATTCGACAAAAGTAAGTACAAAGACCCCGACTTCTTTCCATGCTAATTGGTATAGTGTTATTGCACTTTCAAAACTGTTTACTCTCAATGATCCTCGACTTGCCCAAACTTTGGTTAAGGGAGAGCTCATTATCCCAGTCAGTGATCGCATCATTACAAGATCACAATCCAAAAAGAGTAAGTACCCTGTGCAAACGAAGAGAGATGATGCTGACGTACTAGATCCCGACCAATACACCATTATTCCTGCTCCACTAAAGATCCTCAAAGTTCTTATTGAAGAACTTCTGTCAGCATCTGGATACCGAAATGCTTCCGATGTGGCTGCAGCAGCTGCAGAATTCGTCGATGAAGAAGACGAGAATGACAGCTGGGAAGACGTTCCTTCTGTACTAGATCTTGGACTCGGTAGTACGAAGGCGGAATTGATGGCCTATGGTGAAGGACAAGGAACTTTCATGCGCCAACGAGACGACGAGACCCAAGCTTACCTTACCGAGTTCTTCATCAGAGCTGGACGTGAGAATCTAGCTGGATTCAATGAGCTTTACGAAGCCTTGACCAATGACGAAAAGACGAAGTTGCAGAAGCTTGCTCAAGGTGCTTGAGCTTTTCTTCTGCGTCTCAAATTCGACGATCTGGTAGATACCAAGAATTTTACTGCGAGGCATAGATTGTGGATATGAGTACATGCTCTTGTGGATAAGATGTAGATTCTGATTTGGGTAACTTCTTGCTTTCTTGTCGCGCGTATATCCACTTCCTATTGCCCTTCGAGACGAGGAGACGGCCGAGTTTTTGACCAAAAAGAAAGATGGCAGTCATCACAGCAAGAGCTGCGTGGTGATTGTGCCCGGAAGAGAGACTGGGAATCAATGAACATGACTTCCAACAATTATCATGCTCGTAAAGTTATACTCTTGTTCAACGTTCGTGATCTATCCATACACTATCATACAATATTCCCTATTCAACCCTACGACGCCTTCTCCTGCCTCTCCAACCCCTCCTTCTCCATCCCCTCACATCCTGCCACCTTGCCCGCGACCTCTTCAATCTTCCCTCCAATTCCACTAGCAGCTGGTTCGCCGCTTCGCGCTTGGTTCGCTGCCTATTTTGATCCATTCATCAGCCTCCCTTTTCTCTTTTTATCTAGGATAGTATACCTTCATCTCAGAGATCCCTTCCGCGGTATCCTTCTTCCCGCTCTCTTGCCATTCTTTCGAGCCGGTTACGTTTCCGATCTGCGAGATGTTAGGGAAAAGAGGAAAGAGATCAAGAGAAGGGAAGGAAAAGGTACGGTTTCTTCGACGTAGCCTTTTGCATATTGGGCGTGGCCGGTGACCATTGAGGGTTGGGAGGCGTTTGGTGCTGACATTGTGTGGTGTCTGTATTGTTTTCTTTAAGGGAAATTGTAAGGTGCTTTGCTTTATTAGAGAGTGTTTAGATTCTGAAAGTTTGTGAAGTGGAATACCGAGGTGGATTGGAGGGTGGTGGTGATGTCATGGTTTTCAGGAGCTAGTGTGGGGTACAGGGATGCTGGATATAGCCTCATTTGTTTGTCCTCTCTCTTGCAAGTATTATTTGAATATTGCGTATATTGAATGGTTTGTTTTACTCAGATGTGTTCTAATTTATGTTCTAGGTGGCAGATTAAGTATCTGGCACTGGCGTTGGGACTCGGGAGGTTCGCCAACGTTATGTAAGACTGCCTTGGGGTCATTCTTTTAGAGTGTAGAGGAGTCATTTGAAAAAATTGTGATAGAGATATTTGTTATTTCTTTACACTGTACAGTTCATGTATTCGGTCCCTTTGGAGAGACTCTCAACCTAAACCTTAGGAGTGTCTGCAAATTATTTCATGATCTTGGCAATACAAATCATCTGTGTCATGGCTTGATGAAGTTTTGTTCATTAATGCTTAATCGGCTAGAACACATCAAAGAGTTTCCAGCTTTCAGAGAGAAGAGAGCAAAGTTAGTGTACCCGTTTCTAAGCTCGACACTATTGAGGAACCTTCTTCGATATTTTCGAGGTGTGGTAGTCAAACTCTGCCAGGTATGGCGAACTTATGCCACCTTTCATCGTCAATTTGGCTGACTTATTCCCCTTCAAGTACAGATCAAAGAATGCTGCCGAGTATGTCATATACACCTCCGCTTTACCTAGAAATTCCGCCCTGTCTTTGGCCGGCAGACTAAGAGAAAAGGTGGGGTTCAGCTGATACGCATCACCAACCAGATAATGTGAAGTGTTTGTGACCATGACCCAATAGCTTTCCCCTTTCGAATTCTCATACACTGTCCGTTGTGGGGTCCTCGTCGATTCTTCTTGCAAGTCATCACCTGTTAATACCATCATTGGAACGTGCATCTTGCTTGCAGCTCTGGCGAGTTGGGATTCCTGTATGAACATTGGTGCCGCGAGCGGGATGATGGCTTTGATTGTAGCATTCTCGAGCTCAAAGGGACCTGAGAGATTGTGACGTGCAGGAAAGGCGCAAGGGCTGATTTCGGTGATGTTGTATGTATCAGGGTCTAGTTCTGCAGCTGTCATATTGTAGTCGCAAAAGATTGGCATGCCACCACCAACTAACAGAGTATAAAAAGCGCCCAGAGAGTGTCCGGACATGCCAATGTTGGTTATATCGACGGCTCCGAAGAAGGGTGATGAAGATCGAGAGATATGGAGAAGTGCAGTAAGAAGTCCAGCTTTGATCTCTTGGGCCCTGTAAGTGAGGGCGAATTGAGTGCTTCGGAACCACTCCGTGTACGTAACCTCCACTGCATCACTCCCCTGATCTTCTGACTGATATACCTCAGCCAAAGCCCTCAGTGGCAAATCACTTGTCGGAAGAGCCGATTTCGTGTCGTAGTGTTCCAGACTAACAACAACATAGCCGTGGCTTGCAAGGTTTTGCACGTAGAAGTAGTACGCATCTGCGTATGCACCGAGACCCGGACTGAACAGAATCAAAGGGTAAGGTCCTCCAGATGAGTCCACAGGTGCATTTAGAACAGATTCCCCCTGGATACCACCGGCTGATACGAATGGGGTCGAGTCGTTTACAGCCTGTGCGGGATACCACCAGTAACGTGTGAGGTTACGGCTTTGGGACATGTATGAGTCTTGGCGAACTCCAACATTGTAGGGCCCTGTCTTGTTTGCAGTCAAAACCGGAGGTGATGCTGGTTGAAGTGGGATTCCACCTAACCCGAATTGTGCTACAACTGTTGACAGGAAGGTGGCAGTGACGATAAGAAGCTTGCTGATCAATGCTTGGTTGGACCACATTATGGAGCTGCCAAGATATATGCTTTGGATTGTATCGAAAGCAGACAGAAGAAAAAAACGAAAAAGGTAGGTGTGAATCAAAACGAGGTGCGAGCAGGAGCACTTTTATTGATTTATCCCCAGTCAAAACACAGACTTTGACCAGAGCATCATGGAAGGAGTCCGAAAGAACCCGCTGTTTGTATTAGCACCTGCGGCAGGGTAAATTCCAATATGGAAAGTAATGACCGCAGAGCAACTCATGTTCATTTGTTTTGCTTCTACCGTGGTATTGACTTTCCTTTGTCGGAATGGTTCCCACCAATGCCAATGCAATAAAGGTTTCAAGGAATTGTATCCAAGAACGGAGCAGGAAAATGGCATACGTAACAATCACCATGCAATCGCTCTCCACGGAAGTGAATACCGAGAACTGAGGGATAACGTACATTGGAAGAGGTAAAGAATTCGTGAGAATCTCGGGAGCCCAGGTATCCTGCCAGCACGTGTCTATCCAAATCAGGCATGCAGCTCGGCGACTGTATGCGCATCTGCCCAGCCAATGCAAAGCTTCCTAGAACTTTGGAGTACAGGAAATAGCTCAACCGGTCTTTGATAAGTTGGCAGCTCGGGAGCGGTTTTTAAATTTGGCTTGCTCTTTTCCATAGGTGGACATTCTTAACGTATCCTATTCTTAACTTTTTCTGTAGCATTACTCCTTTGGTTTGACGGCACATAGTCTGAATTTCTTTACCTCTATCCTCAAACGTCTTTTTGTCATTTTCACCTATTAGAATTCAGCAAAGGTTCCATACGATGATACATCGTCCATTGATGCACTCCAAAGCAAGTCTAGACATCAATGAAGCGCATTCTCTGCAGAAAGCGAGAATGGGTTCTAAAGTCTTCCTTTACGCTCCTTCTTCCTTTACTCTCCTTCATTCTATGGCCTTTGCTTCTTCCGTTGAGATGTGTATTTAATGACAGACACCAACCTCAAAAAAAAACCCTGGGTCTTAGGAAGAGATGGATAACTTGACTGAGGTATGTACCTACTCTTAGCCTCCATGCCAGCATTTGCTAACACTCGGAAGGAAACCGCAAAGCGACGAATTGTGAATTTGGTCCGAATCTATGCCTGGTGTCTCTCAAAGGACCAAATCAAGATATTAACACAACAGGCTCGCAAATTCACCGAGTCGCCTGGATTTCCAGAGTCACTTCAGGAATGCCGGCAGAATCTCAGGAATACACTGGACCTCATTGAGCAAGAGATTAAGGGTAAGATTTCGTTGGATTGTTTTGATATTGTCGAAAGACCTTGCTGGTTTCGTGCTTTTTTGAGTCTAAAATTGCTGATCTGTAGCAAAGCACTTTGCTGGAAACTCAACCTTACAAGAAACATTTCAGATGGCGATCCTGTGATTCATGCCTGAGCTTTGCTAATGGCTTTCAGAGGAGTCTCCACCAAGATCGACTTCCGAGGACCCAGTAGTTGAAGGGGACGCAGAGGTTGTGGGTGCCGCGGCAAGTCTCGACGAGGTCTTCAATGGAGTGGATCCAAGATCCTCGACGATGTTGGAGTCCCTTGAGAGTTTGAACGGTCTGGACATCAGCCATTTGTTGAACCACTCCAGGGCCAATCAATCATACCCCTTCAGATACCTCAAACAGCGACATCCTTACTACCCTATCACCGATCTGGAGGAGGTGGAAACTTTGCTGTCAACGAGGACTGGAGTCACGGGCATGAGAGGAGGCCTTATCACAGACCACGATGAAGAACGTGAGGGATTGCAAGAAGAAGAAGATGAGGAGGAGGAGGAATGGGGAGATGTCGACGCAGGGCAAGGAGGAGAGGCCGAAGAAGAGGATGGTCGCAACGAGGAACAAGCGACCAGCGAAGACGAAGACTGGGTCAAAAAAGTCGGTAAAACATCCTCTCGGATCTACGATACTACTTATGGACGCGAAATCGAAGCGCAACACGGCGTCATCATTCAAATCCTCATCCTCATAGCTAGCATGGAAGTCCCACATCTGATCACGATAGTGAATCTCATGTGGCAGCGCCTCTGTAGAGAGAACGCGCCAAGCGAATTCTTCCCTCATCGTGAAGCAATGTTCCTTCTACTGAAGAGCATTAGAGTCACTCTGGACCGATACAAGAATGGTACGTTCACTTCATCGTTAGGTTAATCTCGTGCTAATGTTAGGCAGAATCTGAGACAGCAGCTTTGATCAGAGATGGGATTTGAGGCAATTATTTACGTTGATGAACAGAGACGAGAATAATGTCGTACTTACTGGCTGAGAAAAGGAGAAGAGGCATGCTTGACAAGAGTAGATAATGACGAGAAAGGATAGAGCAGGAAGGAAACATGTAGAATTGACTACTAGACATCTAGTCACAGCAGATTTGTCAGAAAGTCACACCTCCGTATACCTTGTGTTGTGTCTGCAGAATTATGTGTATAAATGTTTGAATAGCAACTGTTATAAATGACTAGAGTCAAGATGCAACTGCAATCACTAACCGAGCCCCCTGAGCGTCTCGGTTAAGGAACTGCGGGGCAGCCTGAAGACAGCCGAGGAACTCCCACCCGATGAAGTCGAGTTCTTCCTTCGATTTTCGTATGTATGAAAAGATATAGTAATCAGGTTTATCGACTCGAACACTTCATCTGTCCTTATCTCGCTCATTCCGAACATTCCCAAAGAATACGAGGCTCTGCGCTCAGCATGTCTGCATTTACCCCACCTTCCTCTTACGGCCATGTACCTGGCTTCTCTCAGATCAAGCTTTCTCACCACCCGCCAACGTCGCAGGAAGTAACTCCTATTATCATTCTCACTCTCTCTCGAGTTGAGAAAAACAATGCGTTCACGTCGACTATGGAAAATGATATGGTTCGTGCATTCGATATGCTGGATCAAGATGACCGAGTAAAAGTGATCGTTGTCACTGGTGAGGGGAAGAACTTCTGTGCGGGCGCAGATTTGGAAATAGGTCTTGAACGAACAGCTGGAATTGGTCCTAAGGATCATAGAGATGGGTTCGTGTATTCTGAATTTCGTAATCGTTCGTATGTTCGATTCAAATGCTGATGCTTTGTAGTGGAGGAAGAACTGCCCTTGCAATTCATCGCTGTAGAAAACCTACTATAGCTGCGATTCAAGGGGCGGCAATCGGTGTGAGTCTCATTATCAATTACTGAAGTTGAAGCATCCCTAAACGAATAGGTCGGCATTACGATGACATTACCAATGTCAATTCGTGTTGCATGGGAAGGGGCGAAGATTGGCTTCGTGTTCTCTCAGCGCGGGGTAGTTATGGAAGCTGCTTCATCTTTCTTCTTGCCTCGACTCATTGGACACTCACGTGCAATGTAAGACCTAGAACTCACACTCAGACTTTCGAAGCTGATGGAAACACAGATACTTGACGACAACTGGTTCTGTAATACCAGCAGCATCTCCTGCTTTCGAAGATCTCTTTCATGCCATTCTTCCTTCTCCAGAAGAAGTTCTGCCCTATGCTCTTACCATAGCTGAACAGATCGCTGCTCAAACTTCGACAGTCAGTACATATTTGATGCGAGAAATGATATGGCGGAATCCAGGCAGTGCTGAGGGAGCTCATTTGCTTGATTCCGAGATTATGTGGGAGCTGTATGGAAAAGAAGACAAGAAGGAGGGCGTGAAGGCATTCTTGGAGAAGAGGAGTCCAAAAATGACGGGCGACCTGAAGCAAGGCATGCCAAGTAATGTGCCTTGGTGGGAACCCATTAACACTGTACCGAGGAGTGGAATTAGGAGTGATAAGTCAAAGCTATGAAAGCTTAGTGAAAAGTAGGCATGAATTGAAAGGGTTTGCCGAATGGAAGTAGAGACAAGTTTTTGGCTTATTTGGATGCTCTGGCTGCCGATGCAGTGTCTCGAAGCTTTTTAATTTGCTTGAAGAAATATGTTCAGCGTCAGTGAGCTCAAAAAGGTTAGTAAAAGCCTATGAAATGTTACTTTTAGCCCAAATCAATAGATACTTGACCTTGAATGGACTCGACACGCTCGCTTCGCTAACCTATCGCAGTAGGGGGCGAGTCGCGCTTCAATGCCGAAGCAGATGTGCGCCGCATTGATGTACTTGAACCAAAAAAAAGAGAAGAAAAAAAAGAACAATGATTTTGCAGGTCGTACCCGGGCTCGAACCGGGGATTCGGGAAATATATGATTTTGATGTGTCAAAATCCCACGTGCTAACCGCTACACTATCTACATGGCATCAGTAAAGCGCAGGCAACAAAATTCAGAGATGCACATACACAACCGACAGATGAAACTGGTTGAAGGTGTTAAAAATTTTCTTATTTAAATTCATAAGCAACTCAGCTCAAGAGTGGGGTAGCGTGGTGGCAAACTGGTGGGGCGGGCAAATCTCTGTCCGACATTATTCCAACTTTGTGAGACTCCACCGTAATTAAACTTTAGATATGTACAGTATACTTGGGACTGAAGCATCGCTATAAAGCTCTTACTTAGAGTATTCTTCTGCAGCAATAGTCCTCCTGTCTCTTCCAAGCTCTTTCGTTGTCACTTTTTGATTTCTGTATCTAACACTACAAGCAGTGGTAAAGTTTAGGCGACTTAGGCGCTGTATTTCAATCAGATTTCAGCTCGACTCACTGATCCCCTGACCAGACATCACCATTTCCCATTATCGGAGCCCATAACCGCATGTACTACTCCGGGCAACCCATCCCATTTCAGATTCAACCTTCTGGTGAAGCGTTTTTCGTTAGCAGGACGGCATTTAGCCGCCATTCTTCTGTACAATATCATGCGGGGTTTGCTGCCCCGCATGCCAAGTGCTTGCTGTAATATTCGCAAGTTTGGGTTACAACCAACCTAAGAAGACGACTTTTATCTTTGCGTTCGGCCATCTTTGATAAAAGATATTAGCCTGTGATTTTCGCTGGTCTTGTTCTGTAGGCACCGACTCTGCTAGGCTTCCCAGGAGAATTAACTTCTATCAACATATATTCGGGAAAACGGTGATTACAACTTCGGTGTGGAAGTTATTCTTATTGCCTCAAACAGCGCTAATTAGAAATCGTAGAAAGGGCTGTAATCATCGCTAAGATGAGACATCCAATCTTCTCACTCCTCCTCAGTATTGGACTCCTAAACCATGTGCATGTCCGAGGCGATTCGATCCGAGAAGATCACATCCCTGAGGACCTGAATGGATCGAACTTTACATATCCATGGCCTGTCAAACTATACCAATTCACGACTCAACACGCTCAGACTCTAGAAATGGCATTCATGGACGTCGCTCCAACAAGTACTCCCAACAATAAAACCGCAGTTCTGCTGCACGGGAAGAACTTTTGCGGTCCAACTTGGAATGCCACTGCCATTGTGCTTACTCAAGCCGGCTACCGAGTTATCCTTCCTGAGCAGATTGGATTCTGCAAGTCCTCGAAACCTGTTCACTACCAATTTAGTCTACAGCAGCTTGCCTATAATACCATAGGTCTACTCAAAGCTTTGAACATCGGGAACATAACACTCATCGGCCACTCGATGGGTGGTATGCTGTCAACGAGACTCTCTTTGATGTATCCAGAAAACATCACGGAGCTAGTTCTCGTTAATCCCATCGGACTCGAAGATTGGAAAGCTCTTGGGGTGCCGTGGCAAGAGCTGGACATAACCTGGGCGATCGAGGCAGCGAGCAACTACACCACTATCCGTGCTTACGAGCAGTCTACCTACTACGTCAACACCTGGAATTCAAGCTACGACATATGGGTCAACATGCTCAACAACATCTATCACGGAAGTCAAGCAAAGGAGTTTACCTGGGATCAAGCTCTTACAACAGATGCCGTCCTCACCCAGCCTGTGGTCTACGAGTTTCCATTGTTAAAGCCAAAGACGTTGTTGATGATTGGTGCTAAGGATAATACGGCAATTGGGAAGGCTTGGTCTCCGCCAGATGTTCAGGCAAAGCTAGGACACTACAATGTGTTGGGAAAACAAGTGGCTGCAATGATCAACGGGTCAACATTGATCGAGTTCCCAGACTTGGGACACGCACCTCAGATTGAGGAGCCGGACACATTTCACGCCGCGCTGATGGGGTGGTTAAGTGAATGATTTAGATGATAGTAATCTAAAAGACTCCAGCTGTGATCAGAGACGTAAAATTCACTCTCAAAGACGAATATTTGTCTTCCATGCATATTAAAAGAGCTGTAAGCACTAATTATGTGATACAAAGGATAGTTCAATGTTAAGCAAAAGGAACACTGTCAACGGATACTATCTGATAAAGTTTGTTGCTTTGTCATTGACAACAATTATAGAGATAGCAACAACCGCTCGAAATTATCAGTTTAAAGAGAATCAAAATGGTAGCGTGATAATGCAGACCTAGGCATGACATAACAAAGAGATCTGCTCTAGACTGGTGAGCAAACACCCGGCTGAGAAGTAAAAGATCGACCAGTAGCAAATATTTGACGTCCAAGTTACAGCGCAGTAGCTCTCTTTAAATACTCGGATGTACAGGTTTCTTTCGAAGCAAAAAGTTCAGTACTAAATCTCCGTCAAGTGGAGTTGCAACTTTCACCCCTTCGAAAAGGCACAGATCTCACCAGAAGTCCAGCTTCGACAGTGAATGTCTCCCCCAAATACTGATCACACCAGTCACAAAATTCAGGCAGCCACAAATGCGCTCGTAGTATAAATAATTCGACGACTAAGCAAATCTTAGACTCCAACTGACTCTTAAAAGATCGAAGGGACGATACCTCTTGATGATAAAATGTGTGTATGAAATAGAAAGAACTAAAACTCTGGCAGCTTTTGCGCGATGGACTGCTATTGCTAACCAGGTGTTGACGAACTTTCTCGAGTTACCAGAGCTAGTAATGCTAGACACCAAGCAAGAGATGATATATTGATGGAAGAAATAAGTGCCTACTTGGAGGGGGGAAATCGAGTCCGGAATCTTAAGTTTCAAGATGGCGCTTGGTACTAACCTGATGTTGCTTTAGAGTAGCTAAGCTGAGGACAGTAAATTTACAGAGCAAAGGTCTGTAGTCTGGAAATGACTAGCTTTTTAAGCACCCGCTTAACACTCAACCCAGCATTGATAGCTTTTCGGTAGCTAAGTCGAGAACTGTACTTCTGAATAGGAAAGATGGCTGCTTTCTCGAGCATACAAATCAACCCCACCCAGTATCAGGGCAATGGAATGACCACCATTTGAAGTAGTTGATCAGACACAGTATATCAACGATAGAATATGTTTCAGCATGATTTGTTTCTCAACGTCTTTAATGCACAAGCCATCTTCCTCCCGAGCATGGATTAATATACAGCCTAATGTCACTTTAGAGCAGCTGGAACGAGAGGAGTATATCTAAGCAACAAGAATCCTCAAATCAGAAGAGACAACCTGCTTCTTCGCTATTACATAAGTCAGATTGTATGCCCTTCCTGTCACTTCACCCTCTCTCACTCCCTCTCCAGACCAAACCAGCAAGCCTTTAACCCCCAAAAGCGAATCATGTAACCCAATATTTCCAATTCACTTGAAATCACAACTGCACACAACGCAGGAATTCAAAAAAAAAAAAAAATTGAATATCAAGCCTCTGACTTCCAAGTGAATCATCCAGGCTGGCAACCAACGACCTCCCATTCACCTGAAACACATAAACGCATTCACTGACTCACCCCCCGACAAAACTCCACCCCAGAAGCAAACCGTGGGTATATAAACCCCCTCTCTCACAACCGCAAAGGAACACACAATACAAGAAAACCTTTGGCAGCTTTGGAAGGACTGGATAACCGGGACTTTTTCTAACCCCGGAAGCAACGCGGTTTTAGACAGCATGGCTTTTTATTTTTTTATTTTTTCTTACTAAATTTGTGCTTTTATTCACCATAAGACTAAAAAGCTGAGCTATTTTCCATCCTGTGCTCATTCTCTGCTGATTTAATTCACTCACCTAGCCGCACCACTCTCCGAACCGTTCTCCGCGGCTAGTGAATCTATAAATTCACCTCTTTCGGTCCTTTGCTCTCCGTTTTCCACTCTCCGCCCTCCATTCACCTCCCTCGGCCCCCGTCCTCCGTCCTCCGTATTCCGCCCTCCGTCCTCCGTCCCCTCTATATAAACCCCCCTCCAGCCTCTCTATAATCCGCACAAAAACGTTCCTTAAACAAGACGAACATAGGAACGGATGGCGGTGGTGTTTGGAGTGTCATCCTGGCCGCGGCCTTGGTTGTGTAGAGCTGGTGTAGTTTGTTATGCTACGCTTTTTCCGTAGCGTTATTTGCTATGAAGGGTTGTGGGGTATTGTTGTTGTTAATTAAGTTGTTGTTGATAATAATTGAGTTATTATTGTCAAGTCTTAGTATTATTTTCTTTGGAAAATAGTATTATTTCAATTTACGAAGAAGTAGCAATGAATAATAGATGATTGACAGTAAAAACAAATTTAACAGCAGACTTCACTCCCTCCAGACTCCCCACGGCTCCGATCTCATCTCATCAACCCCTATACCATGTCGTGTCATATCATGTATTGCTCTGGCCTTCGCTTTTGCTTTTGATATCAATCAATCAATCAATCAATCCCGTTTGTTTCTGGGTAGCACCAGATGCCTATGCTACATTCATTCGTCCTTTTCAGCAGGCGGTGATTAGAATACGAGCTATATAACCTTATCGAGTATCTGGTACTGGCCCTAATGATTGTTATAACGAGATGATGAAGCGAAGCGTGTGTGAAGTAGAGCAAAAACCCTCACTCACCTTCTTACGCTGTTGGAGAAACAATTGATGATAATAAAAGGAGAGGGGATAGAAAGGAGAAACCGAGCTGCGATTCTATTCTCTCTCTCTCTCTCTCTTGCTTTCATCTAACTAGGTAGGTAGGTAGGTAAGATATGCCATCCGTCCGTCCGTTCGTTTCATCCAACTCATTTTTCTTTCTGATTTCATGCACACATGCTTGCCATCCATCCATTCATATTTTGAAATGCTTCCCTCCTCCTCCTCCTCCTCCTCCTCCTCCTCATCATGAGAATCTTTCCATCCATCCATATACAAACTTCCCCTTCTTCTCCTGCCTCGAAACAACAAGCCAAGCCATAACCCAACCCAAACCAAACAAAGGTATCAAACCGCCTCTCTCCCATCCAAAGAATAAGAACGCACACTTCCTTCCTTGCTCCCTTCCTCTTTCCGCCCCAATCAAGCCCCCGACCCCCCAACACTCAACGCAGCCAACTTCTCCCTCACACTCCTCAACACCTCCGGATCGGGCGCAGGTTCCACCCTGCCCGGCGGCGCACGGGGACAATCGCCACAAAGCCCATGTCCACACCTCACGCACTCGGGCCCCGGCTCCGCGCTCTCTCGCCGCGCTATCCCCTCTGCTGAGTCCGGGTGTGGGACCGGCGGGAAGGTTTTGTTGCATTTGTGGCAGTTGTATTTTACGGGGAGGGAGGTGTTGGAGGAGGGTGCGTCGCCGGGGTAGCCGTCGGGGTATTTTTTCTTTTTGGCGCTGCTGGATGTTAGGTCATGATTTGGGGGGGATGGGAAGAGAAGGGAGAGGAAAGGGGGACATACGGATCCCGAGGACAATCAGCACAGCGGATATGTTGGCACGTAGCGCAAGTTTTGATCCCAGGCGGGAAGAGACTCGAGCACGAATGACAGGTCCTCCGAACCCTTTGCATGGGCTTCTTCCTCACTAATGGCTGGGCATTTGGTTTCGGGTTCGGTTTGGTGAGGATGAGTTGTTCTCTCAGGCCATAGTATGTATCTGGTTCTATGCCTCCCACGACGATTGGAGCAGAAGTAGTAGATGGTCCCTTCTCCTTCTTCTCGGTCTTCTTGGCTGGGTAGCGGGGACATTGTTTGCAGCGCGTGTGTTCGCACTGGGCACAGATCTTGTTGTTGCCAAAGGTCGTGTTGCAGCGGTGGCAGGACCGGTGGATGCGCATCCGGATCGGCTTCTCGATGCGGTAGGTTTGCTTGTCGGGCCCGGTGGAGAGCGGTTCGACTGTGATGGCGAAGCGTTCACCTAGTTTGCGAGCGCGGTCGGCGTCGATTTGAGAACGCATTATTTTGGTTACTCCGCTGGGGATGTCGTCTTCTTGAGCGGTTTCTGGTTCGGGGATTGGTGCTGGGGTTGGTTCGGCTGGTTTTGTGGTGCTGGAGATGTTAGGATATATCTTCGGAGGAAAGCATTGAACGTACCTGGGACCAGCTGTTGCTGCAGATGGTTTGGAGGAAAATGATAGCCTCTTGGATCCATCGCTTCTTTTCAATACCGTCTTCATTCTCGACAACAATCCACCCTTCTTCTTTCCGGGGACCTCTGGCCCCTCCTTCGCCGGCGTCGACATGGTGAATTAGATTATGGGAGTAACTAATTGCTGAGAGAGAATCTGCCAATACTATCGCTCCATCAAGTTGTGTTTTTGTCGAGAAAGAACAATTCCCCAAGTTTCTCGCCCGTTTGTCTTGTCTTGTCTCGCAGAAATTGTAACGTTCCTTTCGTGCCTCTCTCCTCCCGTGACAGCAACAACAATATCGAGGGTGTACGAGATAGATATGATCCGATGGACGGGCGCCTCGGTGTAATTATTTTTCGGACGACAAGAGGTGAAACTTAATGCTTTGCAATTGCTGATATTGAAGAAGGAGACGAGGGGTGTTTGTATGGAGAGAGAGGTGTTGGACGTTGACGGTTTGTCGGCTTTCCTGTGCTATGGTACTGGGATAATTCTTGGGGGTGGAAGTTTGATTGATTGGGATTTGCTGGTAGCGAGCGCAAGGGAGCGAGGGAAAAGCAATGTGAAATCGACGATCCTTTTGGGAGAGCTAGCGAGCGCCCGGGAATCAGGTCGAGGTTCGTCGATACAGTATTTGGGGAGATAGAGTTGCACGATTGAACACTGACAGCGAAGCAGTGTACAACGGAAGATGAGTGAGGGAGGACGTGAGTGAGGGTGACGATGGAAGAGGAGTGGAGGAGTGAGAGGAGAGAGAGAGGAGAAAGAAGGGTCAGGACAGGGTCAGTGCCAAAGCAGACAAGGCAAGTCAAGGCAAGGCTTTCCTGCGCCCGCGTCTGCTGCGTGTGTCTCCTGCTGCTGCTGCTACTACTACTACTACTACTACTACTACTGTACTGCGCTGGGTGGAAGCCGTCAGTCAGTACGGCCTCGTCCAGTTGGGTGGAAATAATGAATGGAATGGAACCAAGGGTGTTCTCTTCCGCTTCCGCTTCCTCATTACTCGGAGCAAGTGCAGTGCGAGTGCAGTGCGGTGCAGGGTGGAGAATACAGTACAGTACCAATGACCGACCGCGCCAACCTGGTGATGGCGACGCAGGGTTGATGGGGTTCATGGGTTCATGGGTTCATGGGTTGGGTTGCGACGGTGGAACACTCACTGACTGGCAGTGGCAGTGGCAGTGGCACTGGAACGAGAACGACCGAGAATCGATGTTCGTCCCGATGCAAGGCAAGGCAAGGCACAGGCAAGTGATGAGTGAAGAGAAGAGGGAAAAGGGAAAAGGGAGAATTGCCACGACGCAATCAAAACACAACACGCACCGCTTGACGCCTCAATTGATGCTGATTGATGCTATGCTATGACGGAGTCTAACGTCGTATTGCAGCGGTGGCCCATGAAAGGAGGAATATTCACTGGGAATCCCATATAATTTACTGTACAGATGTTGGGTTCCAGGTGGACGGCGACGTTGCTGTTGGCTGAGACGGAGCGTTCGCTGACGGCGGCTGATGATGAATGAATGAATGAATGAATGAATGAATGATACGCTGAGCGGTCGAGAATCAATCTTGTTGATTACAGTAGAGTGAGTACTGTTGTGAATACTACCCTCTCCTAATACAGTACTATTGACCCAAGCGACGTGGTGGATGGGTTCCACTGCTGCTGCTGCTGCTGCTGCTGATTCTCTCCCGCTGCTGAAATCCCAAGTGTTCAGGCAGCGTGTCCCAACGCCCGTTCCCAACCCTCAGGTCGGGTTTGCGCTGTCTCGCCTTCCCCTTCCTTGGTAAGATTACCACCCGAGATTTCGGTGCGGTGAGCAGGACAGGCGGCACTAATGCCTGGCCGGGCGTCAAAGAGGGGGAAATCTCACAGGGCAATCCCACGAGTCGAGAATCGAATCTGGGCCGTGGGTCGAGACCATCACGCACGATTCATTCACGTCGACAATATATCTCGAAGTCTAAAGTGAAGATATACCAATCGTGTATCCTTTCTTACCTACTCTCTTCTCGTTTGTTTGGACTGGACTGGATGTGCAGTGCAATGGCGGGACGGTTCGTACCACATTTCGACATTCCTCGGCCGCACCATCATCTGCTTCTCTTCCATGGCTCCATCGCCCATGAACCCATTTTATCCTCAACCCCTGTCCCTGGAATGGATGACATGCCCCACTCCTCGGGTCCAACAAGTGAGAGCTAAGAAAATACCCCTGCTGAGCACTGCAAGCGAAGCTACCAGTTCTTTCATTTGCTGTTCACTTTCTCCGCAGGCCAGAGTGGAGAATGTCAGCCGATTTTTCATCTTCCCATTGGAACCCGCAGCTGCGGCCCCGTCTCTTTTTAGCTAAGACAGAAAAATAGTCTAGAATTTCAAGGTCCGCTAGACTGTTTTCCGTCTCCGTTAGAAGAATGTCTGAATGGAGTCAAAGTTGAGGGAAACACTTTATTCCTAAGCCCATTTCTCATCCCACAATCCATACATTGTGATCCAACTTCCTCTCCTGTCCTGTCCTGTCCTGTCCCCTTCAGTCTGATGACTAAGAAAGCCTCCGATTCTATCTACTTCCCCATTAGGCCTTCCCAACCTTCCACATCAAGAAACCATGCATCTTCCTACTCGATCTGTCCCAAGAAAGGAGGTCTGAACTTATATCTATCACCCCATCCTCAGATCCTCGACTCCGGTACCGTACTGCCGAATGCCGAAGATGTCTACAGTACAGCATCTACCTGTCTATATTCTCACCGCATCATCATCTGTACCTATCTCTACTAGGAATACCTCACCTCACCTCGCTACGATCTCTCCCCAGGCGTCAGCCACCATGTGTAACCGCCCCGCCCACCTTCTCCTTCACGCGCGCCCCCAAACCCAAAAACCCTTTCTTTTTCCTCCTCCTCTCCCTCTTCCTCCTTGGGTCAAGGTCGTATCTCGTATCCCAAAGCAAAATCTAAGACATACACCACCGCCCCCATCCATCTAGCCTCAACTTTTCAAACTTCGTGCATCGTGGGACCCGTCGTGCGGCCGCACAACAAACGCTCCCTGCACCACATCCCCCCAAAGCGTCAATCGTAATCGAGCGCTTCTCGCACCGTGCGTGCGTGCGTGCGTGCTTGCTTGCTTCATCGTCGTGGGACGCGGGCCCGGCGAAGATCATGCTTTGGGGAACCTGGTCCGAGGGTACTGTACTGGTTTCCTTTCTTTCTCTTCATCCCATCTCCTCCCTTGTGAAGAAAGAGGGAGAGGTCGCCGATTAAACGGACTCGGGCGAATACCACCCGAATATTATACTTTCGGTTCGGCACTCGGTTTGAAATCCCGAGTTGGAGGGTGGATGGAGGGTGGATGGAGGGTGGTGTGCTGAAGAAAGAAAGGCGGGTGGGAAAGATAAGATGAAGGAAGGGAGGGAGGAGCAGGCGGGCGTATCGCGTATACCCATGTCTCTCTTGGATGGTGGATGGAAGAGCGGGTCTCGGTTCCGGGTTTCTGTTTTTGGGATGGGATGAAGCTTTCGGCGCTACTTAGGTAAGTCCGAAGGAAGCAAGAAATCCGTCAACGAGCGAGCAAGCGCTTCATCCAAATCCTTGGAAGGGGAACTCTTGAAGTGTCAAACAGTCCAGATTTCTCTCACAAGGTAAAAAGATGAAAAGAGTCGCGTCAACTCGAAACAAGCACCCTCATATATAATCCCTTACCAATCCCCCACAAATCATCAATGCACGTTCCAGTTCTAATCCCGACTCCGTGGTCAGAGCTCCTTCTCTTCTCCTGCCATGCAATGCCACCATGGGATGGAATCCATACTGAATTTCCTTTCCTGTTATCATTCTTCTAGAGCTCACCTGTTACAGAGCTTATGTGAAGTCCCAAGCTTTGACCAAACGACTAACTGACACAAGTGTATTTATGCGTTCCTATCCATTGGTATCTTTTTGCATTTAAACTCTTTATTTTCATGCGCATTAGGAGTGGGAATTCCCCGTTTCCATTCCTCTATCCACCCATCCACCCATCCATCTCTCTATCAAAAAACACAAAAAAAAGAAAACCCGTTTACGAACACGAACTCACCATCCCAACATTCCAATATCTCGCAACACTTGCTCAAAAGTAGCAGTCTTCCTCCGTTGCCGGTCCCGAGTCCACCACGCCATACCGTACTGTACAAGAGAACAAGCATCATCCCCGCACTTCCTTGCTATTGAATTAATTCCCCTCCCTCCCGTTTCAACCACTCCACGCAACGAAGATGCACAACGGAATCAATCCACTCGATAATTTGAATTTGGCCCGGCCCCCAGATGGAGATTCCAAAACTCCCGAAGACGGCTTCCTTGACGGTGGGTAGGTGGAGGGTGGAGAGAGGGTGGTGGAGAAAAAAGAATCGGTATGAAACTAGCACAGGGTGGTGTTCGGGTCATACGGGCCGTGGTTGAGGGTTGGGTTTGGTTTGGTTGTGAGATGAGATGTGAGGTGAGGTGTGAGGATTGATGATAAAAGAAAGAAGTGAGGGGGAAATAAGCGTCTTTGTTTCTTTGCTTTTGGGTTGTGGGTTGTGGGTTGCGGGAGGATGAATGAAGGGTGTGGACGTTTGGAGGAGGGGTGGGGAGGCAAGGTAAGGTAAGGTAAGGTGCTTTGCTTTTTGTATCGGATTCTCGGGAGGTGCAAAGGTGTGATGGTAAGATACCGGTAAATGGGGAAGGGAAGGGTAGGTTGGATGAGCGTTGCTTTTTGGGATGTTTCTTTTCTTTTTGCTGTGTGACGAACGTTCTTGTTTAAGTGTTGAGGCTCGATAGTGAGGTTTAGAGCACATCGACAGGTACTGCGTCTTTCTTGTTCTTTCTGTTTTAATAGTAGTCTCTCTGTTCGCCTGAAGAGTGAATCCAATTCATTATCCGCATGGAAAGATTCACTCTCCCGTCTCAGATCTAGGAAATCAGAAGTTTGGGTATATATACCTCCCTCCCCCACCCCCTCATACCGAATTCAACAATACAAGATTTGGACTGGGAGATTGCATGTGCTTGGCTCCGGAAGAGTGTCACGGGCTACAGTAGTTGGTGTCGAAGAATTGTTGATATCGGGTAGTGTCTGCCTGTCAACTTCTTGTTGGAGATGACATATGCCATAACACTTGTTGCTCTCAATTACACTTTGTTATTGTCATTTTTTCGCATCTCATGAATCTCATGTTCTCCCAATGAAGGGATCCGTCTTTACCCTATCCATAAATCATCTTCTACTTTTAACACAAACAAAAACCAAGGTCATATCTCATTCTCCGTTACCTCGGGCTATCCAAGCATAATGTGCTGTGTTTATTTCTCCGTCCGAACGCTGGGTCAGGGGTTTATATGTGCCTCTCCGGCCGATATACTTGAGTACATACGCGTATGTGAATGTTCATTTGTTTCATTCACCATTCTTGGGACAATAGAATGAATTCTTGTTTCACGCTTCTGGGATATCTATGCTTTGTCAAGACGAAACGTCAAGACCGACAAGGTAGATTGTTGTGATGTTCATTCACAAGTTATTACATGGAATCTGTGATGTCTTCTGTAGTAGTCTTGGGACAATAGTGATGTCCTTGATTTTGGGTTTTGGACAGACATTGACGTCGCTTAGAAGTTTGTACTAAATTAAATGTTATTTTTCTCGTTTCCAATCAACGTTCTTGCTGCCAACATATATCTATTGTTGTCAACACATCCAAAATATTTCATTCTTCCACTCGCCCACTGTTGTTGACTATTGTTGTTGTCAACAACCCATCCATCCATCCATCCCTCATCCTCTACACATCCTCCACACATCCCCCACCCCACCTCCGACCAACAATCCGCACCCACAGACCCCAAGACCAGGTTCCCTGCTCCCGTCCTTTTGAAAAATGCCTACCTGTCTCTTTGGTTTTACCAAAAAGAAAAGGAAAGGAAAGGAAAGGAAGAAGGTTAAGCCGGGTATATATAGACCTCGGGCGGTGAGGCTGGGAGTGGGTCTCTAATCACGGACGACTGTGGGGAGGTTTTAGTGAACTTCTTTCGGGGGGTTCGATGAGGCTGTGGGGGGTTGTTGTCTTGGACGAGTGTGTTTTTTGTTAGTGAATGGGTTTGGGGGTCAAGACGGTGAGGCTGAGGGGAGGGGTTTTCTTGGATGAGTGGGCTTTATGGTTGAATAGTGAATGATTTTGCGAGTTTAGACGGTGAGGTTGAGGGGAATTTGTGTTTTGGACGATTGTGTTTGTCAGAGGTGAATGGTTTTGGGCTTAGACGGTAAGGCTGGGAGGTGATTTTCCGTCTCCGACGAGTGTTTTTTATAGTGAATATACTTTTGATCAGACGGTAAGGCTACGAATTATTTTCCGTCTCCAACGAACTCGCAGACAAGTGTGTTGCACATAAGTGAATAACACTCCCTGACTCTCGACGGGCGGCCGCCATTTTCCACCTCTTTTCTCCACGATATATAAACCCTCAACGCTCCCAGATCAACATTCTTCGTCGAACAGAAGCCGGTCATACATTGGACAGATAGTGGATTTGGGGATCCGCAACGGCTGTACTGATCTTCAAGACCGCCCTCAATCCGCAACGATCTTGTGCGATGACCGTAGTGTTTGTTGCTCGTAGTGGTCGGTGTTGATAGTGAAAAAGACCGTTAACAACAAAAAAGGGTGTTGACAGTGAAGGTGGTTTGATGATATTACCAAGCTATAGCCAACAATCCCATCAACGAACGAGCCCCCTTCCTACCATCTTAACGCCGAGAGGCCGAGCCCCCAACCCCCAGGTATTCCAACTCTGATTGCGTCCAAAGATGTATTTCCTAAAAGCGTTAGGTTGGTTTGAGGGTTTATATACCTGTGAGAAGTGGTTGGCGTGGGTCTCGCCCGAGTTTGGTCTTGTTATTCACTCAGATCTCGGAGGTATGAGGCTGTAATTCAGTGCTATTTCTCGAGATTCACTTTATGTTGGTACAGAAATATGGCAAAACAATCTAGCAGACTTTCCTATCTGAGAAATTTCTTCATTTTGTCACAATCTTACACAGAGTGCTGTTCCAACCCCCTAGCTCGTGCGGTTTGCTTTGAGCATTAAATCCTCTCCCTAATATGAATGAGTTGTTTCTTTACTCGTGAAAAATCGCTAGTACTGATTTAAGAGTAATTCACGTTTTTTGTTCACTCTCAATTTCTCTGAACTTCAAAAGATAGAGCTGTGAATCAGATATTTCGAACATTCACCTCATGTTTCTACATATATAAGATACTTTTACGGAATATATGTACTAACTTTACTATTGTACTTTGACTATAAATATGTACTAACAATACTACCGTACTTTTCCTATGTATATGTGAATGCAAAACGAGATGTACCTGGGAGTTCCGAGATCACAGAGAAACCCTGCTTCTCTGAGGCACATCGAAGGTTTCGTGAACTACTCCAGCATGGGACCCTCATGGTTCGGTGTTAGATTCGGGAAGATGATATCGAAGGCCGAGTCAAGTACAGCGAAATCCAAGGCCGAGTCGAGTTCAGCGAAGAAGCCAGTCAAGCACTGAAAGGAAACAGTCGAGACAGTCAAGGCAGGCTCGAAGGCTAAGTTTCCTACATGTACTAACAGGGTTAAATAGTTTTGCCGTACAATGTCGCAACAGAGTTATATTACTTTTATGATAGTGAAGTCACACCACATCCTCTGCTACGAATGGCAACGTGAAGGAAGGCAGATCAAGCAATACTACGACTCCGGATACGTCGGTTCCTCGTACATACGGGAGGTGAAAGTCGGGTGGCGTTGTCAGTACATAAATGCGGGGAAAATACTGTAGCTGCACTATCACATGCAAGCAGTAAAGGTACTGTGGCTTTGTTGTTGAATATATATGGAAAAAGTACTATAGCTTCGTGGTAGATTCTCAATCTAATAATTTTAGTGTCAGAGGTTAGTACATGCATATCATAAAAGTATTATAGCTACGCTGTCTATTTATAATCCTTCATGTTCGTTTCATTAGATTAATACATATATTATGCAAAAGTACGGTAATTCAGTCGCAAATTTTATTCCTTTAATTTCAGTTTCACATGTTAGTACTTACATATAACAAATGTCCTTCCACCTTGCCGTTCATTTCCAATTCCTTAGTTTCAACTTTTCATACCGGTGCTTACATCCGGTCAAAATACTGTAACTCTGCCGTTCATCCTCCATTCATTCACCCTTTATGCCTATACTCCTAACCTAGTCCCTCTACAATTTACCCACCTCCAACAACACCCCCAAAGAAACCCACCAACCCCTTATCCTCAGTCTCCTTTGCATAAATCCCCATAACCCTCAAAGCCAATACCACTTCTGCACTCCTTTCTCCTAAGATCAAATCTGGCAAAACACCCACAGCATTTTTCCACAGCGCTTCATGCACACATCCTAACGCCCCCTCAGCCTCTCTAGCAATCTTGCACTTGATGCAGAGTGCTAGCACAGTGTTTACTAGTGCCCAGCGAGCAGGGTCGGAACCAGGGGATGAAGGAGAGGTTGAGTATTGGGATAGGGGGTGTGATTGGAAGGTTGAGGCTGTGAGTTGGAGTCGGCTGAGGGAGGGAACAGTCGAGAGGACGTGTGTTGTCATGCGGAGCCATAGAGGGAGTGGGATGAGATTGAGGGGCGTGTAAGTCTGATTTTGAGTGTGGTTGGATCTAAAGGTGCGGAGATTGGCAGTGAATGTTTCTGGTAAGAGGAAGGTTGGGAAGATTTCTGGTCTGGGGAGGAGTGTTTGTGTTTCTAGGTGAGGGTCTATTTGTGGATGGTCGTTTGGGTTCGAAGAGGTGTTCAATAGCTCGTTTGTTGGCAATTGCACTGGATCTCCAGGACTTTCGATTTGAAATTTCCTGCAACAAGTTAAGGATCTTAATACCAAATCTCATTACGCCTGACTGACTTCTTTCCTGGCCCTCTTTTCTTTCTCGCAGTAGCGTAAACACATTCCTCGCCGCGCGCAATGCAGTTTCTACATTGTGGAGTTCCACCATCGCATCTTCTCTTGCGGGATTTACAGCTGACACATGCCTGAATCAGATCAGAGAAAGAATCTCATAGATTGTCGGATGAAGCCTTACTATTTGGATTTTGGGGGGTTGAGGATTGGACTTTTGTCCAAGGGGCATGATGAAGTTGTTGAGAAGGCCGTGAAGATATGTGGGGAGGACTTAGACGAATCAGGATGTGCCGTTCATGTCGAGCTTACGTTGTTGCTGAGCCACAAGTGGGAGCTTAAAGTGGAAGCAAACTGAGTGGAGGTAGAAACACGGGAGTGAAGAGGTGGAAGTAAATGGCGGAAGCAAATTCTGTCGCTTATGGAGTCTAGCTACTGTAAGCGAGGAGGATTTGCTTCCACTTGGTCTCCACTATTGCTAATCAGATCACAACCCTGGACTTTTCATGTAAGTAGACATACAGGCACATCCATACCTGAGTTGACTCTGATGCTAGCTGCCTAGGAGCTTCCTTGAGAGGGCAAGTGAAGAAAATCAGGTGGGCAGAAGTGAAGCACGTGACCGATTCACATCAGTACAATGCGTCAGAAGGCAAGTGGAAGCTGATCCGATCTAATCCATTCAGTTGCAAATCCAGTTCGAATAACCCTCCGCCATCTCAAACACAAACAAGCATCCTCTAGAAGTAAAGAAAGTTGAAGAATAAAAACACAAAGGAAACTTGACCACAGTGATTAGTACGCAACTCACTCTCGCATAACCCCATCTAACCATCTGCTCAATCCTCATCGTAGAGGTGTGTACCTCCACCAAACTCAACGAAATCGGGGAAGGTGCAAGTTCTAGCTACCTTGAGAGAAAGCATCTTTACGCTTCCCCACTTTCTCTCGTCTTCTTCCCACCCGTAGCCAGAGCACCCTCCTCCTCCGAAGCTTGGCCATGTCTTAAACCTCGATACTCACTAAAGTCAAGCTGCAACTTCTCGAAATCCCAGCCACGAGACAGAACCAAGAACCCAACGCTAACCACCGGCAACAAAAGCACATCCAGAACACCAAAGAAGATCGCAGCCTCTGCGACACCGATAACATTGCCTCCATCACTCAACCCAAACGCAATAGGATACAGCAGCCACAATAAGTTGGTCCAACTTGCTAAGATCATGTAATCCCGAGAAATTCCAATAACTTGTGCCGACTCGCGACTCTCATTCAGGGTGCTCATAACGAGGATGATATACGCGAAGGTTCCGAAAGCGAAGAATCCCCATTTGTAGCTGGTGGTGGTATAAGCAGCAGCAAGGTAACTGAGGATCCAGAACCATGCGATGAAGATGTTGAGAATAACAGTGGTCCATGAGACCCCTGATAATAGACCTAGAGATAGGACAAGCGCTGGGAAAGAGACGACCCAGTTTATATAGCGAGCGTAGAAGATTTGGCGGGTGAGGTTATCGGTTTGTAAGATGGAGCTCCAACCAAGATTGGACGCTTGAGCGAAGTATGTTAGGGATCCGACGAGGAGTGCCATTGACAGGGTGTAGTTGAATACTCGTTTGCTTTCGGGGGCGGTGAAGGAGGGGACTAGGCATACAAACTAGGAGAAAGGACGATGTTAGTAAAGTACTGAGAAGGGAACATGGAGGAACTGTCGGTCGTAGGAGCTCTTACGAATGAGAGGATGTAGATCGCGGTTACAGCCCAGAGCCAGTCGGATCCATGGACGGATAAAGACAGGTCGACTCCGGTCGGTGGGTTGATGTTGAGAGCGTCGTTTGCTCGAGGAAAAAGGGCCATTGTAGCTGCTTAAATAGGACTAATTAATGTGTGAAAGCAGTTGGGCGGTCGAATGTGTGGTTTGGAAAAGGGAAATAAAGTGTGTATCTTGTGAAAAGGGCGAAGTAGAAGGAAACGACGTCCAGTATCTTATATTTGCGGCCCTGAGATCCAATCTTACGTTGCTCGTATGGATCTTGGGTATTGATAATCGCGGAGACTGAGTGGAAACAAACGTGTAAGCCCGAACGTGCGGAGGCAAATAATTGGAGCCGCGGAGGTAAATTAGTCCTTGGGTTGAACATGGATAGATACCATTTGCTTCCGCTGATTATCTCATCATGTCTCACCAATTGTACGAGGCGCAAACTAAAGCTCAAACAGAACAAAGCTATCTATTAAAGACATTGCTAGATTTTCATGAGGTATACTGCTTTTTACCTTACGGAATGCTATCGATATCATGATGATCAGAAGTTATCCGCCTCGCCAAACTCAGGGGCTCGCTTATACAACGACACATTGAAATGTGCTTCTCAATGGTTTCACTAACCTGCATCGTCTGTAGGCTCTCTCAGTGCATGATTCTCAAAGGATTACAGACCTTCTATCATATAATAGCTACAATCTAGCTTCCAACGAGACGGCCAGATTCATCAAATGTTGTCTGAGAATGTGAATCTGTCTCGAATCGCTACGGTCAAGACGGATCTCGAGATACGTGCCCTACCAGACTTCATTGTTGCATTAGAAGATCGAAATATGAGGTGTGTGAGCTCTCCTCGGCTGACAGACAAATAGATCGTATCTCCAAACCTGAGAGTGGGATGAAGAGCAGACATCAAAAGTGGGCTTGACACAAGCGATCCCTTCCCGCTTTGGCGGAATAGGCGAAGCACTAACCCATGTAAGAGCTCTTAAATCGCTGAGGGAGTCGATGTTTGCATCATGACATACGTTCGTAAGTCTTGAAAGCATACAAAATTTGTTGAATTGAAGTTCTGGGCAAATGGCCACCAAACAATTGAATGGTATCGGTGCCTTGGACGCTCCAAGCGTTGACCCTCTGCAAGGAACGAAGTATGACTTCCCAAGAGACAGCGTTGGGTTCGGTCGAAAGAGTCTCAATCCAGAGTGGCCAAACGGAGCCAAGATTGCAGTGTCCTTCGTCATCAATTACGAAGAGGTATATGGAGGCTTTCCCAACATCTCAAACAATGCTAACAAATGTCTAGGGAGCTGAGAGGACCGTTCTAAATGGAGACGAGAGATCAGAAAATGCCCTTTGGGAGCAATCTCACGTGCCCTTCAGAATGGGAGAACGAGCGACAAATGTGGAAAGCGACTACGACTACGGCTCTCGAGTCGGAGTTTGGAGATTGCTTGATATCTTTGAGAGGCATAGAATGCCTGTCACTGCTTATGCCGTAGGCATGGCGCTAGAAAAGAATCCCGAGGTTGCAAAGGCATTTGTGGATGGTGGGCATGAGGTTGCTTCACATGCTTATAGGTGAGTTGCAGGCTGCGGAACAAAATGAGATTGCTGAATAGTGATAGATGGATCGATTATCATGGTATGAAGCCTGATGAAGAGAAGGAGTACATTATCCGACAACTCGAGTCGTTGAAGAAAAGTACTGGACAATATCCCGTTGGTTGGTATTATGGACGACTTTCTCCATACTCGAAAGGTCTGCTGCATGAAGTATTCTCAGAAATGAATCTACCGTTGTTGTATGAAGCAGATACATATGCAGATGATATTCCATACTGGGTGGATGTCCCCGTAGAGAAGGATCACTCTTCGCCGAGAGGAATGTTAATGATGCCGTACACGTGAGTGAAGCTCTATCTGATCTCGAACAGGCTGACAAGATTGAAGATATGACTGTAACGATCTCCGATATGCTGTCCCAGCTGGAGCATGGGGCTCAATGGGTGCATTTGAAGAGTATCTAAAGAGTGCCTTCGATGTACTCTATGCTGAGGGACAACGAGGCTCACCAAAAATGATGACGATTGGTCTTCACTGCAGGATAAGCGGCAAGCCAGGTCGTTCAACTGCTGTTGAGAAGTTCGTTGAGTATATTGCCTCTAAAGAAGATGTCTGGGTGACAACACGAAAGGATATCGCGTTGCATTTCCGAGAAAAGTTCCCTTATCAAAAAGGTCATCTAGCATGAAACGTAGACAGTGAATGAAATATAAAGACTTGAATACAAACAACTTGGTACATCTCTTGGCTCTGCCAGGGCCTATCCTGGATGTATCAGATCAAACACAGACATGCAAAGCTGCTCTGGATGGCATTGGAGTCTAGGCGAGGCGCAAATGTTGGGAAACTTAGAGCCTCGTCCAGTACGGAGTAAAAGTGCTGCCAAAATAGCAAGGGAACTAAATCATAAGGATGTTCAGAAAAGTGACTTAGAAACCTACGAACAAAAAGAAGGCTGTAGTTCTTCTAACCGCCACGTCGCTACTCAAAATGATGAAAAGACAGAAGAAGATGCTGCACTAGTGCAGAGACGAGAAAACAAACGAAGTATGCGATTGGAGATAAAATTAATAACGATAAGGGAATCCAATTAGGATGATCTCTTGTGCCGAAGCGCACAAGAACAACAATAGCCCTCAATAATAATGAGCTCCATCTAGTCATCAGTACACATCCATGATAATCGCCGAATAATATCTCCAAATAGACCAGTATATATCCATGCCCATACCCCATAACCAATCTCAATGAACGCCCCTTATATCCCATCTACAACTCCTTCCACTTCACAAAGCTCACAGCCTTCCAACCCAAACTCCACCGTCTTAGTCTTGCGCCCCAGAAGAACATAGGAACCCACAACGAAAGAACAAAGAATGTTATTCCAGCCATTTCACTGAGAGCGACAAGCTCGCCTGAGCCCGCGATCCAAGAGTTCGTTGTCGCTGAGAGACCGAAGCCGATGATTGCTGAGATAAGTTAGCGGAGTAAGGAGGCGAGGATTGCGGGGTACAAACATTTGAATGCCAATTGTGCAATTGTGACTTCCCCACGAACAGGCCCATATGCATCGAGAGTGCTATTGGCTGTTAATTGACTGGTCTTAAGACTGTATGCGAGACTTACTAGACGAATGAAATGTTGATTCCTTGTCCAATGGAGAAAGTCACTGATCACGTGTCAGCTAGCGCAAATGGAGGGGGAACTGATGACTTACACAGCCCAATGCCAATAATTGGTACCATGAAAGGTAACTTGAATTGCAATCCAGCACCGTAGAGAATCAAGGCGACGGGAGCAGTAACCATAGAGATCGCCATTGCTGGCAACCTGAATTCTGGTTCTCGGATGCCCTTGTTGCGAATTGTAAAGTAGTTTGCAATTGCTTCACCAACAGGACCACCAGCAGGAACTGAGATGTGTCAATTCACGAGTCAGAGCTCATATCAAACATGTGCGACTCACTAGCTAGTATACCACCAAGCAAACTCCCGAAGAAACCAAGGCCTGCTTGAAACGCGGTGAAGTTGTACACTCGGGCGAAGTCGTTCGCAACTGTCATGATGCATCAGTACTTTGTTCAAAACATATAAAGGTCAAGAAAACTTACAAGTCGATGAGAGCGCGACACTGAAGCCGATAGTAGCAGACATTACAAGTGTAGCCCACATCACAGGCGGCAGAATGACCAAGCCAAAAGGTCTGACAAACATCTTCCAGAGCGAATCATTGGTGTAAGTCTCCCCTGTGAACAATGCCAACTTGCTCCAATATGATGGCTTCTTAGCCTGTGAGATTGGCGAGTATTGCGGGCTGCCCAAGACGGCGGCTTCCAGACGCCGAATTCGTTCCTCCATGCGCTGAATGACGGTGATCTGAGTGCTCTCCTCCGGACCGTTCATCTCCGCCAAACGATCATGTTCATCGTAGTATCGCTGAACTCTTGCTTTCTCGGCATCATTAAGGATGATCGACAACGATAAACGGTAGGGATTCTGCTTATTGTCGAAGATGTCGCCTTCTTGGGAGTCTTCATACGATCTGTTGTATGCTGTCTCGGGGAAGGTAAAGATGATGAGAAGCAATAACGCTCCAATCATAACGGCACCGACAGTGTAGATGACTCGCCAAGAGTTGTTAACAACGATGAAGCCACTGATGATAATACCGATAGAGACTCCAGACCCGGTAGCAAAGTTGTACATCCTATATGAGTTGTTAGCGATATTAGACATTATTGATTAGAAAGGCCTACGCCATCATGGTTCCTCGCTCATGCAGGAAGAAAATGTCTGAGATGGTAGCTGGACCTAAGCACTCTCCAGCTCCGGAGAAGAAACCCAAGAATATTCTCCCAACAAGTTCACTGGTGAAGTTTGAAGTTGTACCGCACCAGATTGCTGTCGCAAAGTATCCCGAAAATGAGATGATGTACATTGGCCTCCGCCCATATTTGTTGATCAACGGCTGCCACAACAAATTGCCGGTACCTTGGGTGAGTGCTGAAGTTGTGAAGAAGAAAGCCACTTGGGGGATGATGGCTTCCAGATTTGGATTTCCTCCCGAGAAGTCCATTGCGATCTGAACGAGTGCGACTGTTGGACCGGCAGCCAGAAACGTACACATGAGCATACCGAAACATGTCACAACAGCGACATAAATCTTGAAAGGTTGAGACCTGCTTGTACTGAGTATCTCAGGAGGGCTAGATGATTTGGAACTTGTACTGACCAATTCAGAGGGTCGTTGGGATCCGTCGACGGCTTTGGGACTAGAATGATCTCTCCCGACTCTGAGCGTAGTTGTACTCGACCCAAAGCCTTTTCCTCCACCACCTCGACAACGCCATTTTTCTCCATAATTAAAATAAAGAATGTATGCAGCTCTCACCAGGAGGCCACGTGAAAAATGAAAATTATTAGTTGTGAACGACCGGTGATAGCTAGCACCTTGAGGTTATATGACTTTACAGTTGACAGATGTAGGGCTGACCACTATCAAGGCTCCCACTGAGATCCACAAAACAAGTTCAGTATCGGGACCACTTCAATGACTGCCGCTCCTAATGGAGCCGGCTGTGGGGACGTCAAAAACATCCCATTGTTCCCACTTAGGAGACCGCCTTGGCCACATGTTACTTTGCATGTGTGCTCGTCGCCCTGGAATATGAATAGAGTCGTTTCACATCAACTTTAACTTTGCGCAGAAGCCACGTCATGGTACTTGCTGGGAGGTTAAATTCAGAATCGAGAAGGGTGAGACGGGGAAAGAAGTGATTGTGCAGAATATCTCCACTATCATAGTTTCGGCAGAAGCCCACATGTCCACTTGACAACACGGAGATATTCTTATGCCATGGATGATCTGCTTGAAATCGTGGCTGATCGATGTCTCATTAGCAAATGTGGCTAGACTTTGCTGATAATTGCTGATTGATCTTGTACTTCGCATTAACCATGGACAAAACTCTCCTTGTCGCAGGAGGTGGGCTTGGCGGAACTCTAAACACACTGAAGTCAAAAGCCAGCCACTCCCCAAGTTGGATTGCGACGTGCCAAGTGATCATAGTCGTTCATGGAAGAGTCGTTCGATGTACTTCGTCGCAGCCATACCTCTTCAGAAGCCTCGCTGTGATGGTGGCATGCCAGGGCTGAGCTGGAATTTCCTGCTGGTTCGGGCTGAAGGTGTTAGAATAATTTGGCTCTTAGCCCTTGTGGACGACTGAATCTCATCGAGCAATCGTACATGACTATCGTGGACAGTCTGAGCATGGGTTTGGAAGGGAGGAACAGTGCGTCCCAAGAGTAATACAGTCCAAGATAGGTCTTGTTGGAACGGGAGGTGCGGATATTGAGAAGAAGCAGGTGCCACACCTGCAAGTCTCCACTGCAGGAGCTTCTATTTCCCTTCCAGAAAAACAAGCGAGTGAAACTATTTTCAGCGATTTTTGTTAGCAGTTATCCCCGACCATTTCAAGTGCGTCAGCGGACTCGTAACACCCCCTGAGATTGCCGAGCCATCATGTGCATTCATTGTCACTGTGTCGTGTTAACTTTGTTAGTCAAATAAGACCGTTCGGAGCACATTATTCAGATGAATCTTATTTCCAGAAATGGAATATGGGAATAATTTCGTCGGTCCGCTGAAATGGATCACTCACCCCGCATATGCCGAGGTTTGATCTGCGCCGCATGAGATCAGACCATGGGGCATTTTATGATCAGAAGCAAATGATATTGACCTCGTAAACCTCTCGATGCTCCTTTGCTATTCGTGACATTCATGCATAATTTTGGGTTGTTTGTTTGTAGTAAATAGGTTGAAGCGATTCTAAAATGCCGCCTGCTAGAGCAGTCCCGATCGTTATTGGCGTAGGAGACATCAAAAACCGCTCACAAAAAGTCGAGGATGCAATCGAGCCTTTAAATTTGATGCTTCATGCAACGCAGAAAGCACTCGAGGACACTGGTTTGTCCACATCAGCTGCGAAAGAGTTACAATCGCATATAGATCATGTGGGAGTCGTCAATACCTGGACCTGGTTGTATCCTGATCTCCCCGGATTGATCTCAGACAATCTGGGCATCAAACCAAAGTTCAAGGTTCTAAGCCACCACGGAGGCGATTCTCCCGCCAAGCTATTCGATGAAGCTGCAAGGAGGATATCACTTCGACAAAGTAAGGTGGCGATTGTGACAGGTGGAGAGGCTTTGGCATCATGTGAGTGTTTCTCATGTTTGGGAGGGAGTATGCTAAATCTCGTGGTCAGTGGGTTCGTGTGCTGCTGCTGGGAAAATGCCTCCTCCGGGGTGGACATCCCCGGACGAGAGTGGTACTGCCGTCAGCGTTTCTGATTTATCAAGTAGGCAGCAAGGTGAGTTTCTATGATATATGTTGGAGCCGATGTTGAAGCCGATGTTGACGTGCAAGGTCTTGGTACACTGCATTCCATTGGTTTGCCAATACATGTTTATCCATTGTATGAGAATGGGTTTCGTGCGCATCGAAGACAGTCGGTAGAGCAGAACAACAAGGAGTCTTCTGAGCTATATGCCGATTTTGCTAAGATTGCTGAGGAGAATGAGTTGGCCTGGAATTATGGTCAGCCCGCTGCCACTGGGGAAATAATTGGGACAGTATCGAAGAAGAACAGGATGATATGCTTTCCATGTTAGTTTCGTCCCATATATGAAAACTGAGCTAACACTACGCAAAGATCCTTTGCTGATGAATGCATTTAATAATGTTAATCTTGCAGCCACATGTTTGCTCACCTCGACTGAGTATGCCAAAGAATTGGGTATCCCTGAGGATCGTTGGATATATCCTCTTGGAGGCGCGGGCACAAGTAACGCTGCGAACTGTATGTATCAGACCGCATATCGACTTTCTGCTAAGATCTTCTAGTTTGGGAAAGACCGAACTTCTATTCCAGTCCGGCGATATCGAGATCGTTGGATGAAGCCCTGAAAGTGTCGGGGCTTGCAAAGGACGAAATTGACGTTTTTGACTTCTATTCGTAAGTAACTACAGCACGCGCAGACATCCACTAACAGAATCAGCTGCTTCCCTATTGTACCCAAACTCGCATGCGAGCATCTTGGACTTCCAATAACGAAACAAAACAAACCTATAACGCTTCTCGGCGGCTTGACGTCGTTTGGTGGGGCAGGAAACAATTATTCAATGCACGTGAGTTTGAGTTACACAGGACCTCCCAACGGGCGCGAAACTGATACAAGGTAGGCGCTCACAGCAATGGTAAGAGAACTGAGGAAGGGAAAAGTCCAGCGAGGATTGGTGCTTGCAAATGGCGGTATGGTGACATATCAATATGTTGTTTGTTTGTCTTCAAGACCTAGAGGGTCACCGTATCCCGACCGTAATCCCTTGCCGGATCTCCTCACTAAGGATCCGGCACCTGAAATAGTTGAGAAGGCCGAGGGCGGGGCAGTAATTGAGGTGGGTTAGTATCTCCGGAAGTAAGAGTCTTGCTGATATAATAGACGTATACTGTTGAGTTCAATCGGGATGGGACTCTATCCCGAGGTCATGTTGTAGGTCGTTTGAAGAATAGTAACCATCGATTTATTGCAAATCATGGGGATGAGAATACTTTGAAACAACTTGCCAGTGCAACTAAAGAGCAGATAGGGAGAGATGGTTGGGTAAGTACAACAGGTGATGGCCGGAATTTATTCGTATTCAATAACAGTGGGAAGTTGTAATTAGTCGAATATTGTGCTATGTTACACAGTACTACAGCTGTGCCAAATCCTCAAGAAATGAGACAAAATGTTGCATAAATGTTGTGATGCTTAACTTGAGAATTATTGCTTTCTCTTGCCCGAATGGCAATATATGTATGCTGTCTCAACGCAGACAAACAAAATGATCATTAACACCACTTCTGACCTCAAAAGATGGAGCTTTGAGACAGTCACGAGATAGTGGGGTTCCTCATACTGCTTTGATTGGCTGATGAGGAGCTAAGCACTGGCTCGGGAAGCCGTTTTCTAGTAGCTCGTATTTAAGTACATAAGCACTTTCGGCCAACTCGTCAGCTTAAAGCTCCTTTAGCTCAGTGGTAGAGCGGAAGATTGCAGTGACATGTCAATCATCTTCAGGTCAGGTTAGTACTTCAAACTCGCTGAAAATATTCGGGCATCAAAACTAACACGCAATTTGAGTCGTTCGAACCGGCTAGGGAGCTTCCTATTTACAACATTTTTTGTCTCGGTCATTTACTGTTTTGTGCATATATATTATGGGTGATGGTAATGTGGTTGCTTGTGCGGTGTTGAAACTGGAAAGTGGAAAACCTATTCGCCTAACAATTTAGCGAGGAACTTCAAGCATTAATATCCATTCTTACAGTACAAATAACGTTATATGTTTGGTGCAGACAATCCTTGGATCTAGGAACTGGCTTGATTATTAAAGTGGTAGTAATGGAACTTCTCCGCGACCGTATTGTCGTGTCACGCCCATTACACTTGCTCAGAGAGCATTCAACTCCCAAACAAAAATCTCAACAGTCACTGACTACAAACAAAAGCACAGAGGGAATTTGTAACTTAACATTATCCAGTAGAATTATTGGTAGCTCCGCTAGCCGTTAATATCAAGACTTAGAGAGCATACTTTTGGGCTACCCTGCAACTGCTAGTCCTTTGCTGCTCACTTAGACCCAACGTTGATATATATATACAGAGAGAGAGAATGTCAGTGCCTGTCGGTAATAAAATTGTCAAGTTTCCTGGGCATCACGCAATCTAGTATGACGCTGCTACTTGATCATGATTTTTGCTTGCATGGTTCTTTGAGAACTGATGTCTATTTGTAGGGGTCTATATAAAGGACATGAAAGCGACAGCTCTACTTCTTGTGAATAGCCGGTGCCGATCCGGCCTATCTTGATGTTAGATACATTGTTCATAACGACCACGTGCATGCTGCTTACCTGTTGGTTAGGGAAGATCAGTGAGTCTGCAATGACCACATTTTCCCTTCTTCCAGCACAGTACACCACATGTTCGGCGATATCTTCAGGAGTCAAAGGCTCAAACCCAGTATAAACGGCATCGGCCTTTGCTTTGTCACCCCCGAATCTAACAAGTGAGAATTCCTAATATTGTCAGCAAGTACCTCGCCCTGGCTCTCTCCTGTACTCACGGTCTCAACCGCACCAGGATCAATCTCAATAACCCGCACTCTCGAGGCTATCAAGTCCCTCCTCAAAGAGTCTGTAAACGCTCTAACAGCTGCCTTTGTTGCACAGTATATGCTGCCTCCAGCGTATGGTTCTCGTCCTGCGATACTTCCAATATTGATAATATCTCCCTTTCCACCATCAGGTTTCTTCATCATGGCTGGCAGAACGGCTTGTGTAATATTAATCAATCCCGTAACGTTCGTCGACATCATAATGTTGATATCTTCCTCCAGAATCTCGGGGGCTTTCGCTGTGCCTTTAACCATTCCTCTGTCACCCATCAACATCAATCCACGATTCAGACAAGGCCACTTACGCATTATTCACTAAAACATCAATCTCTCTCCATTCTTCTGGGAGGCCTTTCAGGAATTCCCTAACTTCTGCCGCATTGCTAACATCCAGCTTCACTGGCAGAACCTTAACCCCCTCCCCCACTTCTTTGTTTATGGTCGCCGCAATCTCCTTCAAGGTATCAAGCCGCCTCGCAGTCAAAATAATCTTCAAATTCTTCGGCGCAGTCTTCGCAAATTCCACTGCGGTAGCTCGACCAATTCCTGAGGACGCGCCCGTAATGAGGATGGTCTTGCCTTCGAGGCGTTTGGAAACCGCTGAGGCCATCGTACGAATCGTTGGTTGCCCAAAGCTGAGGTTTGTTGCAGAAGCTTTGAAGCTGGATAGCGTTCGGAGGAATTGTGTACTTGCTCGAAGGATTGGCATACAGGAAAATTTCGTGCTGGAGAGTGGGATTAATTGAAGAGAGGCTGGTATTGATGATAAAGCTGGAAGAAGCTGACAACCCCACATTCGAAGCCGATAAGCGGCATCGCGTCATGGGCTCGGTTGTTCTTCCGAGCCCCTTTTTAATTGAAAAGGGGCATGGTGTTCTTCCACTGGATATCATGAGAGTGGAGCTTCGAGGTATCGGCCCATAGTCTGAGTAGCACCTCTTGTGATTATTTCCGCAACGCCCTCTTCTCGCATACTGCATATTTGCAGCATTCTGCGCAATTCGCGCAGTCCGCGCTGTTCGGACAGTTGGCGCAGTTTACTTGGGAGGGAATGGAGCAGAACAATTTTGCATGTTCGATCCAGTACTCTATCACTATAGTGAGATGAATTATACCGGGAAAAGAATATCGTGATCATCACATATGTCTGATTAATGAGAATCTCCATTTGCTGGCTTCTCCTACCACGACCTCGAAAGCTTGGATCTTACCCACAAACAGGTCATCAATTGTTCAACCAACCTCGATAACCACCTCTGGATGACGTCTCCTGGTTCAATCCGCTTTGGGGTTCTTCCTGTCCGTGACTTATCTCGTATCCTTTGTTTTCAATGCTTTGAGCCTGCATCTCCGCCGAGTCCGCATTAGGATTCTGCACATTCCTAAGACCATCGCCCAAATCTTAGTTGCTATCCGCATCGATGCATACCTATACTCTTATATCAGTGTGCTAGTAGTATTGAATTAAACACTGATCAAAGATATCAAAACTGCGAAATTTTTAAAAAACGGCCGTTCATGAGGTAAAGCGCTATAGCTCAGAAATTTTCAAGTGAAATACTGCTACCAAGCTCGCGAATACAATTGATGGCGGCAGCAATAACACTGTTGCAGACATATCTTAGACCATATTTAATTGGTATGTCTACATACTGCCTTCACAATGTTTGGGGTATTTTCAAGACTCTAAAGTTCGGTTCAAAGCATTCAAGCATTGTCCGAAAGCATCTTTTTGACAGACAACATCGCCGGATCCAGCACTTTTCACACAATGAAATATCCTCGACTACGCCGATTGCAGCACAACAAAGCGACCATGACCATAGTCATAAAGGACTTGCGAGCGCAAGTTGAAAATGTCAAGCAACTTGCGACTGTCACTTGCGCTTCAACTTGCGCTTCACTTACCGCCAATCCATTTGGCAATAAACAGAATTTTCAAGTCTGGCTACAGCTGCCAAAGCTACCTGATATAGCTCAAAATGTTTCCGTCTAACAGAAGGAAGCGCCCAAACCTCAATTATGATGAGGATGACGACGATCCCACTTTGAACGTCGACAACGACGACTCAGAAGGGGACGCGAATTATGACCCAGTCGTTGAACGTTACATGTATGAAACCAGGGTAGAGCGCAGAGATAGAAAGGCTAGGGAAGCCAATAGGAGACAGGCTACGACGGAGGGAGCATGGAATCCAATCAATGGGCGAACTGCACCGCTTCCAGCTCAACCAACACCATCCTACTTTCCAGCTCCTGTATTCGAAGATCAACCCGGCGTGGTGGTCAGTCCAACAGATAACTTTCCCTACTACGATGATAGTAGAAGAACAATATTGGAAATACTGGAGAACGAGGAGGGCGCACAACAGAGAATCGATCGGGCCTCCCTGGCCATGGGCATCGAACGAAAACCCGTATTCCAGCCTATGATCAGAAGCGCCGCTACCGATGACTTAACATGGCATAACATGTGGATGAAAAGAAAAAATGCTCGAGTTAAGGCAGAATTTATACATTCGCAAAAGCTCGACCCCAACAACGAAATATACGACGCCGATTATGCTGCAGCCCATACAGCAGACAGAGCATCAAGAGCACAAAGGAATGCACAAAGACGTGCTGCCGCACTCGCCCACAGAAGAGCTCACGACGCTGCTAAAGGTTTACCGAGAGTCGCTACACCAGCTCCACCTCCCGATAGTGGAGACGAGCAGTATGCACCACGTCAATGGGCAACCATTAGCGGGCAGCCTGGTGAGCCATACCTCCAAGGCCCACCTGCAGACGGTGAAGGTTTCGAGCAATTGGATTACATACCAGAACCCGGGCAATTTCCTACGGGCAAAAGGACGAACCCGCCTAGTGATAGATGCCACCCTTGCGAGGCGAAAAAGAAACTGTGTGACTTGCGAGAAAAGGGCTGGTATCCTTGCAGTCAATGCATAAAACTGGGAATCCAGGCCCAGTGTGTGAATGGCAAGGGGAGAGTGAGAGCCGAGAAACTTGCAGGTGCCGGTGCCGCTCCCCAAAAGGGGAAGGGCAAAGCAAGGCAGAACGACGACGAAGAAGACGATGATAACCTTTCGGTTGTGTCAAGTCCACCATCTGACGATGAAGACTATGACGATGATAATGACAACGCTCCAGCTAAACCGCCGAGGAGAAAGTATACGCGGGCAGAGATTCAATTTAGAACTAAAAGAGGAGGGAACACCAGCTGGGAGAAACCACCACTCCCAACTAATGTTATACAGCTTGGCTACACTCCAAAATGGGGGAAATGGCCAGTGAATGTACGAACGAACCCACAGTGTACTAGATGTTCGTATTGCGAACATACAAAGAAGGGCAATTGCGATCTATGGACTACTGGCTATCCATGTACACCGTGCAAAGTCGCAGGGCATCCCCAATACTGCGTTAATGGAAAAGGCTATACAACTGGTCCTAAGAAGTTTTTAGGACAGAATGCCACAGCAAACACCGATGATCAAAGAGATCAGGTTGCAAAAACTGATGCCTTCAACGAGGTCAATCCACCAGTAGCACCGGCGCCACGAAGGCAAAGGGGTGAGAAGCGACTGCCAGCACCAGCGCCTCCAAGTTCCCGAAGAGATCGACGAGGAGGTAGACGTCGAAGTGACAGATCAGCAAGCCCAGCATCAAGACGCGAAAGCACCAGACACATCTCTCAGTGCACTAACTGTTTGAACGCCGTAGTTGACTGCGAAGGAGGAAATCCATGCGTAAGTTATAACTCCCTAAGACTGCCATTGTCTTCCAACAGTATCCAAAAGTTCACCCTGTCCAATGTTGACTTTCTACGATTTATCCATCAACACCTGTCCAGTTCTTTTTAATGAAATTGCAGCTAACGTTGGCGTTTAGAACTTCTGTGCTCAGCGGGGCTTGCCTTGTGACTTTGGCCGGCGTATCCCTGATTATAGATCGGAAAGAGGAGGACTACCCCGACAACAAGATCAATATGATGACATGGATCCCCGAAAAAACTTTGATCCCACATACCAAGCTCCATATGATCCAAATGATGAATCAACATGGAATGGTTTCAGCGCTATGTCACCACCGCGCAGACAGGAACCGTTTGGAAACCAAGACCCGGAAGGAACAAACCCTTATGAACAAGAGCCGGGTGTATATGACAATTCCTACACCGGGCAAAACTTACTCGATGAATTTGCGGCGCAGGATTTGGGCGGGTATACATTCGGTAGTATCGGTACTATAGGCCCCCCACCTGCGAATACCCAGCGACAATACAGCCCATTCGCCGCGCCATCTGCCTTCGAGTACAATCCAGAGGCGACAATTCATAACAATGTGGTGCTACCAGCTGGGCCCTTACCGAACTACGGGGCTGGAACGGTCAGGGCAACACGAGAAGCAATCTTGAACTCGGACGTACAAGTCTATCAGACCCTTGACGCACACAGACTCCAGATGGAAGCAATGCAAAACAACCAAGCAGCCGACCCGATAGACACAGACATGAACGAGGCTCCGAGAACAGACAACGAAGCCGATTTTCTCCTCCAGTTTATTGTAGACGATGATGAGCCCATTGGCCGCAACCTATCGCCGGGAGAGGAAATGGGGCTGAGAACAACGCCGGCGTCGTTCGGTGCCTCGTTCTTCGATCAAGACTTTGCAAGCCAGCCTCCAAGCTATAACGCAGGGTCACCTAGTAACCACAACGCCATGGTCCCCAGAGTCATGATCCCAAGGACGAACGTCGCGTTCCCAACCATAGCACTCTTCACCTGGGATAACTCGGGCAACCTAGGCGGACCTAACATTGATCCCTTCAACGGCAGAGTCAACACCACCAACGATCTATTCGGATTTGACCAAGCCGCAGGACTCGAGGAAGAGTACACATGCTGGGAACCCAAAGATTGCTGTAACGGCCGCCGATTCGCTGACTATAACTACAACGGAGACATCTGCCGCAAACCGTTCGCCAAGGACTGCGAGTTCCAGGACCATCAACCGCATCGTGTTGACAACACGCAAGTGTGCGCCGATTGCCACCAGCACCAAGAGATTTTCTTCAGCGAGGTGCACGCTACAATCGAGAGGAATCTGCGGGCTTACGTGTGCGGTGACTGCGCGACCACGATTAGAGAGCAGAATCTATCTCGGAGTGGGAGATGTGAGTGTTTTGCGAAATTGAAGGCGGGCTGGTTCTGTGTTTTGCATAGCAATGAGGTTACGGTGAACATGATATCGGGTATCACTGCTATGGGGGATTGGTTCACGAGAGCTTTCCCGCAGCATGCTATGCAGAATATCGCGCCTTGTATTGTATGTACTCAGAAGCCGGCGGAGCCAGACAGGGGAGTTTGGGGTTGTAAGGTGTGCCGTTCTTGGGCACATCAATAGTAGTTTAAGACAGTTTTGTACGATTAGATAGAAGATAGTGTTTTTAGTTTGTTTTGGTTAGCACTTGCGTTTGAATAGATTCAAACTTTCTTAATGATTATCCCACTCTCATAAGCTTGCGGTACCTCGTCAAAAACAAAAGACTTGCGTCAAAACAACATTTCGAATAATTAACAAGACTGATATTATCCCAAAGTTCTCAACGATCTGCTAACATAACACAGTTCAACACAAAGATGAACACGAACTCAGTACAATAGTACCGCACCCGCACCCCTTCTTTCAAACCAATGGGCTCATTCAAATGCTCAAACAATCGAACTCCTCACAAACTCTACACCCAGAAAGAAAACACACAGAGAAAAGGACCTCAAGATGTCATTACTTTCTCTCCTCTCTCTCGGTCCACACAAGTTCCGCCATGCTGCATGTATTTATGTACTGAAGCCCGCCCTCCACTACCCAAGGTATAAAATCTACAATCCCTCTCCGCCTTCATCCGAAGCCACACTCAACCTCACTACGCACCCTCGCCAACCTTCCCCTCGCCCTCCCCAACATGTAAATTCGGATCCAAAAGATTCGCCGTCGCCGTCGAGTGCACATTCCCGGCTTTCTCATTCATAGACAACCCCTCCGTCGCCGTAACGAAAGAAACCAGCTCTGGCCTCGAAGCGGGTAGGACCTCGCCATCCTGCACAACTGATTTCTCCGCCGTGCTCTCCGCTTCTGTCGTCGCTATGCTCGGTGCTACCGGGCTCGGGGGTTCCGTGTCCTCCTCTTCTCTTGCGGTAGGTACGGTCAGGAATTCGGGCCGTGTTGCTCGGATCTCGTTTACTTTTTCTGATTCTGAGGGGCCGGTGTGGCCGTTCATTTTCAGCTGCTCGGAGTGGAGGGTTGTGACGATGCAGATATCTTCTTTTCTCTCTTTCTTGTCTCTTGTTCCTACTGCCAGCGCCTTGATCTTGTCGCTCTTTACTTCTCCGATTTCTTTCTCTCCTTTGCCGTCCACCCAGTACATTGGGCCGTGGGGAAAATCTGTGTTTCCATTTTGCCATTCTGTTACGCTTGCTAGGTGAGGATCAAGTTTAGGCATGTCGCCGAATTCAAATTCGAGTTGGCCGCCGTACTTCTTGGGGATGTTGGCTGGCTCGATGAAAGATTCGAGGGTCTTTTTCATGTCGTGGTGGCTGAGGATGAAGATTTTGGATGTGGTGATTGGGTCGAACCACTTCTTGATCCAAGACCAGACTGTGGGGAAGAAGGCAGGGGCTCCTATTATCTAGGAGGGGTTAGTTTCATACTCCCGCTTCGAAATTTAGGGCGGAGCGGGACGGGAGGAAGGGAGGGCAGAAGGTTTGGGTCCAACTGGGGGTAAGGAGAGACTCACGAATATCCTATCCAATGTCTCTGGGTAATGCGCTGTAGCCAAAGTACTCGCATCCTGCATATGCCCTCTCAGATTCCAGAATTGCTTCAACCCAACACCAGAAATATCCACAATATTATTACTCTGTGTAATAGGCGTCTGAGGGTGATCTCTATCCGTCAACGCTGTGCAAAGGGGCATCACAAATCGAATCAAGTTCTCGTAAAGGGCGAAAAGTCGAAGTAATTTCCCCGGAGTCTTCCCATCTGTTTGCGCCATGCTATGTGTTTCCTTCGCAGACTTCTCATATGCGGCCATAGTCTTGGAATTCAAGTGCTTGACCTCGAATACGTATACGGGTATACCGCGTCTGTCGCGGCGTCCGGTCCATTGAGGATACTATGCTACGTAAGAGGAGGCTTGGCGGTGAGGTGTGTATAGAAGTGAATTACCAATCTTCGAGTCTCATAGTAATGCTCTAGGTCTATCGTCTCGTATAACTGATCAATCTGATTTGCTTTCCGCCATGCCTCTGTGTCTGCAAACTGTTTGTAGGCGTCTTGGACAATGAATCGTCGAGCTCGAAGGAAGCGCCTAGAAATGTCAGTGTGGAAATATGTACACAAACACGGCAACTTACAGCAATGTAGCATCATCGTGCGATGCAGGTTTGTCCCCCTCTGCAGGCCTGTACTCTCCTTTGTCGGCACATAAGAGCTTGAAATTCTTGAATGCTGCTTCTTCTTCTGTTGTGAGATGTCCAAGGTGACCATTTGGATATCCGTATTCGACAACGGCAGACTGGACTCTATGCGCGGGACCCGCAGTTGACATCGTTAGAAATAGATAGTATAAGGGAAATGGAAAGAAGAGAGAAGCTCAAGGGGAGAAAGAGGAGCTTTAGGAAATTAGGGACTGCGATGTGAGAGATGCTCTGTTGTTTTTGTGTAGATTTTGTATTGGTTCCCACGTCATATCAGGACCAAAGCTTAGTAAGGTAGATAATTTCTCGGCTTTGCGAAGAAATGGATTTAAGGGTCTGAGGCAAGCATGATCCTCTTCTGTGCTGAGGTGCGGCGAGGAATATGTTGTGAGATCTGAAGCCCGAGTCGCGAACTGATAGGCATAACGGAGGGACGAAAGCCACTCCCGGCTTCTTCGGCACCCGACGAGATTGTTGAAGCCATAGTAGGCGGGCGACGATGCATCATGTGTCTGGTGAGGTGGAGAGTAGCTGATAGATTAGAGGAGAGGGAGACCGAGAAAGGGAAATAATGAGAATATGAGAAGAGCACTTGACCTGGTGGTGCAGCTAATATTTGCATGTGCAATAGCTAGAAAAGCCTGTTGAACTCTTTTTGATGTTGTGCCAGGTTTGAGACATCGATCAAGCCAGTCGACTAGGAAGATGTACCAGTGCCTTGTACCATACCAAGTTTAATATTGGAGCAGTAACGTTTCAGTATGTCAAGGAGGATGGGAAGCTCTTTTATACATGTTATTAAGCTTGTATTATTCATCTGATCGGTGACATTCTCCGGCCACGCGGTTTCCCCTCGAGTACTGCAAGGGGACGCGGCTTTGGGAAGCTGCATTTAACCCCACTATCTCGTGCGACTTCCCTTTCCACCAAACACGACATTTTCCACGTTCTTGTACAATCTTCCAATTTAAACTGATGTTTTCACGACTGTCACAATTAGTCAGACATTTTTCTCATCCTCTTCCAAACTACGCCCATAATTCTGCAGCTGCCTTTGCCAGCTCTGCGAGTCGAATCATGACATCATCTACTACAGCAGATGAGAGAAATACGAGGACCATACATACGGCAGCATGTCTGATTATTGGAGATGAGGTTTTAGGTGGGAAGGTATGTCGTTTGGGGAGAGATTCGTTTCCTGCTGGATTGATTCGCTGACTTGTGGTTCTTGCAGACGGTGGATGTACGTATATAAGTCAAGAAAGGAGAACAACACGTTCTAACGACTTGACAGACCAACTCTGCATATATGGCCAAGTTCTGCTTCAAGTTGGGAATGGTATGATGGCTCATTCAGTCTCTGCCAGCTTGACTGACTGTCGGAAAGGCTTTGAAGCGCATCGAGGTGATTGCAGACGACGAGGAAGAAATTATCGAAGCTGTAAAGAGAATGAGCAACAACTACGATTTTGTAGTAACGAGTGGTGGTATTGGACCAACGTATGTTCACTGTAGAACGTTCTGAGCAAGACTGACATCTGCCAGTCACGATGACATTACCTACCAATCGATAGCCAAAGCATTTGGCCTGAAGCTCAAGCTTCACCAAGAGGCCTATGAAAAGATGAAGAAACTGTCAAAGCCACATCCAAATCAGCCAAACTTCAGTTGGGATGTCGATTCACCAGCAAAGAGAGCAAAACTCCGAATGATCGAGCTCCCAACAGACGACTCTCGAGATATCAAGCAACAAATCCTGTTTCCGGTCGATGATTTATGGGTCCCAGTTGCATGTGTCAATGGCAACGTTCATATCCTGCCTGGTGTTCCGAGGTTATTTGAGAAGCTTTTGGAGGGTATGAAGCCATTGCTATTGCCACGCTTGACAGATCCAGATGGCACGGGCATACATCGAATCATTATCTCTACTCCACTGCCTGAGAGTGCTGTCGCCCCATACTTGACGGAATTGGCAGGCAGAGTTGAGCCCAAAGGAGTTAAAGTCGGCAGTTATCCAAGGTGGGGAAAGCAAAACAACACTGTGACCCTTGTGGGACGGTAGGTAATTCCGAGTGGCGAAATGTGCCGTGCTGATCAGGCCGCAGGGATCAAAAACTCCTGGAAAGTCTTGTTGCAGAAGTTGAGAAGAACGTAGAGGGACGTCGTGTGAAGGTAGAGGGGGAAGATGATGTGGATGTTGAAGCCAAGGAGTAAGATGCGTTACTGTCTCAACCCGCTCTGGCCGGCTCTAACATCGTGTCCAGTTCTTAACCTCTCCTTGGTCCTCAAGGTGTGATATTCTTTTTTGTCGTGGTTTCCGTTCAACAGCATTGCTAGGTGCATCAAGGGTGTATTATGGCATCGGTCCACCAGCACGTGGGTTAAAATAACATCTGGCATTTGTAGCAGCGGAGCCAGCCGTGTCAGACGGACGCTATGATTGCGCACCAAACTTTGAACAGGGGCAGAATTTGTGCCGAATGTTCCATGATATCTCAAAGATTATGATAAACTTTTTGTGCTCAGAACGCTTGTCGATCATAGCACCAGTGCTACTGTACTACATATCTAATACACATTTCAACCATACCAACCACTCGTTGCATCTGTCGGAAATTTGCTTCTTCCAGAACACGATGAAAGTCCAAACGATGTCCTCTTCGGGCCTTGGTGTGGTGAACATCTGAGGGGCGAGTTGTGATAGCCAGACAGGGGTGTTGGATTTCTTTATCGGCTGTTTGGTCTTCCCCGTTACTGGGTGAAACAACATCGAGATAGTTGGAAACCGTGAAACGGAAATGACAGCATGTTTCTTGACCGACCCCATGAGAAAGATTGTGGGAGGACCAGATGAACAGAATGCGCGTGGGATATGCGGCACAGGAAACGAGGATCTGGGAATTGGAAGCTTCTATACGGCTTCGAAAGCCACGTTCTATGTCGTCGTGAGATTTGCTTTTGAGATTCGTGAGAGACCGTGTGGCTGAGATTGGTTCCAAAGGAGGGAAGACGTTAAATCCTTAGATTTTTGCCGATTAAGAGGCTTCATGGGATAGGTGGAGAGAAGGCAGATCGTCAATGACACTATTCCAGACGAGCCAGTCGAGGAGATTGCTGTGTCTCTGGTTTCTACCTTTGCCTCATGATTGCAGCTGTACGCGTGGGTAAGTTCCTCGAACGGGGAAGACGTTGGTACCAAAATAAACCAGACGGTGTCACTATTGACAAAAGGATCTGGATATGTCTGTCCTAGGACCGAAAATAACCCAAACCGCATCACTGATCCAAAATGTTCTGGATGTCTGCACATTATTCGAGACATATTTTCTTCTTTTGATATACTTACCGCCCTTCACGCCTATTTGCAGGGCTGGAAGCCACCCTGTAATAATTGCGGTAGAGCACGAGCTGTGAATGGGGGAACGAGATGAGAGGTCGCTGGAAGCAAAAGCACCAGAACAATTTAGAAGCATGCACCGAATGCATCTCCCTGGCACAATATGAATCACGTCCCGGCCAGTTGGAGGAGGAGGAGCCAGTTCGGAGCAGCCAGGATTCCTTTCGGCCCCCTTTTGGGCCACCCTTCGCCAGCCCTTTGCTCTTCGATATGCGGTAAGCTACAGAGGACCCTCGGGCCCGGTAAGGTTACTCGAGGACTGCATCGTGTATGGAGGATGAGGTGTGGATGGACGCCGGGCGTGATTGATTTATTATTGCAGCGGTTAGCACGAAGCACCAACGTTCGAGATAATGTGAGCTGCCTCTCTATTTGTGAAATTCCTAGCCGATTTTGGCATTCGAGAATACTAAAATGTCCCGTACCAATTCCAACATTCGTTTTTAATCAGACCTAAGTTCTAACTTATCAAGAAGATATTCTACGTTCTCATTGAAAGAATTAAATGTAAACTTGATTTGTTGTGCGCAATACTTTACATTTTGTGAATTTGGGCCCTGTCGAAAAAATCGGCCACGAATTTCACAGAAAGTGAAGCTAATACTCCGTATAGTAAAGTCCGTGTGAGCCTCGAGCTTTGGCCTGGCCTGGCCTGGCCTGTGCTTGCTGTGTGTGTGCCCGTCCCTTTGCAACTCAATCCTCTCTAAGAAACATCCTCCACCTTCTTCGTCTCACCAGTGAATTACTCAAAGCGAAGGTTCTGTTCGACTTTCTCTCACTCGCCTCTCGTCTCTCGTCTCTCCATTGAGCCGCCGCCGCCGCCCTCGTGCTTGCGTCCCGCCGATTGATAGATAGTGTACTTCTGCCCTGCCCTGCGCTACGATACCGATACTGCATCTGCAGAACAACCATCCGCAGCCCGAACCCAACCCCCAATCCCAATTCTCTATCCTCATAATTCCCCAATCCACGATCAGAGAACCAGCATTATCGTTCGCAACTTTTCGTGCACCTGCAGCAACAACTAACGACCACGACCCTGTTTCCGTTTCCGTCCCTGCGAATCGAAACCAAGCAGCAGCTCCCACTGCATATTTGCGGAGATCCCCATCCATCGCGAGACGAATAACGGCCAGACCTTCGAACCTCGCAGTTTCAGCCGACCCGCCGAACCAAGCAAGCAAGCAAGCAACAACAGCGAAGCCCTTTCACCTCACTCGATCGATGAACCAGCGATAATCCATCATCCCCATACCCCGAACGCAAAGATGGCATCCAAGGTACGCTGCCGCTGCTGCGCTCAGAATTCTTCCCGTGCATACAGGGCCAATTGACTAATTCCCCGGCCAGTTTCTGAGAGAATACAAGCTCGTCGTCGTAGGCGGAGGTGGAGTCGGAAAGTCCTGCTTGACCATCCAGTTGATACAGAGCCACTTCGTCGATGAATATGATCCGACAATTGAAGGTATGACGGTTCTATCCATCTATCCTCGAGCTTCCCGAACAAGAAGGGGAAAAAAAGTTTGCTAACCAATCAATCAACTACAGACTCGTACCGCAAGCAATGCGTGATCGACGAAGAAGTTGCGCTCCTAGATGTCCTCGATACGGCCGGCCAGGAGGAATACTCGGCCATGCGAGAGCAGTACATGCGAACGGGCGAGGGTTTCCTATTAGTGTACAGCATCACGAGCAGACAGAGCTTCGATGAGATCTTGGTGTTCCAACAACAGATTCTACGGGTCAAGGATAAGGATTATTTCCCGATCATTGTAGTAGGCAATAAGTGCGATTTGGAAGGCGAGAGACAGGTTTCGAAGCAAGGTATGTAGTTTTCTTTCTACTATCCTTTTTTTTTTCTACGGACAATGGGCTGATATAGAACGTGTAGAGGGTGAGGCTTTAGCTCGTTCTTTCGGATGCAAATTCATCGAGACGTCAGCGAAATCGAGAATCAACGTCGACAACGCTTTCTACGACATCGTCCGCGAGATCAGACGCTACAACAAGGAGATGGCAGGCTACGTCGCGGGCGGGGGCAGCGGGTCAGGAAGCGGCGGGCCAGGCCAGAAGATGGAGGTCAGTGAGGGAGAGAAGGATAGAGGATGTTGCGGCGGATGCATAATCATGTAATCACCTTGTGTGTATTATTTTGGTCCCGGACTGTGGAGGATATATCGAATTCTTGCAACAACTACCTACTACAATTGGAGCGAGGATGTATCTGGCATGGCTGGCTGTATGGAAGGAAGTGGATTGAAACGAAACCCCATATCAAACCAAACCAAACTCTTGGACGAACGAAACCCCCGAACCCAACTCACGAACGAACGAAAAAATTCTCTAATTGCCCAACACACAACCTCTCTTCTCTCCGCACGCACATACATACAAAACTCGAGGAAAGGAGGAGGCTTTATAAATATTTATTCTCCTCCTCTTCTTCCCCCACTCTATCTCTCTCGACCAAAAGATTCCCAACTACCAAAATTCTTGTGTCTTCTTTTTTCCCTATCATTGGCGAAATTCGGGTCCGTTTTCCTTCTGGGTCTTTGCATCATCGCTCGCATTGTGTTTCGAGTACAATTTTTCCTCTTGCTGTGTGGATTTCTTTTCGATGGACTGGCTATGTGTGTGGCCTGGTCCTCTATATTAAAGTACTTTGATTTTAGTATGTGGTGGGGAGAAAGGGTGGTGGTGGGGGTGCAAATGGAATCAAGTCGAGTCGAGTTGAATGAAGAGTAGCTACTACAGTACCTTAGATCTGGAATGGAGTTTTTTTATCTGTCTGTCTTGTGTTTCTCTTCGGTTTGGACTTACGAGGGCGTCACGTTGAGCTTCAAGAAGACCCTGGAGGTATCCTTTCTCCTAAATTACTAACTCGGCACTCTCCCCCTCCTCAGACGCCCAACCCCTAACCTGACATCACTGAATCCCCTCAGCCTTTTCTATACCATCCCTCTATCAACACCAATCCAATCACTGACCCAGCATCTACAAAAGTACCTCCCTCCTCCTAACAACTACACCAAACTAACATCGCCCTTCTTTCCTTTCCTTTCCTTTCCTTCCAGCCACACCTTCTTCGCTCGCACCACTTCCAACTCTTTTGGCTCTTGTCTGGGAGACGGGGAAAAGGGGTCCTTAGGTAACGTCTGTTGATCACGGGCTCGGTAGTGCAGTTCGGCTGTTAAGGGGGAGGGGGGAAAGCTTGATTTCTCCACTCCAGATGTGATGGGATGTGTTTCGTTTTAGACCGCGTTTCACGTCCTGGCTTGGTTATGTTTCTTGGTTAGGGCTGGTGCTAGTTCTTGTTTTTTTAGGGGGGCAATGGAATTTGTAAATGGAGTGAATGTTTTGGGGTTTGGACGTATGGGTTGTTAGTTTGATTGTCTCTTGGGTGGGAAAGATTTGTGCACGGGGAAAATTGGGTGGATTTTGGGAGGGGAGGATTCATGTTTTGATTTTGTTTTTTTGATGAGGTTGCTGAAGACATTTCGAGATGTTTATCTATGCAGTAAGCTGGTCATTTGGCACTCGGCTTTGACGCTTGCTTCCTCGTATACTGCTTGCTTTTCTTCTTGACCACCTACGTATATACTCAGTCCCCCTCCCAATCTCAAGGCTCGGATTTCTATCTTTACTCTTCTCTAGTCTTTCATTTCCTGTTTCTTCATCATCTCATTCATGGAAATGAGTCAACATGATTTTATTTCAGATTCAAGTAATCGAACCAATATCGCAATTAATGCTAATTCCCTCTTAGTCTCAAAGTGTAACTGGTGAGCCCCTGGGGCCTCATAAGGATGCATAAGAAATTGTCCCCATTAGTTAGATACACGAAGATGAACGGGTACGCGTTTATAAACTTAATGGACCATGGCTCACGGCAACGGTGAGTGACTACCTATGCTGATGGATGGAGTAGCGATTGTGCTTGTTGGTAGACTGACTGTATTCCTCTTCAATAACGAATAAGTAGGAGAGTATGGTAGTTAAATTTTAGAGTTCTAAGTAGTTCACTGGGATGAGACGAGAAATGAGATGGAAGAACATTGCATTTGATATGCTACTATTATTCCCTCCTGCCAGAGTTGGTGATACGAGATCAAAATCGTACCAGTCCAGGATACCAAATTTGACATTCTACAAAACCATCACCACAATCGTACAATCATCCCCTTTTGCTGCCCTAAATGAAATCACCACTCCCGAAGCCGCCAAATGGGTTCGGAGGTCGACCATTACCACCACGCTGCGGTCCATCACCGGGTCCTAAAGGATCATACCTCGCTCCAGGAGGGGCTCGAGGATCTTGTCTCGCAACACCTCCTTGACCACCAAACAACGGGTCATCGAACGTAGGATGCATGCCTCCCATCCCACCAGGCCTCGGCAAACCACCACCGCCGACAAAACTTCCTCGAAGGGGATCATGGGGTCCTAGGCCAGGAGGGTTCAAATCATCGTGTCCGATATTGAATGGTGAGCTCGCACCAGGAAATTGGGGAGCCATGCCACGTAGTGGTCTGTTCATATCATATTCGTCATCGAATCCTGGGGGTGGGAAGTCTCCTTGAGGAACAGGGTGACGGGGTTGAGCGACGTCAGGCATGAAGGGATAGGGTCGAGCTGGTTCTGGAAGGCCTGGATCACGGAGGGGATCTTGACGTGGATTCCTACGAGCATGGCCTTCTGCTCTTTCGTCTTCAGCATCTTCTCTAGCTGAAGCACCAGCGTTGGAAGCTTCTTCGTAACCTTCTTTGTGGAGGCCTGGCATTAACTTTTGGATTATGGTGACTTTGAAGAGAGATGCGAGGTCCTGGATTCTTGAGGGAGAGATGAAAATGTCTTTGAGTTTCGACGGCAAGTCGGAACGGTCCTCTTCGCCAGACTGGTTGAGTGTGATTCGTAGTGGAAGGGCAGCGGAGGAAACGTAGTCCTTGGCCGTCACTTCGAATCTGGAGATACGTTCATCGCCTAAGCCGATACCTCTGATTTCTGCCTTGCCTCCTAATCTATCAATCTTGACTACATATTGCATTGAAGATTGTGAATGTGCGTAAAGGAAGGAATGTGAGCCGAATGAAGAATTCCATTGTGGTGCTAATCGAGGAGCAAGTCGAGTACATTCCGCTTCTTTTGGGGAAGTCAGTAAAGTGAAAGTGTTTTCGGGATGGATCAACATACCCATCTTCTGTCCTTCTCCAAAGCCTACTAATCTGAATCCAACAGCTGCCATGCATGCGTGCGCAAACAGAGCGATAGCTTCATATGAACTGCTGAAATCTGAACCGGTATCGCCTTGAGGATGTGTAGGCAGGGCATCTGCCATGTGCTGGAGAATACTCTCCGTGCCTAGTGGGTTGTTTGCCATCGTTATTGAGTGTCAGAGTTTATTCTGCTGTAAGATGTATTGAAAGTTGTGTGAGGTAAGAAGTATTTCTATCGTCGTTACTGATGAGGGGTAGTGGGGTTGGTTCGTTCCTGATGTCCGAATATGAAGAAACGCTAGGAGTGATTCACCGGTGGTACTTTTGGCTCGATGGTAGAAAGATTATTGCTTTCTGAAGAGTTGTTGTGATGCTTTTCTCTTTTTTATGTTGATTTCTTCTGCGTATCTGGATATGGTGGGGTTGATGGCGAAGACAGAAGTTGCCTGGAGCTGAGAGCTTCAGCCACTTCAACCCCGGTCAGGCCTTTTTAGCGGCTTCTTTCAGTGGCTGCAGCGTGCGTCTCTCCACGTCTCAGCCATTGGTCCCTGCACGTCTTTTCTTTCTTGGAATTCCGCACGTCTAGACTTGCATTGTATGAAAACTTCGACAACAACCAGCATGTTCGGAGCTGGTCGAGGGGTGTGCTCAGTCCTTGAATAATCCTACCAAATCGTATCATACACTCTGCCCAATTCCTCACAACCACCCAATGTCCTTCCGGGTTTCGCGTCTCCTCTCATTAATATTCTCGAAATGACGCCTCCAAGCTCACCAATTGGGGATATGAAAGTTAGGAAACTGCCTGCGATTGGCCCCAAAGATCCATTTGTCAACGTGGTCAAAGTATTATCGAAGTGGGTAGTTATGCCGTCTATTGTTCTTTCATACTAATAGACATTCAGCTATATGGTCGACGAGATCGCATTGCCTTCAACTTTCGAACAACTACGAACGACCTCTGCTGGAAACAAGATTCGAATACTCGTGGACCATCTCGTTCTGAATGTCACAAATCCTTGCTTGATCAACGCTTTACTGTTAGTTCACCTGTCTCTGCCGGTATCATTTGCTCATTGAATGCGACAGAACCTTGAAATGGCACTTCTCTACTTTGGCCGAGGACGACCGTGGAGTCAACGACACAAGGGCGAACGCATGCGAGATAGTCTCATGGCGATTCTTGGCTCGGATATCAGAACGAGACGCGATGGACTTTTGTCTCTTCGAATTACCACAGATTCGGGAGGTGGAAGCATGCGCCAATGCAGATGCGAATGAACGGACAAGCCTTCTGCCACAATTTCGACCGAATACACCTATGACACCTACAAGACCGGGAAGTAAGAGGGTGGAACTGCTCCGATCAGTCTCGAATATTGGCATCCCCGCTGAAGAGCAAAACCAAGATGAGGATGAAGGAGATCCAACTTCGGCCTTTACTGGACTTAATGGTCTAGAGATTGCTGCTGTGGCAGATTGCAAGAAGTTCCTCAGTCAGAAGGTTGTACAGAAGATTGTTCATGGAATATGGAGAGGCGACATCACATTCTGGCAGGACTTGGGAGCACACACGACGAAGAAGCCACAGTTTTATAACCAGAGGCACTCGGACTACTTTACACGATTGAGAGTCCCATTGTACCAAAAGACTTTCGAAGTTCTCTTCTTTGCAACATTTCTGTTCCTCTACTACGCGGTACTCGTGGAGCGAAATCCATATCATATCACTCCTCTTGAAGCCGTTCTTTACATCTGGTTCGCGGCCTTTGCCTACGATGAGCTCAGCGAATTCATCGATGCTGGGTCCATCTTCTACGCTGTCGACATATGGAACGGCGCTGATCTCATCATTATTTTGATTGGGGTCGCCTTTTTGATCACTCGAGCTATTGGTCTCATTAAAGACGACGGACAGATAATCGACCATGCATTCGACATTTTATCTTTGGAGGCTCTCTTCATGGTACCACGTATTTGCTCGCTCTTGAGCTTGCATCCCTATTTTGGCACTCTGATTCCTTGTTTAAAAGAGATGGCAAAGGATTTCGTCAAGTTCATGGTCGTTGTGGCTGTCCTATATGTTGGCTTTCTTACGACATTCACCCTTCTGGCTCGGGATTCATTCAGCTTGGGTGATATGAGTTGGATACTGATCAAAGTCTTTTTCGGCTCCAGCTATCTAGGATTTGATATCATGAGGGACATCAATCCGTTACTTGGTCCCCCATTGATGCTGGTATTTGTCTGTATGACAAACATTCTGCTGATCACATCATTGATCAGTATTCTGAGTGATAGCTTTTCGAAAGTCATTGCTCATGCTAGGGAGGAATATTTGTTTGTCTATTCAGTGTACGTTTTGGAAGCCTCAACCAGCAATAGACTAACCCACTTCTACCCGCCATTCAACCTTATACCACTAATTCTCATTCGACCTCTTCGGCTTTTCATGCCCGCTGACAAGTTGAGAACGACCCGGATATTCCTTCTCAAAGCTACTCATCTACCGATTATTGGAGCGATATGGGTATTCGAAACCGCTTACGAGAGTATCAAAGGACATACTCCTATGTTTGCAACTATGGGTCCGGCCTCTGAGCAGTTAACCAGCGAGAGCACCATTCCCTCAAAGAAACCTCGACCATTCCTATCGAATCGAGCATCAGCGAATACAGCTTCTCAGCACTTTCCAGAACCACGGAATGATGATGGACCCGCCTCATGCTGTCAGGACCCCTTTGATGACCCAGTGAAAGGCAAGAAGGAGGGCGAGAGAGCAGTTTCACTGCCAGTAGATAACCCTGAGCTCAATGGGCTAAAGGCTCAGGTTGAGGATCTGAGCAGCAAGATTGCAGAGTTGACGGCCTTGATCATGGCGCAGCAGGGGACGGAAGGTCAGGAATGAGATGCTCTTTACGAAGATTGCATGTTTAGCAGTGTGCTGCAATTGTAGATATGTACATATGGGTCGAGCATTGGACAGGTTGTTCCAGGCGTTGGTTAAGTTAGCATTGATGAGGAATTGCAAAAGTCTTGATTTTGGGTTAGACCAGAAATTATATACCAGTCTACCTTTCCTAAATTCGGTTATTTTTCCGGATGTGTAAATAAAGCTGTTAGACTACTAAACAGCCAGCCCGGCGTGATTATCTTACTTCGTCTCAAACCATGGCACGCTGTTTTGCTTACAACCAAATGAGGCAATTCTACCCCACTTTAACAGCCACATTGAGTTGACTCACAGCTAGAAATTTTTATAATACCTCAACCACAAATCCTTTTCCTCAGTTGCTCCCTCTCATCTCATAACACCAACACCACCCGTTCTCACCAACATTCAAAATGCCCACCACCCAAAAATCCCTCCCCTTCACCACCCTCGACGTCTTCACCACCACCCCCTACAGCGGCAACCCCCTCGCCATCGTCTCCCTCCCTTCCCCCTGCCCCCTCACACAAGCCCAAAAACAACTCATAGCCAAAGAATTCAACCTCTCCGAAACCGTCTTCCTGCACCCCAGCCCTGACTCCAGCGCCACGGTCCCAGAATGGGAGATCGATATCTTTACCACGGATGAGGAGCTACCTTTCGCAGGCCACCCAACCGTCGGGACTGCTAGTTATGTATTAGGACTTGCCGGGAAGAAAAAGGGAGTCTTGAGGACGAAAGCTGGGAGGATTCCCGTCGAGGTGGTGCAGGGGGTTGGGGTAAGGGCTGAAGTTCCGTTTGATACTCATTTGCATGGGAAGACACTTTCAGGAGAGCAAAGAGGATTGAGTAAGGATGCTTCGATTCGGAAAGCTGAGCTTGAAGCACCGTTGTTTTCGATAGTGAAGGGGATGACGTTCCAGCTCATTCAACTCCCGTCTCTCGAACTGCTGGGGAAAGTCGAAATGACAGGTCTCTCGCCCGATTTTAATGTGGTGTTGGATGAGGAGTGGAAACCAAGTTTTGTGTCGAGGTATTATTATGTTTTGCTTGACGATGGGAAAGGAGATGGGGAGGTGAGGATTAGAAGTAGAATGGTGGAGGCGAAGATGGAGGATCCGGCGACGGGGAGCGCGGCTTGTGCATTGAGTGCGTATTTGGCCGGGGAGTGGAGGAAGGGTATGAAGTTTGAGATTGTGCAGGGAGTGGAGATGGGGAGGAGGAGTGAGATTGGGGTTGAGGTTGATGTTGATGTTAAGGCTGATGGGGGCATTGGTGGGGTCAGGTTGAGTGGTTGTGCGGTTGCTGTTATGGAGGGGAGTCTGAAGGTTTAAGAGTTATAGCTATGTCTTGCGTTACTTTCTTCTTTTTTTTAAAGAAAAAAAAGGGGCTTTGCTTCATATGAGATCCTAATCACGCTGTTCTATTGGAAAGAAGACTCAGGTAGCTAGCATCTTCATTCAATACCTAGGTAGTGACAGGTAAAAAGAGTTTCAAGTACAAGCCTAACGAGGGGCATAATCAAGATATAAATATGCTTAGCTAAATCAACCTATGATCAAAGAATCCCATCTTATACACATGGTTCTCCTCCAAATTCCAAACTGACCTACTTAATGAATACTTGTGAGTAGTGTGGTCCGTGGAATATTGAACGTTCATACAAAATAAGGAAGCAACGTGAAGCTCTAGGCTGATAAGGTAAGGAAAGTTGATTATGCTCTATGAGGTAGTAGAGCTTTTTCGAAAGGAGTAAGTATGGGAGATAGGTAATTAACGTCGTTCAGGTGATTCGCGCTTTCTCTACTCTTAGTGCCGTAAGTGCTTGCTCTCAGGCTCTATCTATTTAAGCTGTGATGAGGAAAAGTGGAAACTGCTCAGAGGAGAAACCAAAGAGTCATCGTGATACCCGGGTATATGGCGACTGGAAATGGTATGGAGATAAGTAATGTACAACCTCAAACAGGCACTGCTCAGCTACGTAAGTGACTTTTGAGGTAACTTGAGACTCTCAAAGCTGAGTATCAACAGTCGCCTCAACTTGTGTTATGCCAAGGGAGATTAATTGTCTGCCCGAAATCTAGACTTTGACAAAAGACAAAGACTTGTGAAGCAAAGACCAACAGCTAGCACTTTCGACATTCAACTTCTCCACTAGAAGCGAATTCACTCGAAAGGTCTCTACCGGCTTCGAACCGGGTTGGCGTCCCTCGTCTGGATCGATATAAATTCACGCCAAAGACTTGGACTTCAACTCTTCAACACAACAACACCCACCAACTCCCACAACAACAGTGGGTACCATTGCCTGCAACCTGATTCGCAACCCGCGCATCAACATTTGCTTCGCAATAGCTATTGCTTCATCTTACAATCCCACAACACCATGACGGAACGACGCTGGTCCAAAGCCGAAAAGGAATGGGCGCAGAGCGTACACCTTCCTAAAGGAGGATCGCAAGGCTTGCAACGATCTATCCATCGATCCCAGTGAGTACCTCCTTGATCATGAAGCAACAGAAAGACAGTACTGACCAAATACTTGTGTAGGCTTGAGCCAACAACAAACCCCATATTGAGACTTCACGTCGTAAAGAGCGAAAGTGGTGAAGAGATCGAGATCAACAACTCGCGTGGTCAATGGTTGAAGTTCTGTACCACCGGTGGTAAGTCTCGAAGCAGTGATATTGTCATGATCCTTTGCAGTTCCTTCAAGGTTGATCCTCAAACACGAACGACAATTATCTTCGATCTAGTCACGGCAGATAGCGACCGTTGATGGTCAACAAACTGACAACAACGCAGGTACTGACGATCCATCCTTCGAGATTCGTCTGTCGACCGTACCACAGGGCGAAACAGTCGAAGAAGCAGCAACAGGAGAATATATCGGTCTGAAGTTCAGCGCTTTCCCCACATATCACCACCAATTGATACACCAAGATCGAGAAGTGGTACCATTCTCGCCGAAGAAGAATTGTAGTCTTAATCTTGTCGAACCCGTCCTCTGCGGACCAACAAGTTTCACAGAAGAACTATACGATCTTCGATGGACGATTGACTCGAGAGCTAATCCAGATCTGGAACCCGATAGTGAAGAGCCGAAGATCATAACCCTCTCTTGGAAGTCGAAAGCTTTGGAAGTCTACAATCTCAGTCAGCGCACTGCTTTCGACGGACCTGACCTGGTAGTTGCCAATAATGTGTGTCGCATTGCGGATGATGATGGCGAAGAGCGAACAATCTCGGTAGACATAAAGTGGTGTGCTGCATTAGAGTACAGATACCGATACCTCCTTGCATGTCCAACAGGACTTGTCAAATACTGGAGAGCTAAAATCTTGAACAATGTCGGTACTGGTAGCGTACCCGTCGACCTGTGCAAGACATACCCGAGAGATTGTACAGAAGTTTACGAACTTGAGGCAATGCGTCCTACTGATTGGGTTGATCAAGGCAGAGGCCCACTGAAACCAATAGACGATATCGAGGGGAGGTGTACAGCTCTTCGCCCGAAGCGTGCTTTCATGTCAGTCGCTGAAGCCGAGTACTATTTGAAAGGTGCCTTTCTGTATGAAGAGCATCTAGTGTCCGAGTTGAGGAAAGCACACTTTGACAACAAGTATGAATTTTCGTACTGGAGAGTTGGTGTCGAGGCACTTTATACAAAAACCCAGCAGTGGTTGCTGGTCCTGGATAAACCTTTCATGTTCTTCCAAGAAGAAGCGAAGCTGCCACGAACTGGTTCCAAAGTGACCGTGGCCTGGAGAAACAGAAACAAGAAGACGGTTGTGGAATGGGAGGGAAAAGTGCTGGGTCTCAAACACGGGGCCACCTTCCATACCAAAATCGCCATACTTGTTTCGCGGTCTCCGCCTTTGGTGCGCACGTTTTCAGACAACAAGCTCCATGCTTACTTCACTTTCTCGGCCGAGCCTGAGTATTGCCAGTACATTCTGGATTCCATCGATGGGGTCATTTTTGAGAAGCATTCTGAAAGTGTGAAAAACCGAAATATTCATGGAATCCTGATGGGTCGGGACGGACATCAACCTTTGCCCTCACTTGCACCTCTCAATTTCGTCGATATTGGTAGAGACCAAATGGACGTTGGGCAAAATGCGGCTTTTAATCAACTATCGACCTCGACCTTGACAATTGTCATAAGCCCACCGGGTTGTGGCAAGACCATGATCGCTTCTAAATTCTGTGCGGCTTGCGTTAGAAGTGGTGAGCGAATTCTCGTACTCTCAAGGACCGATGTGGATGCTCGACAATTGTATCAAAATTCAGCCACTGAAGCCAAAGGCATGCTTGTTGATCAAAATCTCATCGATTCTATGATGCTTGTTGACCCGATGTCTGGCATTGACGAGCTCCTTTCAGAGGTGTTCTCTATGAAGAATATCCGCACAGGCTTCAAATCAGAGGTTTCACAAGCACTATCTGATAAGTTCGAGTTGTTAGCGGGATGCAAAGACATTGGTAATGCAACGGCCGTGTTCGCAACTGTGAATACTTTCAGCGATGGTCTTCTTCGAGGATTCAACCCTACTATCTTCATATGCGACAACGCAGATAGTATACCAGACTACATGATCTTTGCAGTATGTGGAGCTTTCTCTAAAACTTTGGAGAGAGTCTCTTTGTTTGCGGATGAAGGTTGCGTGTACGAAAAGAACCGAGCTTGTGAAGCGCTTATGGCTACAAAAGTGCGAGGACATTTCCGACGACAACTGGAATTTACCACAGTTTCTCGATTGATCAAGACAGGCATTAAGCCTGTTCGCCTCGACACGCAGTATCGCGTGGATCCTGACATTGCTTCGTATTTTCGGGACTTTACCTACAATGGGATTCACAAACCCCATGATCGCATCTTTTGTGATAGCCTTTCGGCACGCAAATCGGTGTATCTATTCACAATTCGATGGGTCGTTGATACCTTCAAGAAGCCGGCTGAGTCGTGTAAGGGTTCGGTTTTTGTAAACGTCGAGGACGGTCAATGCCTGAGTCTGAAGAATACCACGGGGCTATTGAATCTTCAGAACTTGATTGTGATAGCCAAGATTATACAATCAATGCCGGATTATGGGGTCATACAGGAACAGATTCTGGTTTTGACGTTCTTTAGGAGATCTGTTGCTCCAATCAAAGAATTCCTCAAGTCTCAGGGTTTGTATCCACGAGTCGAGCATGTCGACTCGGAGCGGATCAAAGATGGGCCCAATGCTGTTGTTATCATCGACGTTCCCACTTCTGATATCGTCAACCCTTACACAGGCGATCACCTCAGCGATTCAAGACGCAATGAGAAAGCACTCGTGCTTCCTAGTAGTCTTAGGATCGTGGTCGGGCGAGAAGATCTAGGACAGTCTAATGATTTCTTTGCGCCCTCCACTAAGCCCTCCTATGGAGAGAGCTTTTGGCTGAATTTTGTCACTCATCATATGAGACAAGGGATGGTCAAGAGTGTGAATGTTGGCGACAGAATTCTGAAGTATGAGAGAGATCTGGAATCGAAAAACTATTGGATGGTGTCTGAGTATAGGACCGAGGCGTCTGAGATGTTCGATGCTGTGAGATTTGACGAAGAGGACGAAGACACATCGATTCCTCTAGTGGAAGCTGGTGAAGCTGGCGTCGAAAGGTTGTCTGATCATGATATTGAGCGACATGAACGTTCGTCTTCGGTGGAGGCCGGCTTCGAAATATCGTCTTTCGATCATGATGCTGAGACAGATCAAAGCCCACAATCGGTGATGGATGGTAATATTTGGAAACGAAAGGAGTTGGCATTAGGTAGCTCCGAGTTGAACGAAACACCCTCAGCCAGCTATGATGAGGGCTCCAAATATGGTAATGATATAGACAAACTGGATCGGATCAAGAAGTCGAATTGGAGGTAGCGTAATGATAGCTTGTTGTTTGTAGATCTAATATATCGGTTAATTCTATAAACAAATCACTTGAGCACTCGAGGTCCATGTCGAGTGGTCTCGTGCACGATATGAAACTCACATTACGTGAAGAAGGGTAAAGTATGCCAACATATGGCTTCAAAAGAAAAAGGATATCTCGAGCATCATCAAAAGCGATGAGGTAAAGGGACAAAACCATCGATGAAAGAGGAGGAGATGTGGTCGGGTTATCCATCACGTGCATTTGCGCTGTTTGCAGCTTACCTAAGGTTTTTCTATCTCCGCACAACTGCGTCCCTTCTGTCCTTTTCACGCATCTATGTTACGAGCCTGCGAATACTCTCTGATTCAATACCAAATCTCATTCTTGTTGTGTAGTCGAAACACCGACAGTGGCCATCATAAAAACGTCAAACGCTGGGCATTCGCGAGTATCCGCCGCCACTTACTGTTTGCAGAGAGCAAGCGCAGTGCGAAAAGAATTGATCTACACGAACGTTGAAGCTGATTTTCATGCCAGTGCGTGTAAGCAGATTGGGTGAAAGTTGTTCAGAAACGGTACTTTGATTTGAACCTCGAGTGAGTTGCGCACCGTCCGGAGCTATCTCCGGACCCGAGGCATGTTGGCTCGGATTTGCTTGAAGTATTTCGTCTCTGTGCCGATAGCAGGATGTCATTCTTTGTCTAATTCTCCACGTGTGGGTGTTTTGTTTGGCCAGGTTGAAAGATTCGATCATCTCCTTTTTACCGTTTTCATCAATTTACTTCCATCACCATAGGACGGCAGCTCTGCTTTGTTCCCCAATCCATGAATGTATTGTTTGACTACTTGTTTCCATTCTATATTCTGTTAAAGAAGCTACAATGGATCTCGCAATCTCAATTGGGATGAAGCAGTACGCCATCCTAGCTTTCTTTTCATCCCCCTGCCTGAAGAGACATCTTCAAGATGGGGCTCTCCCAGACCGGGCAGGGCTTCCGACCCTTTCTCAGACTCCCTCGAAAGAAGGTATAGCTGTTATAAACTTATGTAGGCACTTTGTACATTGGAATGACTGCACCCAGACTTCGGAGAAAAAGATGTTTGAGGTGAAGACCATTTGAACATAGAAAAAAAAACATGAAAGCGCCTGGTGCCTCATCAACAAGCGCCGAAAGTCAAACACTTCCATCTCTCCCCCAATTCAAACCATTTCTTTCCTCCACTACTTCTTGTCTCTTCCTACCCATTAATATTCACCAGAGTAGAACTCAAGCTACCCATCTGATTATTTCCGGATTACGAATCTCTTATTTCCAGCTCCATCCTCGCATGCAGTTCACCATCCTAGGCCCAAAGCCACGGTAAAGGTACCGCATCCCAACCACGAGTTGGTAACTAAAGATGGGACGAACACGAAAATCACTGAGGGCTCCGTACCTTCCGCATCATCGCTAGCAACATCCACTCAGCACAACTCACTAAAAAATTACCCTTGAAGACACCCCAGAATAGCTTTTTCCAGGGCAGAGGCTCAAATGCTCGGTCATATGTTCGGAGCCTCTTCGCCACCACGAGCTTTTAGGGCCTCGCAGCCTGGGGATCTCGGCCAAATACATCGGACGGCGGCGGTTCGTGCCTGGACGTCCCTGACCGAAGCTGCAGTTTCCCCGCTTCCCCAATCATGTTGGCGCGCGAACGACCCCGCATGACCAATTGGATGACGGAGACTCCGCAAAAGAGTCGGCCCGTTGGAGGGGAAGAGAGGAGGTCCAGGACACCGGTGAGGTTTGTGCTTTGATGATGTTGAGGCGCGACCGACGGACGCGGAGGAATTCTTAAGCTTGGAGATGTGGAGTTAGTTGCTGTGGACTAGCCGCTCAAAAGAAGGAGAACCCCGATGATCTGAATCGTAAAGGTGTCTGGAGCATTGTTAGACATCCAAAGTAAGTTGATCTTTTTCCATGTCTTCATTGCTGACAGGCAATAGTTATCGAAGAGATATTGTATAAGAGTGTATTGACATCTTGACACTGGTCGTACAGAAAGGTCAGGAGATATCGAGTTGACATCATTCTTCAAGATGCGCTTTTCTGTCGAGGTCATAGGACTGCTGACCTGTTTTCTCTCTCAAGCTATTGCAGCTCCAGGAAAGAGAGATCTCACCTCGTTTACTGCTGCTGAACGAGCAATTGCGTTACAGGGAGCCTTGAACAACATTGGACCAGATGGAGTAAAGGTTCCTGGTGCTGGTGCGGGGTTCGTGGTTGCCAGTCCAAGTAAAGTAAATCCTGACTGTAAGTACTCTTCTATGAATGGGTCAAGGGATTGAAGATTGATTCTGACTCTGAACAGACTTCTACACTTGGACTCGAGACTCCGCTCTCACACTGAAGATGTTGATTGATGAATTTATCTTCGGAAACACAGCCCTCCAATCTTATATCGACGACTACATCCACGCTCAAGCAAAACTCCAAACAGTCTCCAATCCGTCAGGGACATTCTTACCCGCCGGACTCGGTCTCGGAGAGCCAAAATTCCAAGTCGACGGCACCCGCTTCAACGGTGCCTGGGGTCGCCCTCAACGAGATGGCCCAGCTCTTAGAGCGATTGCCTTAATGACTTACAGCAACTGGCTCATCAAGAATGGAAATTCTACAGCAGCAAAGACAATCATCTGGCCTATTATCGCCAATGATTTGTCTTACGTCGGAGAATACTGGAATCAGACAGGATTCGATCTCTGGGAAGAGACTCTTGGATCCAGTTACTTCACCATCCAGAACCAGGCCCGAGCTCTCATCGAAGGTGCCCAACTCGCTCATGATTTGGGCGTCACATGTCCAGGCTGCGTCCAAGCTCCCGAGGTCCTTTGCTTTCTCCAAAGTTTCTGGAATGGGGAGTTTATCGTGAGCAATATCAATATTGACAATGGCCGCACTGGAATCGACGGAAATTCAATCTTGGGTCCGATTGCGATTTTTGATATCGATGCCTATTGTGACAGTCCGACAATGCAGCCTTGCCACAGCAACAATTTGGCAAATTTCAAGGTGTTGATAGATACCTTCAGAGCAACGTATGCCATCAATGATGGAATTCCAGAGGGGCAGGGAGTTGCTGTCGGACGGTACGCTGAGGATGTCTACATGGGCGGAAATCCTTGGTATGTCCCTTTCCATTCTCTCACTCCCCACTGCTAATCTTTCATAGGTACCTCATCACCACCGCAGCGGCCGAGTTCCTCTACGACGCCGTTGCCCAATGGAAAGCTCGCCACGTCCTAATCGTCGACAGCACCTCCCTCGCTTTCTTCCAAGACATCTACCCATCCGTCACCGTCCGCCAATACAACTCCGGCAACGCCAACTCGCCTTTCGCCCAGATAATGGACGCCGTAACAGCATACGCCGACTCCTTCGTCGCAGTAGCAGAGAAATACATCCCCTCCAACGGATCGCTCGCCGAGCAATTCAACCGCACAACGGGAGTTCCCCTTTCAGCTAACGATCTCACCTGGTCGTACGCTGCATTCGTGACTATGGCGCAACGACGAGCAGGTCAATATCCTGCGTCATGGGGAAGTAGGAATGCGATTGCGCCTCCAGCTACTTGTGCCGGCACCAGCACGACAGGAGTATACGTCCCTGCCATCGCAGCAGGAGCTCCGAATGTGACGAGTACATGTCAAGTCAACGTTATATTCGACGTCAACGCCACGACGTACTATGGCGAGAATCTGTACGTGATCGGGGATACGGATGATCTCGGTGTGTGGGATGTCTCGAATTCGCTACCGATGGGAGCAGGTGGGTATACTTCAGAAAGACCGCTTTGGAGTGTAAGTGCGTACTTGAATGCTGGGGAGGAAGTCAATTATAAGTATGTGAGGCAGGAGGATTGTAATCAGCCGTATATTTATGAGACGGTCAATAGGACATTGACGGTGCCGGCTTGTGGGAGTGCGGCGATTACGACGAATGATGCGTGGGATGGGCCGGTTGGGACGAGCGGGAATTGTGGATCTTAAGAACATTTGTTTAGCCTTCTGAAGAAGAATCAACAAGTATACTTACCAGATTGGCTTTTAGCTTGGCACCTTGTATGAGGGCGCAGATCAGTCAGTGCCTTCCTTGGGAGATCGTTATGCTACCAAACGTACTATGGGCCGTGATCAAGTCAGTGCTTCTACTGGTTCGAAATCGATAATGTTCTTCCAGAGCAATTTTGAATCTCTGAGCGGACGTGACGGGCTCCTCCATCCCTCGAATTGGTGACCGTCGCTATATGAAAAAGACCTAAGACAAAATCTAGCAAGAAAAGTTCAGCGATATGATCGATAAGATCCATACCAAAGACGAATGGGAACTTACTAAATAGATTTCTAGTCGGAAGCCAAATTGGCTACTAGTGTATGCGCTATGCGTCTAAGTTTTGGAGAGTATTGCAACGAAATCTCTCATAGAGACGTTGTCTCCCTTGACATTGGACTTTCCAAACAGCCGTTGGCGTGGTCAAGGTTAGCTGCATGCACGGCGTGCCACGCAAATGCTCCTTGCCATCAAGGTAAATCAAATTCATTTTGAAGCGACGAAATTCTTATCCTGTAGAGAGTGAAAGACTCCTCGAAAGAAAGCCCACATCAATGTAGGGTAGTATTGCTCAATGAGACATGACCCCACCCCCTTGCTAAGCGAAACTCGCTTGTCCGCCTCACTTTCCCCAATTGCACACAGCCTTCTCTCGTGAAAGCCCATCCAAAGGCAGATTCCTGCTTATCAAACCCAATATGGACTTACCAAGACGGGTCACCGACAACCTGCATGCAGATTGCCGCAACGCTACTGAACGTGGAGGTAAATTACCCAATAACGACCACACCTTGAGATCCCGCATGTAACAGAAGGCATGGCTCCAAATGGAGGGGTAAGGTTCAGCCGCACTCTTATCATATTCCCTCAATCCGCTCTTCCTTTTCTTTCTCAGATGTTCTGCTCAGCTCTCTTGGACCTCTAATTCTCTGTAGTTCGGGCTTCTCGATCCAAATCTTGTAGCAATTCAACAGCTCCAGTTTGTTGAAGGGCTCTCAAATATGGGTTTCAACGAGCGTCGAGCTCAACTGCTCGGTAAGTCGTAAGGCTGGCTCATCCGCTCACAATGCTGACGAAAGATAGCAAACGTCAAGTTCCTTTACGGACCCGACACCGAAGTCCTCACTCTTTCCCACGATGCCGGCCACCAAGCCATCGCCGTACGATACGATGTCTTTTCCGCATCATGGACGAAGTTTCTCCACGGGCACCGCAATTCCAGAAATACTATGGATGCCCTCCAATGTCTGCTTCGCGAGACGGAAATCGAGATCACAAAACGACTTTCCGTGAACGGTGTCAGCGTTCCATTTGCCGAATCGAATGGCATGCAGAATATGAGTCTACATCGCAGAATGCACCATGGTCTTGGTCCTAGCAGCATTGCGAGCTCTGATCAGTCGAGGTTTGAGTTCATAGCTACTCCACAATCGAGCGTGACGGAGAGAGACATTCCTCATCCTTGTGAGTCCTGTGAGGCACTTACAGAGGAGCCTGGACTTAATCTTGCCGTCGATCCCGTCGAGGATGAATGGGCTTTGCCGATCTCTAAGAAAAAGAAGAAGGGGAAGAAGGGTGTTTTGGGTTGGTCGTTTGAAGACCCTGTTATTGAGGAAGCTGTTTCCGAGCAACCGCCTCAAGCACCGCAGCCGGCGTCTGAACCACTGGCTGAGGTGGTCGATGACTGGGGCTCTTTTTGGGCTTCCAAGAAACAGAAGAAAGGGAGACATATTGTCACCACCGTCGATTGCGCTGTCGACGACGTACCCAGGGTCAAGGAACCACCTGCGCCTGAGCCGGAACCAGTCGTCGAGACTGCGGTCGTCGAGCCTACTGACGAGTTTGACTGGGGCTTCAGCTCGACTAAGAAGAGTAAGAAGAAGAAAAGCAAGAGTGCCGCTCTCTGGGACATCGAGCCTAGTGACCAGCCCACCACTGAAGGCATACCGGTCGAGCAGCCTGTAGAGGTAGCCCCTGCCGAAGAGCACAAGGTGGAAGCGGAAGAGGTTCCAGCACCGGAGCCGAACCCTGAAGATGACCCTTGGGCAGCAGCTTTCTTGCCTAAGAAAGGTGGTAAGAAGGACAAGAAAAAGAGGTCAGTCCGGATCGAGACTCCACCACCTGAGCCAGAAATCGCTTCAATTACGGAAGAGAATTCCTCTACCCTTCCTCCACCTGAGTCAGGACCCGACGCAGCGACTGAGGAGAGCATATGGGATGCATTTTCAAGTCAGAAAGACACCAATGTGGCCGTGGAAGAAGTCCCACCACCAGCTCCAGCGGACCCTGAGCCTGAGCCTGAGCCTGAGCCTTCTATTGAGTTCGGATGGGGATCCTTCTCGTCCAAGTCCAAGAAGTCCAAGAAAAAGAAAGCAAGCTCTTCAAGCTGGGAAGTGGAGGCTGAGCCTCAACCACCACCTGAGCCCATGACACCTGAGTTGGTCCCTCAGGATACGCAATGGGATTTCTCGTCGGCTCGCAAGGGCAAGAATAAAGAAGAAGCTGTGGCCGTGGAGGAGAGCTCACTAGCTGTACCGGAGCCAGAACCCGTTTCTGAATACGATGGATGGGGCTCATGGGGCTTGAGCAAGAAAGAAAAAAGAACGAAGGCAGCTCAAGCAATAGTAGAAGAAAAACAGGATCCACCCGTGGAGCCAGCTGTAGCTGCCGATGGCTCTTCAAGCTGGACAATCAATCCGAACACGGGAATCATAGAAAGGAGCAAAGAACCTGAGCCAGTTCCTGAGCCAATTTCCGAAGACGATGATTGGGGTTCCTTCGTGCCGAAAAAGAAGAAGAAGGGTAAGAAGGGGAAGTCAATAGTACAAGATGATCTGCCCTTGGAAGAGGAGCGAGTGTACACTTGCACCATTGCAAACTGCGGATGTGAATTTTCTGTCCCACCCCCGCCCCCACCACCAGAGGAAATCATCGAAGCGCCACCAGAGGTCATCGAGACAACGCTCCCACAACAAGAATCCAGCACCGTCACTGAAGCAACTATCCCCGAAGTCGAATCTCGCAAGCTATCCGGCCACACCGTCGTCCTGAAGATCCACCACACAAGCAACGCTGGCAAGAACATCTTCATGACAATGTTGACGCTAGAGGAGAATACCCGCCAGGCGATTTTCAACGCCGTGACAAGATATCTTGACTCCAAGTTTGCACAGGTTGAGCGAAGCCTTGAGATAGTTTGGTGTTGGCAAGAATGGGGATAGTTTTGATTTGTCTGGTCTCCACGAAGATATGTGGCCGGAGTATTTGGATTACTTTTCCGAGTGTACGAAGTTTCCTGAGTTGACTGTTGAGGCGGTTGATGTCTAGTAATGAAGTTTAATGATGGTTCCGATTATTTTCTTCTTGTTTTGGGTTTTTGGGATTTCAATACTACGCTCGCTTGAATGGAGGGCTATTTTGCACACGTTAAGCTCGATTTAATGATACAAATGATATAAATTTGTTTGAAATAATCATTAACAACGTAAAAGTCAAGTCTATATTCGTGATTCAGGAATTCGAAATTCATGCCTTCATTTTCAAGATCGTGGAGATCAATTTCCCGTTCCAAGTCCGACTCTCGTGCTCGACATTGCATTGACGTCTGCGCCATGCCTAGGCTCCCCTTTTGTCGTTGAAAAGAGAGATTTCATGATCGTGCGACGCTTGTCCTGGATCAGTACCTCTCCGAAGCGTAACTTCGAGGAGAACTGTAGGAATCTTGCCTATTGAGATTGACAGGCTCCTTGTGATTGAAAGATTCTCCTCCATGACAGGGACAATAACACAACCTTGCATCCTGCTTCATCGAACAAGGGCAGAAGATGCCTCCAGATTCTGATGAAGCCAAGTGTGCCATCGCCATATTATCCCCATCCAAAGCCCACATCGTATTCCCAGTTCTCCCAGCCTGGCCTGTGCCCGTGGCTTCGATCTCAAAGTCATTTTTGTTCTTGCGGATACGCGCGGAGCCTGTCGTACCAGTCACCGTTGCCTCTGCGTCACCGGTGGAATTAATAAGGGCGGTCGCATCGCCACGAGATGCCACCAATGCGTTTCTCAGGTGTCGAGGTGCAGTCGACATCGTAGATACCATCCGCCTAAGACTGCCTTTCGGCTGACTGACGATAGCATTTGAAGACGGATTTGTCCGAGTAAGGGCAGTGGACATTGATCCCAGCCTTCCGCCTTTTTTGCCGTCTTCAATCATTTGCGAAGCAGGCACCGCTGACATTGACAAAGCCCTATGCGTATGGATCTTCGCAGCACTATCTCCGGCTGAAACAGCAGCTCCTTGGTTGGATGCAAGAGCTCGAGAACCGCTACCCTCGGTGTGGACGGATAGTTCTGTTTTACCAGCTACAGCCGCGCTCACAAACTTGCCCTGGGTGGCTTTTGCGAATGCTGAAGCTCCATTGTCGCGTGTGCCAGCCTGAGCGCTACCTTTGACATATGCGGCTTCCGTGCTTGACAAACTTCCTGCACTTGTCAGTTTTATATCAAGTGCGAGAATATTGCTGAGTTGTACTGTAAGGCTTTTTTTGAGTACTCCCACGTGCAACAAGAGCGTGATAGGTTTCGCCTTCGCCAGCGAGTCTGCTTTCTTGGTTACCCATGGCAGTAACAACTTCGTCAAATGTGAGTACCCACAACTTGTAGTCCTTGCGTACATTCGGGGCTAGAGTGTCAATTATATGAGGAGCAAAGGTCTGCACGCCATGTTTCTCATGGAATAGAACTCCTTCGTGATTGGAGCCTCACTCGACATTAGAGGGCATTTTGACACCGTCCTGAAATATGGATCACCAATAATAAGTTTTTGACATAGGTACAGTGAACTTAAATGGACGCCACAGAAGAGGAAATCAAGGAAGAGCGCAAGTAAAATCACACCCAAAAGAAAACAGGGCTGAAAAACGCCCTTGATCTGCATGTCCAGCCTTGCAGGGCGACCAGTCATCTTAGTCTGAAGAAACATTTCAAGAGATAAGATCACAGTAAACTCAAGTATCAAGCGAGTGGTCTGACAGCTCTATATTCAAGAGATGCACCAGCCAGGACACAAACAAGGCTGCAAGACGCAGAACGTGGAGTTCAATAAGTATGCAGATTTGCTGTGCTAGCAATGAAATATGTCCCAAAATCTTGAACTCATGCTACTTCTCGAATCGAATTCCAATCGAAGAGTGGAAGCTCAACAGATGGAATTAAAACAATAGACATTAAAGAAAGAAAGTAGATTGATGGTGCTGCGATAAAATCTGAGGCTACCTATATATGTGTTGTTCGGAAATTCCGCCCCGCGTTTTAAATCGGCCCGAGTTCCCAACGACTCGCATTTGCCAGACCCGACCAACCAGAACACCGAAACCTAAACCCTATACAACCTATGTCTGTGGACGACATGACGGAAAGGAACCTCCCTATCGTCGCCGTTGCAGGACTCGCATGCGAGACTTCCACCTTCAGCCCAGGACGAACTCTCGCTCCCGCTTTCAAACCCAAACGTGGGGGTGAGATTATATCACATTACAGCTCTTTCATCGGTCCCTCGACACCCTTAGGAAATAAAGTAGAATGGAAAGGGGCTCTCATAGGCCATGCATTGCCAGGTGGAATCGTGACGAAAGATGCCTTCGAGGAACTCGCGCGTGAAATCATAGCTCGACTTCGAGACATCGTCTCACAGAGTCCGATTCAAGGACTGTGGTATGACATTCATGGTGCTATGTGCGTGGAGGGCTTGGATGATTGCGAAGCGGAACTTCTGAGGCGGATCAGAGGAGTGATTGGGAAGGATGTGTTGGTTTCTGCGAGTATGGATTTGCATGGGAATGTTTCGAGAGAGTTGTGCCATATGACGGATCTCATCACGTGCTATAGGACGGCGCCGCATGTCGATGTTAGGGAAACGAGGGAACGGGCTTGTAGGAATTTGGTTGATTTGTTAGAAAGTGAGAAGGGGAGGCCGTTGAAAGCTTGGGTGCCGATTCCGATTTTGTTACCGGGAGAACAAACGTCGACGAGGTTAGAGCCGGCTACACATATCTATGCTGCTGTTCCTGAAGTTGAGAAGACAGATGGCGTGATCGATGCCGCGATATGGGTTGGCTATGCGTGGGCAGATGAACCTCGGAACCGAGCTGTGGTCGTTGTTACAGGATGGGACAAGAGCGCTGTCTCAGTAGGTGCTGAAAAGCTAGCAAAAATCTTCTGGGCAGCACACAAAGACTTCAAATTTGTGGCACCAACCGGTACCTACAAGGAATGTCTCGACATAGCACTCGCTTCTAAGGCTCGACCGTACTTCATATCAGACTCAGGAGATAATCCAACAGCAGGAGGCTGTGGTGATGTTACCTGGGGACTTACACATTTACTCGCTCGACCGGAATTCAAATCTCCTAGTGGCCCAACGGTGATATACGCATCAGTTCCAGGACCCAAAGCTGTCGAAGCAGCAGTCCAAGCTGGCATTGGAGCCACAATCACAGTAACAGCAGGAGCAGAAATCGACAATCTGCATGCAGGTCCCGTCACCATTACCGGACGCGTACACTCAATCAAGCACGGCGACAAAGACGCAGTCATCGAAGTCGTTCTCCAAGTTGGATCCGTATTCGCTATCCTTACCAAGCTTCGAAAACCATACCACCATGAGTCTGACTTTACGGAACTGGATTTGAAGCCGCGGGAGGCGGACATTGTGATTGTAAAGATTGGATATCTGGAGCCGGAACTTTTTGACATGGCGAAAGATTGGATGTTAGGACTGACTCCCGGAGGTGTGGATCAGGATATTAAAAGGTTGGGACATGTGAGAATCAGGAGGCCAATGTGGCCGTTTGATGAGAAGTTTGAGAAGGAGCCGGATTTAAGAGTGAGGTTCATCGAAGGGAGTGGTGAAAGTCTGGAGGGGGTTGATGAGTAGGCGCAAGGTGTAAAATAAATACTCGACAAACGATACGAATATCGGGGTCCATATTGGATATCTGTAAAGTTATTTCCACACCAAAGCATGTTCCAGATGCCTTCTATACCATGTTTCTCTAGTGTTGAAATCGTAATAGCTCTCAGAAGATACGGAAAGTCCGCTTTCGCATCTCCCCCCCTCTTATACCCTCCATGACTTCTCCGTTCATGATACCTTCTACATAAGCCTCGCCTACTATCTGGAAACCATTTCCGCTTTCACTACGCTCTCTCAGTACGAATGGAACGGTACTGCCAAACAGTACAGCAATTTTATCTTTTCTTTGCGTTTCAGGTGGGCCGAGACCCATGTATCCGTTTTGCGTGACTATGAGGCGTCTTCCTAAGGCATACTTTTCGAGTCCTGGGCGCTTCGGGTCTTCATATGAGCCTAGTCCGAGGTCGTCCTTGGATCGAAGGTGTTCGAATGGGTCAGGCACGACAGATGGAAGTAGGAATGGAGATGCGTTCAAGTCATATATCCCGTTCTCCCACAGGGCCGCCAGAGAGTCAGAGAATGTTTTATCAGTGCCAGTCTTCCGAGGACCCCTCGGCTTCCAGTGTGAAGGAATCCTGGGAAGATAGGAATCTATGTTCCTGGAACCACGGTCTTTGCAGTCCTCTTTGGTACAGATCACGTAGCCCGCGGTCAGCGCCTGCCAGAATGCTCGAGTTCGTCCTCCTACTATAACGTAGGGATCGGGGCCAGTGTATTCGTCAAGGAAGACTTTCCTACAATTACTAACGTTGAGCATGAAGTAGGTTGAGTTCTGCCACGGCTCAGAGACGCCTGTTGGAAATAATTCTCCAACTGATAAAATGGTATCAAATAGGACGCCATCGGCATCCAGAGCTGACTGCTCCCTCAGGTGACGAACACTGCTAGTGTGACTGCCAGATGCCTTGTACTCGTCGCTGTGGAGGAGGGCGTAGTCACTAGCATGTGGCCAACCTGGTGCCCACGATGGCAGACCGTCCAACGGCTGTCCTTGGCAGTGCTTCAACAGTTCTAGACCGGTGCTGGAATGGATCAAAGATAGAGCGATATCTGCATATAACTGAACTGTTGATTTGCGATAGTCGACCGAAACGTTGGACACGTTTCCAGGGAGTTCCTCCCCTTCAACGGCCAATCCCATAAGTCCGTAGACCTTGTCCCGTGGATCGGATGCTTCGCGACCCCGGTGCTGGACCAGAAGAGGAAAAAGGGTCTGATATATATTCCTCCGCGTGTCTTCGAGCTCGATTATGGGCTGGAGATGTCGGAGTTGTTGACGAAGTTCCGAATTATGGACATTCAGCCTCTCAGCTGCCACAGCAATGTATGACCATGGCAGCGACAGCCAGCCACAAAGAACCACCACATTACCCTCGGGCTTCACCGAGCCTCCATTAACAAGCTCTTGCACGATCCAGATTCGTGTCCACCACCTCCGTTGGAAAAGGCAGTCGAGTGCCAGGATCTCATCGTCACTCATCGTCCATACCTTGTCTGCTGCATACTCTGGCATTCCCAGTTGTCGAACAAGGTTCATAGCTATGTTGCTATTATTTTCTTCTTCTCCAAGCCAGATCCATAGTTTCCTCGCATTTAGATATATGTCACCCATCAAGCGTACCTGGTGAGCTTTTTCGATGTCGTCAGTCTGGTTTATGCACAGAGCATCGATCCAGATGACTACTGTTTCCGACTCGGACTCGGGATCCTTATGCTCTACCGGTCTAAGTCGCGAATTTGAGGCCTTCACAGCTGTTTTTATCTTCATTTTCTTTCGCTTCACCTGCTGCCAGCCTGCATTCTCATCGGCCTCCTTCTTTTCTCCAGTGTCCGGCTTCTTCTTAACACCCAACGTGACACGTCGACGTCGAAGGAACGAAGCCAAATTGAGACTCACAGAATGAAGCATGCCGTCGATCGAAATTGGTATGGTACCACGCAAGTCCTGCCATGTGTATGACAGAGCCTCATAGTAAATTGTCGAATCGAACAAAGAAACTGTTTTCAAGCAGCATCTTATCTCCTCATCCCAGGTTTTGGCTGGTAGGATGTGCAATAGTCGGATCTCAGAGCGATTGTTGTAATTTATCGGAGAATACTCTCTGACATGAAGCCTGGTACTACTTTGTTGTGTAGCCTCAGGGTGATGCATTGGAGGGGTGTCGATGGAGAGAAAGTCGGTGTCGACAGTGATATCCTCAAGGCGATTCATGTTGTCTATTTCGATTGTATGTCATTGCTGATCAGAGGAAGAAGTATTTGAAGAACTAATAGTGATGCCTATAGCCTGGTGGAAGTTGAAAGTAAAAGGGAACTCGGCCAACCTCGCTTCGGGAAAGCGCGCCACTATGCAAGCCACACAACCAGCTGAAGACACCGACCTCAACCAACTGAGAGTACAAATTAGAACAACCAGAGAGAGAGAGGTTGACCTGGGATCATATACTCTATATTATATTATCGTAGCAAGAGATCAGCCGAGGATACCTCTCACCTTCGGTTCTAAACCTCACCTTCAAACCCCCATCCTCTCCAACTCACCCCTAAATCTACAAAGTCTCGCAACTCCATTAATATAATCTTCTCAAGAAAATCGCAATCTGCTCTTCGAGTACCAACCAAACTTTTAATCTCTCGTATTAGTCCTTGGCAAAGTGGTTGTTGACACATATTAGAATCACCAAAGTCAAGGAGCAAATTTCTGGATCCACACGCAACAACAAAACTTTTGCGCACTTTTCACGTGAACAGACTTTGGTCTTAAAGCTATCTAGGTATAATTCCGCATTATAAGGCTATTGGTACAACGAGAAATCTAATCTAAGGATAGTTGCAACAAGCTTTTGGGAAAGGAAATGGGTGTTTGTAAGGTTACCTCCAGTTCCGCCTACAACGCCCAATACACTTCCCTTGTAAACGCCATTCCATGCAACACTTCATACAAATTCTTTCTGCACTCACGCATAGAACTCTTGTCCCGTACCGTCCAAATCCATGAACTGCTCAAGATCGGCTGCACCTTCGAATGGAGGGGCAGGTCGAAGTTGTTGTTCATCTGGAAAGATATTGTCGGCTGCTGGTCCATTGAGACCTCGGCTGACCTTGAACTCGGCCGGAACAGACGGCCCAAGTGTATCTCTCCGATTCTTCTTTCTCTGCTCCGGTACTTTGTTATTGTCCCGTCTGCTATTCATCCATTCTCCTGCGTCGCCAAGCTTTCCAGCAATCTGATCTAGCTTGAATTGCGCAGCTCCACGCAGAATTGGCAATAGAGTTTTTGTTTCGTACCAGCGACCGCGGATATCGGTAAGTTCCTTGTGTGCGGCTGGCTCTAGTAGTCGCCATTCATACCAAGTGTTTGTACCAGCATTTTCTGCGGTTTCATTTCTGAACCGAAGATCTGCAACCATGCGAGCAGGTAGATCGGGAGTAGGCCACTGCGATCGATTTGTGTACTGGGAAGGCATCTCGACAAACTTATACACATCGCCAACAAATGTGACAGACGATTTGCCTTGTACAGTACGCTCAATAAGTTTCTGGATGACCATAACGACCATATCGGGAACAGGCTTTGGTGGAACCTTCAAACGAACTGGTTCTCCAACCCATATTTTCTCAGCACCGAGGAACATGCCATTATAATGCACTTCGCCGGGGCTCGCCAATGCATTTTCTTGACGTTCAAACAGCGAGTAGCTTGCGTCGACCATCTTTGCTGCGAGAATGCTACCATCGACAACGTGGTCATGTTTGCGGTTACCATCAAATTCTCCGGCCACTACTCGATCCCAAGGAACGTTTTCGAAGGCCATATTGTTGAGACTCGGGTTCGTGGTTTCGGGAACGCTCCATGCAAGCCATGGTCGAAGAGAAGTCTCCTGGTCCTTGATTTGCTGTGCCTGGTGCTCCAAAGGGTTGGAAAGAGGTTGAATAAGATACCGTGGCTGGCCAGTTACCAGTCCTCGCTTTCCAATGACGCCTAATCGCCAATTGGGGTCGTTATTGAACCATACGACTTCTCCTGGTCGGTAGAGGAATTTGCTATTGGGGTCGCCATCGGCTTGCTGCTCTGACGATCTTGTAGTCACTTGTCGAGTCGGTTGTGCAGGTAATTTCGAAGGAACTAGGACCACAGGGACGGATGTAGTTATAGGTATGGCCTTGGGAGTGGGTGCGAAGATTGGGGTGGGTTTCTGCTCCTTCTTTATTGGCTTGTCCTCGGATTTGGCTTTGCCAGCATTTTCAGCGACCTCTCCATCTCCTTCTGGCGAGCAGATCTTGCATGAGCAATTTGCAGGATCATCTTCCCTATCGACTGCAAGCCACAGAAGATGTGGAAAGAAGTCTGCAGGGCTCCTGAAGCGTTTCTTCCGACCTTGTGGATGGCCATACAGATACGCATCTTGTCGTTCATAGGTACCAGCTGCATGCTTGCCACCCTTGTCTTTCTTGTCTTCCGTCATCTTATCCTTGTTGTACTTAACATGTTCCCACAGCGTATATCCATCAGGTAGCTCTTTGAGGATGTAGTTTCGAGCTGTGACGTGTAAGTTGTCTATTGTAAAGGAGCATTACAGGCCAACTCACTTTTAGAGAACTCATCTGAATTCCCTCCTAGCTCACGCATCATCATACCTCCAAGTTTACGTCTCCAATCGATTGCCTTCTCTGCATCGGGTTCCAAGCTCCTGTAACAATCGACATTGCCATTAGCATCGGGAGTATCGTTCAATTGGGCGGTGGTGGGCTGGTTCAGTTCCTTGACACCTGTTTTTGTGATAAATTCCAGCAGCCCATCTGATCGAGTGACAAACAGAGGATAGTAGGGAGCCATCTCGTCGGGTCCCTCGTACGCTTTCGCGTCTCTGAAGGTCCTCCCGCCATGGACAGAGCGCAGTCCACAGAAGGTCGACATGGAGATGCGGCGCGGGCGGACTGTCGGCCCGAAAGCGAGGGATGACAAGATGAAGTAAGGATCGGTGATACATCGGCCCGAAGATGGGACTAGGTACAGATTCCGTCTGACGCCTGGACATGTGATGATAAGATAAGACTTTAGCGTGATCCGGGATTTCTTGAGAGAAAAAATTGTCAGTTCAACTTATGGAACAGGACACATCAGTTGTTGACCTTGAAAATAGTAAATTCCATCACTCATCAGTATAAGCTCCTCACATAGACAGGGGAATCTTGGCAGGTACATACAATGCATGTACAAAATGATTGCAGGCATAGCAAGCAACAAATGCACATATCCGTGGTTTGAGTGTAGTTCTTCCAACTGGGAGAACACTACAAAGTGATATCACCCCTGGATACCTTACAATGAAAGTACATACTCCATGCATCAGACATGCAATTTATCACAATGTGAATCTAACTTGAAAGCCTGAAAGTCCTTACAATTTGATCCATCTGAACACGGTGACTCGCTTGCTCATTAAAATGTTCGCCCTGGACGCGCGCGAACAGACGCGTTTCCCGAAGCGTCCAGAGTGCATTCAGAAAACACAATCCCATCTCCATTCCAATTCTTCAGCCTCACCACATATGCGGATGCGCATTTCTTTGCGAACTTGAATCTCTGATTTGGAGCAGAAGCTGTCATTAATTTTCTGCGAGAGTCAATGGGAAATTGCGCGCCGCGGTTCAGCGTCTGCCTTTCGTCATTCGCCTCTCCTTGAACAATTTCCACCTCTTCTTCACCACTTCCTCACAACTTCCTCCAACCCTACACCAAGATTGTCGCATTAACTTGCTCCACCAAGGCGATCGCAACATGCAGAACCCATATCCTCCCCTCCCACCGAGTCCGCAGGCACAATCAGCAGCCCGGCGCACCAACACTTCGAGTCTCCTCGCTCAATTTGGCGTCCGAACTGAACACAAGAATGATCTGAGCGACAAGAACATGAATCCGATCACGAACACTTCACCGAAAGCCTCGATGCTTAACACCTCTCCTCTGCCAATGCGCACCCCTCCCAAGCAACACTTCATCGACCTGTCCAACGACAGAGACGAGAAGACCGAGAAGAACAAACCAGATGAACAAGTAGCAAATGGGGACGATGATTCCGTTATCGAATATGCACGCCCGCGCAGATCGAACAGGCAACGCCGTACAAATACGTCTACACCGAGCAACAGCTATGCCATCCAGAGATCCAACAAGCAGCTTTTCACTCTTCTGGGTGAAGACTTCGATCTGAGCCCGACAGTCAATACAAGAGTTGCGATACGACAAGAGATTGCCAGTAAGACCGCCGCATATCGAAACCAATTCTTGGTAGACCAGAAAGACTTATGGCTGCCCCTTCTACCCCAGCATAACTACATTCGAAAATTGGTACACAATCGTCTACACCTTTCTCCGGCCGATCTTGCGAAACTCCCAACAGTCACTCCTTACCAAGAGCTCGAACAGCAACCGCGAGGTGTCACAGCTGTTATGAAGCCTTATCAATTATCTGGTCTCTCGTTCTTGATGTGGCTGCACCACAATGGCTTGTCTGGTATTTTGGGTGATGAGATGGGATTAGGCAAGACGCTTCAGACATTGTCACTCATCCAACATCTTAAGGAGAACGATCCAAAGGCTGGTACAGGCAGATTACAAAGACCGTTCTTGATTGTTTGCCCGCTGTCTGTTCTCAGCTCCTGGATGTCTGAGACCAAGAAATGGACTCCCGGCTTGAAGGCGATTCGTTTTCATGGCCCCATTGCAGAGCGTCAGAGACTCAAGAAGATCGTTGTTGGAGAAATCGATCACTACGGAAATATGACATCACAAGCCAGATCAAAATTGAAGTCCAGACGAAATGCCGCTGGCAAGGAGTATATTTCTCTGGACACCGATTCTGAAAATGAGGAAGATCTTGGCGTAGACTTGGTTGTCACGACTTATGACTGCTTCAAGGCTGAACAGTCATGGTTCAAGACTGCCTTTGTCTGGCGTTATATTGTTCTAGATGAGGGTCATACTGTGAAGAATGATGCAAGTTTGATCTCAAAGTCGTTGCAAGGCATCAAGGCAGAGTACCGTCTGATCTTGACTGGCACACCACTCCAGAACAACCTGTCGGAATTATGGGCTCTGCTGCACTGGCTCTACCCGGAAGTCTTCAGTGCCAACACGAACGGATTGTTCGATACATCATTCAACCTCTCCAAGGGGCAATACTCGAGCACGGTTCTGGATGATGCGCGACGCTTGCTTGAGTTGATCATGTTACGCCGCATGAAGAATTCTCCCGGTGTTGATCTTAATCTTCCTCCGAAGACCGAAGTTCTCTTGTTCGTACCTCTTACCGAAATGCAAATATTCTGGTACAAGCGAATGATTACGAAGGCTGAGCAGACTTTGCTTGATGAGATTTTCAAGGATGTCAAAGGCAAAGAAGAGGAAAATATTAAGGCAATGAAGCAGATTGAAGCTCAGGAAGCTCAACTAATGAAGATGGAAGCCGACGCATTGACAGTTCTTGAGAATGATGCCTTGATCGGATCATCTGTATGGAAGGATACGAGGGCCATCCTGGAGCAGACCATTCAACGCGAGCAAGAACTCAACACTTCTGGGGAAACCAAGAAGTCCGAATGGCAGAAGCTCATGAATTTACTCATGCAGCTGAGAAAGGTTTGCAATCACCCCTACCAACTCCAGAATGCCGAGCCAGACCCATATTATACTGGTGATCATGTCATTACCGCTTCTGGAAAATTCATTGTCTTGGAGAAGTTGGTAAAGGAACTTGTTGTCAAACAAAAGAAGAAGATCCTAATCTTCTCTGGCTTCACAAAGATGTTGGACCTGGTTGAGGAGTTTCTGCTTCTAAGAGGTGGAGACGGTACAAGCTTTCGATCAATGCGCATTGATGGTTCAACTGCTAGAGCTCGCCGAAACCTTGGCATCAGAATGTTCAATGATTTGAATAGCGAGTACCGAGTCATGCTCATTTCGACTAGAGCTGGTGGTTTAGGAATCAATCTTGCCACTGCATCAGATGTGGTACTCCTTGATCAAGACTGGAATCCGCAAATCACTCTCCAAGCCGAAGCTCGTGCGCACCGTATTGGCCAGAAGAATCCGGTCACCATCTACAAGCTAATTTCCCAAGGTACAGTTGAGGAGCAGATGATGGGCCGAATTCAGAAGAAGCTGTACTTGTCTGCGAAGGTCACGGAGGCCATGCAAGATATCCACACTAAATTCGGTGCTGGCAACAAGTCTCGAAAGAGGGATACAACAGAGGACGATTCTATGCCACAATTGTCTACCAATCAATTGATGACTTTGCTTAGACGTGGTGCTACTGCCATCTCCAGACCAGAAGTTGACGTAAATGAGATGCTCAGCTGGTAAGTTTCCTCGCACCTTGACCTCTCAGATCTAATTCAAATTTCAGGGACTGGGAAACCACTGTCGCCAAGTGCAAAGACAATCCTGCCGATATGGTGGTCAAGCAAGATGCTGTTCCCGATGCTAAAATTGATGAAGAAGCTGAACGCAAATGGTTGTCGGAGATGGAGCGTGTTGAAGCGTCCATTTTTGAAGGAAAGAAACTGGCAAAGGGTGCGAGAAATAATTCGAACAAGGACATCGCCCAAGAATTCTTCAGTAGAGCCGACCGCCGTGTTGGCAAAAACACTACCGTCATGGTAGATGGTTATGCTGTGTCAAAGGAGTCGATGAATTGCGCCTGGGGCGAGGCTATTCCAACCATGGCTGGTAAGGATCCACGTCTGGCTGAACCGAAGCGATCCAAGAAAGCCGGAGTTATTCCACAGGAACATTGCCAAGTTTGCCTTGATGGTGGTGAATTGCATTGCTGCAAATTATGCCCTCGAGCTTACCACTATGAGTGTCTTGACAATGCCTACCAGGCAAAGGCCAGAGGTTGGACTTTCAATTGTCCTCAACACCGATGCTTTGACTGTTCGCAAGGCACCACTGAAGCCGGCGGCATGCTCTATCGTTGCCGATGGTGCGAGCGTGCTTATTGTGAGGACTGCTTGGATATGGAGAAGACTACTCTTATTGGTAACAGCCTCATGGAGTATGAGTTGTTGGGTTACCCCGAGATGGCTCAAGCATTCTACATCCAGTGCGCCGCCTGCAACGAGAATCACGAGCAGAATCCCAACAACAAGAAGCTCTGCGATGATCTTGCCGAGGGTATTCGTTTGACGTATGAAAGCAGATTCATTGACGGTTCGAGGGAGTTGAGCACAAGCACACGTCCTGGTTCTATGACCGATGCTACTACTCTTGAAAGCACGGAAGCCAATACTCCAGTGGGCTACTTCGATGATGAGATTGATCTTACGCCTCGCAAGAGAAAGGCTCGAGCTGAGGCCAGTTACTCTCAAACATCTGCCAAGAAGAGCAGATTGGGCGTTTAAGGCTGGGGTTGGGATTATCAGCGCTGGATGAGCAAATGATTTACGATGTGGTTTCCAAAGGCGTTGCTTGGGCTGGGACGACTGGCTCAACGGTTTGGCGTTTGGTCTGATCTGGCTTCTTTGTCATACCTTTGAATGATTTCGTTTTCGGTTTGCGGCTGAAAATGGCTGGTTGGGGATATCAACGCAAAGCAACTAAGATGAATGTAGGAATATGATTTTGATGTGGCGTTTCGAGGACAAATACAGGTAGACAGACAGACAGGTCCGCGCAATGCAAATGTAAATTAGGAATTGCATGTCTTGCCATGACGATGCTTGACTTATCTCTTTCTTTCACTCGGTGCCAAGTGGCACGCTTCAATATTAACTTAGTTACCCGCTTGCGTTGAATGAGGTCTCAGTCGATGAGACGCAAGTTCGGCTAGCCATCATGATTCAGTAACCGAACTCTACGAAAAGCTCCAAAGATGCTCAAGTTCTGATTGGAAAAGTATTCCATTCCTAAAGCCAGGCATACATAAAGCACATCTTGGTGCTCCCAAAGATCTATCTACAAGTCCCTCAACCTTGCTACACCATAAAACCAGGCATAGGCATGTTCCAAGATTCAAACTTCCAAACGTCCATCTACAATTCCCAGACCACGTTTCACTTAAAAAGCCAGGCAAACAAGCACACTCCCACCCCCAACCCGTCTCAGCGAATCGATCCTACCCTCCAGCAACATATCTCTCTACCTTTCCTTTATCTCACAACTCCTCCCCTCCAACTACCACTCACCACATATGCGGATAATGACACCCCCTTCCCCCATTACCTCTCTGATAGCCGCCATCCAGCGAACTCCGCCCAGACGAGGAATCATACAAATACTCACTCGGCGAAGAAGGAGTAAGTGATCCACCCCTCGGACGAGCAGGCAGTGCGTGCAGATAGGGCGGCACGCTGGGAGCTAAGTGTTGGGTGTTGGTTAGGGTGAGGACCGCTGTGCCTGTTTCTTTTGTGCAGGAGTGGCAGATGGCTCCTATGCGGTTGGCTTGGCAGCGGGGACACCAGGGCATTGTTTTTTTTGGGTTGGGGGGGTCGAGTTTAAGTTGTGTCCTGTGGTTTTGTTTTGAGGTAGATTGAGTTTGATTGAGTTTGCAGTTATCTATTTGGTGGTGAGAGAGCAAGTAGGTCTAAGAGGTAGAGGGAGGTTTTTATACATCTTGAAAGAGTACAGGACTGTTCGAATAAGTGTTGAAATGGAGAAGTGATTGATGGCTGTGGGTACAAGTGAACATTCAAGTGAGTGAAATGAAGAAAATCTTCCTCCAAGGTAGTACAAGTATGTACTACATACTGGAGAATCATCAGTTGCAGCATGCAAGGAGCCGTGATTCATCGATTATTTCGTGAGAAGAAGCTATAATTACGTCAGTATCGTGGAAGAGTTGAATAACTCAATAATCCCATCTGAAGGACCCTTCTTCTTAGTTACTAACTCCTCTTCCTCGCTCATCATGCTCTTTGTTTTCACCAGTGGGAAATCGGGTATTTGAGCTAACAACCCTTCCAAATCTGTTCGGTAAAAAACTTATTATTAGGACTGCGACTTGTATTCTAGATGGAAGTTGAGTAACATCTAACTCGGCACTTGGTCAAGCTTCTGAGAAACTATTTCTCTGTATAGGAATACTGAACCTTGCATTTGCTGTATATCTTTTCTTCTCTTTGACATCAGAGAGGGCTTGCAGACTTCCGAACACTTTATGTTTCTTTCAGGTGTTGGTTTAGTTCTCAACTTGCGCCTCGAAATAGCAACGAACATCGTCTCAAGCCAAGCCAACAACTTTTCGTGCAAAATTTTCTCAAAAATTCGTTTGATTAATGTTCCAGAACCCATCCCTCCTACAAATTTTTATACCTTCTCCTGCAAATGCTATTTTGGGCTTGATTCTCAGTCACGTGTGATACAGCAGGGGTATAGCGCTTCAGACTTCAACGACGACCAGGAAGGTGAAGTTTCAAGCAAGTTCTAGGATTCTGTGTACGCAGAAGATTTACTCGCCAGAAAGAACAGTAACCTGATCCTCAAACAAATATTAAACTGCTTAGCATGATTGGTAAGGCCCCGCCTTTTCAGCCGCACCGCTCCTACGAAAATTGCAGGAAGCGGGGAGGCCGAAGTTGCCCTTTATAGGATTCTTGGGTAGACTTCACATATAAGCGCTTCTGTGAGTGGATCGAGTATGTTACTCTGAAGATCTCTTCACAATAACTCATCTGAAGCTTTCCTAGAGACCAGAGCAACTGCACCGCATGCAAAATGGGCTCCATTGCAATGTACCAGTACGAGTCTCTGGAGCAGCGTGATTCGATACGACTTTTGCGTCTCCTCCCATCCAATGACATTGAAGCAGATCTCCATGGTGAGATTGTTCATACGACGATCTCCAACGAAGTAATGGACACTGATCTACTCAACATCTATCCCTCAGAAGCAGTGGAAAGGTTCTGGAGCGAGCCATATCAACCGTCTGACGCATACTCGTTCATTGGTGGGTACACAGCACTCTCATACACTTGGGTTGACCCAGAAATGAGCTCCACTATCTATGTGGATGGGAAACAACTCGGAATTACAGCGAATCTGGAGCAAGCTCTTCGAAGTCTAAGATTAGAAGTCAAGACACCGCGACTCTGGGTTGATTCAATATGCATCAATCAAGCAGATGCCCAAGAACGCAGCCAACAAGTCCAGCAAATGTGCTCGATCTACAAAACTGCTGCATCGACCATCATCTATCTTGGCCCCTCAACCGAGCTCTCGACAAGTTGTTTCAAATCCGCCGCTAACTCTCCCGAAGAACCACGCGAATATCTCCGGGAGCTAAAACTTGACAAAGAAGTTCTCAAGGCTCTCAAAGCTGGACGTGATGAAATTCTCGGTAGAAGCTGGTTTACACGGGCCTGGACTTTCCAAGAACTAGTTGTGTCTCGTCGGCCATGGATGTGTTGCGGGACGCAATGTCTGCCCTGGTCCCGCCTTTGCACATACTTTCTCCAGAAGCGAAGATGGAATATAGACCTCGGGATGGACATATTCAGCAGGGAAACGATGTTTTCCAACGCCTGGGAGAGAGATCCATGGGGCTTGGACGATGCGGTGGATGGAAGGGGCTTGCATGATGCTGTGGATGGTAGGTATTCCATTATTCGGGAGCCGGAAACGAATTGTCTTCGCATCACGCCCAAAGGAGCAAGAATCATGGATAAAGTTCGTCAGATTTATCAAGCGCCAGCTTCGTATGTTATTGAGGAAGATGATAAGTTTTCATTGTTCACTTTGCTAGAGTTTAGGCAAGGGTTTGCTACTACGGATCCTCGAGATGCTGTGTTTTCTTTGTACGGAGTGTTAGACAATAATGACCCCGCTATTATGTCTACGCCCGTAAACTACGAGAAATCCACTCCGGAAGTTTACATTGATCTTTCGACCGCACTTCTGTCTACAGATGAGAAGCAAGGGTATGCCGTCTTCACTCACGTAGAGAATGATCGAAGCATCCCTGGCCTTCCTTCCTGGGTCCCTAACTTCGCCGCAGCAAGGAAATACGATCAGGCAATACGAAGCCATGTCATCGAACGGAGATACTGCACATTCAAGCAAGAACAGATTACCGACTTCAAAATATACAAAAATCTCAACGCCATCGTCTGTCGAGGCCACCATTTCTTGAGCAAGATCACAAAACTCTCTGAAGCGTTGGAAGATAGCAAGATACGCAGGATAGAAGCACGGATATTCGAACAAGGGGATGGGAGAATTATTGTTGATTTTAGCAAGGAAGGGAATGGCGGCGATGGCGATATCGCGGTGGATAACTATAAAGAAAATGGCGTGGGGAGGTTGTGTTATGAGCGTCCTGCGTGTTTGAAGGGTAGAAGAATTGCGACGATGGATGATGGTGGGATTGCGTTGGTGCCAGAAGGCGCTATTTTGGGGGATATGCTTTGTGTGTTGAAAGGAGGAAGTGTGCCTTGGATTGTTCGTGAGAAGAACGGAGATATAAGTGAGGGTTTAGATGAGAAGATGATTGCGGACTTTCATGGAAGAATCTCGGGTGTTAGGCATTGTACCTTGATTGGTCAGTGCTGGAAGAGTGGGTTTCAGGTGCTGGTAGAGGATATTGGTTGTCATGATACAGGTTTTATGCTTTGGTAGATATAGTTAAAAGAAATTTAACATTATCTGAAAAACATAAAGGTTTAAATTAAAGAGCATCACAAATACGCCAAGTCCTAGGTAGTGTGAAATGAGCTGAGAAACGTGATGAGACATAGTGTACACACAAGATGAAAGAGTCTTTACCTCAAAGCAGGGATGTAAATTCGACAGTCAACATTAAGTATGGTATCACATGGAAAAATACTGGTTCTACTAAACTGTGTAAGACGCCACTGAAACAGTGAGGATTGGAGTTGTGATGTGAATGGGGTTCGCCTGTGGCGGCGCGGCCGCTAGAACAAAGGAAGCCGGATTAGGGCAGATATCCCCCAAGCTGCTATCAGAATTGCATTTGACTAAGCAAAGGAACACCAAAATTTTTTTACTAAAGCACGCTGTAAATTAGCGATTGATCGCTAAACTTTAGGGTGTTACTCCTTAAATCTCAAGCTTACTTGCCTAAAGCTTGAAAAGACGGTTTTTTGTTGGCTCGCTTAACTAATGCACGGACCAATGCAATCCTGATGGCAGCTTGGGGGATACCAAATACTATATAAATTTAAATAAGCATTCTTTTGCCATCAATTCAAAACTCGTCCGGTATGGTGTATCGGTAACATATGGCCTTTTCACGGCCGAGCGCGGGGTTCGATTCCCCGTACCGGAATATCCTTTTGTCTTTGATATGGAGTTTTCATTTATCTTTTATATTTAGAAGGATTTTTTGCTGAATTTTTGTGTCGTCTTGGACGGTATCGCTTGTGGAAGCGATTTTCGGTTAACAAGCTCAGAGATTTCTAGTTTTCGACCACCAAGATTTAGATCGAGATTAAATAGATATCAAAGGTGTAGAAGAAATATCAGAAAGGCTGGAAATATTCAAATAACATTATATTTTACTTTTAGACCTTTTTTCCAATTCTCATAAATGTATCAACAGACCCTCTGTACAAGTCGCATCACTTCTTCACCACAACCCCCCTCAAAACCTCCCTCCAACCACCCTTAGCTGTCTCTGGCCTCTTCAACTCTTCAACATGTACCCCGGAATTCATCTTCCACATCTCATACTGATCCTCCTTACCCGCCCAAGCCTTTTCCGTCTCCCTCATGTCTCTCAATCTGTCCCTTTCAATTTTGTCCATGACTAGTCCCGGAGCAAAGAATCTCGCATTCCTTTTATTGATCCTCGGCTTCAATTGTTTGGATTGCTCTCGCTCTCTAGCAAGACGACGAGCTCGTGCTCGGGAACGCCTTCGTTTGATACAGATGTAGCATGTGCACGTGCTGAGTATCACGGAAACGAGGACGAAGATGACGATGAGGATTATGGCTTTTGCTGAGAGTTTGGCTGCAGCGACGTAGGTTTCTGGTGGGACATATCGTCGTGTGAGTGATGCTGTGAGTGGCATGCAGAAAGCAGGTCTGAAGAGGGCGAGGAGGATAAGGGGAGGTAGAAAATGAGAGAGGTCGCCCATATTGATATATGGTCAATTTATTTAAATTGAACGGCCGAGGAAGGAAAGACGATACTGGAGTGTCGAGGGAGCATATAGCTTTTATCCTCATGACCTGTCACTCTCCTTCATGGTGGAGAGCCTCAACTTAAGGCTCTGAAGTCAGCCTGTCTAAGGACGTGCGACGCAATCGCGGGGTCTCACGATTAGCTTCCGCACTCTATTTGTGATTATTTTAATAGTCATGAAGTCTTTGACGTTATCTTGTTGGTCGGTTCGTTTCCAGATGTTCTGGGTGCCTTAAAATGTCGAATGCAATGTGGCTGAGTTGCGCGGTCGGTGGTAAGCCACCCGATGGACGACGACGCAACTCGCAGCTGGAGAGAAAGGGAAAACGAGCGTAATCGTATTGTGAGTGATTGAAGATTTGAGAAAAACTTAAATTGCTAGACTGAGATGGTTGTTTTCTGGATTTATTTTTAGATTGTAGGAAATGTGATGGTCACGTGGATGGCTTTTAATCCCATCGAACCACCTTGGCAATCTCGTCTCCAACAACCAACATCCGTGCAAATGTCGAACAACTTCGAGACTCCCAAGTCAGGAGTAATTCTCCCTCCAGGATCATGCGGTTGAGTGCTTTTCTCCAGCACGTACGGGGACCTAAGTTACGTCCATTCCGCCAGCCAACTCATCCCTCAGGACCTTCCCAAGCCAGATGGCAATCCTCGCCAGCTTTGGATGAGATCACTGAAGATGATAAGAATCGAATCTACTTCCTAGGGCTCGGTAACAAAGGCACTCTAGTTGCAGCTTGTATGGGAGAGAGCCGTAGACGTCCTCCTATCACATTGCTCACCGCAAATGAAGCCAGGGCGGACGCTCGTTCTGAGGCAGGCCAAAAGTATGCCTCAACACCCAAGCCATAGGCATATGTCACCTTCTCAGTCGAGCGATACTCTCTGCTATGTAATATTTGGACTCAGCTAAGATCTATAGGATTTCAATGTTCGTAAATGGCGAGGAAGTAGTGACTGGAGGCTATGATGTAGAAGTGATTCCGAAGAGAAAGCGAATACGACAGGTCGACTCAAAATCCGATGACAGCAAATCGTCGATTAAGAAGAAGGTCCGACCAATCCTGAATCTGGTATGCGCTATCAGATCAAAGTGGGCAGCTGGTGCTATATTTGAGTAAGTACGGAACGCGTTCTGCAACTGTCATTCCATGAAGGAATGAGCTCCTGAAACATTTGTAACGAGCTATGAAATGTGTTCTCTGAAGATTTTTGGCTTATTGATTCCTGAATCCGTTCAAAGCTCCCTGGAAAACCACTCTCTGACTTATTGTAGGATTAAACATAGACTACTTCCAAACTCTACAGTATTGGTAATCGCGGACGGACTCGGAGTGCTGGAGGAAATCTTCAACGTAAACTTCCCAGACGCTCGTACCCGCCCATCCTTCCGGTTAGGTCTATCGAATCACGGTGTGTGGGAGAGATCCGGCCTTGCGACTAATCCGTACGATTATAAAGATAGTGTTACGCAAGTGCTAGCAGGTTTACAGGTTGCCACGACTGGATATTCATTGAATTATGATGGTTCAGGAGAATTAATGATAGGCCCCCTTGCGGTCGATTCACTTTCCACGAGCAGACTTGAGGAAGCGCAGAGAATGAACAACGCTCAGTACCTGGTAAACCATTTGCTAGATTCCCCGAGATTGAGCGCCCTCGAGGTACCTCACCGAAAACTTTTATTCCAGCGATATAGGAAACTTGCCAAAGACGCGGTGGTCGGTCCTCTTGTCACTTACTTCGAATGCCCTGGTGAAGAGCTAATTCATCTCCCTGATGCACAATTTCTTATGGCCAACCTCATCAAAGAGGCTTGGGAAGTCGTCCGTCGTGATCTACCTGGCACTCCAATTGAGGAGGTACGGATATGGATCCGGGTAGAGCTCTATGTTACAAGGCATCCTAGCAAAACGAAAATACACTCAATGGCTAGCTACGCAATCCGTGGGATGGATACGGGAATAGAAAAGATCAACGGATGGCTCATAGGAAGAGCCCGACAGTATGGCATCCGTTTGCCTACACAGTACGTCAAATTCTACTCGCGTTTAAAAGAGGTTGAGACCCGGAGAGTATCCCCAGCTCTCGGGGCTTTCATTCAGGAGCGATTGCCCGCTGTGCTCTCCAAATCCTTCTCTAATCAAAGCTGATATATCAACAGTGAACTCATGATGGACTTCGTAATCAAGAAGACAGTGGAACGAAGTAAATTGCTCAAAGAGCAGGCACTTGCAGAGCAACAGAGTAAATCTCAACCAGTCCCTGAAGTTACACAGATCCGACGGGTTCCCTACGGGCAAGGCGACCAAGATGAAGCAAAGCCGTATGAGGAGAGACCTGACAGGTTGACCATAAGGCGAGAAAAGAAAGCGCAACGTCAACGAGAAGGACTTGGTAATCAACCGATGCCAGAAACCTATGCGAAGCCTCGCATTACTCCCCTAGGAAATGCACAAATACGACATGAGAAGACAGGACCAGGAGGTTCAGAAAATGGACCTTCAGATGCTCCACGAAATAAACCAAGGAAAGCCTAGACCGATTCTAGTCGCAATGCGTTGGACAGAAAGCTCATTTCACCATCTCTCCTGCCGGTTTTTGTCCCCATCGAGATTTCCACATCTGTCCTCGTCATCGTTTATTGGACGAAGAGGAGTCCAGGTAAGAACTCCAGACGTACAAAGCGGCTTTCCCCTCGATCACCGAAGCGTAGAGATCCACACCACTGTGCAATGCTGGTAGTGCATCTAACATCGGACACCATATCTCTACATCTACCTTACAGGACACCATATCCATATCCCCCAACATTCCATGATCGCTTCGAACTTCAGAGCGCCGTTCGTCTCCACCTAGGACCTCTGTCTCGATCGTCCCTGGGAGTCCAACTTCCAAATCGATCCTCTTTCTATCATATTTTCATCTTAAAGGTTCCATCTCGTTTTCCTTGCCATCAGATTTAACGATGTTTTTTGCTTCCGAAAAATTCCTACAATATCATTCTTGATGTGGCTTCCGTATTTGCTACACACTTGACAAAAGCTATTCAAATTTCACGCATATGGGATTGGAGTCGGCGTATCAGGTGAGTCCTAGGCAGGATGGAACATGTCGCATGCTGCACAGTTTTCTGGGATACACATTTGCTCAAATAAGAACGCTGTTTTTGATCCTATTCAGAAAGATTAACTTTCATCAAAATCACACCGGGATCAGATTGCAGTCTGAATCAAAGCTTCAACATTTGACTGGTTTCTTCTAGGTTGTTTGACCTGATGATTCAGATATCCCCGTCTGTTCTCCGCCTTCACTTGAACGATCGTTCTTAAACACTGCAAGAGGACTTTTGCTCTATGTTGCCAGGTTTCGCAAATTGACATTCTCCTGCAGCATTTAATCCAGATTTGGCGTTATGATAATCAATGGCAACCAATTCAGACCGACGCATCAACATGCATTCCCGGCGCTCTTCCTTTCTTCCTCTGTCCAATTGCCCCATCTCACAAGCACAAGTAGACCACAACGTATCACACCTCCCGCTTTCCTCCCACAACGTCGTACCTCATTTCACCACATCCACACCTGCAGTACAACTACCCTCAATCCATGCCTTCGAATTCCAGTCCTTAATTTCATACCTAGGTACTCGAGTTCAAAATGCTACTTCACGCTCTTCTAGGAGCTTTCCTCCTATCTACAGCTAATGCCACGCGTCATCACGAGCGTGGACACTTCAATATTGCAAGAGAGGAGAGTGTGAATCTTGGTACGTACAAACACACTAAATGCTTCTTCTCTCAATTCCGTCCCTACCTTCCTCCTCCCCTCCGTCCCATTCCCAAACTAACCCCGCCAAGACCTCAAACAAAGCACCAGCACATCAACCCTCACAATCCAAATCTCCATCAACTCATACACCCCCTCTTTCACCTCCACCTCCACACCCACGTCCACCTCCGCCGCAGCAGCATCCTCATCCCTCCTCGACCCCGCAGCCGCCTCAACACCTCAATTCCCCTCCGCCTTCCCACCATCGTCGTCCTCCCCCAACCTCCAAGAATCATCAAGCACCACTCATAACACCACATCCAACGCGCAAGAATCGTCACCCTCCACCACCGCAGCAACAGAGCCAGAAAACCCGAGAACCACACCCACGCCCAAAGAAACGATATCCGTCCCCGCTACGCCGTTGACGGATGTGAATTATCATAAAAGCGGGTCTGGTGAGAAGCTGGGGGTGAGTTGGGGAGGCTCTTTGGTGTTGATATTGGGTGGTTTGGTTGTGATTGTGGCTAATGTGGGGTTTGGGGTTTTGTTTTAGGGGAGAGAAAACTTGAATGGAGAGAAAACTTGAATGGAGAGAAAACTTGAATGGAGAGAGAGGACTTAATGAGGAGACAGAGAGAGAGATAGAATGTGATGTAAAGCAAGGAATTAAGGGAGAGAGAAATTGAGAAGAGGATAGGAGAAAAGGATGAGATTGGGATAGTAAACGGGATTTCAAAAATGAAACAGGGTTATGTTATTTAGAATTGAGAAGAGAATTATGACTTCTTCCCAAGATGGGAAGTACTGTACAGGACCTCACTCACATTGAGAAAAGTGCTTCTTCCAGATTTGAGGTGCTTTAGGTATGTAAGAAGAATTCAGCAGCGAGGGCAGCGCAAGTTGCGCAAATTGCGCGGAATGCGCGGAATGCGCGGAGAGCTGCTCCTTGAACTTTGTTTACCGAGATCAAAACTCCAACGTCAAATCAATCATCGGCCCTGCTTTATTTTCAACGATCTTATATTAACGAATGTACAACTGCTCTGCTAAAGCAATAATCTTTTATCTCTTCAACTCCATCCTCTATATACACCCCTTTTCGCACCCCTCACACATGCATAATAAACAACCCAAACAGATTACCACCACCCTCCCATTTTCCCATCCAGCCATCATGATCATCGAACGCCGGGGGTATATGATTCATTCCCAACCCAAACTCCAGTCAAAAAAAATCATAAAAGCCATCCTATACCCATCAATGCACACATCCCCAAACCACCAACCACAGGTCTCAACCCCACCGCCGCGTTCTTCTTACTGGTAGTCTGTGCCGCACCGGCCGCCGTCCCTGTAGCCGTCGCCACACTCGTGAAAGTCGTAGTAGAGAAGCCGATACCACCTGGTCCGATACTGATAGTCTGTCCTCCAAACACATCCGTCGTGGGCGAAGCACCTGGCCCGAACGTAAAGGTCTGGCTGCCGATGACCACCAAGGAGCTTCCTAGTTCACTAAACGTGATGCTTCCAGCTGTGAGAGTTTGTGTTGCCGAGGGGAACGGATTCCAGGTGAACGAGCCATCGCTAAATCCATCTGGGCCCGCGGATACGATTTGACTGGAGATCGTGGCTATGGTGGGTGTAGCGCCAGGGCCGATGGTAAATGTTGTTCCTGAGATGATGGCGAGACTGCTTCCTACCTCGGTGATGCTTACTCCTCCTACGATGCCAATTTGTGAACTGCTAGGGTTGAGCGCTGTACCACCTATTGTTGATCCGTGGAAAACGACCCCTGCTGATCCAATTGTGATGGTTTCGCCGTTAAAGACGGTTGTTGTTTCAGGTGCATTGGGGCCATATGTCATGGTTTGGCCATCAATTATTGCCACTGAGCTTCCAACGGCCGTAATGATTGATCCACCTACAACGGCGATATTCGTCGGTGCAGAAACTGCTGCTTGTGGAATTGGAGCAGGTGTAATGGTTGTCGAATCAAAAGCAATACCTCCCGAGCCCACAGTGATTATTTTGCCATTGTCTACTATCGTTTGTTCAGGTGCACCAGGGGCAACGTTGTACGAAGTCCCGCCTATCACTACACTCGACCCTCCAGCCGCGCCGAGACCAATAGAAACACCATCGACTGTTGTAGGAGTAGGATTCTCAGCGAAGACTCCTCCAGGTGTGTAAGTTGGAATGCTGATGATGACTGATGGGCCAATGATTTCATTTGGTAGGACTGTGAACACCTCACCCGAGTCTGTCACTGTTTGGGGACTTGGGCCAATATCCACAGTCTGAGTTCCAATAGTGGCTTTGCTTGGGTCAGCGACCACTGTGACACCACCTACTACCTCTGTGATTGGAGTTGTCGCTGCGGGATCACCTGCAAAAATGGTCGTGATCGGGGTTGGAGCAAAGCTTGATGTAGGACGTGCAGGTTCAGTCTGTGGTGCCCATTGATTCGTATCCGAAGGAATGGTCGATGGGTCTACTGTAGCCTTATCCGTCTTGCCATTGCCATATGAGGGAAGAGTTGCGCTCGTGATCAAAGTAACGCCATTTTTGCTGGTCGTTACAGACGTGATAGTTATCCTGTCTGGATTTAAACTAGTAGGCACCTCAATTGACGTATATCCGGGTACGTAAACAATAGTACTTGACATCCCAAGACTGTCTGTTAGCGTTACTGTTGTCTTCGAGGTTGGGCGTGGAGGAAGAATGAACAGTGGGACAGTAGTACTGATATCGAGTGATTCTGTGTTGCTGCCTGGGCTGATAGACTGGACGCTGCTTGCTGATGGACTCAAAGTTATTGGGCAATAGACCGGAGGCGTGAATTCGGGTAAGGGCGTCATTGAAGTGGACCAATTCCCTGTTACTGTCAAAGTTGTGGTTGTCGTATTTGGCATGATGGACCATATTGTAACCGGTTGTCCGGGTGAGAGTGTCGAGCAGGTGCTCACATTCTTGAATAACGTATAAGTAGCAGAAGCCGAAGATACTGTCGAAGTGCGTGACAAATTCCCCCTGTCTGATTCAAAGCTAGTCGTGCTGGAAAGTACGGACAGGTTTCCAGGTGTTGCTATGAGGATCGGAGACGTTGAGACATTGGTGGGAGCTCCCAAGCTTGTGGTAGAGGACAAAGTCGCATTGGTCCATTTGCTAGAGGTAGAATTTAAAGCGAGTGCAGTACTCGCTGGCAGCGAGGAGATCATCGACGACTCATACCCCAACGCGGATGTAATAATTCTCGACGTCTCAATTCCAGGATCCGTAAGGATACGACCTGTCCACGGCAGCGAGGACTCGGTTTCTGTAGGAAGCCCAACTGACACTCCAACTGGTGACAAACTGAAGCTTGTAGCTACAGTAATCGTGTCTCCCATGCTATCAACATAGCTTCCATCCGTCACTGTATGCCCTCCTACAACCGTGACCACCGCACTCGTGCTCATCAAGGTGCTTGGCTTAGTTGGGCCATGACTCGGTCCGCCTATGAAAGCTCTACTCGTCGAGAAGATTGTCGACGAAGGCGTCGAGGTCGAATTCAGGAAGACTCGAGATGCCCCAGGCAGGACTTCTGTTGTGTGTGAGCTTGTGCAGCACGCAGAGGGCCATCTGACCTACCTTGACCTGCCACCAAGCAACCATACTGAAGAGCTCCCCATAAGAGAAGTTTCGAGACGGCAATCATGACTGAGATTCTACGCTGCCACCACCACGGATATGGATGGTATCAAAGTGTGTGTTCGAAAGACGCATGCAGAGCACGTCGAACAAACTGTTGGTAATGAGCGGTTGAATTTCCAAGTGACATTTGGTGGAAGAGATCTTTGGGATTTCATCGAGACGGATCGAACATTAATTGCCAGGGCTGGAAGGTGGTCTGGAGGGGAACGACAGTGGTAGAGATGCTGGATAAAGAGAGAAAGCAGCAAATTGAGGAAAAAGGATATAAACGATGGAAGAAGTCAAGTACCCTGACCTAGTGGGGAGTATATGAAGTACATATTAAAGTTTGAAGTGCAGATGTTCACGCGAGAGAGGGTGTAAGGCGGATAATGAGAGCAGACCTGGTCTGTCAGTCGCTTCTTCATGGCTCCTGGGTGCTTCTGGGCGCCTTCTCCGTCGCCAAGATCACAAGAGCGAGCGAACCTTGCCTCTTTCACGCATGGCTCCGTGGTTGGGACAGGATCAAGCCATCCTTATTTTTTTTGTGGCGGATTTCCCGTCCACTCTGGGCCGGTGAGCACGGTAACAATGATGATGAGAAGGCGGATAGTAAGGTGGAGGGTAGATGGGATGGCGTGGCGGGGGCTGAAAAGAAGGTTTGTGCTCGCTCCCCCAAGCCGTTTGTGGCTTCATGTTGGAGGAGTCCTCTCGTTCGCCGACCTCACGAAGCCACTGCTGCGAATCATAAGACGAACGGACGAACTCCATGCTGTGGTCAGGGTCGGAGATGTGTTTGCGCGGCCATCGACCTGGTCCCTAGCCCTTGTCCTGCCTGTCAGCCTGCACGTACACGACGAACAAACGAGATTTCGAGGAGCATCGAATGCGCGAGTCGCTGAGTGGCCAATTCTCCCCCTGATTCAAGGTGTTTGTTGTCGCTGACGATCTGTTCTGCAGAGTCTTGTCGGCTGATTGGCATCCTAGCAGAGCATCGTCTAAACACTACCTAACCTAGATCACTGGGGTAAAAGCCAGACGCGGATGACGGGTTTAAGCCCTGTGGAACAAATTTCCCAACTTTAATGCGATCAACCTTAATCTGTACTCTTGCGATGATGCTCTTCATATAAAGGCAGGAGAAGCTTTAATTCCTCATCTTACAATAGGAAGAAAAGCGGATGACGATGATGATCAGCACAGGCTCTGAGATGAGATCCAAGACATCTCATCCTATCCTCGATAACCGAAAAGGGGGCTGACTACCAGTACCAAGTACCGTCCTTGAAAATGTACGTAAAAGTAGCCTTCAGGTCTACTACTAGTCTTTCAGATCCACGATTCCGTGTTATAGTGGAGATTTAAAGTCTACCTTAATACTTAGTCTGCATTCACTAGCATTGTGCATCTTCCGGTCGGGACTTGGAAGTCTTGGATTTACGAAATGCAGAACCATTGGTCTCCAATATGTCCGAGAAGTTCGGATCCGATGTAGTCCTACATCTGCTCAAGTCACTCGACTTCCCCTCGTTACTCTCCTGCCTGCTACGTGCGTAACCTCTTCTTACGCACCTGCTGCAATAGGAGACACATTGTCACCACGGAAGATGTACTCATAGTGGTGATGTGCATGGTCTAGATTGCTCCATGGGGTCGCAACCGGCGATTCACCACTCATTCACGGGACCTCGTCAAGGCCACCCCGCGTGATTCTGGGGATTTAATATATATCCATATTCGAGGGAAGCCACAATAACAACCGGCTTCTATCTCTGACCGCATGTTGGCCATGGATATATAGTCCCGGCATCGAAGGATGACCCTCCTCGCCGTCCTCAGTCATTCAGTGTGCTGGTCACAGTATTCATCAGCATTTACTGTATGATTCAACCGGACTTTATCCTCATTCCCTTCCCGATACGCTGGACAATCCGGCAATGAACACAAGTTTCGCGGCAGGCGGTCCACGTTCTTGCCAGCCCCTCGTACCGGTGAAGTTCGCCAGGCGGTACGTGGCCTCCGCTGCAAGTGAGAGAAGCTTCCGGGCCATGCTTGTCCATAAGGGAAAGCGAACGCCAATTATTATTCCGACGATGAAACCATCGTTGAATGAACGAATGAAGACAATCCAAAGGGCCGGCTGCAGGTGTTTTGAGATGGATAGAAATTCTGGTAAGTGTGGTAGCAGCGGGTGTTTGTTAGAGGCGAAAAGGCAACCGGGGTTCTGTTTCCAGGCGATCACTACCCCTGAAACCCCCCAGATCGGCTAAGCGTAAGAAGGTTGCGGTGGACTCTCCACTACATAGGTAGAATTGGCACCTGGACGGGCAGTTTAACTCGAAACTCGTCCTCGAATCATTCTATCACTATTGCCAGTGAAGTGCAGCCGCTGCCGATCACTTCCTCACTCACCACTCATACAATACGAGATACTTCTCATGCTCTCTCTGTATCCAGCGCTCATTGAACCACGACATGAGGACGGTTACGAGTTCTCCTTATCTACTTCGCCTCTTGTGATGACCTACAAGGCGTTGTCCAGCTCCGATAGGCGTTGCACAATTCCTTCGCCATCAGTGCATTATTTTGTACTCAGATTTTAAGATTTGGCGTGAGTAAACCAAGAGTGCCGCGCCGCCAAATAGAACGACGCAGAACGAAGTGGGGTATGCGCTGTGCCTCTTTGTCTCTTCTATCATCCCATCCCTAATCCCTTCCCACCATGGGCTAACAACTCCCTTGAGTACTCTGGTACCCATGCTGTGGCCCATGGCCCCTTCGCTCCGCTAACAGTAATCGCCAAGCCCACCAGCAAACCATCCTGTTAGTGGCCCAAGGCTCCGGACTCAGGGTCAACACCGCTGTAGAAATAAAGGCTGCCAATCTGCAATCCCATCTGCACCTGGTCGGAGTGCTCCCACACTGCTCCCACACTTCGGAGGAACAGTCAAGGTTCAACCCCAAACTCCCCTGTGCACTCGCAATTTATCCTGGAACGAAAGTCTTCTCTTCTTCGACGGTTGTGACGGCAAACGGCTATGTGCATGAGAAAATTCCAGTCCTCTCGTCTTTCATTCTCACTCAGCTCTCCACTCAACTCAATCATCACTTGATGCACGCTGGACCAAAGTAACCATCCAGCCAAACAAGATACGTATCTGATCGTGGCCCGACCATCTGCCCGGTTGTAATACCCTATAGTCGACATTTTCTGCACCGGGACATCCTTTCCTCACATTCGTCATCTCCAATCGACCAAGCGCTGAACTTGCATCTGCAAACTTCACGAGGACTCGGTGGACCAGATACCAAGACTTGCCATCAAAAAGGGGTTCAACACCAAGCCACTGTCCTTGAAAGTCTGGCAACGGCCCCCAACTTCTTCCTTTCGTCCCAGTCTTTGATTTCAACGGTTGGTCCATGCTTTGCGCCCACCACACTACCGCATTTCGAACTTGATATCGCATGGTTCACCACTTCGATCACTGCTCTATGTCATTCTAGAATGAGAAAACTTTTTCGATGATGTCCTCGGTGTCGTGGTGGTTGCGCATAGGAGGGGCTTTCGCGTTCTTGGTTAGATGTACCAGTGGTGGAAAAACTCCTACTGCTCTGAGTGTTGTCCCGTCGTTGAACTGGTGAGAAAGTCAAAGTTTTGGAGACTCGTGATATATGTTACTGACTGTATGAAAGGTATGGCGATGATGGAACGTGGTCTGCTATATCGCTTCGTGTGGGAACGCCCCAGCAATGGATCGATGTTATGGTGAGCACCGTAAGTTCGGAGACTTGGGTTGTTGGTACTGGCGCATGTGCAGCAAATGGTTTGTCTAACTTTCTTGTATAAATTTGTTTCTTGCTTTGCCATTTCTTTTGTTAGATCCGAAAAGTTTCGTTCATTGGTCGCTTTGACTACTCACTACACCATTGAAAGCCTACATCTTTCAATCAGCGCTAACCTCAAATCAGATTCTCTCTGTATAACAAGTAGAGGAGGTCATCTGTTCGACCCGTTGGAATCTTCAACCTGGCACAATGAAGGCTTCTTCGGCTTCAGTGCCGACACTCAACTTGGCAACAAGGGCTACGGATGGTACGGTCTAGATGATCTTACATTTGGCTCTACCGGAGTTACAGTTTCTCAGTCCATCATCGGATCCTTCAATGGCTCTGGACCACTTGATACGACGCAGTATATGCTTGGTTTGTTCGGCCTCGGTGTCTCGATTGCTCAATTCAACAACGACGATCCTCTACCAGCTTTAAATGCACTTGTTGAAAGGAATGGAGTAATCCCGAGCCATTCGTACGGTTTTACTGCAGGAGCGCATTACCGTGAGTTCTCCACTCCCCTGAAATCGTACAAGCTGAACCTCTTCAATAGAACAAAAAGGAGAGCCTATATCCTTGACACTCGGTGGATATGATGCGAATCGATTTGTTCCACACAACGTGACATTCAGTCTCAATCCGGACATGAATGCACAGGCGTCCATTAATTCAATATTCGTGCAATCAGGCGCTGGCAAGAGCAATCTCACGATTCCTAGGCAGTTGCTGCAACCATCAGACAGAGTCTCCGCCATCATTGACAGCTCTACCCCGTTCCTCTGGCTACCAGGGGCTGTTTGTGATCGCTTTGCACAGGCACTTGGCCTGACTTACAACGATACGCTCAATCTATACACCTACGACGGAAATGCGTCACAGCATGACGTGCTTGTCAACTCTGGGCTGTCCTTCACATTCAGTTTATCTGACCTATCTTCTTCGCCAGCAGCTGTCAATATTACATTGCCATTCCAAGCATTCGATTTGCAATTGACATATCCAGCTATCCCAAACAGTACCTACGGAGATCCGGATGCCACGAAGAACTACTTTCCACTCCGTCGAGCTATTGATGACTCTCAGTACACCATTGGTCGAGCATTTCTCCAAGAGGCGTACCTCATCACCGACTTCGAGAGGAACATTTTTTCCGTTCACCAAGCAGTTCATACTGCAAACCCATTAGGCAACACAAGCATTGTGTCAATTTATCAACCGGCTGACAGCACATTCACATCACCAGGTGGTTCCCGATCCAAGTCCAAGCTACCAAAGGGAGCCATTATCGGCATAGCTGTCGGAGGAGCCGTCCTAGTAGCTCTCCTTGTCTTTCTCGTCTTCTTCCTCTACCGTCGCCGACAGCAAAGGAAAGCAGAATCAGGTGACGAGAAGGGTCCAACCACACAACCACGTTCTCTTCTATCAAGAATCCTTTGCCGCGATGAGCCATCGACCCTGCACGAAGCTGGCGGTAGCAGCGCCTACCCAACCGAAGTCGCCGCCGACGCCTCACACGAGCGTTTCGAGCTCCCAGCTCCTCTAGGACCAGCAGAACTCGACAGCGAAGCAGGAACCACCTTCGACGGCACGACCGAAGCCGGGAACTCGACTCAAGATTCGGTAAACCTATCGGCGTACGAACGAGCTCGCCGGAAATTAGAACGTGCTCAAATCGCCGCTGCTCAAGCACAGGCTCAGATCTCGCAGCAAAATTACCCAGTTGAGAAGAGCGACGCGGATGTCTCCCACGTAGCGCATTATCGCGCGCCTGATACGCCGAGTAGTGACGAGCCGCTTGTAAGTCCCATTGTGCCTGAGAACGGGAATGGATGGGGTTCTCTCGCTGTAGGAGGTTCGAGTGGTCAACCATCACCTGTCAGTCCCGGGTTCCATTCTTCACCTGTGTCGCCGGTTGGTCCGCCTCCGACGTACAGGAGGTTTAATCTTGATCCGGCGAATGTGGTTTATGCGGGGAGATTACCGGATAATGTGCAGTTGCCGAGCGTTGTGCCGCGGATCATCGGGCCTGATGGGAGGACGGTTCGTACCTTGGCGAGCCAGGAGGAAGAAGCAGAGGATGATGCGAATAGCTCGCTGGGAAGCCAGTATACGGTTGAAGAGCAGGATTTGTATGGGAGTGGAGATACGAATATCGTTTCTCCAATCCCGAGTACGAGCAGTGGAAGTGGTTCGGATCCAGCAGCGTCAACTGTGAGCAGAAGTAGCGGCAGTGGAGGAAGTAGAGAGCCGATCATTCGGGAAGGTGTCGAGGTACAGGAATCTGTGCCGACGACGGATACGCTGGATCCGTATTCGAGTAGGAGGAGACTGCAGGGAGATGATTTCGTGCATGTTCCTCAACCTGCTGAGAATAGGTTCTCATGGGAAGAGGATCGGATATCGGGGCGGGAAGAGGGATCCTTATGACAAAGATGAATGGGGGAAGGAAATGGGTTTGAAATTTAGCGTTGGCGTTCAGGTATTGGACGCATTCATTCATGATGGCATACGACATGATCTCCTTTGTATAGTCGGACATGGTGGAGCATTTGGATGAGAATAAAATCATGAAATTGCTAGAGGATGGACTGTATCATTCATTGTATAGTCTAAGAGTAATCTAGCATGTTTGAAAGCAGATAGAAGCTGGAAGTAAACAAAGTTTCTCAACTGAATGACTGACATTCTTAACCAAAGACCGCAAGACTTCTCGAATGTGGAATTTAGATAGGTTCCCGTTATGAGAGAATTGGAATATACGTTCACTTGAACTTCATTCAAACCCAAAGCTCTAGTCAATGGATCAATAAATTGGCTGATTTCGTTGGCATGTGAGAAAGGAGAGGAAGAAGAAATTCCACTAGTCCCATTTAAGCGATGGCCCCAACTGTAATCTCTTGAAAATGCCAACGTCACTCCCTCCTTCTTCATCAACAAACAAACACGTCCAGAACACGCAGCGAACGCTTTCTAAAAGCCCTCATACTCAAATATCTCGACTGACCCAGAAGAAACTGGCTCAGTCAATCTACTCTCTCTAGTTTCCAGCCCTTAATTTTATGCAACCAGAGTCCAACGAATCTTCATCGATTTCTTCCCCTTCAGCAACCCCAGAACCCTCCAACGCCTCCCAATATGGCTTGCCTCGCCCTGAACATCTCCATCCCGCAGATCAACGCAGCGAATCTGCTGGGTCGAGCGATGATGGATCTGCCGATGACGACGATGCGGCATTGCAGGAACAGTTACGAGGATTGAGTGTCAGCGATAAAGGTCAAACGAAGCCTAAACCATCTTTCTCTCGAATTTCTGAGTATGAGAATGCATTGTCGCCTTCTCCACCCAGGAAACACAGTGAAGGGCCTGGTTTCAAGATTATAAAGAAGAAAGGCAATCGGCTTGATGGTGTGCAATTGGACCAATTTCCCAATGGTAGGTTTGCTCAATCACCGCGTCTCTCCGCTTTACTACCTCACTCGCTAACAATGTACAGAGGTTCTGACTCACATACTCTCGCATCTGCCCGCTGCTTCACTCTCAGCAGTCTCCCTCGTCTCGAAGCTATTCTACAGCTTAGTCACTACTCCTCATGCCTGGCGCATTGCCTTCTCTCGCTACTTTCCCGGTCAAGACGCAATCGACGCTCCCAATCCCGCAAATCGACGAATCTCCGACCCCGAAATCCACGAGCAGCTTCGATCCGAGCGACGTCTCTTCACTCGATTGACAGGTCTTGCGTCCTGGCGCAGCGAATACATCCTTCGTACGCGACTTCTTCGAAGTTTGGGACGTGGAAAACCTGCGCAGATTGCGCCGGGTCATGGCGCTTCCTCGAGATCCAATAGTGCAGCGAATAATGCAAATGCAGTGGTTACGTATAGCTCGCAGCTATTTGCTACCATCAATCACATCCATGCGGTTTGGAGCACTGGGAAGAAATCCCCGAGGTTTATACATGGCACAGATGAGACTGGTTCAGCTTGCACTAGCGATCCGAACATTGGCAAGATTGACAATTGGGGTCTCTCCGATCCTCAAGCCCTGCCTCAGTTCGCCGAGCTCTTTGTTGGTGACCATCCGTATGGACTCGGTGATGGCCCAGCAGGATTGCCAAACTCGATGGACCTGAGTCAGCCGTTCGGTATGATCTATGGTGAAGGTTTCCCTGGTGGACAGGCATACTTTCGACCAACAGAAGAGATGCGTGGTCGTTTCTTGAGTCAACCATCTGATTTGACAGCTCATGATGCTGGTATTCCGAGGATTCCTGGACTTACGGAAGCCACTTCTGCTGTCTGGATTGCTAAGTCTACAGCTGTTCCGGTGATGACGGATGGATTGGTGGGAATGTTTACGGGGTCGACTTTGGGTGTTGTTACAGCCTATTCTCTTGGATCGGATACTTCTCAGGGACGACGTATCAACAAGGGTCAATTGACTGCAAAGTGGGTTCTAAGCCCTGGAGTTCCAATCATCGCCATTGCAGTCGACGACTCGTGCAACCAGAAGCGAAAGCTTGCTGGTCGAATCTGGGCAGTGGCTTTGAATGCTCTTGGTGAGGTCTTTTACCTTACAGAAATCCCATCATCTGCTCTCCTTGATGGCAAAGTGGAAGAGAACAACACAGGCCGTCATGCTTGGACTGCTGGTCGTACAGCATATTGGCATCTGGCCGAACCCTCTCGACGTGTTGCTCGAGATGATCCTTACCACGAAGCCGAAATTCATGGAAGCTACTCGCCTAGATCTTCTTCCAAGAAGATGCATCTGTCCAAAGCTCAACTTACTGCTGAAACGGCGGAGATTGAGAAATTCCTGGCGTATCAACCAGCTCATTTCCGCAAGCTCTGCGAAGGATGGGATATGAGAAGAAGACTTGAGGTTGATTTTGCTGGTGATGATGGCAAAGGTGCTGGAGAAGGTATCTTTGTAATCAGATGTGGCATCATGGAAGGAGAAAAGGCGGAAATCAAACGGTTCACGAGATGGAAGACGGAGCAGGCTTCTCTTGATGAGTATCCACAGCCCAAAACTCCTCCCATGGTTCCGAGAACAACTACGATGGCATCATTGTTTGGCGGAGGAACAGTCATCAGCCCTCCTCGCAATGCTTCTCCTGAGCGGAGAACTTCATTGTTCGGTGGCAGCGCAATCGTGACTCCAGCTCGGGTCAGCTCGCCGGATCGAACGCCAAGCACGCCCAGCAGTCCAATTGTTCGAGGATCCCATACTCTTGTCGAAGAATGGCGCACATCAATCTTGTCCTTGAAAGATCTTCCAACTATCGAGATCACGACGAGCGCGATCGACATCTCGACGTATGCTACTCTTACAGTTGAGGAAGATCCTTTGCGAACAGTGAATGGTGGCTCAGGCTTCTCGTCTCCATATGCAACGCCGTCAGACCCTGATAATAGCTCTTCAAGCCATATCCCTGGTCATCGATCTCGTTTCATTGCTATTGGCACCAAAAGTGGAGTTGTCATCATGTGGAATATGCGAGGTCCGCAGCCTACGAATGCGTCATTGGCCAATGAACTCCGACCCCTGCGTACCATCTACACAGATTCTCCCCAGATCTCTTGCCTCGCGGTATCCGCGTTGTATGTTGTGCACGGAGGCAATGATGGTTTGGTTCAAGCTTGGGATCCTCTTGCTTCAACACTACAGCCAGTCAGAACTCTCAATTCACGATTTTCTTCTCGTGCTCGACGTCGTTTGATTCAAGCTGAGGCTTCGATTTATGGTATCGGCATCAATCTCTACGCTGCGGGTGCTATTGTGATTGATCCTGATCCAACTGTCTTGCGTGGAATGGTTTCTCTTGGAACACATCTTCGCTACTGGGCGTACAGCTCATCAGGAGCAGATCAATACCAGAGTAAGAAACGACGTCTTCGTCGCTCTGGTGAGCGTGGAAGTAATGCAGCTCCTGATCGCTTCACCAACACCGGTCGAGGCGCTCTCATGGATTACATTGCAACGGAGCAAGAAGAGTTGAAAAAAGAGAAGCTGCGCAGATCAAGAGACGAAGCGAGACTTCAAGCAAGATTTGGTGTTGGACTTGGAGGATTAACTGAAGAAGAGGCTATTCGCTACGCTGAAATGGTCTCTGCTGAAGCTTTCCAGAAAGATGAGGAACGCCGCATGAGCGATGCTAACATGGCTGGCTACCTTGGTGACACCAACGAAAGCTCTTCCGCTGCGAGCGTCTGGAGTAGCAGTAGTGCTACCGTAACCCCTGAGCCCAGCGTCAAAGGCAGAGCAAGCTCAGCCTCGAATTACAAGACTGACGAAGAGTTCGATCACGATCTTGAAGAAGCGATTCGTCTTTCACTTCTTGATGGCGTCGATGAGGGAGGGCGGTCGCCTAGAGCTTCTGGCTCGGGAGAATACGACATTCCAATCACGTATAAGCAAAAGAAGAGTCGTCGTTCCGCTTCTTCTTCACCTTCTACGAGCAAGGCGTCTAAAACCAGAGTCCGACCTGCAGCTACAAGCAGCAAAGGCGTTGCGCCTGATGACTTGGAGTATGCTTTGCAGTTGAGTCTCGCGGAGGAGCGAAGCAAAGCTGATAGATTCACGCATGTTGAAGAGGGAGATTTTCCAACTCTGGATCGTGATGACAATGGCAAGGGGAAGGGACGTGCTTGATTGGCGGATGGCCAACCAATGGTACTTTGCAGATTGATTCCAAACTTGCTGTTATTACGCGTTGATTTTACCAATTCTAAGCTTCTATACCTGCCATTCGGGCATTGCGATTAATTAGATTCAACTTCTTCCTTTCAAAGCCCGCATTTGCTTCTGCATTGTCTGTTCCGCTGTAACGTGACCCTCGCTCAGCTCGGTAAATTTTCCATATTTCATTTGTATCCAAGTTCAGCCTCCAAGAGTCGAGATGACCCGCTTATTTAGGACAACTGTCCAAAGTTTTAACCAGAGGGGCTGCTTATTATCAGCCTGTTCCTGCAGTCGGTCATTCAGTAATTGTCGGTGCCGGTGGGGTTGCGGGGAATTGTTTCGTTTGATTGCGGAATGGGATGATTCCAATGTTCCGAGTTCTCAACTCCATACATATATATTCTCCTTCCACGCACGGATAGTCCCACTTCCCTTTTTTCAACCCAGCACTCAGTCAACATGAAGCTCTCAGCAGCAACAACCCTCTTCTCGCTCGCACTCGCCACCGTCCCCCCACCAGGCCCCGACGGAAAATACACCCTCACGGCCCCTGGCATAACCGCCAAGTTCATCCCCTACGCGGCATGTATAACGAATCTCCTCGTCCCCGACAAGAACGGCACGCTCCGAGACATCATCCTCGGCTACGACAACGCGTCCTTCTACCCCGTGGACCCGAACCACTCCGACTACGGCGCGGTGCCGGGCCGCTACGCCAACCGCATCAAAGACCACACCTACGTCCTGAACGGCACACGCTACTTCACCGAAGCGAACGACGGCAACGGCACGCTGCACTCTGGCACGAACGGCTGGAGCCATCGCGTGTGGAACGTCAGCGCTGTCAGCAATACCAGTATCACCTTCTCCATCACCGATGTCGGGAACTCGAGTCTCGGCATGCCGGGCACGGTGATGGGGAGCGTGACGCACTCGGTGTCGAATTCCAGCTGGCACACTACGATCGCTGCGCATGCCGTGGATCACGTCACGCCGTTGATGCTGACCACGCACCCGTATTGGAACCTGGACGCGTTTGCGAATCCAGACACGGATCTGATTCTGAACCATACGCTGAGTTTGCCGTTCGGGAAACGCATGATTGGTATTGATGAGAATACGGAGTCCACCGGGGAGTTGCCGACGGTGCCGAAGGGCGATATTAATGATTTTTGGAGCGCGCCGAAGATGATTGGGGCGAGTATGGGGGATGCGAGGTGGGTGGGGAATTGTGGCACTGCGGGCGGGTGTGCGGGGTATAATAATCAGTGGTTGGTTGATAGGGGGAGTGGGGAGGAGGAGATGCCGATTGCTACGTTGAGTAGTGGTGAGTTTTTCTTTGTCTTTTTTTGTCTTTTGGCTTGTTGGGGTTGTGTGGAGGTGGTGGATTGGATGAGATGAGATGAGAATAGAAGAAGATGTTAGGATAGACGCTAATTGTGAGATAGGTTGGAGTGGCATTAAGTGGGATTTGTACAGCGATCAACCGGGCATTGTGGTTTATAGCTGTCATTGGATGGGTGGTAAGTTCTCGTCTATATCTTCCTCCCTATCTCAACTTGCTAATAGGAACCCTATAGGTGGCAACCAACTCAAAGCCGCGCAAGGAGGTAAAGCCTCGAATGGCTTCGTCCGAAAAGACGGTTGTGTGGCGGTTGAGCCGCAAGATTGGATCGATGGTATCAACCACCCTGAGTGGAACCGAACACAGTACCAGATCAATGGGCCGGGCATGCCTCCCTTCTCGAGCTTTATTCAGTATAAGTTCAGTACAGTCTAGACGATAAGATAATTTTACTTAACTTTATCGTTAGAAGTGTTGTACATAACCTAAAAATGGATATTTACAAATGAGATACATCCAATACTATGTTCCCCCCAGAAAAAAACTAGGGATATTTGAAGCCCCTGCCGATTATGCGACCAAATTCGGCTTTTATTTTAGCTGCTTTATGGATATCAAATCCAAAAGATGGACTTGAAACTCATAAACACACCAATTTTCATTCGCTATAAGAGTCTCAAAACATAACAATAAAACAGCACCAGAAATAACAGTGGATTTTGTAAGAGGTCAAAGCTACCTATATTCAAGGGGGGGAGACTGTAGTCTCCAAGTTTATACTCCCTCCGTCCAATCACCCAACCAAAAGTCCGAGCTAAAGCATGGACTCGGACAAACCTGAAATTTCCGAGTTCTTGGCCTGTCACTTCGTAAACCTCCCCCAATCACGACACCCACCGTTACACGAACCCCCGTCCCGGGACAACAACAGGGCTGAAGAAGATACTCCACTTTTTCGCCATCCTTAAATAAGCGCTAAGATGGACGGAGTGGAGTTCAGGCGAACCTTCTCTTAACTCTCCTGCTTGAAGACAGAGAGTGTATTACTCATCGATGGTTTAGAGAGGATATTGATATAGGTTTAGAGGGGCATGATGGCTAGTTTGGATGGAAAGGAGGGTCGTGATGGGAAGGATGGGGGGAAAGAGGAGGCGTCGGGGACGAGGAAGAGGGTGCAGCATCCGAAGGTTAGGTCTGGGTGCTTGACGTGCAAGAAGAGGAGGGTGAAGTGTGATGAGAGGAAACCTCTTTGTGAGTTTCGAAATCTTTTACTGTTTTTTATATAATGTTTTGACTGGGAACTCTGTCATTCGGCCACCTTTCTCGTATCCTAGCTCCGGCGCAACGTTCAGCAGAGACGCTCACTTATACTAACTAGTCGAAAGGTCTTCGATGTGAAAAGTTTGGCGTCAAATGCGACGGATACCTTCGTCCTGTACGTGTACATCTCGAACCAACAAAGACCGCGCACCGGATTCTAGTCCCTCGAAAGAGAAGTTCAACGACCCCTCCAACAACGCCTCCATTCGAAGTCAAGAAACCCAGATTCTCAAACGAGGACGAAATGAGATATTTCAGACTTTTCTGTGAAAAGACCTCGTATCACCTTAGCGGGTATAACGATCCTAACCTCTGGACACGAATCGTGCTCCAAGCCTCCGAAGCCGATGATTCGATACGCCATGCCGTGATCTCCATCGGAGCCCTGGACATGACGACGGCCATGATGCGGGACCTGGAGAACTCGAATGCGAGGGAGCATCATTTCTTTGCGTTGAAGCTGTATAGCAAAGCGATCCGAGGCATGCGAGAGGTGGTTTTGCGACAAAAAGAGAAGCATGACATGCAAACGGCGCTCGTGGCCAGCATGCTCATCGTCTGTTTCGAGACCTACCACGGAAACTACGCTTCAGCCGCTCAACAGATCCGCACGGGGGTCCGCTTGATCGAAGACCAGAAATCGAAGAACGACGGGTGGGCAGTCGAGGAAGATCTCATCCGTGTATTTGATCGACTTGACGTGCAGTCCATGTCTCATTCCGACCCCTACTCCATCGACGAGCACATGGTGCTCAAAAACGTCTACGCGGCCGATCTCGAAAACCTCCCGCCTGTATTCTTGGATATCAAGACGGCGAGGGATTATTTTAACTTTATGTCCCGCCGAGTATGCCATTTTGCGCCGATAGCGTGGAAGCTCAAACACAGCGATTCGCAAAAATCTTCACATAGCGTGTCTGATTATATCAATAAGAACTGGTTGGTGACCATGATTGAGGAACTGGGGAAGTTCGTCAGGCTCTCAGAAGCGTGGATGGAGTCCTTCACGCCCTTGTACATGAAAGCGCGAGAAGAAGCGAAGCAGAAGTCACCCAGTAAACGGCTAAGCAACAGTTCAATGCTAGCACTTGCATTGTCGAACTATTGCCTCTGCATGCGAGTCGCGTTCCGGCATTTCCTCGACGCAAATGAGATCGCGTGGGATAAATCGAATGCAGAGTTCCGCGAGATTCTCGAGAACGTTGAAGTCCTGATGGCGAACCAAGATGATTATGTATTCTCGTTTGATCTGCGGACTGTGTGGCCATTAGATGTGGTGGCGAAGAAGTGTAGAGTAAGTGCTATGCGATGGCGGGCGATTCAGTTGTTGAAAGAGAAGCCGAGGAGAGAGGGGATTTGGGATAGTGTTGTTGCGGCGATGGTCGGTGAGTGGGTTATTAATATTGAAGAGGAAGGGATGCTCGACGATGGTACCGTGCCGGAAAGTTCTAGAGTGAGGAATATTGGGGTAGAGCTGGATTCGGAGAATCGAAAGGCGAAAGTTTGGTGCTATCTCCCTGCCTCGGATGGATCTGGTGATCAAGACCTGCTGCCGCGGAAGAGACAGACGTACCTGGAATGGGGGAGCTCACGGTGGAATGGCGGTTTTGTAGATGTCATGAAGTCGGGAGATCCATACCAATCGGGTTTGAGGAAACGAGATGAGGATTTTATTGCTGTGGAAGAGGAGAAGAGTATGTCGATGTACTTCAATGCCAGGCCGTTTGAAGGTGCCGATGATACGGCCTCGGACATCTCCCCACAGGTCGGCTTCTAGATTGTCTCCCAGTCACATGAGCTGGAATGTACATAGAGCAAGGCCAGCTGGCTTTCTATTCGACCTGGGAAGCCTGAGTATAATACCGTAACAATTGGAATATAAGATAAAACTGTTCCAGAGTTTAATTCCGTTTGACAGCTTGAATAGACCAGATTCAGCACGATGACAACCAAGACCGTGGGGTTCTCAATAGAATTACCTCGAAACACGAGTATTGTATCTACCATAAAGCTTAAAAGCCTTAATAAGAGAACCCCTCTTATCTAGAGATAGTCTCCGTCGGAATTTTGAGAGGTGTTGTTCATTCAGGAGGCAAAATTTGGTGACGAAATCCCGCTTTCTACAACGGTTCCGATCCCCAAGTATCACGTCACTCCAAAATGCCTTCTACCCCCTCTTCCTCTTCCTATTTTCTTTCTGCCTCATGTTCAGAAACATACATCTCTTGAAACCAAAATTACTCTACAGTTTCTGCGCATACCTCCTCTTGATCACTCAACCTCATCATCATGGCTCTTCGTATCGGCTGGCGGCAAATGACCGGGAAAGACCTCATCGAACAACAACTACGAATCAACGAAGCGAACGCCAAAGGCTGGGAAGAACCACTACCACGCACCTGGGGAGAAGTCTTTGGCACAATTAGCTTGGCTCTCGAGCTCTTCTTGTGTTTCTTCAGTGTCATCCTCGGGGTTTTTGGATATATTATAATTTTGTACGATCATGAAGGTACTTCTCCGAAAGGGCTATCAAACGAAGGGCGTGACCTGATATGCGATATCGTCGGTACACTATACCCGTTCTACGTTGCTCGCTGTGTGGGGGTCGGGATCGATTTTTACTTTCGGTGCTGGGAGGGGCTGGTTTTTGCGAAAGTGGAGAGGGTCCTGGATTATGAGGGTCCTTGCTTTGGTCGTATGATTTTCGACTTGGATTATGTGGACGATGACGTGAAAGCGAGACATAGGAAGGTGTTGGCTATCAAGGAGTGGGTTATTCTGGTCGGTAGGATGGTTTCTCCGGTGTTGTTTTTCGCGCTCTACAAGATTGGTTGGTGGACAAGATTTGGGCTGGAGAACTAGAGGAAAAGTCATCCATGAACAGCGGCCATTGGTAAATTGAGCGGCGAACGGCGTAGCTTCTGTAATCAGAAATAAGGGCTCTCTCAGATTGATGTCTGATAAATTCCCTGGAACTCAGTTGCGGAATGCAAAGGTGTACATTATGTCCTAGACAAGACTTGGATGAAAAGCCATATAGAAGAACAGCAATGCAAGAGACAATGGTAGTGACACGAGAACTGAAAGTTATACGTCTTCTCTTGGTGCAATTAAAGCCTTTCCTAACATCAAACATTTTCAGACCTCCAAACACCACAACCTGAGAAGGCAGCTTTTTGCTGGGTCTTGTACAACATTCGGAGCCACGCGCCAAGTTTTCATATATCCCAGGACTAGTCGGACGTGCTGATGCTCTCAAGATACGACAGCGACGATTGACATCGATAGCGTTGTGCACTATGATATCAACCCTAGTTACCACATAGACTCTGAAGTGTCTCAGGACTATTTGGACATGCAGATATGACATCAATGTCAACATAGATAACGGTGCCATTGTCCACTTTGACAGGGTCTATTACAGTCGATGATCTTCCGAGAACGCAGGACAAGGGATTAGCCAAACTTCAACCGACAATAAGACTAATCAAAAGACCCTGGAATTTCGAATGGAGGGTCCAAGAACAAAAGCTAAAGTGTTTTCGATGGTGCTTGCAAACTGTGGAACGGAGGAGAAGAGAGAAAACTAGCAGGCATGTATTTATTTTGCACGAATGAGTAAGCGGAGATTGGGAACTAAACCACTGCTGTCCATTGTATTCGCACGCAAAAAGAAACAGAATTACATCTCGAGTATCATCTGAAAATAATATAAATAGCAGCATTGAATGATCACAATGATTCAGCTTCGAGATTGTCTTTGACTAGCATCGTTGATCCTGAACAATCTTTCCATCCATACTCATGGTTTGATTGTCCCTGAGCGCGTGGTAGCTTCTGGAAGGGTCGAGAGGCTATGTGAGTATGACCAGACAGAATGCGCGTGAGACGATACCAAATTCCAAGTCACCATAGCGTTTAATTTGTCCAAGTTCCCGCTGTTCTCTAGCTTACATGTCCTCTGACATCTTAGGCTCGGCAATAACTTAAAGTAAGCGGAGTCAGGCTCGGATTATCGAGTCAAAGTCCCTCCTTCTGGTGCTTCAGTTCGTGCTTTAGATGTGACAACACTTTTGCCTTTGCTGAGCTAAATTTCGACCCTCCTTCACCGAGTTTTTCAAAATAAATCCCATGTGAAGCTATAAGAGGTATCTTGACTATTAGAATCTTGAAAAAAAAAATCTGAAATTGCATTCTGATCGTACCAAACTTTGAATCCAGCTGGAATTTGCAGAATTCGGGGTGCCGAATAAAATTTTCTGAGAGTTCTGTTGATTGCCCAATGGATCATAAGAATTGGTTGATCCGATATCATGGATACGGTAAATAGACCCTTGAAATGTCGTGGTTTGAAGCCATCCGGCAAACCATAGTTTCTACATTCCTCACCTCCGAGTTCAGCCAGGCTGTCCACGGATGCACGAGGAGGTAGACGCGGCACTGATGTAAACTGCGGTATCGGATAAGACGATGAAGGAGCTTGTCTGCTGTTTTTGTATACTGTCGTTGTGTCTTGGTATGTGGGAATTGGAGGCATTTCAACAAATGCAGTGCATCGAGGTGCTGGAATAGCATTTCGGGCTACCATAGGATAGGCAGGTAAGCCATTCCAATACGAGTTCGCCTCATGCATGTTTGCCTTTGATGTAATGTTCTCCTGATTCGCGACAGATTGTTCACGGTCATCTGGATACCGTAGCCTTTCCCGTGCACCGGAGCCAGCCTCAACCAATTTCCAGGGAGGATAGTCGCCATCCAGTTCTAAGTCATCCAAAGAAGAATCCAGAGAATCTCCACCGTCCGAATCAACATCCACCGGATTCTCCATAACCAGTCTCTTCAAAGAGTCCTTGATATCATCCTTGTGCTTTTCGATATCTTGCTTCGTAATCCCATCGCCAATCAACTCCCTCTCGAGTTCGGTCCAGGCAGCTTCGTCGGTATCCTCGTGTGCTGATACAACCGATGGCTCTTTCTTCCCGGACTTTATATCTCTGATAAGATCGTCCAACACGCCCTCAATCCTGGCTAAAGACCCCGCAGACGAGCTTGCAACAAACAAGTTTATCGCATTGATATGCAACGATAGTTTCGATCTTAGATCCGCCAGATTTTCACCCGCGAACCTCATTCGCTCCCAAGCTTTCCTCTGATCCCGCCCAAGGCTGGCATATCTATCCGCAATATCCTCAACCTGCTCTAACACCACCGATATATTCTTCAGCGTACCATCCAACTCTGCTTTCCGGCTGGCGCCTCGTCGATTAAGAAGGGATGTCGGTGTCTTGGCATCGTCCTCGAGTTCGGCCAGGATGATATGGAGGGAACTGAGTTCTCGACTCAGCTCTTGGAATTCGCCTGGCGCGCCTTTGCATGCTTTGTAGACTTTCCATGCCAATTGTCCGACGGCGATAAAGTCGCCAACGCCGTATCCGGGAGGTACTACCATTTTTGGATGACCATGGTTGATGATCTTGAAAGAGGTTCTTGAATGTCAAGATAGATGTCGCAAGGCTGAGGCTGAGCCAATCAGCCACTGGGCTATCATGTGCCACAACTTTTCAGCTGCAAGCCTCACGCACACAGGCAGATGGTCATGTAGGCAAGGTGACAAAAGTGACAAAAGAACCGAAACGAGCATGGAAGAAGAACACATATGGACTCTCAGCACTGGCTATTGAAATTGGAGAAAGTCTACGGGTACTGACTGGGTTTGGAAGCAGGATGATTATGCGAGAATGTGAAAGAGTATTTTTGTCTTAAATACGAGGAGTTTGTATGGCCCTGCTGATCTCCCAGGATCCGATGGTTAATCAATTCTTTTGAAAAGTTTATATTAACGTTTTGATTGGATGCCAGCCACACTTGTGGCGCGAAGGTTTAACATTGTAGACAACTCTCGAGATGATGATTGATTGCTTTTCATTCACCGCCTCAAATAAAGTACAAACCCATCATGAAGCTCCATAATCTTCTCGATCCAGGTTGAATGATCCCCGTGGAAGCTTGTTCAACCGTAACGCCAGTCCATGCATAGCAATCCACCACCAATATGTCCATCCTAACGCCGTAATGCACAAGTTTCGGACTTTTCAAAGAAGATACATCCCCAAGTAGACTCATTCGTCATCATCATCCATTCCATCAACGTCAATCGCGTCGGGATTCGCAGCCACAACAGGCACAGCCTCCTTGATATTTCCACCCTGCGGACCATCACTAGCAGCCACGAAACCAACAGGAGCCCTAGCCTCTCTCTCAAGAGCAGCCATGGCATCGGCAGACTCTTCATCCACCTCGCCATCACCCTGTTCCTTGCTCCTAGCCAAAGCTTGGGAGGCAATGAAGTTGACATCAGTATTATACTGAGCCTGTACACTTCTCTTGATACGCAGCATCTCTTTGAAAGTATCCTCGTTTCCGTGTTGAACTTCGAAAGCTTCCCATTTTTGCCAGAAAGAGGGACTAGTTCTGGGATCACAGAATTGAGATGCATGTCCGTAGATAGCTCTCGCACGGTCGATTTCTCCCAGCCGCTTCTCCATGTCAGCGAATTTGAGGCACATGTCTCTCGCATCCTTGTCCGGAAGGGCAGCAATGGCTCGTTCGTAGATAGGCCGAGTGGATGGAAGGCCGAAGTTGGAGGCTGATTTGGTGATGTAGAAGTTAAACATGTCTGCGCGATCTTCATCGGAGACTGCTCGAGTTGCTCGCTCGTAAATACGCATGGCATGTCTCGCGAGGCCACGTTCTTCTTCGAGGTTACCATACATAAGGTACAAGACCTTCGCGAACTTGGGTGGACATCCTTCAACAGCTTGTTCGAAGAGATCGCGAAGGCGTTCGATACCAATCTTTCGGTCTACGGCCTTTGTGAGGTACAAGTTCCAGAGCTCGAAGGCTACTGGATAGCTGAATAGGTCCAAGCCTCTCTCGTAGATCTTGAACGATTCTTCGAAATACTTGTTCTCTTCTAGAAGATTGGCATAGTTGACGACAGTCTGCGGAGTGGCGATGCGTAGCTCGAATATGCGCTCGTAGATCTTCTTCGTTTCCTCGAGGGTACTGACGCTCTCTACGAGATCCACATATAAACTCCAGAGCTTCCAGCTCTTGTGCACTCGTTGCTGGGGCGACAATGTCTCGTCGAAATAGTCGACAGTTGATCGTTTGGGTGCTTGTACTGCTTTGGCCATGATTTTGACTGCTTCTTCGAAGTGATCATTTCTCAACTCCATTTCAGCCCATTCAGTCCACATATCAGCCAGCTCAGCTACCGACTTAAAAGGCACTTTCACCGCTTTCTCCATAATGACCCTTGCATTGCGGAGATCCCCGCCTTTCTCATAAAACTTGGCGTAATTAGCCCATAATTCGTGAAATCGGCCCACTGCCTTCTTTGGTTGCACAGCAGCAATCGCGTCGGTATATGTTTGGACCACTTCTTGCTTGTTGTCACCCCACAATCCAATTCTGACGTTCCACTCTGAAACGTTATTGGGGTTTTGTCGAAGCAGGACGTCATTAATGAGGAATGGTCGTCTGTCCATAAGCTGCTCGAACCTCATCATGCGGATGTCCAAATCGAAGTCGGCATTCTCATTCACGACGCCCTTTTCAGAACGAGCTGCAGCTTCCTCCATCAAGGTTCCCGTGATCGCTTCCTCAAATTCAACATATGAATCGAAGACGAGTGTGAAGTCTCTGACGGTCATGACGGTAGTAATACCTTCCTCAAAGATATCTCGAGCCCGTTCAAAACTTCCCCTTGTGATCCAATATGTGGCCAGGCCCGACCACAGCTTGCCTCGCTGATCTGCAAACCGGTCGATTCCACTTCGAATGATCCGTTCAACATCGATACCAATTTCATCGCCAGTATCGATTTCGTTTGCATGCTCGACAAGAAGGTCAACCATCTCGCTCCAGAGCTGGTAATGTCCCTTGCCATTCTTACTGCGAAACTTTTGATTGTTCAAAATCTTCATGTATTCTTTGACGGCTTCGGTGTAATGGCGCATCTCAATCAGTAGCTCGAGGAAGTCCTCCGCGTCTTCTGGATGAATCTGCATATATCGCCGCCAAATCTTGACTGCAGTTTGACCTGATGCCGAATTTGCAAATGGACGATACAAGGCCCAAATGCGATTGTGTTGAGTGATTGGTAAAGCGCGGAGGGCTCGGTCGAACGTATGGCGGGTGAGGGTGACAACCGGCTGCTGTAATAAGAATGACAGATACATTTCCCATATTCTTGGCATCTTGTTGAGCAGGATCAAGGCGCGTTCGAAGAGAGCATTGACTTTGTTATATTCGGAAGCAAAAATGGCCGGATTTAGCTTTCCTAGATGTTTGATTCGGAGATCCAGATACTGCTCATTGTTAGAACTGAACATGGACCCGTAGTTTATTGATAACCTACCATTTTCCAAAGCTTGTACGACCGAGGCAGCTGTTTACAAGCTCGTTCAAGCACGAAAGCTTGCTCCTGAGGGTTTCCATGTTGAAATTTGAACTCGATGTACGCAAGCCATGGCTTCGTACTGCCTGGTTCTCGAAGGATATCCTGCTCGTAGATTGTATCTTCTTCAGACTATTATCTCGTCAGCCAGAATCCTCTGCGCAATAGGACTTTGCGCGGCGTACAATAAGGTATAAATCTGCGGTTGCTCGGGATAGCTTGGACTTCGCGACGATTGGGGCAGCCATTGTGGGCAAGAGCTCACCAGGCATCTTCTGCCTGTGCAGAGTATCTTTGCGACAGCCACAAAAGGATACTGTCTTGATGTCGGTGAATAAATTAGATGTCGCGTTCTCTTCAGTGCTGCTGTCGAAATATGTTCACAAGTTGCACCTTTCCTCATTGGGGCTAGTGTTTACTCACGACGCTAGCAAGCACCTCACAAGTCGCAAAACCTCAAAAAATTTCTTGAGCTTCTTGCACTTCAATTTTATAGGAAAACCTTCATTATTCTACAACCAAGAGGCATGACATGCTATTCCACGTAGACTGGTTTCTGGGCTTCTTGCTATCCTGAGTTGCGGCGTTATTAACTTCAATTGGTGAGCTTGGTATTTTCTTTCCCTCCCCTCTTGCTCCTGATGATCTCCATCACAACAGTTCTTCGGCGATCTCCTGAGCCACTGAACAAACATGCATCACCATCTGAAGCACCTCATCCTTTGTTGTTACTTGTTAGCTATTGGACGCGCAGGTGCTAATCAAGTCTCAGACAGGAGACACTGCAAATGTCGCCCTACTTCCGCACAATATTACGATTCGAACAGATGCACATCCCACCGCGCATACATACAATCGAGATCTACGCTCTACAAGTGTAGCAAGCTGTCCTTTTGAAAACAAGTGTGAGGGATGACCAACCTTGGATCTATTGTATTGGCTACTTCGACAATCATTAGGATTGTGGGACGGTTATGGTTGTGGTAAGCAATATATTTTCTTTATGAACTCCCTTCCTCTTCTTATGATGAAAAACAATTAATCAGTTCTGCTTCTGAACTTCTTGTTGAAACCCAAAATACCAAAAACTTTCTGATAGGAATAACCAAATTGCCATCTTTGTTTTGCCAATGCAGGATATTTCATGGCTAACAAATCAGCAGGACCAACCCGTCTCGCTTTCCCCATACGTGAATCGCATAAGGTACGCAGGCATATACCCCATATCTTTTCGCAAATCCTCATGGCAATGATGACAACAGCTTATCCATTCAATGAGTTGCATGTTGGCCGAGCTCCTCTCCCGCACCGGACTAGTCACTTGTGATTGGGATGATAGGTTGTGGAGTTGTGAGTTTCAGTGCTTCAAAATTCTTCATTACGTCTTGTGATGGAGAAAATTGTTGCCGGTCGAGATGCCTGAGTAAACTGGCTTTTCTGAGCATGCTTCCACATACTCGCTTCACTGACAGTTCTTTGTGGAGTCAGTGCTAACTAGACAACTAGGTAAATATATTCACACTGTCAGATCTGGTGGGGATGGTAATTCACTGCAATTGTGACGGAAACCTAAATAGCATACAATGCACTTTCATCAATGGATAACCCTTGCAGCTCTGTACCCTATCGCAGTACTTCTTCATCCTCTCTTTTAATCAAACACCTGGCTTTAGCTCCCGGTCCCTAAAAGCCAGAATTCAAGACACTAGTATCATCGAAATCTAATCTTATCTACATCTCATTCATTCCATGCCTCGAACACTGGGACCCTTCCATGGTCAATCTTGTATCGGTGGCCGAGTAATATTTCTAGGAGTGCCTCTTTCCACGCTAAGGTCACAAGTTTTTAATAGTCATTATTCAATTCACATGTTCTCGCGACTTGGGGCATTCAGAAATATGGTACGCCATTTCAGCCCAGTCATCACCGCCTCGCTTAGATGTCTGTATTTGAAACAGGCGCGAAGCTACCGATACTGTCTAAATTCTAAGAATAATACTGTGCTGTGAATGTCTCTTCTCACCCACATATCCCAAAATCAGCGCTCGAAGTGAACACTCGCTGCAAATGAGACCATCCTGACACCATTGTCACTTCTTTATCTGCCGTTACCGATAAGAACTTCGTATCCATCCTGGTCGATTTAAGGGTACGGGCAAGGGCCCAGGGGTCGAACGCGAACGTCAGCTTGGAATCTGTCAAAAACTGGCACGTTCGCAAGCTTCCACCATCCACCACTTCAATTTCCTCGTCCAGTCACTCCTTTGAAAATGCTTCCGCGTCATCATGCGAGTAACGGATACCCAAGGCACAAGGAGACATACTCGATTTCCCCCCATAGGTGCGCATTCATCCAAGCCGGAGTGTCCAGCAGAATCTCCTCAGTTAGTCACTAACCTCTCAAACGCCGCAGATTTCAGCCTAGGACAACGCCCGCAGCGATCCGACGGAGACATACCCTTATATTTCGATCGATTGTAGCTTTAATTGTTTGCCTATTCTTCTTTTTCGTCTGGCCCGGTGCCTCCATACTTCCAGTGCTCTCGTTAGGCTTGTTATCTTCTGGGGAAGATTTCCAGCTGGAGACTGTACGATACTATGACCTCTCGAATGTTCAGGGGACTGCAAGGGGTTGGGAGAGAGAAGAGCGGATTTTACTTTGCGCCCCTTTACGAGATGCCGAATCCCATCTACGAATGTTCTTTGGACACCTGCGCAACTTTACATACCCTCACCATCTCATAGATCTCGCCTTTCTCGTGTCTGACTCGAAGGATCAGACTCTGCCGTTGCTTTCTCAGCTCTTGGAAGAGCTGCAGGCCGACGAGGACCCAAAACAGCCATATGGAGAAATTTCCATCATTGAGAAGGACTTTGGACAGAAGGTCAATCAGGACGTTGAGAGTAGACACGGTTTTGCTGCTCAAGCAAGCCGAAGAAAATTGATGGCTCAAGCTCGGAATTGGCTGCTCAGTGCTGCTCTGCGCCCATACCACAGCTGGGTTTATTGGAGAGATGTGGACGTGGAAACAGCGCCTTTCACTATTTTGGAAGACCTAATGCGACACAACAAGGATGTTATTGTGCCCAGTATGTAACAGATTTTGCCTTGAGAGACGCTCGCTAATTTTTGTTAGATGTATGGAGACCTCTTCCCGACTGGCTCGGAGGCGAACAGCCCTACGATCTCAACTCCTGGCAAGAATCAGAAACCGCTCTGGCATTGGCAGATACCCTAGACGAAGATGCAGTTATTGTTGAAGGATACGCAGAATACGCCACATGGCGACCGCATCTAGCATACCTCAGAGATCCGTATGGGGACCCTGACATGGAGATGGATATCGATGGTGTTGGTGGTGTTAGTATTTTGGCAAAGGCTAAAGTTTTCCGATCCGGAGTCCACTTCCCAGCATTCAGCTTTGAAAAACACGCAGAAACAGAAGGCTTTGGAAAGGTAAGTTTTGGAGTTGGCTTCTGCGTACAGGTCTAACATCTAGCAGATGGCGAAGCGAATGCAATTCTCTGTCGTTGGCTTACCTCACTATACCATTTGGCATTTGTACGAACCTAGTGTAGATGATATCCGTCACATGGAGGTGGGTGCTACACTTCACATTGTTTTGCGTCACTGACATTTTTTGTTAGGAAATGGAACAAGAGCGTATAGCTCGTGAGAACGAAGAAAATGAACGAGCTGAGCGAATGAAGAAGATCAAAGACCAATTCGCGGACCCGAACAGCCAATGGGAAAAGGATAAGAACGACATTCAAAACGAGGCCATGAAGGAGAAAAAGGAGAAAGAGCAAGCGGAAGCTAAGGCTGCTGAAGCATCGCGTGAAAGTGGCGCTGATGCGAAGAAAGAGTCAAAAGAGGAATCTAAATCAGACTCGAAAACTGAGTCAAAAGCTGAGTCTAAGACGGAATCTAAGCCGGAAAGCAAAGACGCCCAAGCAAAGGCGCAATAAGTTCTGGGAGTAAGTAACGCAGCATCAATCCAATCTGATGCTTCTTTGCTGACTTGCGAAAAGTGACTGCTCGGGATGGTTTGAATCATATATATGCTGGAAGCTCAGACTTCGAGCCTGGGGACGCCCTGCTGCACAATCAATGTTGCAGAATCATTCTGCAACACTCTAGTTTATTTCGACCAAAGAGCATAAACGCTGGTTCGGAATTGCATAGCTGAATCTCAGGAGAGATATCAGTATTCTTGTGATAAATTTGGAGCGCTTCAAAAGCTTGCTTCACTGTAGTGTAATCTGGGTTGGAGTTTTGTAAAGTACTATAGATAGGAGCATTGAGAATACCACTGCATGTCAAAACAAAATCCAGTCTTAGATAATTTTGATAAGAATCTTCGAGCGTTCGTGTTTCCAGGCTGATATTTCGAATAAAATGGTCACGTGCAATTCACTGCCGGGATTGAAGCTGGCTTCAAGGCTGTTCATCCTGGGAATTGGAGGTTTAGTATCACTAGGTACCCTTTCGCAATACGACAAACATTGGTAGCCGATTGCTATTTGCATACTACCTGGTACGAAGAAGCAGGGTTATAATTTACGTTATTACGAGCTTCGATTCCATGTTGTGTCGTGTCCAGAAGCATTATGAGCAATGATGCCCCAAGCGTGAACTCGCAAACATCCGGACAGATAATAGCTACGCCTTCGTCCTCCATACATAGCGGCGACGCCGCCTCAATACTTGAAAAGGCCAGGAACGACTTGGGCATGGAGAGATCAGGAGAAGACATGGCAAACTCGCAGAAGACATCCATTTCAGTAGCGGTCGACCCCGTCGCGCTGATCACTACAGAATGTATAACAGTTACATCTGCCATGCGCAAACATGCTCGATGGGCTCATTCTTCAGTATCTGCGATCCTTGGCGGAAGTTCCACGCCGATGAGTCCCAGTTTACAAAGCTCGAGGCCTGCCACTCCGCGAGACGACCTTAACAAGGTTAAAGGACACAAATCTAGATCATCTTCAGGTCTAACGGACGGCGATGATGGAGGGCTGGCAAATCGATGGGGGCTACGGGGTAAGAAGGGCAAAAGCATGCAGGATAACCCTTTGATGGCTGGCTTTGGGCGACTGAGGCGTGAATTAACTGGCTGTAAAGGTAATTCTAAGAGCTCCAGTCTTGCAATAAAATGCTTACTATCAAGCAGATATACATAAATTCGATACACCATCCTTACTGCACCCTTTCCTCCAAGTCATCCAGGCTTCTGCGACCTCTGCTCCTATTACCTCTCTTGCTCTCGTTGCAATCACCAAGTTCTTCTCCTACAACCTAATAAGTCCAGAATCCCCACGACTTGCCCTAGCCATGCAATCACTATCCGCAGCTATAACACATTGTCGATTCGAGGCCAGTGACTCTGCAGCCGACGAGATTGTCCTTTTGCGGATCTTGAAGCTCATGGAAGGAATGCTGTCAGGCCCAGGAGGAGATCTGCTGAGTGACGAGAGCGTCTGCGAAATGATGGAGACAGGGTTAAGCATGTGCTGCCAATCAAGGTTATCGGAACTGCTACGACGATCTGCAGAAATGTCTATGGTTAAAATGACACAAGTCATCTTCGAACGTCTGAAGCATCTGGAAATCGAGGCTGGAGACGAGGCTGAGGCTTTGGATGAAAAGACCAAAGAAGACATGGACACCGTGAAAATGGATCCATCAGCAAATGGCAACGATGCTATAAAGTCATCCTTAGCTGCGCCTCCTGGCGAATTACGGCCATCGTCAAGTTTTGATAAAACGAGGAATGGAAATAATTCTTCCATGGACAATGTCTCTGAGATGGGAGTAGCTCCGGCCTCCGAAGCTTCAGATGAAGCGCCCATAAAGCCATATTCTTTGCCATCTATACGAGAACTTTTCAGAGTACTCGTAGACTTACTCGATCCCCACGATCGTCAGCATGCTGATGCTATGAGAGTCATGGCTTTAAGGATCATCGATGTGGCGTTGGAGGTAGCTGGGCCTTCAATTGCCAAGCACCCCTCCCTTGCAACCTTGGCGGAAGACAGTCTGTGCAGATATCTATTCCAATTGGTTCGATCAGACAACATGGCAATATTGCATGAATCACTGATTGTTGCTGGTACTCTGCTGGCCACTTGTAGAGGTGTGCTCAAGTTGCAACAAGAGCTCTTCCTCTCTTATCTGGTTGCCTGCTTACATCCTCGAGTTGAGATCCCAAGAGAGCCTGGGATAGACCCTTCACTGTATGCTGGTGTGCCGCAATCCCCGAAGCTGGTCAAGCCCCCACCATCACAAGCAAGCAGCGGGAGATCTACTCCAGTACCCGTAAAAGACCGGCAAAAACTTGGCATGGAAGGTGGATCTAGGAAACCTGATGCCAGGGAAGCAATGGTTGAAAGTGTTGGTGCTCTTGCACGGATACCCAGCTTCATGGTTGAGCTCTTTGTCAACTACGACTGCGAGGTTGACAGGAGCGATCTATGTGAGGACATGGTTGGATTACTATCTCGCAATGCCATCCCTGATTCTGCGACTTGGAGCACAACCAGCGTGCCACCACTTTGCTTGGATGCACTGCTGGGCTACGTTCAGTTCATCGCGGAACGACTAGATGACGAGCCTCGATTTGATGGTTATCCAGATCGTGCTCAACTCCGCGAACAACGTCGAAGAAAGAAGATAATAATCCAAGGAGCGGCAAAGTTCAACGAGAACCCGAAATCTGGACTCGCATATCTCCATGCTCAGGGTATCATCAAGGACCCAAAAGATGCCAAATCTGTCGCTACTTTCCTGAAAGGTACTGCGCGCATCAATAAGAAAGTGCTTGGTGATTTCATTGCGAAGAAAGGTAATGAGGCTGTCATTGAAGCCTTCATGGAAGATTTTGATTTCAACAACAAGCGTATTGATGAGGCACTTCGGGAGCTCTTGGAATCATTTCGACTGCCAGGAGAGTCAGCATTGATTGAGCGAATTGTCACTATTTTCTCCGAGCACTATTGCGCTGCCGAGCAGTCTGAAGCAGTTATTGCAAACAGCGATGCTGCATTCGTATTGACTTATGCCGTCATTATGCTCAACACCGAGCTCTACAACCCCAATGTCAAAGCAGCAAACCGTATGACTGTCGAGCAATTCTCGCGCAATTTACGTAGTGTCAACGACAAAAAGGACTTTCCGCTAGAGTACCTTCAAGCCATCTTCAACTCGATCAAGTTCAATGAAATCATCTTACCAGAAGAGCACGACAACAAACACGCTTTCGACTATGCTTGGAAAGAACTCCTATTGAAGACAGAGTCTGCTGGAGACTTGATCATTTGCGACACGAATGTCTACGACGCAGATATGTTTGCTGCAACTTGGAAGCCAGTAGTTGCTACTCTTTCATATGTCTTCATGTCTGCGAGTGACGACGCTGTGTTCTCGAGAGTGATTACAGGCTTCGACCAGTGCGCACGAATAGCAGCAAAATATGGCCTGACCGAAGCCGTGGACCAAGTCGTCTATTGTCTGAGCTACATCACCTCTTTGTCCACAGAAGCACCCTCAAATACAAGTCTCAACACTGAGATTCAGGTTGGCGAGAACAGCGTCATGGTCAGCGAACTTGCGGTCAAATTTGGAAGAGATTTCAAAGCACAACTCGCCACCGTTGTTCTATTTCGAGTAGTAACTGGAAGCGAGGCTGTTATCAGCAGTAGTTGGAAACATGTAAGATTCCCTAACTCAATATTGATTGCATACTGACAAATCAGATCGTTCGCATTTGGATCAACCTCTTTGTGAACTCCTTAATACCTCCTTTCTTTGCACCAAACCGCATGGAAATCACCCCAATCCCTCTTCAGCCACCTTCTCAAATCATCGATCGTGGTCAGAAGAGCGAAAGTGGTCTTTTCTCTGCTTTCACCTCGTACATTTCAAGCTATGCTGCAGATGACCCACCAGAGCCTTCAGATGAAGAGCTAGAGAGTACGCTGTGTACTGTAGATTGTGTGAACGCATGTTACATGGGGGACGTCTTCGCCAACGTTGTGTAAGTGCTGGATCCCATACTTCTAGAAATGAGGCTAATTATACATCAAAAGCAACATGCCTGTTGATGCTTTAAAGCCTCTCGTTCAAGCATTACTTGAGCAACTCCCAGATGATCCAACTTCCGTGGTCATATCCGTTAAGTCTGAAGCAGAACCGCAACCAGGAACAAACGGTCAGAAGTCTGTTATCAATGGGCCAATATATGACCCATCAGTCGTTTATCTATTAGAGCTTTGCACTGTGCTGGCCCTCCGAGATAAAGAGACCGTATTGAGTCTCGGTAGCAGTGTCGCTGGAGCATTGCAGGGAGTGATGCGTAATGCACATAGCTATCATTTCATCATGACATCGAGGACAATGTTCTATCTTCTCCATTTGCTCCATGCAAGCTACGTACGTGCTCGATATCCTTGTTATCTCATTCATATCTGACATTTGTAGGAACACGACTTCATCCGCGTGCCTGTCGTGCTGCACACAATATCAAGCTTCAAGAAAGATCTCTTCGATCGCTCTGCGCCACTGGTGCTGCAAGGTTTGACCGCATGTATCAAGGAGCCTGGGCCTCTCAGAAACGAGATCATGACTTCTCCTGACTTTTGGGTCATCCTTCGGAATTTGACAGGGAATGCTCAGTCAGCTCCTGTTGTATTCGAAATCCTTGAGGGCGTGGTTGTCGGCACACCACCAACCATAATGGCAGACAATTACGAGTCGGCTGTGAGGTTGCTGAACGACTTCGCATCGACTGGTAGCGTGGGCTCGACAGTGGAGCAGAAGCAAGACAAGAAGGCGAGACGTGGCCAGCAGCAGCAACAGCCTGCAAAGCAAGCTAAGCCGCAGTAAGTGACCTTTCATCGACTCAAAAAGCAAATACTGATGGTGCATAGAGTCGAAGCCGCTGTCGCTAGGGGTGTCTCCGCAATCAAGATGATCTATTCATTAACATCGCGAATACCGGTATTAATGAAGCAGTCACATCTAGAAAGCAAAGAAGCCTGGGCCGCATATTGGTCACCAATTTTCCGAGCTTTGACCACACAGTGCACGAATCCTTGTCGACAGATTCGACATGAGTCTTTCGCTTCATTACAACGAACACTTCTGTCACCTGAACTGACTTCTGGTGAGCACGAGGAGTGGACTGCTATCTTTGGCGAAGTACTCTTCCCTCTTATCGTAAGACTTCTGAAACCCGAAGTCTACTCTTCGGACCCTGTTGGGATGAGCGAAACCAGAGTCCAAGCAGCTACGCTGTTGTGCAAGATTTTTCTGCATTACTTAGTTCTGCTTTCAAAGTGGGAGGGAATGCTGGATCTTTGGCTCAAAATCCTTGATATTATGGACAGATTGATGAATAGCGGGCAAGGTGACAGCTTAGTAAGTCATGATCTGCTCTTTCAAAGTAGGCTTTACTAACCAATCAACAGGAGGAAGCAGTCCCCGAAAGCCTGAAGAATATCATTCTTGTTATGTCCAGCAGCGGCTACCTCGTGCCGCCTAGTGAGGACCCATCTCAAGAGAAACTATGGACAGAAACATGGAAACGCATCGATAGGTTCCTCCCAGACCTGCGAAAAGAGCTTGATCTGGACCCGAAAGAACCACCCCCAGCTGCTACCGAACTAGCAGCTCCTGAAGAGAAGATCGATGAACCAGCTGCTTCAACTGAAGTGGAGGTAGCGGCTGAGTAGTGTACGATATTTGTACAAACAGAAAAAAGAAGAGATAATTGGTTTTCCCGTTTTGGATTCGGACAAGTAAAGATGGATGGATGGAAAGGGGTTCAAGGAAGACCAAGATGGTCAGCGAATTTCGTGCATGTTGCGGCATAGTTAGCGATGTGCGGAAGCACTTGTATAGAAAGCGTCAGGTCCCTTTACTCTCGTTGACTTCCGTGCAGTGGTTGGTGATGTCTTCCCGAACCTTGGACGAGTGTCTTCCTCCTGATCCTTTGGCTCGCTCTGTAAATGCCCTTGATTTCGGGGACAATCAGATTCTCTGGCTGACCAATAATGAGCAAGGACGCATAGCTGTCTTGCTGCCTTACTGCCTTAGTCTTGCAGCTAACGTTGTCACAAGGTCCTTCCAGTTTACGTTCAATGTAAACCCATCCCGAAACATCAATAGAAACAAATCAAAGTACGCAGCCGACGTTGCGCGATGCGAGTTACCGTGTGCAATGGACCTCAAGCCGAGGAAACCGGAGGCAGCTTTGAATACGTTTTGTGGCTTGAATTTCATCTGTCATGATGGCTGCCTGCGACTATCATTGCTCGATAAAGGTGCGGGAACGTGGAGAGTTGCCACCGTTGATCTCAGCGCATCAGGTATCATCACCAGTGTGGAATTTCAGCTTCAGCCATCTTTTCCGTGTTCCTACAGATTTTGCCGTTGCTTCGAAGATTAATGTTTGGCGTGTGAATCTCGACATTTCGCGACGAGATGTCCGTATTCCATTCTATTGATATCAGCTTCATTCTGAGAAATGAAAGGCCTCTCTATGGATGGAAGCTCTAGTAGCTTTTGATTGAGCTGACTGTCCTTCATGGCTATAAATCAATGAGTTCGACATCTCTCACTTGATTCGTCTTTTCAAGGCTCACAGCGCAAGGCTGAGCTAAAGAACCAACACCTTGAAATGTGCTCAGTTCATCGCCTGACAATTTCATCATTGGTACAAGGATAAGCTCTATTTCATGTGGCTGTGTTGGCCTGAGTAGCCAATAGAGCAAAGAGTCGAGCGCCATTCACCATCCTTTGCCACCTTTAGTCACTCCTCACCGAGGGGCGTTTAAAGCTCAGTCGAGGAGTGCATGGCATCATAGCATTCATTGCCATGCCTTGGTTTTGGCATCATCGTAGCAAGATGATGCTGATGATGATGGAAATACGATGATCCGAGCTCGTGACGGTCATTTCGCTTGAATTTGCACTCTGCGAAAATGTCTATCAAATGTTCGCTCTATTGCTCAGTCGTATTTCCAGAAAGTAATACAGCATCTATTCACAATTCTAAGCATGTTCCTGCGCCTTTGGGATATTGATTTTCAACGGTTATTGATTTTGTTCCATAACAAGGTGTCTGTGAGGTCGTGCATACTTGTAAATTGACAAGAGCAGAGCCTCTTCAGGTGCCCAACTTCCAAGTCTCTCAAAAGTCGGTCGCTTCCGACAAACACGATAGATGTTGTATCATCGGTTTCTTTCCTTCTCCCATCTCGGCTGTGCCCGCTTCACCGACGTTCCTATGACGTGCAATCCAGGGATCTTACGGCCCTTAGTCTTGGAAAAGGAGTGGTCTGATGCTAATTTTCTTGACCCAATGTCCCTTTCAGGGACCTTGCTTTGCCAGATCTTGAAAATCAGGGGGTTTTCAGGGCATGTCTGAGCCTCTTCTCCCGTCTTTCATCACTCTCTTTCTAAGGTTCTTCCAGAATGATCGGCAAATATTGCTTGAATCTGATTACGAGAACTCAGAGGCAAATGTGTATATCTTCGGTGAGGCATAAGTATAAGACCACACTCTCTCATCAGCATGAGATACACAAAAACGTCGACAACCACATCTTAGTCAAGCGGTCCTAAGAAGGTTGTCGAGTCATATCTCAACTTTGTCATTTCAAATTCCACCCTACCACTTCCATACTGATGCACTCGACATGGCTGGATCTCGAAAAACAAGATTCGTTACTGGTCCTTACTCTTCTCGGCGTTCACGATTGGCTCGTACCAATAGGCGTCAAAAGTTTTCTCCACAGCGCAAGCTTGAGGTCGCCAGAGTCAGAAAGTTGGGTGCATGTGACCTTTGTCGCCGCAGGAAAACTAGGGTTGGTCCCCGAATATGCCAACTTCTCTGAACATACTTGCTGATGCTGTTGAGTGCATCCACGCTCTGATGCTAGTACCCGCCAATGACATTGGGTCTAAGTCCAGTGCTGAGGAGAAAGAAGCCAGTTCATTACTGGAGGCTGATCCGAACATAATCGCTGGAGCAGTTTCTTCCACTATCGCTGCTGGAGATCTCTATCCTGGATACATTGAGCCAACTCGTGGTGAAGATGTTGCTGGCTCTACTGGCCGGATCTTGATGACGCAATTTCTCTCTCCCTCAGGTCATCTAGATGAAGATCGGATTTCTCCCTCACCAATTCTTGGTGCTGTTCCTCCCACAACTTCCTATCAGATCGACGTTGTCGCGGAAGAGCTGCCACTGGCTGGGGCTTGGGAAGGAATGTACCAAGTGGAAGACGACCTTTGGAACATGTCACCACCCCACGAGGTACCACTCCCGTTTGCACCGTCTCTTCTTTGATTTACATGCTAGCTAATTCCACCAGAACCAGCAGGACTTTGAGACAGCTGTCCTTAGTCCCATTGATCTAGCTCTACTCGATTGGGACTATCTGTTGGACTTACCATTATACGAATGGGAAGTTGGCACCACTCCGCCCGTCGATGCTTACCATGCTCAAGTAGGGAAAATAGTCCCAGAAGAAAGCATACCTGTTCCTATGCTGCAGGAACACGGTGAAAATCCGGTTCATTATCACATGAACCATTCCCAACTCGAACCTGATGATATTGCGGCTTTCGATGTGGATCAAAGTCAAAGAGTGATTTCCTGCTATGTCAGTTTATCAGAAGACTACCATAGTTCGGACGACTCTGGGGCAGCGCTGGACTTTCAATGATGGGGTTTTATTTTGGAAGATGTTCCCGATATTGCACTCGGTTTTGGATCAGGCTGGAAAGTCTTGGTTGGCTACAGCTCTAATAACATATCGAATGGGACTTGGGAAAGCGGATGACCTCGAGAGTGGTTTGTTCGGTGTTTGAATTATTCATGTTGGACCGACAATTAAATCTTTGCATTTTACTTCGATCCAGACATTTGGAGGAATCGAACTCGTCAAAAGGCCGCTCTTACCTTGCACCAAGCGCACGAAACTCGCAACTTGTAGCGGTACTGCAGGTAACATCCAAGACCGTCCTATAGTGGTGTAAAGCTACGCCATTCTCCCTGTATTTGCTCCGGCCGCTTGGTTTGCATTCAATGAGACTATCATGCCTAATAAGCAAGAGTAGGACATACAATGAGCAAGCATTGAAAGTGCGACTGTCCCACAATTATTCGTAAGTAGTACAAGTTCGCTTAGTCGAAGCCGGGACCGGACGAAAAGAGCTGGCTCTCGGTCGAGAGTGGTGGGGTCCAAAAACCTTACTTCCAGAAAGGTACAAAGATTATTAAATGTCTCGATCGAGACATGCGGGGTCTTGGGCGCCTCTCTTCAAGAATGACGGACGTACATTAAAAGTCTCAATCGGGAGCTATGGGGCCAAAACACCCCGCTCTGAAAATAGGGCTACTGAGTGGTCTTGATTGGGAGCAATGGGGCCAAAAAGTACCCGGGAACAAAAAACTACCCGAGAGTCTCGTTAGGCGCGATGGGGGCGGCTTGGTAAATAGACCTAAATTGGGAGTAGTGGGGTCCAAGGTGCATCTGTGTACTGTACAAAAAGGGGAAAAGGGCCTTCAAGAGCCTCAAGTACCGTGGGGTCCAAACCGGCTCTCGTATTTCACAGGTGAACCGTACCAATAACCAAAGTTATGGGTTCGCCGAGGCCCTGTTTCGGGAAAGAGGTGTTCGAAATTGACCGGTGAGGTAAGCAGGGTCAGGCGGCGTACATTTTCAAGCACAAGATTCCAAAGTGCTTTGTGCTGACTGTCCCCATCATGATACCGAGTCTGCGACTGAGCCACCTCCTTCGGGAGGGGCATCTTCTTTTACCGACGTCTGCAAGGTTCACGTACTCAAAATCCGGATACCAAGGGTCGGATCCGAACGATCAACACACTGGAGGGATTGCTGCAGCCCTACGGGAAAGTCTAAGCAATCTTTTAAGACCTTACCGGCGACCCTTGCAATTGTGAGACGGTCGGCTGTAGGTGTATTGAGGCACGGATACGCCCATGGGTAACGTTGACATTTTCGCGAGACAACAGCTCTCTAAAACTGCTTTCAATGGTCTTGCTTGGATTGAGGCTTCGGATTCACGCCGTCGATCCACGCTACACACCGACGCTGTCCAGTATGTTCCTGCATCTGACGGCAAGAAGCCAATATCCGCGCCCTTGTATGTCCTGTATGCTGGCTACAATTGGCTACTGCGTCTATGCAACCCTCTTCCAGATTATATTTTCCCTTAGATACTTCATAGGTTTGAACGCCATGATGACCATGTGCAGACTACAAGAATTATAATTATGGTATGACATTTGACCGCTTCCTATCACCCACATCTCATCTGTCGAGAGAGCGTCAATATTTCGCAAGTTCGGTGAATCGGTGTGATATGGATATAAGATGGCGAATGCTAGGTAAGAATAAAGTCTACAAAAGCCCTAGAACTGTCGCTATTCTCAAGCCTACTCAACAGAATTGTAACATTCTTTCTTGCTCTTCTTTTCAAGCGTGGACATAGCCAAAACTGTTCGTCATGAAAGCCAAATCGCCCACTCAAACACGTGGAAATAAAGTGGGCATGGCCCGACCAAGATCAACATCCACACGCAAGCGTAGTCCCTACACCCCGGAAAGAAAAATTCAAGTAGCTCATGTTAGGAGAGTTGGGGCTTGTGGCGACTGTCGCCAAAGGAAGATTGGGGTAAGGCTCTAGCATCCACCCAGAAGGATCTACCGTGCTAACACTTGTAGTGTTTTCATGCTCTGCAAGTAGGGGCGGACAATCTCAAGCTTCGTGAGCCTACAAGGCTGCCTCTCGTGGAGCAGGAAGACGTACCTTTAGTTCGAACGAGCTCAGGCATATCGGCTGGACTACCATCCGTCATGGACCAACACAAAGTAGCCGCGCAGTTCGACCCTGTCTGGGGAACATCCTTTCCTAGTGCCAACATTGAGACTCTAATTACTCCGTTTCGACCGACGTTGATGGGATTCCCAGATCAAAGCGAGAAGCCAATGTCCGTAGGAGCATACGCAATCAATCCTCAAGTCACATTAACTGGCAGTATACCTTGCTTTGACTACAGCCAGAGACTAAGCGAGGGCACTCACAACTTGTGGGCTCCATATCCTGACGTTCAGATTACGTCCTACGCATCGAGAGACATAGCATCAGCATCACATGGAGGATTTCCTGCCGAGTCTGCTCTTCCCTTCCAGTGGGAGAACAATCTTCCAGGTGGAGATGGCTACCATTTCGAAAGAGAGACTACCTACTTCGTTCCAGATCCGTCTTACACCAACCAAGGAGGTAGCAACGCTTACCCGGCCATGCAACTACTCTCCCTGGGTCCTCCAGCAAGTTCCTCTGCAAGACCACATGACCAAAAAGGATTCCCTCAAAGCTTCCACTATTTTGAGACTCCTTCGAGTGAAGCCAATGATAATTGGTGATTCCAATTTGTGATGGAAGGCAAAGTATCGGATGAAGGGTGGTAGAATCACGGCAATCATATGGGCAGTAAAGAGTGTATTGATAAGTCTCAAGTATCAAAGTACAGGAGGAAGAGGGAGAATATATAAGGGTCTGCACAGCTAGCACTAAAAGCCCCTGAACTGAGCCTCAAACAAAGCATAAAAGTGAACACAGTTGAATTTCAGCTAACAAAGAGAAGCCATACAGTTGCGAATCTATCTAAGGGGATACGTGGCTATGACTATAGAAGCAAAAGAATAGTATCCATGATATAACTATCTCAAACAGTGATTGATTGACACAAGAAGTGTTGTATTTTGCAAAACCGAAGCCCGAGGCCACTCATTCGGGCAAAAGTACTTTGACGTCTTACCGCACACGCATCATAAAAAGAAACCACAACCATATGCAGAGTACAATGCGTCTAAAAAGTTTACCAGAACTCATTCTTATTCATTTCTCATCTCAGACATTAAAACAAAACAACCAACTAACTTCAACAACCGCTATTTCTCCCTCTCATCCCTCACAACCCCGTACTCCCCGTTGCAATCAGATTCAACCACGCCGCCAACCTATACCCCGCCTTCGCAATCTGCTCCTCGATCACCGGGATAGCCGTGTCATAGTAGTCCCCACTCAAGTCAACATTCTCAACCGAGCTAACTCCATTGGGCATGACGGTCGTGCAAACATACGCATTGCTGTCCTGGGCCCAGATCATGCTGCTACTGACCGGATCAGAGAGATCCATACCGGTGAGCCAGCTTGAAGCGGAGGATTTATAGGTCCCGGTTTTGATGCCGGTTGTGAGGTTCGCGGCCCAGGTTTTGGCGTCCGCGAGGGTGTAGCCGCCGACGAGTTGTTCGGGCATGTTGGTATCCCACTGTGAGGTATGTTAACTTGTTGGGAGGGAGGGAGGGCGAGGAAAACTTACGATGTGGTGGAGATTGGTTGAGGTGCCGGCGTAGGTGACGTCGATGTCGTTTCCTCCAACGTCTAGGTTCTCATCGTGGAGGGGTTGATGGATGTCACCGACGAACTTGGGAATTGATAAGCAAGAGCACTTCAAAGACGTGATCTCCTGGACCATGATGGTACGACAAGAGACAGAATTGCTCTCTTCAAGCTCGAAGTCCATGTGCCTTGACAGTATCTTGTCGATGAAGTGCAAGCTTTGGGGATTGACGAAACGAGATCAAAAAGTAAGTCATGACTTACATGGATGATCATCTACGAAGTTTTCAGCAAAAGTCTTCATGTACGTCAAGGAGGACTTACCTTAGCAGCAATAATACGTTCAGATGACTTCAGACTAGTCTCTTGAACACGAGTGGTCTTCCAACTGTCAGTTCAAATTATGAGCTTCTCACAGGATGCTGAGCTTACATAGTTGTTGATTGCACTGACAACGCAACCAGCACTGTCGCAGTCACGATCGTAATCAACACCACAGCTCGTTGGAGGATTGTCATTGGCATCAATGAAGTGGTAGGGCTCTGAATATTCGCCAGCTGTGGTGTATCGATAAGTATCAGCCTACCACTTTGTCAATATTGAGTTCCAGAGAAGAGATTGACGAAAGTCATACCCATGTTGCAACGTTGGCTAGATAATCTGTCGTGGTGTCTCCCAAGATGTTCTGGAAATAAGTCTTGGTTGTACTGCTGACTAGACATCTGATGAGCGTCGTCCAAAGCATGAGTCTATATAGCTTACCAAAGTTTGTTGCAATATACGCCACTGTTTCATGACCCAAGTTTCCCCATGCTGAAGCGAAAGGAAGAGCGGCTAGGGCTACAATAGGAGCAGTGCTTTCGAACTTCATCTTGAAACGGAATCTGATTGAACCTGACTGGACAAGTGTCTTACTATCCAACAAGGTGAACGACTGGAGACTTGGCATGACTTTATACTCAAATTTCCATCATTGAAGTCCTTAACGTGTGTCCCTATCTCAAGAGTTGATAGGATAGTCTTCGTTCTTCGGTACATTCGCGGACCCTTTGCCATTTCAAGAAGGTCACTCAAAAGCTTCAGATGTAGATCTGCACGACACCAAGGCACGCAGCCACTCACGAAGCTAGAACCGCCTTTAAACTTCAATCGCATCCTACGATTCTGCATCATGAGAGGTCGACAAGTACTCGGTTTACCAAAGCTCGTTTCTTCACATCGCAAACGAAAGTACACACCTTCCTCATTCAACCAATCCCCCGCCTTACCACGACTGCCGGAAAATACGGATGCAGGAGAGCACAATTCAAGAAGGTCAATTCGATCCTCTGAGTGGATGGAAGAACGGTCGACGGCGAGCACCGCGCCATTACCGACAGCGATCGTGAGCCAATGCAGGACATGGAGATAAGCTTAAATGCCAAGGCAGGCGCTTAGTGGTTCAGGGGGAAGGATGATCCACAGAATGTCGCGATTTAGGCTCGTGGGGTGAGAGATCAGGGGTTGATAAGACTAGGGTCGGTACTTGGCCTTCTAGAAAGAGGAAGGAATGTTCCTCGGTTGATTAGCTGGTCCACTGATAATCGTTATATGCGCATGTGATTGATCCTTCGGAGAAGACTTATGTCGATCTCGCTCGTACAAGTCTTGACTAATTGGGCATCTTTTTGAGGACGGAAACTAAATTTCTTGAGGTTGTAAACCGCTTCTCTGGGATGGCAAAGAGAGGGGAAGTTGGCATAGAAGGATTAGTGAGGCAAGCGAGGGGTCTTCAAGACTACCTATCGAGACTGATACCTTTTCGGTCTGCTCGATTGTTACAATTATCGAACAATTATGAAAGCTGTAGCCAATCAGTCAATCAAATCGCAGAAAACGGTTTCGATAGTGGGGCTGTCTCAGGGGCTTCGCTTGCTGTTGCTTAGCGAGATTTCTCCCTATTTCAACATGGAAAGTTAGTAACGAGTACGAACTCCAGGAGTCATAAGATACATTTTGCTGATTCTTCTAGCTTCCTAAGACAACATGATAATATTGACTTAGTGAAGAAAACACTGGAGTCAGGTCAAGCAGTTGCGGTAAGCTTCTGACTGAAAGAGACTGAAAGCAACATGCCACAATAATGAGATTGGACAAGTCAACAACATATCCCAGAACCTGTCTCTGACAGTAGCTAAACTCAACTAATACTCACCTATATTTAACATCCATATAGAATCACGTGGAAGTGTTAGTCCGAGGCCGAAACAACAGGGATCAGCACAAACAGAGATGCAAACAGGATTTTGATAGAAGTGACAAGATAGAACGTAGAGGCATCAACGATTGACCTCTCCTACTCAATCAGGTATAGAAATTCATCTAATTCTTTCTATACCATCATTCGCCTCTCCCACAATGGAAGAATCTCAATCATCCCCTCCAAGCTGCACCACATGTCACAAGCTCCAAGCCGACCTCCCACAACCCCTCAAACGCTGCGCCAAATGCCAAACAACAACATACTGCTCCAGAGACTGCCAAAAGCAAGACTGGAAACTCCACAAACGTGTCTGCGCATCCCAAGCTGCTTCTCACGACGGTGAACCGACGCCCTCTACGTCTACATCCACAGGCGGTCGCCACAACCCGGGATTCCACGCAATAAACTCAATGATGGGTCTCTCGAGCGACGATTTCCTCCATAAACTACCCGAGAGAGGTGCTCTGACCCAACTGATCGACTGTTTCCGCATGCGTGCTGAGGATGAGTATAACTTTGCAGGAAATACTCTGGGTTGCTACGACGGCTAGGACGATGCTCTGCCCGACTTTACCGAGTTCCTGGATCTGGCAGAGAAGAGGAGGGAATGCATCAGATTGGCTACTGGAGGCGACAGCTGGGCAAATATCAGTTGTGCAGTGGAGAAGTCGGATATTCAGGAGCATTATGGGAATGGGATGATGCCGATGTTGTTGAGAGTGCTCGGTGAGAAGATATATGGGAAGGGGTTCATGTAGCGGTTTTCGAGATCCGAGAACAGTTCGCAGGAGAAATGGCGGAGACAACTCCAGAAAAGCGGGAGTTATTGGCGTGGACTTCATTTGGTCATAGCACTATACGCAGTTTTATCATACTCACCGCTTCGTCGGATCCAAAGCTTCTTCGATGCTAGTGTGGCGCTGAAGTGAGACAGCTTTATCTTCATCGGGACCTGGCTCAAGCATGCTCATTTTTTTGTTGCAGATAGCTTCTTTTTTTCCCCCAATCACTTTTTCTCAATGCTGTTTGTCAAGTGGCAAGTCTGAAAAGTGTTTCTCATGACTTTGTCGCGACTACATCTTTAATTTATCATTTCGTACTTCTCATCTCTGAAGCTATGATGAAGCGAGCTTTCTCCAAGATCAGTAAATTTTTCTCTAAAAGCAGTAGAGTAGCTAGTAGCAGTGCTGCACCAGTCTTGTCTCGAAGCATAGATACATCAGGCGCACAAGTTTTGATGATGTCTGTCTCTGAAACCAATCCTTCAACATACACCATCAAGTCTGGAGGCACATTCGCGTCAATTGCAACCCGACTCGGGACATCAATAGCAACATTCGAGCAAGCCAACTCTGGTATTGATTCCAGTCAACTGCAAGTTGTGCAATTTATCCAGTTGCAAGCTGCGGGGTTAAAATACACGATCCAAGCTGGAGATACGTTTAGTTCGATAGCAGCCAATAATGGATCAACAGTAGCTGCCCTCGAAGCTGCGAACCCTTTGGTAAATCCAACAGATCTCATTGTTGGATCTCAGATCTGGATACCTGCAAGTTCGCCTGTTGCTATCGAGCCTGTCACTTTACCTGCAAGCCCCGCAATTAGCACATATATTGTTCAAGCCGGAGACACGTTTACCTCCATTGCATCAAATCTCGGGATCAGTGTAGCTTCATTAGAAGCCGCCAATCCTAATGTCGTTCCATCCAATCTCCAAGTTGGATCCATCCTCACCATCCCCACTACATCTCAATCCACACCTACACCTCAACCTGTAACTCCCACGCCAGCACCAACAACATCCTACACAATACAAGCCGGCGACACTTTCACCTCTATCGCTACGAATCTCGGAGCTATCGTCGCTGCTCTCGAAGCCGCAAACCCAAACGCCAACCCTTCAAATCTCCAAGTTGGGTCACAGCTCAACATTCCTGGCATCGCTCAGTCAACACTCACACCCGTAACACCCACGCCCGCGCTTCCTAATAGCACGTATACAATCCAAGCTGGCGATACGATCAGCTCTATTGCTTCCAATCTTTCCACCACAGTCGCTATACTCTCAGAGCTGAATCCCGAAGTTAACGAGAACGCATTACAAATCGGAACTCAGATCTCTGTCCCAGCACAGACTACAACACCAAACACTGCTGCCACCATGGGGACGTACACCATCCAAGCAGGCGATACATTCTCTTCTATCGCCATCAAAGAAGGGACAACCATTCCATCCCTTCAAGCAGCAAGTAAATCCACCCCCCTTCTCCCCTCTCCCCAAGCACCCGTTTCCCGAAACTAACAACATCCCAGACCCCAACATCAACCCCACAACCCTCCAAATCGGCTCCCAAATCTCCCTCCCAGCTCTCCAAACACCACAATCGATAACCTACACCATCACATCGCCCAGCCCCGGCGGTCCATACATAAACTACAGCGGCCCCGCATCCGCGTTCCCGTCCCCGTCGTCCTGGGCTAGCTATGCGTACCTGTGGGCCCAGAACGCGACGTTGATGCAGTACAACGACTCCGCCCCTGAAATCTCGATGATCCGGACGGCTATCGATAGCGTGTCCTCTTCTTTCTTGTTTCTGAATGGTTTGTGAAGAGAACTAACTAAAAGGAAAATAGGAGTCGATCCGAGAGTGGTGCTCTGTATCATCATGCAAGAGAGCGGGGGGAATGTGAGGGTGGGAAATACGAATAATGGGATTGAGAATACGGGGATCATGCAAGCGTTTAATGGGGCTTCGTTCGATGCATCGGAACCTGGTTCTTCCATCTTGCAGATGGTGAGGGATGGGGTTGAGGGGACTTTTTATAAATCCGTAAGTTCCTCCTCTTTCTTCCGCGTTTTGTTTTGTTTTTGTTTTTGTTTTTTTGTGGGGGAGAGAAATGGAAATGCTGATGAGAGATGTGATAGGGAGGAGGACCTGGACTCAAGCAGGATTTTGCGCAGCAGGGGAATTGGTATGCGGCGGCGAGGGCGTATAATTCGGGGAGTGTGGATTTGGCGCAGTTGAATGATGGGGTGGGTGCTACGACGTACTATGTGAGGGGTTTTGCGAATCGGTTGATGGGGCATGTGTGGGAGGGTATGTGAGTTGGATGAGGGAGAGGGTGCTTGAATGAATGTAGTAACTAAGGATCGAGGAGATTTTGAGTTCTGAGACTAGAGATATGAGAGTGCTTTGAGATCTCGGAGGCTCTAGAAGAAGAAGAAGCGTGTTTGGTTTTGTTGCGAGTGATAGGAACAAACCTGCGAAAACACGAAATCTGGAGACCGAGTAGTAAATGAATATTTTGGGAGATTTTTGATAGGCAAAGGGCTCAGAGAATGATACGTGAATTGTAACGTAGAATTTCTGAAAGTATGGTCCCAGATGCAAAAGTAGCTCCCGTTGTAGAAGAACGTCTAGGATAAAAAGAGATACTCCACTCATCAGAGACTAAGACACTTGGAAATACAACAAACAAAGAACATTGTTGTTCAGCGAAGACTTCTTCTGCAGAGATTCGACAGCGAGGGATTTCCAATTGTGGAGAACTCTAACCGGAGTAACAAGCGCTTCAAGTAGACTCGAAAACGAACTGAGAAGGAAGTATATAGCCACGTGATGACTACCATATTCCTCCCGTCACCACAAAACTCAACAATACTCGAATCATCTCGAGTTACAACTCACAAATAATAATATCTCTTCCCATCATCAAAACCAAACTAACCTCTTATCATCAACCCCTCAAATGACGCAAACCTCTCCTCACTCACGTGACACCCCTAGCAAACAACGGCCCGACTCCTCAAACTGCAGATCGCGGCGCTCCCCCTCAACGGATAAATACCTACAAAACGGAAACGCCTCCGAACCTGCCAAGTCGAGCATCGCATCCTGTGAGAGAGTGATGTCACTGTTTGAACAGCAACATGGGAAAGGGCAAGGAAAGGAATGGGCATTGATTGAGAAGCGCATCATACGTAGGATCCAGTGTTTACCGGAGGAATCTGTGCGGTTCAGGAGTTTTATGAGAGGACTGATTTTGAGCGGCCTTCCCGAGACCCTGACGAGGAGCGATAAGCAGCGAGCGAGCGAGCGATTGATTAAGTTTTCTGGTCGGTCGTAGGTACAGTACAGTAGCATAGAGAAGGGCTGGGCTGGCGCAGGAGTAGTGAGAGCTAAGGTGCGAAGTACAGTCAAGCTTTGTCATGAATCGTTGGGCGTCCTATCACGGGCGGGGACGAAGAAAAGGCTGAGAAGACGAAACATGGGATGCGTAAGAGGAGGATTTCTTTTCTGATGTGATGTGATGTGATGTGATGAGATGAGGTTGTTGGTGGGTTGGGTTGGTGTTTACGAGTACCGTACGGGGGTTTTGCATGAGTGCTCTTGAGATCCTGCGGGAATATTTCAATGCGAGGCGCTTCGAGGGATGTCTGTCTGTCTCGTTGCGTGTTGTGTGTTGTGTGTTGGGGACCGTGGTCTTGCCACGAACCGGGTGATGTGTTGCGAATCGTCTGTGATTCATGAAGTCACCTAGGATAGCGAGGGATTGACAACGAGATAAGATAGACAGACGGATATACGACGCGAGACACGAAATATCGACCAGATTGACGACCTGGTGGATCTCGGGATGGATCAGATTATCGTGGAGAGGTGTGATGTTAACATGTGAAGATTCCTGATACGGAAAATGAGACGAGACATCCCTGGTAAGCAGGGCAGAGCTGGGTACATTTAGAGAAGAGAAAGGCGACTTTCTCTAGTCGCACCTTTGAATTGCCGATTCAAAAAATTCAGAATTACCCTATTGATCCAGAAAGAATCTCTCTGAAGCAATATATCGTGCGTTGGTGTAGATGACTGAATGTTTGTCGTTATCTAGCCTCGCATAGAGAATATCGACGGGTATCACCTCATGAACGAACCATCTCAACTCTCATGTACTGTACGGTGCTGAGATCTCTGTGGTTACGAGAGACTGCAGCGTTCATAATGCTCCTGTATACAGTAGTCCGTTATTCACCCTGCCAAAGGTCCGGCCCTAAAATAGTTCGGGGACTCCTGTTAACGTTTTCCTCCATTCAGGAGTGAATGTTTTTGCGTGTTCCTGCAAGGCAGAGTTTGTGGCCACCACCACCAAGCGCAGCAAAAGGCTAAAAAGTTGCCCCACTCTTCGTCTTCGTCCTCCTCTGCAGCAGCGTAGGCGGTCCGCTAATGCACCTGCGCTGCACCCACTCCGGCACGCTTGACCCCTTTGGCCTCTCTCAGATAACAACTTTGCCCAGGAGCTGCGTACCCCCATCAATCTCTCCAACTAGAAACACCAGCGACCACCACCACCACATTCGTTCAACGCTCGTTCAAAACCCCGAATCGTTCTCCATTGAGAGCCGTATTTATCTAATCCACTCAGCCGCATCGCACTCTGTACTGTACACATCTTCTCCCCTCAGCTGTCTCGGACAGCCCACATTCGTTTTCATCGCGACCCTCTGTCCCGATCAATGCCTTCGCAATCATCCCAGCCACGCCATCTTTAACCTCGACTCGATTGAGAAGAAGGCTCGCTCTCCTGAGAAGCTGGCAGCCCACCACCACAACGCACCCTCTATCGATACTCATGGGTAAATGTACGTCGCGTTGTGCTCGACATCGCTTCTTCGACCTTTTACTGATTGTTCCGCAGGGCGATGGGGAGTTATCCTGGACGCGGGTTCGTCAGGAACTCGAGTCCACGTTTATCGATGGCTCAACGCGGCGAGAGCACGACAAGATGCGAAACCCGACGAGCTACTGAGTCTGCCAAAGCTCGAGACGAAGTCGTCCTATACCAAGAAGATCAAGCCAGGAGTGTCGACGTTCGGTGACCGGCCAGGGGATGTAGGGCCAGAACATCTGCAGGAGCTCCTGGATCACGCATTGAATATTGTTCCCGAAGACCAAGTGAAGGATACACCCATATTTTTGATGGCGACAGCAGGTGTACGATTGCTAGAACCGATACAGCAAAAGGCGCTCCTGAGTGAGATTTGTTCGTATGCTCAAAAGCACACTGACTTCTCGTTACCCGACTGCGATCTTCACATTCAGGTTATCCCTGGGGAGACGGAGGGTCTGTATGGATGGATCGCTGCGAACTATCTGTTAGGAGGCTTCGATAATCCAGATCAGCACAACCATGGGAAAGGTCACCATACATACGGATTCCTGGATATGGGTGGTGCATCAGCACAGATTGCGTTTGCACCAAATAGTACTGAGGCCGAGAAACACGCAAATGACCTGAAACTTCTTCGAATGCGGACGCTGAACGGTGATGCCGCAGAGTACAGGGTGTTCACAACCACATGGTTAGGATTTGGTGTTAATCAAGCCCGAGAGCGATATGTGGAAGCACTGATGGATGCATCATACACGAAAGCTGCTCATGAGCTTCTAGATCCCTGCTTACCGTCAGGTCTCAAGACTACACTCAAAGGCAAAGTGACTGATGGGGTTGATATCTCGGAACCGGTTCTGGTCGGTACAGGATTGTTCGATGAATGTCTCCGACAAACATATCCTCTGCTCGAGAAAGATGCTCCTTGTGCGGATCAACCATGTTTGTTGCACGGTCAACATGTTCCCGCCATAGATTTCGAGGTCAATCACTTTGTGGGCGTTTCTGAGTACTGGCATACAACACACGAGGTCTTCGAAATGGCACACAAAGATAAAACATACGACTTCACAACATATCAACGGATGGTCAAGGACTTTTGCAGCGAGGAATGGGACGATATTTCGGAGAATGTTATAGCTGAAAAATGGGGTAAAAAGGTGGATGCAAAGACTGCACAAGAAGTGTGTTTTAAGGCTTCTTGGTTGATCAATGTTCTGCACGACGGTATCGGGGTGCCAAGGATCGGCATCGAGAAGAGTACGCATGGATCTGGTTACAATGGCACCAAAGAAGTGGCAGCTCACGCCAAAGACAAAGGATTCCTGGATCCATTCCAAGCCGTGAACAAGATTGATGGAATGGAAGTGAGCTGGACACTAGGGAAAATGGTACTCTATGCGGCCGGACAAGTTCCACCATCAGCACCAGAAGCTGGACCAGTTGGATTTGGTCCAAACATCGGCGCTGGAGAATTCCAAGAAGCTGGATCAAATTCAAATCCTGTTCCCATTGGAGAAGAGGATAGCTGGACAGAGGCTGCTGAGGACTTGGCCGAGAAGGCACATTCCCGATCGACTCCTGGATTCCTGCTCTTCATGCTCATCTTGATCTTTGTGGGCTATTTCTTCCGAAAACGAGAACGAAGAATGAGGTTCTACAGAGGCGTCAACGCCCTACGACGAAATAGACGACCAGGAAGCCCTAGAAAGGGAGGACGAGGATTCTTCGGTACAGGCAAACTCTTCGGACGAAGCTCTGGCAACTACGAACGTGTGCTCGAAGATGGAGAAGCTGCAAATGAGTTTGAACTCGGAGACGTTGACTCGGATGACAACGAACATTCTGACAGCAGTGGTGGTTCTAGGATAGGACGTACATCTGGCCTCGCTACCCCAAAGATGAATGTCGTTAACTTCGACTCTGGAAACTATTTTGAAGGAACAGCAGGGAATGTAGAAGGAGTCGGTCTAGGATTGAACCACCTCAGCAACGTCAACGCATTCGACAGAGCAGGACTGGTAGTCCGAACCGAAAGTCGAGAAAGGCTAGCTCCCAACCTCCAAATGCTAGGAGCGGGAAGGAGAAGCAGGACAGGATCTCCAACGAGGATGAAAAGTCCCTTGATGACGCCGCTGGAAGAGTAAATCACACATACAATAATTAGCGAGGCGCTTTGTTTGGATCATTGGAGTTTTCGTGGGCCCGGGTGGGCAGTAGGTTTGCTTTGAATTGAATGGAATGAAGGATGAGTGCATCATTCTTGTACAGATACTTTACGGGCCGAACATGGCGAGCATGCATGACCTATAATACTATTATGGGTCGGACTAGGAAGGGGATAGGAATTGTAATTGAATATATCAACTTCTGAGAATACATTTGTTTGTGAATTATCCATTTCATAGTGCCTTCGGTCAAAGTTATCTAATTCTAACACTTCTGTGCTAGAGTTTGTACAAAGGTAATAGTCGGTTCTTGATACCCACTATTACTATCCTGTTGCATACAGAAAGTGTCAAATATAATCGATACTTAGCTTCAGCTGTTCTACCTATTGTTTACACAAATTTTTCAATCCAGTCAATTACTCACTCCCCTTAGCTTAAGCTACCTCTTCATCCACCTCTCGATACATCCCGACATTACATTCATACATTATCTCCCAACTTAAACCGTCTTTTCTCGCAAAATATTCCGAATTCCTTCTCAACTTCTATCCTCCCATCTCAGCATTGTTATGTCGTATGTATCGGCTCAAAGGTACCGGTAGTCTTTACGTCTCCTGTACTCTTAGCAGCGAACTTCAGTTACTATCCTTCCCACTCCTCATCATGTCTATTTTATTTCTCCTCTTCCGTTTCTCATCTCAACATCTCTAAACCCCCTTCATCACTACATTATCCCCGTTCTCTTCCTCCCATACCTTCCTCCCTCTTCTCCCACCTCAAACCAACCACATCTCAAGCCCCTCTTTCTTTCTTTCTTCCTCCCTTTCCCACTCAATTCATCCATTCATCCCCGCCCATTCAACCCTCAATCCCCCTCCCCCCTCTCAAGAAACCCAGCATCACTCCGAACCCTCCCCTCAAACTTCCGCCACCACTCCTCAAACGCCTTCAACGGCACGACCTCGATCCCATTCGCCGTATTCCCGCTAAAGCTCGCGAGGAAGTTAAACGCGTTTTTGATTATCTTTTGGGCGAGTTTGACTGTTGTTTCTTGGTTTGTGTTTCCTCCTCCTACTCGGGCTAAGATCATGGCTTGAGAGTCGGAGGAGGAGGGGTTGGAGGTAGAGGAGGTGGTGGAGGTGGTGGAGTGGAGAGCGGATATTTGTGCGGATACGGAATCCGCGGACTCGAGTGATATTCCTAACGTTATTTCGCCGCTACTACTACTACTGCTACTCGGGATATCGGAATCCATATCCACTTCCCCTCCCGCCCCTCCGCCATTTCCGCCTCCCCCAGCTCCCCCTGCCCCTAGCCCAGAGATTTTAAACACAGCACTCTCCTTGCCGGGCCCGATGCCGCCGAGGAATCTGAATTGTGGCTGGCTCGGTTGGTTGGATTGGGTGGAGGAGGAGGGGAGAGAGATGTATACCGCGGCCGCGGTGGCGGGCGGGAGGGTTATGCCTGGGAGGAGGAAGACGGTTATGTGGGAGAAGGGTCGGGAAGAGGGGAGGGGGAGGGTGTAGAGGTAGGAGGTTGGGGTGGGCGCGGAGGTGGGGAGCGTGAGGCAGGGGTGGGAGGTTGGGATCTGTGATTGTCAGTCTAGGGGATATATGGGAAGGAGGGAAAGCTGAAAAGGAGGGAGGAGACGTACTATGCCGAATAGTTGTGGGAGTTGTTGTTGCTGTTGCGCCATTTGGGGCGGTGGGTTGGAATAGGGTTTGTTTATAAAGATGTTGGGTTCGTAAGAGTCGCGGGGTGAGAATTTAGTGAGAGGAAGTCTGCGAGAGGAGGAGGCAGGCGTTGTGGTTGTTTATATGTGAGGCGTGAGGTGAGGATGGTGGGTGAAGACGTTTGGTGTGGACGAGGCGGGGCACGGATTTATATTTGGTATTTTGGTTGATAGTCTGAGAAAATAATCTTGCTTCTTTAGCGCACTAAATTCACTAAAGAAAGTAATTATCATTATTACTGCAATTTTAAGGAAGTAACTCTGCTTTTGATTCGAGCTGTCATAATTCCATGTCATAGCAGAGCTTCCGCGAGCTTCTTCTTGAAAGTTCTGGAAACAAGGTTTGTCTCCACAACAATAACAACAACCATAACTTCTGTCCCGGAGGTCAGAATTGGATGCAAAGAACAAATCATGAAGTCGAATCTGGATCTCGTTAATGAGTGCGACGTGTAAGTTCTATCATTTTCTCTCTACATCGTCTTTCTGCAAATGGCGGGGTAAATCTTCAAGCCATCCAAGCTTCACAAGACAGCCCAAGGTAGGACAAGCTATACATACTCTTAATCCTCTTCTACAACTCAATCCCGAACCCAACTAATACCCCACAGCTTCCCCCACCCCTCCAAAGACCCAACAGCCCACGCCTCCCTCCTCGCAACCCTCTACACCCTCCTCTCCAACGATATCCCTATCGGCTACATCACCGAACCCGTCTTCAACGCCCTAGCCAAAGTCCCCATCCGCCTCAAAGGCGAGCTGGAAGTAAATCGCCGCCTCCGCACCATATCCGCCTTCAACCAACCCACACGCGCTGAACGCTCTGCCGCCATCTCCGCCACCTGTGCCTACTGGCGCGAACACAAGACGTTCTCGATCCTCGAGGGATGGCGAGATGAGTTATACGCCGTTTATGGGCCGGAAAATGAGGTTCTGTTTGATATTGAACGGAGCGCGAGTCCGCTGTTTGGCGTCGTTACTTATGGGGTCCATATGACGGGCTTCGCGCGAGTGCCGGATGCGAAGTTTGGGGTTAAACTTTGGGTGCCCAGACGCGCGAGGGATAAGAGTACGTACCCGGGGATGCTGGATAATACGGTTGCGGGCGGTTTGCCGTCTGGGGAGCTTCCGTTGGATGCTATGGTGCGGGAATGTGATGAGGAGGCTTCCCTTCCTGAAGAGTTGGTAAGGGGGAATTTGAAGGCGGTGGGTACGGTTACGCATGTGTATATTAGGGATGAGAGGGCGGGGGGAGAGACGGGGTTGGTGCAGCCGGAGTGTGAGTATGTGTATGATTTGGAGATTCCGGTGGGGGTGGAGTGTAAACCGAAGGATGGGGAGGTGGAGGGGTTTGAGTTGATGGGTGTTGAGGAGGTTCAGGAGGCGCTTGGGAGGGGTGAGTTTAAGCCGAATTGTGCGTTGTTGGTGTTGGATTTCTTTGTTAGGTGGGGGATTCTGAATGAGGGGAATGAGAAGGATTTAAAGGAGATTAAAGAGAGGTTACATAGAGAGTTGGAGTTTCCTGGGCCGCATAGAGGGGAGTTGGCTAAGTAGCTTTGGTAGAGGATTCTTGAATGTCCCATCTTTTGAGAGGACCTGTTAGCGGTAAATGTTTCGAGTGGCCGAACATTCGAAATGTTTGATCTAGACTAAGAACTTTAGAGAGACCTGCAATGTCCATCTAATGCTGGGACAATTGAAATGATTTCAGGACGAAATTCGAGCTATAAATTTTAGGAATCGAAAATTTCTCTCCAACCATAGGACATTCGAGGACATTCGAACTAAGTTCAAGACGAAATTCAAGCTTTAATTTCTATGAGTCAAAAATGTCCGTTTAACCACAGGACATTCAAAATGAGTCTAGGTCGAAACTCAAGCTATAAATTATAGGAGCCAAAATCTTTGTCTAACCATGGGACATTCGAAATAATTTTAAAAACAAGGTTCGATTTATACTTTTAAAAGCCTTGAATGTCTTCCTAGTCATGGGACATTCAGAAAAACATTCGAACTAAATTTCAAGTGCTAGATTTACGAGTCCTTAATGTCCCTAATCTGCCAGGACATTCAAAGTAACCTTCGGATCAAAGTTCAAGTTTAGACTTTTTAAGAGCTTTCTAATGTGCCTAACTTTTTGGAACATTCAACAGTCACATTAGGGGCAAAATAATTGGTTTGAAATCCATGCATTGAATGTCCTAAAAGTCGGGCACGTTCATAATCTCATGCTAAAACCATGCTAAAAACAACGCCCATTTTCGGGTATTCCCCCAACGCCATCATATGAACCACCCAAATCCATGCCGCAAATAGAGATCGTTCATTTCTTGCAAAGGAGATAGACGTAATCGACGTGTAGAGGAGTGAGCTTCTTGTAAGGACCCTCAAGAGCCATCAGAAGACCGCCAAACGAGATATATGCCTTGCTATAACCAATTAGCTCTATCCAAGCCTCGACCCAAGATATTTCTTACATAGTTTGACCGTCCTCCCCATCCTCGAACTTGTAGATCTTGCCGTGACACACATACTCGAACATATCCGCCAATGAAGTTTCTCCACCCGGTCCACTGCGCGCAACATCTCTCCAGCCTCTGCCGTCATCCTTCGTACCGTCCAGATTGAGGGAACTCGCAAGCACACAGTGTAGGGTTTCGCCGACGGAGCAGGGGTAGAGCTCGGTGTTGATATCGAGGGTCATTACTGTTTGCGAATCCGCTGAAGTGCCTCCAATACGCGCGACCCGGTCGTATTTGGATTGGTCGAAGGTGGTGATTGTGAAGGCCTCTTCGAAGAGTTGCGAATCTCCTGCTGAAGCCATTGTGTGAGTCGGATTGCAGGAATTGCGAGGATGCAGAAATAGATTTGTTGTCTTTTGGGGAACATTTTTAGATGTAGTGGGGCTCGGATAGAGGTGCTACGGAGAAATATTGTTGCGTTCCGATAGGAGTCCCGGAGCAAGGCGCGAAGCGACGGAGATGAGTTGTTGCGTTCCGAAGGCGATCTTCCGCAGGGTGAAAAAGTGGCCGCCTTCGATACGCGAGATCACTAAAATGTGACTGCATGTTCGAAATAATAATACAACTTGGGCATTTACTCTTAAGGAGCTGTTTTACATTTTCATCAAAATCAATGCATTGCACACAATGCTCTACGTTTAGTCAGATCTCAGTATATTATAAAATTGGCCGCTGTTTTAGTTGAGATGTGTCGCGAGGTAAAGAGTGGCTTTTTCAGTACCCTACATCTAAATTCAATGTACTAAATATATTGTTTTTCGACGCCCAATATCTTAAAAAGCAATCCGTCTTTAACGATCTTAAGAAAATACTTAAAAAAACGCATCTATATAACAATTTTCTGAAAGATTTTATGTCTTTGTTAACAACTCTATATATTAATTGGGAAGTGAGCACTTGGTCAATAACAGCCACTTTTTACCCATTGGAGAGTGTGTTCCTAAGATGCTCTAGTCCTTCCAGAGCCACGGTGAGTATCAGTCCATTGCTACAGCAAGAAATCAACTAAAATAGCTGTGAATGCACCACACCACGACTCTTTCCCATGCCGCTTTAGCTTGGCTTCGTAGAATCGCAGTAAAGTCATCGTGCAGCTCTCAGAGCCTTTATGCGCATGCAACTACAACCCTTTTGTAATTTTTAATACCGCATTTGATTGGGATCAATGATTGAGACGTGTGAGTAGTTGTTGCGCAATGCTAAAATGCAGCTCGAGAAATTCCAAAGGCAAGCCTTGATTGGATGAGTCATGACTCGCTTCTTTTAACATTCACTCTTACGTGCGAAGTGAGGTGAGGCCGAAAATTTATACGTTCAGGGTGTGATATTGCACCTTACAAAACAAGCTTGTCTGTGCTATTCAGGATTGTTTGCAAATACCTTTTCATACACACCAGGATCTGTCATCCTGACGGCTACACTTAGAAGAACCTTTTCAAGTTGACAATGTCCGCCAGCGATTGAGTATTTATGCCTGTCAAAAGCTGTAACTCATTTCCATACATTCCGGGGACATTCTCCCAAAAAGACTGCTTTTTGGGTAGTAAGGGAATTCTCAGCTGTTCTATTGCAGGGTCAAAATCTTAGTCAGATAAGGGCGGCTGTCCTTGAATGTTGCCACTTTTTTTTGCCATTCCTCAAATACTCTCCAAAAAGGAAGGAGACCCAAAACCTCTACCGAACCTTCCAATTGCCAACGACACTCTTCCAAAATTCTAACTGGCGCAACCTCAACCTCAAATTTGACTTGAGATTATCATTTCACAATGTCCTTCAGAAAGCGCGCAGTCGTAGTCGGACAAGCAGGCTCTAATTCCACTGCATCCCAAGTTACCACAACAAACAAAGCCCTTCCACCCGGCCTTCGACCCTCGCCTCTCGATGGCCGCTTAACAACATCGACCGGAACCCATTCTCTGGATGGATTACTTGCTGGTCATGCAGGCTTAGCTCTGGGAACGTCATTGCTCATTGAAGAGCATGGAACGACGGATTTTGCTGGGTATCTGACTCGATATTTTGCAGCTGAAGGTGTAGTGCAGGGACATCAAGTGCATGTCTTAGGGATGCATGAGGGATGGGGACGAGAATTGCCTGGCATCGGTACAGGAGAGGTCTCGAGACGAGGTAGTGAGATGGTGAATGAGGAAAAGATGAAGATTGCTTGGAGATATGAAAGGTTGGGAGAGTTTGGCAGTGCACGAGGTATGTTCTTATTTCCAATAGTCTGAACACTGGCTGATTTATTTCAAGAGAGAGGAGCCCCTCAGTCTCCAGGATCACAAGCTTCGTCAAGCACAGCCGTGTTCTGTCATGATTTTGACCTCAGCAAGAAGCTTCTACTGCCTTCACCATCTCCCATGAGATTTGTTCCAATAACCACACGGCCACCCTTCGAATTCAAAGATTTAGACACGTCTGTGTCTCCATTCACAGGATTCTTGAACCATCTCAGCACACAGCTATCAGTATCGCCAAACACAGTACATCGCGTAGTGATCCCAAATCTTCTTTCGTCCGCACTGTATCCACCAGAAAGCTCAAGACCCGAGCATGTTCTTCAATTCCTCCACGGTTTGCGAGCACTTCTTCGCAAATATCCTTCACAGGTAGTCGCAATAATCACCTTGCCAGTAACACTCCACCCTCGAACAACTGGCTTGACACGGTGGATGGAGCTTTTGAGTGATGGAGTACTAGAACTATCGCCATTTCCTTCAAGTGCCCTGCCAGCGAAATCCACACCAGGAGCTGCCACCGTACACGAGGAGCCTCCGCAAGGAATGTTGAAAATTCATCGTCTACCAATATTTCATGAGAAAGGCGGCGGAGGTGGAGAGGCGAGTGGATTTGGAGATGATCTTGCCTTCACCTTGAGTCGCAGGAAGGGTTTGGTAATTAAGCCATTCAGTTTGCCACCAGTCGAGGGAGACACGGAGGCTCAGCAAGGAGGTCTTGAACATGAGCATGGGAAGGCGACAAAGGTTGACATCGAATTTTGAGATGGTAGAAGATGTAATGAATGACGACCTTCATGAAGCTGGGATGTTGTTCGGGAGCTTGGAGAAACAATGGCCAGCGGTAGGGAGTGGCCCATGATGCCAATATGATGCTCTGGGCCGGATCTAGGCATCTTCGGAGGAAAGGTGCATATGCACAAATGAAATTGAGATGCAAGATCTATCGATCCTCGGAATCCATAGAGCTTCTTGGACTTTCTCCTAGCATATCGGCCATTTCAATTTGGTTCCACGTGCCATGACCATTGGAAGTGACAGTTCGTAGATAATTCCTATCAAACAGTGCTTGTCGAGGATTGATACTGACATTCGAAACTCGAAGTCTGAAATTATCTCCAAGGCATGAAGATACAGCAAGCCAAGCTGTATTATAGTTAGTATGTAGTTGAGTTTGGATGAAGAAAGGGGTCACATGCCTATGAACAGGACTAACGGTACAACAATCAAGATAGCTAGAAGCCAGAGAGAGGCCATCGTAATCTTCGAGTGCTGTAAGACGATGCAAAATTGTATTAAGAGACGAAATGTTTCTAGAAGCTCTTCTCGCTACATTTGAGGTGATGAAGTGAAGCTGTCCAAAAATGGAATGGCGTCCTAGGGACCTTTCCGCACGCTAGTAAAGCTTTCACGAAATGACTCCGAAATTCCTTTCAAACTTCTTCCAACACAACAACAAATCTGCACTTGGTAAGCACAATCCCCAATCCTCTCTATTTCTTGTTCGCTCTCGATATGATTACAAAACCGATCTGTCAATCCCCTGACACCAGTATAACTGGACATGATGTTCAAAAAATGTTTTAATTTATGATCCGCTTTTGACCACTTTCAAAACTCGGAAAAGCTGCCAAAATCTGTCGCTGACTTGATATCATACAGTGACAGTTTCCATTCGGACACCCTATCAAGATGGCCCAGTCTTTCGAGTCCGTCTCGGAGCCTATACCAATTTCTTTGGTATCGGGCAGATATTTGCTATTCGACGTCAATGTCGTAACTTACCTGCGCAGAACTCACCACATATGCGGTACCCTCATCGGCTCTATCCCACAGAACCCTCAGCAGAATATATTCCACGGCCTACCTATGGAGCTCATGCCCGAAGAAGCTAAGTTGTTGGTCCAGAAAGAAGTTGCCTATATCGTGGACGACTTGGCTTGGCATAAACAAAGGTACGAGTCAATGAAGGGTGAGGATAAGCAGAAGTACTTGCAGTCGTTGCGCTCAGCTGGTCTCAAGGCGCGAAAAGCCACACAAGAGCAAGCTAAAAAGAACTCCGAGATGGCGTTGTCTCGATTAGCTACTCAGAAAGCAAAAGGGAAAAAAGAGTCTCCTGCTGAAGGCACACCAGAACCTCCAGATGATAAGTTGCCAGACACTTCGTTCCACGATACAAGCGGTGCGCAAGAAGAAGATTCGATCTTCGGAGGAGAAGGGTCTTCACCTAGTCGACAAGGAACTGCATTCGCATCGAACAAACCCTATCCTGTTACACCTACCACAAGCTACGCTTCTCCTTCACTACCCCAGAATCCATCTCCGCCACCGGACCCTTGTGTGCCTTTGTCATACTCGCTGTTTGCTCACCTCCATTCGCGCGGCTACTATATCATGCCAGGTCTACGGTTCGGATGTAATTACAATGTGTATCCTGGGGACCCTCTCCGTTTCCATAGTCACTTCTTGGCTACGAGCTTTGAATGGGATCAAGAGATTCCTATGCTAGATCTGATAGGAGGAGGTCGTCTAGGTACAGCTGTGAAGAAAGGATTCCTTATCGGTGGTGAAGACACAGAGGCAGAGACGGATGGAGAGTGGGGAGACAATGTTCGGACATTTTGTATTGAATGGGGCGGTATGTAGGATTTTCAAGAGCGCCAATCCTGGACCATGAAGTAGAGCTATATAATAATCCAGTGCTTATGAGACTTTTTGAATGAACTAGATCAAAGTCCATCTCTCTGCATGCTCAAAGTAATATAATATTGTTGACACGTGCTTGCCTTCGTTATGCCTGATTCGGAGACAGCGAGCCGAGACGTGGGGAAACTGGTTTCCGCATCATCAATCAATCACCCCAAAAATGCGACAACCACTTCTCTGCTGACAACGAAGGTGCCCGAACTGATACTCTCTATTTTTGTATCTTATTACAATGCGGAATCGTATTCTTCCATGATCCGACGATTCACGAAAGGCCGCCGCTGAGCAGTCTCGGATTTTGTTGACAGACATCCAACGCCGCAACGGACCATGGCTGCCGCAACATTTGAGAACGCTCACAAGTTCGACATTGGGTCTTGGAATTGGACCTTTAATGCCACTCAATATGTCCCATCTGCGAAAGATCTAGCCCTTGCTGGCCCGCGAATGTTTATGAAGCTTGGTTCCTTCCTCAATTATCCAGAAACGCTCGACAATATCTTAGGGGGAGGGAGATTGGGACAACGTATTATACCAGAGGCCACTGGGGCAGGAATAGTTGATGCAGCGACTACAGCCGCTGCTGGAGGCCAAGCAGCGAGACAAGCTATCCAGACAGGCACACAGATCCTGATAGACGCGGATGAGCCTGGCGGTGGAATCACATCTCGATTTACACTAGAAGGTGTCCGGAGCATATCCAACGTTTTCAGCTACGCAACAAGCAAATGGGCCTTGGGTTGTGTAATAGTAGCCGTTGTTCTGAATAGGACCTATGTCTACGCTTCGACAAGACGGAACCTCGTCCTCCCTTGGAAAGTTCGGCTCGCTCTTCGACTCATTCCAATACTGCTCCTTGTCGTCCAAGCTCGGTCTCTGCTTCAATCCATACAATGTCAGACTTCTCCTGATTTTTCCGAATTACGCTGGGGAAATGCTTCGAAGACTTCAGCGCTATACTTCACTCAGAACGGTGGCTTTCTCCATGAATTCAGTCAAACGCTCTTGTTCCGGGCAAGTGATGAAGAGTCATGTCTAGCCGTACGGATGATCCCTCTTGAAGACGATGATACTTCACAATTGACAGGCTCTCTATCCCTACTTTGGCCGCTTTTCAAGAGCTTTTCGTTCAGTCAGTTCGTGGAAACCATTTCATGTGCCGTGCAAGGACGCCAGGTGGCCGGAGAGACAGGAATGACTCTCTTTGAGCACTCCCTGGCCTTTGCTGAGGCTGAAGCTGCAATTGGAAATCAACTTGGCTTTGGGTCCTTCGGAAGCACGAACCCTGCAGGTTGGCCAAATTCGACATCAACTGCTGAAGCTACTGAGATTGCCATTACTCGATCGATGATCATGAGGAAAGTTAATACCACTCCCGAAGTTCTACTTGTAGGCTTTCTATCAGCCATGAATCACCTCACGAGCCACATCCTCGCGGTTTTCAACGCTCAAGGTCGTTTCAGGCTCGCGAATACAGGGTTCTGGGGGTTGTCATTCATGGCTGCTATTGTTGTAAGCGTCTGGAACTTTTCCTTGGACGATGACTTGGGAACTCAAAGTCTTCTAAGATTTCCAACCGTGTGCATAATTGGATTCATTCCTCACGTATTGGTGCTTTGCGGCATTATAGGTTGTTCTTTCATCTATGTAGCTGCTCTGGCTCTATCGGCTCTCGCCCCTCCACGGGTCGAGGAGGCAAATGGAGATGATGCCGATGTCCCAGCGAATCAATCAACCTTCGTTCGTCGGTTTCTTGCTGCACATAACAACATGCAAGCCAACGTACAACTTTCTAGCATAAGGGTCACATTACACATGGACTTCTATACAGCGTTACTGCGGACTGGCTTTGCTGTCATGACAATGGCAAGTGAAGCAGTATACCTAAATGAAAGTCGAGGAGTTAGCATCAAGCAAAGAACGTGGCTCGAGGAGGACCGCTTGAGAGAAATTGAGCAGGTGGGAGCTCAGTGGCTTGGCCCAAATTTCCGACTACATGATCCGGACTCGAGTTCTGCCGATGGTTTGACTGACAATGTCGGGCTCGTTGCTGCTAACGACCAGCCGATGGATCTGTTACAAAAGTCATCCAGTGGGTATGCCAGAGAAATGACGGCGAAGAAATTACCAAAGCTGGGAAAGCCACGTGAGGGACAAGGACCTGGATTAAATGGTGTAGGCGCTACAGAGAGAAGCGGTCGATGGGTTATGGTATTGGAATTCTTCTTGGGAATCAGCAGACTTTTACTGAGCTGGTGGGCTTCTCTGATTCTAAAATGCCTGTCCGGGGCAGGCTTCCGAACTAGACCTCAATGGCTTGTCTGGTTGGTTAGGATGCCAAAAAAGAGTCAGGCTGAGACTCAGACACCTGATAGCAGTGATCCCGACTCGCTGAAGTTTTATCTTCTTAGTATCGATGGAGAACTGACACTACCAAGAGATGATCATGTGGACGTGGAGGCTGAGATGAGGGAGACACTGCGCAGAAAACGTGGAGAGTGGAACCAAGCCGAGGAGAAGAACCTTGACTCCAATCTTTACAATTGGTGGTTGCATGGTGGATGGTGGGGTGCGGACGATGGCAGTGGCCAGTTCATTCCGGGTCAACAGGAGCTCGATGAAGATACCACCAGCGTTGTTTCTTTCTCGACAACAACTACCGACGATGAGCAAGAGTGGGTTTCGGAGAGCGAGAACGATGATGGTAGAAGAACCCCAACACAGAGATACCCAGACTTCTCAAGAGATTCAACACCCTTGAATGACACCCCTCTAAACGCATCAGATCTTGCACAGCTCTTGAACCCCAAGACGCCTGAACAGCGAGCTGAGGCAAAAGCTCTCGCAGCCCATCTTGCGAGTGACAACATTGTGACTCGCTCTCGATACCGAAACATTGTCCAACGAGAACGAGCGAAAGTGCTTACCTCTACCCGGCATCGCCCTGATAACTTCAAGCCATCATTGCCTTCCGGCAAGCTTACACCGGAAGAGGAAGCACAGATTCTCGAGCACTTGATAATTTCACGCCGCAGCTTTCAAAACGCAACTGTATCGACGCAGGCAACCTCATGGTCGCGAGGTGCTTCTGGCATGGGTGAAGGAGGTCCACAATGCGTTGTGTGCCAGAGCTCACCGAGAAGCATTATCGTGTGGCCATGTCGATGTTTGAGTCTTTGCGATGATTGTAGGGTCACACTAGCGATGAATAATTTCGACAAATGCGTGTGCTGCCGGAGGGATGTAGCAAGTTTCTCGAGGATTTTTGTACCATAGATTTCGAAGGAGCAATGCATATCATGGAACTAGCAAATGGAGTTAGGGGCGGGCATTGTGGTGAAACGGATTCATTCACTTACTTCCTTTGTACTGTATGTTTGATAGACTGGAAGCATGAACACACAATCTTCCCGAGTCACTGTTGGAAATAGCAATGAGAAAGCGATATGCATGCAACATCCGTAACCATCACAGCTTATCTTTCCTTCGGTGCCCCCCAAAAGCCTTCGTTTGCCGTCCGGCTCATCATTTCCTGACAATCCTCAGATGTAACAGGTCCGTCTCGAACCCTCGAGACAGTGACAAATAAAACCCTCAAAAACCAATCCATACTAAGGGCCTTTCAAAAAACATTCTCACGTCCTCAATCGCAACTCCCCCTTTCCCTCATAAAGACTTCCTCGGCTTAGCCTCACCACCAACCATACCCAGCCTCTGATCCACCACCCTATCACACCTCTGATTCCAAAAACCCCTATAATCCAATTCCACATTCTCACGCTCCCAAATCCCATCATCCCTATTATCCAACTCGATCCTCCCCACCGGAATCAAAGCCTGCAACTCAGCCTGCTCTCTCTGATTTCTAAGTTCTAACTCTGGCACCATCTCTACCCGCTTCCCAGCGACAGAAAACTGCTCCCTCGCAACAGGCAGGGTAATGTGAGAACACATCTTCTTACTCAACTTCGCCAACGGCATCTCGTCCTCCGACTCCTCGCTATCGGTCTCCATCCCCGAACTATCGCTCTCGTACCCGGAACTCTGCTCTGCTTTTATTTTCTTGTCTTCTTCTGGCTCTTCGTTGCTGGGTTCTTTTTTGATTGTGCGTTTGCGTTTCTGTGGTCTCGTTAGAAGGGGAAAATCACCGGGAAGAGGGGCATAGGAGACTTTGAGAGTTCCCTTGATCTTCTTCTCGTCTTCTGGGATCGCTGGGGAGGAGAATGGTGTCCCGTGTGTTCCGATCAGGGTCCCGGATTCGATTTGACGCCGGAGACGGGTGTAACGCATTCGTGCTGCTGGTGGTTTGAGAGAGGTGGCTGCACCGACGGCGGTGAAGTCAATCTGGAGCGATGGATCATAAGTAGAGTGAGGGATGAACGTAGTTGGAGTGTGGGGGAAGAGCTTACGGATTTCATGTCTGATTTTTGAAGACAGATGTATAGAAACCAGAGATTCTCGTCAAGCTGGATCTTGGATGGCATATTCTGTCGGAAAGACCGCTAAGGGAGAAGTATCGTCTGATATGCGTATTTTTGATATGGTGACGAGAGATTCTGCTTGAGAATGATGATAGAGGAGACAAGATATGGGTATTCATATAGAAAGGAACAAGCTATAGCGGCAACATTTCAAGGATGAAAGAGAGATAGAGTGTTGGAAAGAACAAAAGTATTTGAGTTTGCCAATTCTGCAGCTTTGCAGGTACCATGGATTTTCATGCCGGCGTCCTGCTGCTATCTTCCGAACAAGGTCTTGCTTCTTTCATAGTGAACGTTGAAAGTTGATACTTGGCTGTAGTATCGTACCCCATTGAAAATTTACAGATCTCTATGGGGATGACAGGTATTCCAACAACATGTACGATCTGCCATCTTAACTCCAGACTCCTGGTGGATCATCAAAATGTCCAATGCCATGCAACCATTTTCTCTGCCAACGCCAATGTCGTCGAACATTGCATCATAAAAAATCATGATCTCCCCATTTTCAGATCCGCAGTCTCTTTCAATGCAGCCACAAGCACCCGATGTGAACCCAACGCAGCTTGCACAGCGTGATCTGCAAGCTCCTCGTAAGTAGCACTCTGACCTGAACTCCGGCCCTCATGCCCAATATCTCCCTTCACCCAAAGATCCGTGAGCTCGTCTCTTCCAGGTAGGTAAGCCACAATAGCAGCAGCCAGAACTTCTTGGTGCTCAGATGGGACTGGATCCAGCACCAAAGTTGTTGAAACTTGCTTCCCTTGACCCGACCTGACCACAGCAGCGACTCCTCCAGAGACAACGTCCACACAATCGATACCCGCGTCTGCAATCGCAGCAGAGGCTACTGTTATGCAGCCGCTGAGAACGCTCATCATGCCCCAGTCTCCAGCCGAAAGTCCCTCAGCAACACGATCATCGCCCCACCATCTGTCTTCTTCGCCTTCTAATATTGTGATTATGACTTCGACTCCACTCTTTGGCCATCGGTCGCCAATGATCACACCCCGTAATGCGGTTTCCAGGTGCACACCCAAGTCTCTTTCACTTGCGTCCCTCAAATAGCCCCGCCTTTTTCTCGTTGCGAAGGGACCAAATTTGACGTGGGTAGAAAGGATAACGTGGGGAGAGAATGGTGCGGATCGAGGTAGGGGTCGAGGGCCGTGGACAGTACATGTGAGTTTCAGTCCAGAGATGGAGTGTGAAGCAAGACCAGACTTGGTAGAAGTGAGAGCTTTCGAAGCTTCAAGCTCGAGATATGCCGAACCAGAAGCCGACGGGGTCACCCCAGTCTTCAGGACTATAGAAAATCAGTATGGTTCGTCATTTCGAACATGAAGCATACATACACATCTTTCTCAGTACATTGGGTGCTCTTGTTCTTGTCGGTCTCTCAGTTTGCGCCTCTGCCTCTTTCGTAAGGGTCTTGAGATAGATAGGAGCAGAAGTACCGCCTGTAGGCCCATTGATCCTTCGTCTATCGGTCGCCATAGTTTGAAGAGATCTGGGGAGGTCGTGTGGCTATCGTACATTCATTCTTTCGTGGGGTGAAGTCAACAATCGGGAGCTCGAAAAGTTAAAGTGGGTTCGAGGCTAGCGGCCGCCTGGCGGTCCTTGCTTTTTGGGGCCTGTCGGTCGACGTAGTTGGGGAGCTCCAAGCAGCTTCTTATCGCCAGTTGCTTCAACAATAGCAATCGACGTTCAGTGCGAGGCTCTTTCTTAGCCAATTCACCAGACGCTCTGTCCTGGAGAATCTTGTCTTGAGCACTTCCCTCTCTTGACTCCACCAGATTGTCAAGATGTCCGGAGCTCAGGTGAGACAATCATGTCAACAGTTGAAGCTCGATGCTAACTCCACATAGAATCGAGAAGCAGTCTTCCCGACTCGGCAGTCGTTGGGTTTGATGAAAGCGAAGCTAAAGGGAGCTCAGACTGGTCACGATCTGCTAAAGAGAAAGAGTGAAGCTCTTACGAAGTATGCCCAGTAACCAGTTGAATATGGGCACAGCTAACCATTCTACAGGCGTTTCCGAGGTATACAAAATACACATTTTCCAATGTCCCAAGTCGTTAATATCTTCCAGAAATCACGAGGCGAATTGACGAAGCCAAACGCAAGATGGGACGAGTTATGCAGATTGCAGCCTTCTCTTTAGCAGAAGTTACTTACGCAGTTGGAGGAGACATTGGTTATCAAGTCCAAGAATCTGCCAAATCTGCCAGATTCCGTGTACGAACAAAGCAGGAGAACGTGTCTGGTGTATTCTTGCCAGCATTCGAGAGCTACACTACTGAGGGCAACAATGACTTCGGTTTGACTGGTCTTGGAAAGGGTGGGCAACAGGTCCAGAGATGTCGGGAAACGTATGCAAGAGCTGTTGAAACTCTGGTTGAGCTTGCAAGTTTGCAGGTACGGTACATCTGAGTTATTTTGGGGGGTATGCTGACGTGGTAGACTGCATTTGTGATCCTAGATGAGGTTATCAAAGTTGTGAACAGGAGAGGTGAGTTCACCTACATTTCATTCGATTAATGGCATGCTAATTGCGAATAGTTAATGCTATGTGTGTTGCATATCTCAACTGTAGAAGAGGCTTGTTGACTAGAATAGTGAACATGTGATCATTCCAAGAACGGAGAACACCATCAAATGTTAGTAATGCAACCAGACACCGCAAAGAGAATTACTGACAACTACAGACATCAACTCCGAACTTGATGAGCTAGACAGAGAAGAGTTTTTCAGGTTGAAGAAGGTATAATCCATCTGTTTCGGTTTCTTTAATTCATGCTAAGAAAGGCATAGGTCCAAAACAAGAAGCAAAGAGACACAGCTGCTCAAGATGCAGAAATGAGAGCGAAGAGGGATGCCAAGACTGCTGCCAACCAAGCAGAGGACAACAAGGAGAATAAGGGAAGCCAAGACATCTTAGGCGAGCAGGAGGATGCCGATGTTATATTCTGAACGAAGCACGCATTATTCTTTGTTTCCAAGTACCAATTTCTTCACTTGCATGTAGTATTAGAGGGCACATATTCTAAGGAGCATTGATGAATGACAATTGGCTGCTTTTAGTTGTCCCACCCTATCCTACAAGCTCATTCGACTTATTGTCTCTGGTAAGTGACCTTCATAATCTGGCTCTCAGCTCCCAGTGCCATTCCAGCTGTGTTCTCCTTTGCAGTGATAGCTCCAGCCTCACTTTCATATTCAATGAAAGCAATCCCTCTTCGTCCTGGCACCAATCTGACTTCCCTGAAGCCCTCGAATCGTCCGAATATCGCAGTCAAAGCATCGATATCGTACTCCTCTGGCAGGTTCTGCACGAATAGAATCTTGTTTGGTGGGAGATACTCGTCAGGTATAACAGCCGCGGCACCGGCGTTCGTAGACTTGAGACCAGCACCTCTTGTGGCCTTGATCGGTCGGGCAACATCTGCAACGGCACCAGGTGGAGCAGCACGCTTGAGACGCTTCTGTTCTTCTGCTTGCTCGGCAGCCAGCTTCTTGTCTGTCATCGCAACCCATTAGCATTTAAACTAGAAATATGTGAATTCAGGGCAGTATACCTTTCTCCGCCAATCTTCTCTTCTTATGAGTCTCAAATTCATGTTCGTCCCCGGTACGCTTCACGCTCGCATCACTCCTCGTCTTCGCAAACGCCAACTGCATCGGCTTGTCAAAGAGCTCAAACCCTTGTACCTCATCGATGGCCTTCTGCGCACTCTCAACACTATCGAACACAATGAAAGCTTGTCCCTTAGCCTTCAAGTTCGTCTTCGCGACGATGTCGATGATTTCTCCATACTCGGAAAAGAGCTCGGTCAAGGCTTCCTTGAGCTGATCGACTTTGATCCGCTCTTCGAGGTTGCGAACGTAAACCCTGGAGGTGGGTTAGTGGGATACAAACGGGGGAAGGTACGTGTCGGAGTGCAATGACACGTACGTTGCGTTTGGTGGAGGGCTAGACATCGTGGCTACCGGTTGTGTTGTTGGAAAGTGTTTTGAAGGAGGAAGCTCCAGCCTTGAGGGTGGCGATGGGGAAACATTTATCCGAGCCGAGAGGCGGTCAAAGCTTAGTCTGTGTTGGACGTCTTATTTTCTAGGGATCAATTGCGAACATGAAAACAAAATGCCGGTATACGATGAACCTCTAAAGTGCAAGTTGGTAGCCCTTATGCTGATTGGCCTTCAATGCTTGAAATTTTGTCTCGCACTCTCCACACGTTCAGTTCGCATCATCTCTTCTCATGCGTTTCCAAAATAATCTCGAATTGTCCGTCTGATTTCAATTTTTCGAGACTCAAGAGGTCAAGGATTCAGGGGTAGTCTACTGTTTCTGTCACAGAAATAGGACGAGATAGAACCAATGCAAAGTTGCCACGTCCATCGGTGCGCACGAGCGAGGAGTCTCTTGTAGTAAAGTACAACGACGACACAGCCAGCTATGCAAAGTCAGGGATTCAGATTCTCTAAAGTTAAGCGAATAATCGACATGAAATACATTTCTGCTTTTTCCAGCCAGCGCCATACCCAGCCTCCGATATCTCCGCCATAAACCAGATGCTCCTCCCAGAACGCCATATTGGAATCACCAAGGTTGATGAGTTGAAGTTGTCTCGAAGAACTCAAAATTCTGAGAAGTCTGGCTCTCGTCATATTTTCCTGCCAAGAAAGTATCAGATGAGGAAGAGGATAATGGCATCGTTGGGGATGCATTGCTGTTCTGTTGCGTAACCAAAGATTCGAATGAATCAAGGCCAGTGCTTTCTTCATCGAACAGACAGTCATCTTCAGCTGGAAAATTGTTTGGCCAGTAAACTGGAAGAGGATCCTCGGCAGAGAATACTGCATGTGATGCTTGCCCTAGGTCGATTGCTGTATTGGGAGACTGTTCGTTATCCTCTTGTTCATGGAATCTTGCTTGGAGACTTTCGTCGAAGGATAAACTGGTTAGTGGTGGATTCGTCTGCGTGCTCTGAGATGGAGTCCCCAAATCACCACTTCTCTGAATTGGTTTATCGATGTAGTCTAGTGGTGCTACTTTGACAACAGAAGCGCTCCGAGGGGTATTTGTGGAAGCAGTATTAAGCATAGGTGCCTGGGCTGCTGTCCAGCTTTGCCGGAAGGAAGTCATCATCGTGAGCTGGGATGAGATGTCCGTAACTTCAATGCTTGCGCTGGGTGCTGTAGATGCTTTTTCATGCTCGATACATGATGATTCGCACTCAACAGGCGCATAAAAGATGGCTTGAAGTGGTGAGAACACTTCCTTCTCAACGACTGCCAAGCTTGGAGCCATGACATTGGCTTCTCCTCCTTGCAGAGCATGAATGCACTGCGGAATATCAGCGTACCGCCCCACTTTGTCGGCCATTCAGTGGCTTACCCCAATTTTCTTTCGGCGACAGTCAGAGCAAGCACCAGCTTTCCTAACTTTCGCTACCTCAAGCCTTCTTTGAGGATCAAAGCGCTTGCGCTTCCGAGTAGATGCTAGTCTTGGAGAAGCAACATTGCTTTCGGACTTTTGGCGTGATCCAGTTGAAGGGATCTTTTCCATGAGGAATGGTGATAGCGAGGATTTAACCAGGAAAGAACAAGGTAGAGATAAGTCTCAATGCCGCGTTGGACTTGAACAAGGCTGAATTGCTTGCATTATAAATGTGGCAAACTTCGTCGACTTATATCCTCAGTCACACCGAAGGTACGTATCTGAAAAAGTGGCATTCTCACATCAAATCCTAATACGTGCGAAAGGGTGATGAGCGATGTTGGAATGCTGATGAGACAAACATTCAGAGCGAATGGTTCGTTGACGATGAACTTGCGTGGGAGATGTAATGCAGGAACGACGCACGCGGCACGGCATTCGGAACATTAAAAGAATTCTAGGTTACCATACATTGACCACACTCAAATACCAAGTCCTGCGAAGTTTCAACTCAGATGGACGCCATGCGTTGGGAATGTTTCATAATGCATATATTGATATAAATCTCCTTTCCGGACTGCTCGGAGGCGGTACGACGGAACAGAGCATGACTCTATGGCTCACCCTGACCGCATCTCGGTCGCCACCTCACGTAATAGCGGGCTGGCGCTTCCTGACCGACTCTTAAATCTCTTTCCAAAAAGTGAAGGATAGACGAAGTATCCAATCAAAGCGAAAGTATCAAATCCCGAAAGGATTATTTTACCGTTGTTCCTAACCCAAAAAAAAAGAAAGAAAAAAAGAAATCAAGTGCATTTTCGACTTTAACTAAACACTTCGCTTTCCCGACAATAAGGTAAAGCCCTAACAAAAGCACCGGGAACCGAAACCGATTATCAAAATTGGGCACCAGTCCAACAATTATGCGTCTGCAACTCCTCGATAGGCTAGAAGACAGTATCTGTGCTTTGTGGCTAAAGACGACCGCGTATAGAGTCAAAAGACGCGATGAAACACTTAAACTTCTAGTATTCTGGCTGTATTGTGGCGCAGGAAATTACTTGTAGTCCGTGAGTGCTCGTGTCCTTTTCGCGTGCTGTCCTCTAGCCATCGAGGAGTTGACATGCACGATCGCCTAATGTAGCCCGAATGAAAAAGAAGCCTTTTGCGAAAGCTGCTTGCGCAAGTAAGGAAAGTCGAAAAGTCGATTGAAGCAAACTACACTCACATTCCGCAGAGGGTTAGGGCCAGGGAAAGGATGGGCCGCAAGTCAGCTTGGATAACTAGGATGTGGGTCGGTGGTTAGGGCTTAGTTGTGGCTAAGGTTCGTGGAATACCCTCCACAATCACTACTTCTGAATTGCAGATTGAGTCTACCTGAAGTTATCGCGACTTTAGTGATGGAATGCTGGCTGGATTCAAACACCACCAACCTTAGCGAGAGCGAACCCGTGTTTCGCGAAAAGGCTGTGCCCCCAGCTTGTGGAGATGTGGGATCTACTCGCACACAATTCGACCCGGAGTTGTCTAATCTGGTTGCAGCACCATGGAAGCAGAGAAGAGCAGGGATATGAGTCAGTCTGGATGAGTGTAGTGAATATGACAGAAGCCGAAGCATACCTAGCTTAAGCCGGGCGCCACCACACCGGCTCTCAGGGAATAAGGTGGCTGGATTTTTTTGTGGTTTTCGCCTACAAAATCGGCGACTTTCCCGGCTCCAACAGGCTGACTCATTTACACACAGGATCTCCACAGCCTGTGGAGAGCTTTTACGAGCGCGAGGAACGCACCCCACTCCGCTAAGGTACTCTCCCTACTTTCCCAAGTTAAAAGCACGACCTCGCGACTGTGCCTCTGGGACACAAAATAAGCTTGTTAATGATACCCGACGGCGGGTGCAGTTTTATGTCAGACTTAGAATTTGTCACCACCATCTCGCTTTAATTCTCGTCTTGTTCCGTCACCGCGAATGTGATGACTTCATGATGTAAAGCAGATCAGCCTGGCTCAAGTCACAAGCGGTCGCACTCTTAAGCCGGGCGTTCTGTTATCACCCTGTTTCTAGAGGCTCGCAATACTGCCACATTGAGCAATTCCAGGTGGGGGCACAGCCGTAACGTACCTCAAGAACTGCCTCGGTGAATGCTCTTGAAAAAGCAGTGTGCATATCGTACGTTGTTTGAGATTCAATGCAACCACACCTTCTCCGCATTGCGTCGGTGAACCGACTTAGTCACGTCTGTCGAGCACACTTTCTGAGCGCAAAGTGCTGTGCTGCAAGCTCCCTGAGCGCGCCAATGCAAGGGTATGTACAGGGGTTTTTCGTCACTGCCAGACGACTTTGGCTACGGTCTTGCAAGCTGGCTGCAAGCCTACGAGACCGAGGACCGTGTCGCCGGCCAGCTGCTGCACACCAAGGAACCCAGCCAGGAGGCACCATCGCTACCGAACATGACCCTTGCGGCTGCATGATACCCGTGGAAAGCGTTTCTGGATCTAGCTTGGCAGTGTTCGCCTACTCGAGTTGGATCCACAATCTAGATGTGATCTCAGCCTCGACGGAAAATTGTTCATACAACAACCGTGTGGGTTGAGCTTATGTCGCCATTGCAAAACCATATTCATCATCTCTGCAATGCTGTTGATCGGACTTCTAGCAAAGCTGATTCCAGATTACTATATCGAGATTGAAGAGTTGAGCAGGTGATTAGAGATAGGCTACTCTTTCCTGCCGTACTCTACCTGGGCAAGTACTCGATCCTGAATATATTGTATTGTGTTGTTTTGGGCTCTCGCTTCTTTCAGGGGCGAGGCGACTTACTCGTTACGAACATGGGGACAAAAGTCCGTGCGTTCAGGGCATCAGAATCATGAATTTTATTAATTAATTAGCTGTAGACCAGCCACATCGCTTAATTAAGTCGTGTACCCAGAAGTCCTGCTGCTCAATAAGCCCATTGATCCATTCCTGAGGAATTTTGTCCCATTCTTCTAATACTGCTACAACCATTTGAACCTCAGTTGTTGGCTGCCTTAGGCGCCTATGGAGAGCTTGTTTTATTCTCCTCCAGCACTTCTCAATAGGATTCATATCAGGGCTAACTGCAGGATGGGGGAATAGAGTAATACCCATAGAAGTACGCCAA